TATCTAACCTACCAGTCACCGTGGCCCGATTTCATTCGCTGGGAAATTTAGCATTAAAAGCCTAGCATACACTAGGATGATCCACTCGGTGGTACGATTCAAAAGAATATTGGAAGGAAACTTTACACTTGGTGAGGGAGATTACAGTACCCGTTCACTGAATTTTTGAAAGGGACAAGCAGGACATGTGAGGGGTGTCCATTAGAGACACGCTGGAAACTGGTGAAATATGATCCCTAGAGCTGCGTTGAATTGACCATTTTGGTAGTATTATTGACCCCGTTCTTCTCGTTGTGTTCCCTGACCATCTTGTCTATCCAGGTCTTCCACGCTTCATCCTTTGCAAGACGATCCTCGACACGCTTAACCTTCCATTTCGGTACGTTCTTGTCTGAGAAAGACTCTCGATTGATGGTCCAGCAGTTCCATGGCTTATGGACCTTGTCTCCGCATGGGCAAATGTCAGCGTCAAGTCGAGTGGATAATTCTCAGCCAACCATTTTCACCGACTTACAATCCACGTCTGTGCTGACAACGCTTGAAGGAGTATAATCAAACCATTATACGCCGACATAGTCTCCGTTTTCCCCGCAGGTTGTCCAGGCCAATCATGTGTTACTGTTTGAGCTTCATGGACGTCGGACCTGAACCCTAGAATAGATGCGGCGCTTTCTCCAGGCAACACATGCAAGAAGCAGTCATGTCCAAATTGAAGTATAAATACTGCGATGACGGTCCTGCAACTCTCACACTTTCCTGCTCACGAAGACAGGCAGCCTTCCAAAGATTCAGACTGGATACTTTCCATCTCGACCATACTGGCGAGACTTAATCAGACTTTTGATGATCTTGTAATCTGTGAGTTATTGAGGATATCCCACCGTATTCATCTCTAGATGACCCATCCTCATATGTAATCGCAGATCTCCGAGACAGCTAGCTCACTGGCCAGCCGTACGGCCCGAATCCTCACCCCTCCGGCTTTAGGCACTAGGACCCCAGCGCAGAGCCTAGCAGCTACCACCTCTCGCCAATGGTTCGGTTAGCTCTGGAAAGGCAAGATTACAAATCCCTGCATAACGCCTGTATATAAAGGTTAGATCGGTTCTATTGAATATTGATTGATTGATTGTTATACAGTACGTGGTGGAAAAGTGGAGACGCACATTTTAGATACCCAAGAATATATGATTCCGACAGTTTTCAATCGTTCCAATGCATTCTAGCCAATACCCATTCAACCGATTTTGACAATGCGTTATTTGTCACTGTCACATACAATATTATGACGTTTTGGCGGAGGTTTTGCGACCGGCAGTATATTATGCAATTAGAGGGCGATGAGCTCCGAATAGCGTCCTTGATTTGGGTTGGCCTCGCCCACTGCCAGCGAAGACCAGTTTCTTCCCCTGGCACTGAATTTATCCCCCATGTCTGCTGCCTCTCAAATGGAGACAATTCCCAAATCAAATGGAAGACAGGGAGTGTCTGTCGCGTGTTTGGCATGTCGTAGCAGGCGCATGCGTGTAAGCTTTTCGTGCTACTCCTTATTCGATCCCTCTTTGCTCCCCCTAGATCCTTAGCAACTAGTTCGCCTGGATCGTAGCCCTCACATCTAAGCCCTTTTCTGGTGTGACGGTCGCGAACCTGCTTGCGAATCATGTGTGAGGAGACAAGTAGAGTGTATTTATCAGCATACAGAGAATAAACGCCGGTGTGTCCACCCAAGGAGGCCAGAACAATTCCAAAGACTGACGCTATTAGGGATAGCCCCCTAGTAAAAGATATGTGGAGGCTCTCCAGGCTCGCATTCAACATCTAGAATCACAAGTGGCTATACTGAGTGCTTCAGGTCCTCCAGCTGACCCCGGACCAGTCAGAGAGGGCATCGACGAGAATGTGTCAGAGTATGCTAGTGACGAGGAGAATCCAGATCCATTAGCAGAGCTGACAGGCCGTGTAGGTCATCTGAACCTGATGAAAGATGGTCAGCTACATTACTTCGGTGCTCATAGTTCACTAAACCTACCTCACGAGTCTCGACATATGCTTATGTCAATGCTGCCATGGGCGAAGGGTCCAAAACGAGGGCTGGCTGCTGCAGCGCAGTTGAAAATGATCGCTTTCCCTTCGCCTGAGCTTCAGGAGCATCTCCTGGACATATATTGGAGATGGCAAAATTCCTGAATTATATTATCCATAAAGCATCCTTTCTCAAAAGTCTTCGGGGTGATGATGATGGTCGTTTCTGTTCCCCTTCACTTCTCTCATCTATTTACGCAATAGCGGCACGCTATTCTGACCGCACTGAGCTGCGCACTGTGGCTACCGATCCAAGTACGGCGGGTCAGGCTTATTGCGGCCAAGCAAAAGTCCTCCTCCTTTATGAAAGTGAGACGCTTGCCGTGACCACCGTCGACGCGGCATCTATCTTGGCTTTGCACCTGATGTCGGACGGGCAAGAAGCACTTGGTTGGCTTTACTGTGGTAATTGTTCCCTATTTGTTTTTTCATCAATTGTCATTGACTGATGTTGAATATCGAAAGGCAATGCTACGCGCATGGGGCATAATTTAGGGCTCCCCGTGGACCCCTCGGAATGGATCGGTACAGGTCCTTTATCGAAAGTCGAGGCAGAAGTGAGAAAAGTGACATGGTGGGGCTGTTTTGTGGTTGATAAGTATCTTGAGCTCCCCTCACATGCTAAAGAACTACAGCTGACACGATGATTAAGGCTCTTTCCCTTGGATTGGGTCGACCGAGTAGCATCCAGAAATCGACCATTACATGCCCCAAGCCAAGCCTTGATAGAGACGATGAGTATTGCTCGTGGCTTGCGGGAGGTAGCGAACCTGGCCTCTCTGTCTCTTTAGGCGCCCACTCGCATATACCGTCCACGGCTCAATGTTTCCGAGATAATGACCATTGTTTGTGACGCTCTAGAACTGATGTTCGTACATAATATCTCGCAATCTGATAACTTCAACTAATCTATTGACAGATATGCAACTAACATCCAGCTATCAAATCGAAATATCGACCATATAGCAGGGAAAGCGGATGTGGAATTGCGAGTCTGCCTCACAGCGCTACCGAGTTACCTACGATTACCCTCATCGGCGAAGATTCCAAGTCTCCATCATATTTACCTCTTCCAGTCAGTATCTTCCGGCTCTTGAGTTATGGATGTTTTTTCCCCTTCTCAAGACGGATCCATCTTTTTTTCACAGGTGTCCAATATTCCTGATACTTGGTTCTGTAGTATTCAATATCATGCACATCAAATACTTCTACACAGACCACTTGTGCAGAAAGCCAAGTCTCGGCACCAGAAAAGCAAGACATTTTCAAAAGACGACCATCTGGGAGACCTCAGCGATATAAACACTGACGTACATATGGAAACCTGTCGTCATTCGGCAACAGAAATCGCAAAGATAATGCGCATCTACAAATCCCACTATACGCTTGTGAGTTTCGTAAGTTGGGTTGATATGCTCGCTGGCGCCTCTCCTCTCTCACAAAGTTTCTATTGAAATAGAGGCTCAGAGTCAGTATAATTGAGAGAATGCTAAAATGTTAAATAGCGTCAAATTCCTATTGCTGCCGTACACTTGTCATTCTCGGCTGCAATTATCCATCATATCGATGCCCATCCCTCGAGTACAAATAAGACTCATGCGATTCGAAATCTTGCAATATGTGTTGATGCACTGCAAGATCTCTGCACAGCGTGGTGTGCCTGGGCTGAACGCGCACTTCGATCTCTGCAGTCATTAGCACAGAAGTGGTATCGGTGTGAAGATTTATCGCAGTTGCAACACCATCTAAGGGGTCACGGGGAAAATACATCTCCTGAAATTACTGATACGAATCTGAATCCGAGTAGTAGCAAGGCTCCGACAATGCGCGGTCGAAGTGTCGGTGACTGCGCTATATCGCTCGACCCGCTCGACCCGATGCAGCAAAGGTCTGCAGGACCCTTGAGCAGTAACACTGTTACTGCGGAAGATATAGCAAATTCATTGTCCTTCCTTTTTGATTTTTTCACCTTGGAACAGGACAGCAGTGGCCTTTGGTTAGACTGGCTCGCCGGAAATTGGGTTGAAACATTCACAGCGCCACCTTGAACTGTCAGGTGTGCAAGATATACTATAACAATTTGCGCAAAACGAGAGTGGTCGTGCTCCAAGCCATAACCTCTTCATTCATGTCTCTTGGAAAATGGCGGTCTTTTTAAGAGAGATGCGTACTCGAAGGTGGTTGGGTAGAAACCGGCTAAATCCCAATCAAGAAGCCACAGCTAGTCGGAACTAGAAAGAAGAAGGTTTCGTGGAGTGAGATCATGATAAGTCAAGACAAACTCAGTGCTTAGTGGAATTGGTCCGGTAGCATCTAGCAAAGGACTTTGATGGCGGCAACCTCAGTAGCCTTTATACCATCTTCCACCTCTGATGTTTCATAGTGCTCAGCTGAATTCCGAAGAAAGGTTGAATACTCGGCAGGTAGATACGCATAAAGGGGAGGATGCGACGTGATTGATCAATTCAGCATCTGAATAACATTCGAGTAGGTAGTCACGAAAGTGTTAATCCATGTCCTGAAGGGAAATATCGAAGGAGGAATGAAGACAGAAGATAGAACTTCCCAGATTATAAAATTGACCTGGTAAACAACGTTCAATTAGTAGCAATGACGTTAAACCGCAAGTCAGATTTGGCAGTAAGGGATTTCGGAACATAGTGTCTCCGATGAATAAAGTTGTCTGGAAAAAGTATCGACCAAAAATGGGATATTTTACCACTAGACCAGATCCAGTATGGCTAAACATAGGTGACCCGTGAACTGTTTTTGGGTACGCCTAAGCTGGAACCCGCGAAAATCAGACGGGTGTAACAATCTCCTTATTCTTTAAGCTCCATTCGCATTTGCATTTGCATTCAATCCATATCCCCCTCTCCACTTTATTTATCTTCATTTTTACTTTATATTCCCTCGTTATGGTACGCGCCAAACGCCAAAACACCCAACCCCTCGATGATGCCTCCGTAGCCCCCGCGACCTTCACCGACGGGTTACCACTTCCCAAATTGATCGCATTCGATCTGGACTATACCCTATGGCCCTTCTGGGTTGACACACACGTCAGCGCGCCTGTCAAGGCCCGCGACAATAACTCACGCGTTGTTGACCGGTATGTCTACACAATTAGGCCCATATCCAGTCATCTTTCTAATACCCCAACGCCTCCTTGCAGATGGGGTGAATCATTTGCCTTCTATCCAGCCGTCTCATCCATCATATACGCCTGCAAGAGCCGATCTATTCCTTTAGCACTGGCCTCGCGTACGCATGCGCCCGATCTAGCCCGCGATATGCTCAAAGCCCTTCACATCATCCCTACCTTCTCAGACAACCCCGCAGCCAACAATGCCAAATCGATCCGCGCTTTAGAATATTTCGACTTTATCCAGATTTTCCCGGGGAATAAGACGCAGCATTTCTCGCGTATCCATCAATCTAGTGGAGTTACATATGAAGATATGCTGTTCTTTGATGACGAGGCACGGAATCGCAATGTTGAGACCGAATTGGGGGTCACATTCTATCTTGTACGGGATGGTATGACCCGGGATGAGGTCGATAAGGGCGTTTTGGCGTGGAGGAAGCGAAATGGGATCAAACAGAGGACAGTAGTGGATGATGCTTGAAACTTGCTACGATCTTGCTCTGTTCAATTTTACTTTATATGTCGCTATGAAGGGATGGTTGGGCTTGGACTATAGGCGTTCAATATATAAGATGGTAACCATTAGATACCCGGGGGAATCATGCCCTGCTGGACAGTACAGATTTTTAAAAACACCTTGAATTACGACTCATAGGACACTTCTTTTGTAACTATACACTTCGTCTTTCATGGTTCGATCCCCTCAAAGAGCAAGTCGGGCTGCGACCCACGGAAAGCTGCACGGGCCCGCCCAAACTCCGCAATCGCCGACCCAAATTCACCCAGCACATCATAACTCCAAAACATCTACAACTTTCTCTAGCAACCCAACCTCACAATGGCAACCCTTAAACCCCCTCCAGCGTCGCATCGCTCATCCTCATCCTCGCATACCCCAACCGGTCCACCAAAAGCGCCCCTCAAAGTGGATCCCTCGGCCACCATCGCAGACACGGCCGTCTTCCAGGGAACCTACCCCGTAACCGTCGGCGCGGGGACGGTCATTCACCCACGCGCGCGGTTCTACGCCTTCGAAGGCCCTATTTTCGTCGGCGACGGGTGCATAATCAGTGAAAAGGCAATTATCGGAGCTGCGCCGGGTACATCAGCGTCGACGAGGCCGTCACCGTCTTCTTCAACGGGTCCATCTCCTACATCCTCGTCTACGGACGTCACGCTATCCACGCCGCAAATACAAGGACAAGGCCAGGGACAAGAAACAGCTACGCGTATTTCTTACTTTGTCACCATCGGTCCGCACTCTACGGTACTTCCTGGCGCAAACGTCCATTCCTCCGCTACAATTGAATCCCTGGTCACGATAAACCGATACGCCGACGTTGGCGCACACTCCAAGATTTGTTCCGGTTGCCAGGTCCCTGTCAACGGGTCTGTTCCAGAGTGGACGGTTGTCTTCGGCTCTGGAGTTGGACAACGGCGGAAAAGAGCGCGTATTGCGAGAGAGCCCGCACCGGCGGTTATGGTTGCGGCTCAGGTCGCGCAATTACCTGTCCCACCGCCTGCCCCGGAGGGGAAAATCATTGAGGATGCGAGGTTGATGGTCCTTCAGAAGGAGAGGGAGGTTTTGGGAAGGATGATCGTGCCTGCTGGGGCTGGGAAAAAGAAATAGAGTTGGGGTCGGCCAATATAGATGCGATGGGTTCTCCTGGCGGTTGCTTTGTGGCGTTGTTTTGTTTTGCGTATACCCCCGTCTAGTCGATGATGAATCTTGTCAGATTTGAATAAGTTGCGTCGAATTCTTTGAAAGTTCCCATAGATACCTTATCGACAATGGTGTAATAATACTAGTGTGGTGACTATTCTCTCAAGATCCATAGTGGTTCTGAAAAGATGTTCTGCTACGAAATCTAGGTCTGTTGCAATTGCAACTGGCGAAATGTTGAACCTCCAGAAACCCCACCATAGATTGAGCATCTAGATACAGAAACAAAAGGAAAGATATGCTCAGCAGCTTAAAACATGACGGCCCCGAAGGGCAAAAGCAAAGCATCCGAGGCACCCAATATGCCTCACCTCAAAAGTAAGAAATACATCAATAGAAAAATATAGAAAAGAGGAACACCTTAAGATGAACCGCCGCCGCGAGCTTGTCCACCACCTCCCCTCATGCGCTTTCCACCACTTGCGCCTTCATTGGTTGCATCAGTTCCATCCTCGCGCGACCGCTTGTTGCCTTGTGGAATGAACTGACGGGCCTGCACATTTAGCGCACCACGATTGGCCGCAGGGCTACCCGGGCCTTGATTTTGGGTCTGGGCACCGCCAGCTGTTTGGCCGCGCCCTTGGCCACCACGACCACCTCGGCCACGGGGAAGACCCGTACCGCGCTGGCTCGGCATCTGTCCTTGGACTTGTTGCGGGTCAGCCTGTTGCGGTTGAGGGTGACCGAAAGGATTCTGTTGGCCGCCACCGCGGCTACCGCGACCTCCACGAGCAACGGGGAGGCCAGACTGGAGGGCGCGCAGCATGCCGGGAGCAGTGCCTGATGGAGGTTTCGAGGGTAGTGAAGTAGGCTGCTGCGGCTGCTGTTGCTGTTGAGGACTCGGTTGTACTTGCCCGAATGGATTTGGGGTAGACGGAGCAGCCTCAACGTTCGCTTCTCCGGGCTCACTCTGTTGTGGCACAGAAGCCTCGGGCTCAGGTACGGGTATGGCAGCTTGCTGGGCAGCAGAGACTGGGCCAGGGGTGGACACCACAGGAGTTGCAGGGCTGGGCTGCGCAGGAGAGGCAACGGGCACCGGAGATGCACCCGCTGGAGGTTTCGGGGCTGGAGCTGGAGGTCGCGCTGATTTCGCAATCTCCCAAACTTCAATCACTGGCTTCTGCGGAGTTTCATCGGCAGCCTTGGACACGACTTCAATCTTAGCCATCGATTGCTTCAGGCGCGTGTCAAGCATGCTAATTCGCGCGGCAGTCTTCTTGTCCGATAGCTGAACGGCAGCCCTGACCTTTTCGGTCGTTTCCTCCTCTTGCGATTTTTTTAATGCGGCCACGGCCTCTTCATGGGCCTTTGAAGCCTTCTGGGCTTCCTCCTTGGCCTTCTCCTCGGCCTGAGCAACCTTCGTGCGGATATTATTTCGCACGATCGTACGAATCGTTTCATGCTTCTGAACCAGGTCGCGAGCTTGCTGGTCAGTAAGATCGGGTAGACCAGGAAGAGTCCTGGATGGTGTGGAAGGCGTCTGTTCAGCGCCTGCAACGGGGGTGGCGGGGACGGGAACCTCCCCGGAGGAGAGCTTTTCGAGTTCTTGGCGGTGGCTTGCCTTGATCTCAGCCAGTTTGCTGTTAAATGAGTCCTTGAGCTTGTCGGCACGCTCCTTGACTCGTGCGTCCATCTCCGCATCTTTGGCAGCGATAACAGCGTCCTTCTCGGCAAGAGCGGCTTCCAGGCGCTCAATCTTGGCTTCCAGCTCCTTGATCTTCTGCTCGTCGCCAGATGATACCACGGTGGTGGTAGCCGTGGGGAACTGGGACGCGGGCGTCGCGTTCACAGGAGCAGCCTCATCGGCGGCAGAGGCAGCTGATGTGGTCGTCGATGCAGAAGACGTTTCAGGGACCTTGGCCTTGACCGCTTCAAGCTCAGCCTTCGTGCGGTCTAGCTCGACTTGCAACACATCCTTCTCTTGTTTGTGGGTGTTTATCTTCATGGACAGGTCCCTGGATCGGGCCTTGAACTGTTCCGTGAGCTTTTGACGAAGATCGGTGATGCGAGTTTCCCCGGCTTGCTCCGCGGCCTGGATCTTTTCTGCGGCCTCAGCTTGAAGAGTGTCGTGCGCAGAGATGGCCTCATCGCGCGCAGTGATAGCCGCATCGCGCTCTTTCTCCAAAGTCGCCAGTTTCTCATTCAACGCCTCCATTTCCTGTGGATCAACGCGATCATATTTTTGCAGAATGTTCTGCACGCGCTTCTGGTAATGATCCCGGTCAGCTTGCAACAGCTGCAACTCGCCATCTTTGGCCTCGACAATGCCCTCCAGCTCACGGATCTTAGTCTCCAGAGGCTGGATTTGCTGCGTCAACTCGTCGACACGAGCGGCCTTTTCAGCAAGGGCCGCTTCGCTGTCCTTGACCTGGTTCCGGAGAGTTACACTGCTCTCACGGAACACATTCAACTCGTTGAGCGTTTCCATGAGTTTATTATGACTCAGGGCATTGTGCTCATTGTCTGCTGCAGCACGACGTTGCTGCTCAAGTTTGAGGCGAGTTTCGTCCAGCTGGGATTGAGTGTAGTCGAATTGCTGGCGCAGCCGTTTGGCTTCTTGAGTCGAAAGGTGGTGTTGAACCTCCACAATCTCTTTCTCACGTCGAAGGTATTTGATAACCTCTTGAAGTCCCTCCAGGTCGGGAGCGGCCTGATCACCTTCTTGTTCATCGCTTTCGGGCACACCTGCTCGGTCGCGCTGGAGGGCAGCAATCTGACCAGTGATATTCTCCAGCTGGGTGTGGAGAACGGAGTTTTGATGGTTGATCTCCTCCCGGCGCTTCTGGACTTCGGCGAGTTCGCCTTCGTACCGGGCTCTCTGTTCCGCCCAGCTCTCTTCCTTCTGCACCAGATCCTTTTTGTACGTCTCGGCCTGTGTACGAAGCTCAGCCATGTCGAGCTTCAACTGGTTGGCTTCAGCCCTAACGGCTTGGACGTTCTTCGCAGCCTCAGCGTGCTTGATCAGCTCAGCCTCGTAGTTCTTCTGGAGGTTCTGCGAGATTTCAGCTTGTGCCTTCAGATCGTCCTGATGGCACTTTGCCGCCGCGACATGTCGGTCGTTCTCGTCCTTGATACGAGTAACTTCCGACTCCAAATAAGCCTTCTGGTCTTCGAGGTGACGGGTTGCTTCGCCCTGTTCATCACGAAGCTTCGAGATTTCAGTAGTGGTAGTAGAAAGCTCGGTAGAAATCTCTTCAACCCGGCTCTCGAGGTCCTGGATCTTCTTGTCCTTCTCTTCGATCAGGCGGTCAGTCTCTTCGCGGTATTGGGCGTTGGTATCAGCCTCAGCCTCCATCCGCTCCTCAGTCGACTGGCTGATCGCCCGGTATTCTTCCACCTGCTCTTTGGCGTGAGCAAGCTCGCCCTTCGCGAGATCAAGATCACGCTTGAGCTCTGAAACTTCCATGAGCAGCTCCTGTTCACGAGTCAACCCGTTGCCGTCTACGGCTGCTTCGGCGATGGTGGAACGATCGGTAGGCACAGCTGGAACGCTTGGCCGCGATTGAACAACCTGCAGGCGCTCCTCTGCACTCTTCAACTCAACGGTGAGCTCGTCGACACGTGATTGAAGGTGATCCCGAGTGGTCTTTGTTGCGACTAATTCCTCGCGGACTGTGCCCAAACTGGTTACCAAGTCATTAATCCGCTTTTGATTCTGTTCCTGTTCATAGTCTCGACGTAATGCGGCTTGCTTGGCACTCTCAGTCTCGTCATTCAGCTTCCGCTTTGTCGACTGGAGCTCAGACTCCAGTGTTTCCACCGCAGATTGAAGCCGGCGGCGGCTGTCGGACTCTGTATGATCCCGCTCGTTGAGAATTGTTTGCAGGTTGGCATTTAACGAGTCAAGGCGACCACGCTCGTTGCGTAGACTCTCAATATCATCAACCAGACGCTTCTCGATATTCTTCCACAAGTCCTTCTCGGCCTTGAGGTTAGAATTCTCCCGCTGGAGACTCTCAACGAGACCCTTCGCCTCAACGAGATCCTCTGCAGCTTGCTGTGTGCGGAGTTCATGCTTGCTAGAGCTCTCGAGCAGAGTGGAATAACGAGTCTGAAGCCCGCCATTCTCGTTCTTGAGCATATCGAAATTGCTTTGGAGGAGTTCTGCACGTTGCGTCGCGGCAGCGAGCTGGCTATTCGATCGGCTGATCTCGCTCATCAACTCACTGTTCTTTCTCGAGAGCTCGTTGACTTGTTGGCGGAGAGAGGAGTGGTCTGCAAGCGTCTCCTCGCGGAACGTATCATAATGGGCTTGCAGCTTGCGGAGAAGGTCGCCATAATCGGCGTTTTCCTTCATTTGGCTGTCGAATGCACCGGGTGGTGCAGAACCCGGAGGAACAGATTGGGAGAAAGCTGCCTCTCCCCCGACAGTCTGGCGCCGGTGAGTCAGTAAGCTGCGGAATGTATCCCGCTCCTTAACGTAGCTCTTTGATTGCGCAACCAGGTTGGCAATCTCATCACGGTAAGTCTGGACACGAATCCTCAGTTCCTTCAATTCCTCAACTTCCTGTTGGCGAATGGCATCCTTGGCGCGAGCCTCCTCGCCTTCCATCTTGTCGCCGAGCTCACGCAACATACGCCGGAGTGTGAGGTTTTGCTCTTGGATTTCGTGGAGGTCCTTGAACGTGACAAGGTTGCGACTAATGAAAAGACCAGTTGGGCTAAGATCTGCTGCGGAGTCTTCGATTTCCTTCCGCGCGATCTTCTCAAGCACCTCGCGATCATACTCTTCGCCGTGTTTGGCAATGGCCACTTCCATGACCAGGACTTTGACTTCGGAACTAAGGTCCCGAAGTTGTTGGCGCAGAATATCGCCTTCACGGGTGAGGCCCTCAACCTTGCCTTGCCATTTTCTTGATTCCTTGATGGCATCATCGCGCTCCTTGGCAGAGCTTTCCAAGAGACCAGACAAATCCATGACCGCGTCCTCGAGGCGTTTATGATCACTGCGCAGATCATCAATCTCTGGTTTGGTGGATTCCAGCTCTTGGAGCATTTCATCGAGCGTAGACCTCAGTTCCTGGTTCGTCTTTTGCTCTGCAGAGAGCTGAGTCCGCATTTTATCGTACTCCGTGTACATCTGCGTAAAGGTCAAGTTACCTTTGGTACGCGACATACGTGGCGAGAAAGTACCGCCAGGAGTGCCCGGTCGAAGGGGTGTTGTAGGTCCTGCGCCATTCAAAGAACGAGCAGGGCTCGCGGATCGGTTCCCCGGACCCTGCGATTCGAGCTGGGCGACTGTCGCCTCGAGCTCAGAGACACGGGTCTCTGCAGCCTCCTTATCGGCATGCTCGGTCTCCATTTCGACGCGAAGGCGAGAAATCTCCTCCGCGGCTTCGTTCTTCGCATTCTCGAGGGCAAGCTGGCACTCCTGTGCACGTTGCTTGGCAGAGTGAGCAGCGGACTCTTGTAGCTTAGCCAGACGGCTCGCAGTCTCCAGCTCCACTCGGAAGGTCTCCTCGGTCTGGATGGCGCTCTCCTTAAGCTGGCTGACAGTAGCCAAAGACTGTTCATAACGTTCCTCAGTCTCGTCCAGTCGGGCCTTCAGAGCGTTCTCGCTACGTCGTAGAGTGTCGATGGTGATGGCAGCCTCCTCGTTGTTGCGTTGAAGCTCCGCAATCCTTGCACTCTTTTCCTTGCGGAACTTTGTGTACTCCGCGCCCTTGGTCTTCAGCTCGGTCTCGAACCACTCATTGTTCTTTTTAGTCAGTTCCACCTCTTGTTGCAGATTCTGCTCACGGAATCGAGCACTTGCAGCGGCGGAGTTGGCAGCCTGCAGGTTCTGTTCTACCGTAGAAAGCTCACGACGTAGCTCAATTGTCTTTTTGTGCTGCGCTGAGAGCTCCTCGCCGAGTTTATCGTGAGCCGCAGTCTTGGATTCGAGCAATGCCAGACTTTCGCGTTTTTCGGATTCCAGGGTCGAGATACGAGACTTGAAAGCGTTGGCTTCGGCCTCGTTCGAGATGGTAGACGCTTTGAGGTTGGAGATTTCGGACTCCAGGGCCGAGCGGATAGTTTCTATCGATTGTCAGATGAACGCCAATTTCAAACCAAAGCCATGGCCTATAAGTACCGGATTCATGAAGCTTTTTTCTCAATTCCTCGATGTCGGCATGGCCCTTCTCGACCGATGTCTTCAGCAGCTTGACTTTCGACTCGGTGCTGCGCACGGCATTTTCAAGCTCAACCTCCAAGCGAAGCTTGTCAGATCTGAGCTCATCAAATTCGTGTGCCTTCTTTGTGATCGATTGCAGGAGCTGGTTGACTAATTCCGCGGTTGGGGCTTGGGTCAAGGTGGAGAGGGTAGCTTCTGGGATGGCATATTGCGAGGACAGATACGGTAGTGCGACTGCCGTGTCCGCCATGATGAAAGGAATCTCACCAGTGGTGAGGTCGTGTTGCCGCTACGTTGGGGTGAAAGGAAAAAGTCGCGGCGCAAAGCTGGAGCTGTATCGGAAGCTCTCAAGGTCCCAACGCGCGGGTGTGCACTGCTCGGAGTCAAGTACACACAGCGCAATCGGGGGAACCTTAGGACATGGCGATACAAAAAAAGAATGGAAAGTCGTAGAGGTTGAAAGGACGACAAGTGGGTGGGGGGATGGGGAAGGGAAATTCGAGATATGAAGTGAGGCCAAGAAGTCAAAGGGCGAGGGTTCGTTGCGGCGCGCTTTGGGTTGCTTCCGTCAAAGGCGGTTAGCACCACAATTATCACGTGACTATTCTTTCAGCCCCGTAGCCTAGAGTCTCGACGACTTTGGTTTCTTTAGATCGCTTTGATTATTCGGACAGGGCCATCTTCCCTCCTCCACCTCTCTCTGTTATTGTTCAACGGACTGCCTGGCATTCCTTTGAACCGCCGCCTCTCATATGGTCTGATTCGCCAAACCCTTTGAGCTTTTTTTAGCTCAACCGCTCATCCTCAGCACATCCTGGTTCTCCCAAACCTGGCTCCCCTTCACGCATCTAACTCTCGCCCTCGAATCCTACTCAATTTCCAAACATCGTTGCAGCCATGTCGTACCTTCAACAGCAGCTCAAGAGCTTCAATGCCAGCGTTGTGGAGTCGGCGAACCGCCTGCCCCAGCAGCGACGAGTTGCGGCCAACAATCTCTCGGCTTCCGGCAGCAGCTCGCAGGTACCTTCATCTGCACCGACTCCTTCCTCAACTGCCGACTTCAAAAAGAAGCGACACGATGCGGATATTGTCTATTCGCAGCCGGCGAACACGGGCACGGGCAAGGATATCATGACCCAGGTCCTCTTTGCGATCGAGCATATGAAGACCAAGGGCGTACCTCTGAAATTCGGTGACATTGTATCCTATCTGTCGCTTCAGCATCGAGCGCATGATCCGGCCTACGTCCAGGCCCTCCGCAGCATCCTCCAGAGACACGAGAAAGTGGACTACGATCCGGCTGGTGCCGGTGGCGAAGGGACGTTCAGCTTCCGACCTCCACACAACGTACGAAACGCCGAGCAACTACTACAAAAGCTACAGTCACAGAAGACGGCCGCCGGTATGAGTGTCCGTGAGCTCCGTGAGGGCTGGTTGAATGTCGAAGAAGCAATCAACCAACTGGAGAAGGAAGGCAAACTGCTGGTGACTCGGAACAAGAAGGATGATCACGCCAAAATGGTCTGGGCGAATGACCCTTCGCTGATCGAGCGTTTTGATCCTGAATTCAAGCAGATCTGGGAGAAGATCAAGATCCCAGATCCCCAGGCAGTCAAAGAGGCCCTGGATAAAGCGGGCATCATTCCCACAAACAAGAACAAGGTCATCAAGCCTCGGATCAAGGTGGAGCAGAAGAAGACCAAAAAGCCCCGTCGCAGTGGCAAGACGACCAACACCCACATGCAGGGTATCCTGCGGGACTACTCTCACCTCAAGCGGTGATTCGCTTCTACCTTCTTAGCAAAGGTTCGCTCTGTCGGGGCCAGGAGACCCTTTCAGTTACTCTGCATTGCATCGGTGTTGCGGGCGACTATTATTTCCGGGCGGTGGCTTTATCTTAGGTTGCCTTCATTTTACGTCTTTTCTGCGCAAATTCCGCGGTATGGATGGATCCTTCGCCAAAATTGTTATTATGCCAAATGTATTAGATACCCAGATAAAACTATCAAGGCAAATATTTTCAAAGGGAGTATAAGGACAAACCTGTAGGTTCTTGGAATCACACCCCAGCCCTGAAGTGGTGGGGACTTATCGACCACCCATGTAGTTAATGGCAGCAGAAGGAAGTTTTCCAACAATCTCTATCACTACTCGAGAATGGTAGTAGTGTCCTCGTAGTTAGCATCTGGGTTTGCCCGAAAATGGGGATTACCAGCCCTGACGGGTAGGTACAATGAAATATGCAGAGGGTCTGCTCAAGGTTCCAGGTAGGCGGGAGATATATATCGTGAGCAGGGGGGACTCGGTTACCCACCTAGCTAATTGCTTGTACTGTGGGTAGTTAAATTCCAGTTCTTGAGCGACCCCAGGTACCACAATATGCATTGAAAATACTCGAGCCGTAAGCCCTCTCTATTCTACGATTGCCATAGGTAGGATTCGTAAATAGCAATGTAGTAGGTTGTCGCGACGCTAGACGGCCACATCGTTCCGCCGCCGCCAAGACCCTGATGCAAGGGGGAGACATAAGCATCGACTCACCCTTCCATATTCGAAGTCATTGTCGATCCTCTACGGGTTCTACCGGACTATCTAATTATAATGGGAGAACACACATCCTCGTGTCAGATCTTCAAGCTAGTTGATTGAGCTACATAAAGCACTATCTCTAATTCCCCCTTCCGCCACATTACGATTTGGCAGTCCCGGGCTTTCCCTTGTGAGCGCTGCTGACTGCTTGATCATTGCCCGCTCATCGATTAATGGAACTTGGAGAATGAACTCAGCAGAACCAGCCTTGAACTCAACTGCTTCAAGTCTTTGGCTAAGTCCTTCAAAGGCACGGTTGCGCCCAGCTCCTTGGCGAACCATGTTCGGAATTCCATCTCAATCAGTGAATCAACTCCGTTTTCGCGGACACTGAGAGAGTCATCGAAAGAATCCTCGCTCACATTGAGCAAGCTGGCCATCTTGTTCCTTAGAGCCTTGTGAATGATTTGTGAAGCGTCATTCTGCGTTGTGGCTGCTTGAAGTTGATCACGAATGAGAGGTGCGGATTTTCCGGCTTCTGCACCAACGGCGCCTGAGATGCCCTGGGGCGCCGGAGGCAGCTGGGAAAACATCGGATACTGGAGATGACTCGGTTGGTCTTCGTTTCCGAGACTGTAGGACCTCGGGGTTCGGAGACCGCAGACCAGCTGCGCGTTATCAGGACTCAAGGCAGTGTGATGACGTGGGTCAATCATGTACTCGATCACAGCCAGGACCTCATCTTCGGTTTGTTGGTTGGCCATCTTGAACGTGTGCTTCCCAGCATACTCAGCGTTCTCGGCAACAAATCCAATTCCTACCACAGCGCCCAGGTTGACACTGGCACCGTGCATACCCTTGGAAACACGGTGACGTGCAAGTGCATCCTGGAAGTTGTTGCCAGCGTTGTAGTTGGCCTGGCTCCGGTTGCCGACAATACCGGTGATAGAGCTCAACATCAGGAAGAAGTCAACATCTGGCAGCAGCGTGTGAAGGTTCCAAGATCCAGAGACCTTTGGAGCAAGAGCGGTTTCCCAATCCTGGTGGGCCATGGAATCGAAGGCTCCATCTCTCAGCACGAAGCAGCATTGTATGCACCCCTTGACTGGGGGCAAATCTTGTTTGATGGATGCGAAAATTTCGCGGAGGCGAGCGTCATCCGAGATATCGCACTGGAAGACGTGGCTACTGCAACCGAGAGCTTCTAGCTTGGCGATGGTGTTTTGCCCTGCTTCATGCACGGTTGCTGAACGCGAGAGGAAGATGAGGTGCTTAGCACCCATTCTGGCCAGTTTGAGGGCAATACTGCGACCGATTCCGCCCAGACCACCTGCCAGGATGAACGATGCATCGGGATCCAGTGAAAGGGGAGGTAGGCGGTCTGGCAGGACAGACACAGGTCGCGAACCTGGAACGAGTGTCATCTTGCCGATACTCTTACCAGTCTGCAAGAGACGCATCCCTTCCTTCAACTGGCCATATTCGGAGACATGTGTTGGCCGAGCCTCATGGATCTTCTCTCCCAGCCACAACTCCATTACCTCTTGCAGAATCTCTTGACAGCTCTCCGGGCGCTCTTCAGCCAAAGCGTTGAGATCCACACCCGAGAAGGTGACATTGTTTAAGAAAGGAGTCATATCGAGCTTGGAACCATTTTGGAAATCAAGCTTTCCGATCTCGACAAATCGGCCGAATGGCGCAATGCAGGCCCAAGACTGTCGCAGCGCTTCGCCACTGAGTGAGTTGAGGACAACATCCACGCCTGCAGGGGTGATCTGTTTGATTCCTCGCGAGAAAGTCAAGTCACGACTCGAAAAGATGTGGTCTGCGGGGATGTTGAAGTTGTCCATGATGAATTGCTTCTTTTCGATGCTCGAGAGGGTCACAAAGATCTCCGCTCCCTTGACCTGGGCGTATTGAATGGCGGCTTGTCCAACACCACCAGCGGCAGCGTGAATCAAAATCTTCTCACCAGCTCTGAGACGGGCGATGTGACCCAAGGAATAAATCACTGTGCTGTAGATGATTGGAATTCCCGCGGCAATTTCGAAGTTGAGGGTGTCGGGGATCTTGATTGCCAGCCCGGCATGGGTGCGAACCCGCGTGCGCAAGGTGCCCATCCTGCCTGGGGAAGGATCACCTAGACACATGACTCGATCGCCGGCTTTGAGGCTACTCACGGACGAGCCAACTGCGACAACAATACCAGCGGCCTCATGTCCAAAGCCAGGCTGATCGATCTCTCCCATTGCCACCAACAGGTCCTTGAAGTTCAGTCCGACTGCACGAATATCGATCTCGATTTCATCGGGGGTAAGTGGCTGCGCGGCGAGCTCTTCATCGGTGACCCATACAAGACTGTCTAGTCCAGGCTGAGGATTGACCAAACGCACGGGTCGTTCAATCGCATCCCACTGCTGGAGAATTGCCTGTGGCCGCTCAAACTGGCTTTGAATGACTGTGCTTGCACCTTTGTCCTTGACGATGTGGTTGGTCTCAATCACTCGTCTTCGGACACGATACTCGGCGTTGGAGCCGCCAGGGTCGACACCGTGTCTCAAGTATTGATGCTCGAAGACTCGGAATATCGCCTCAACATTACCTTCGGCAGTGGCAGTGGCCTCTCCATCCAGAGCAAGCGTTACCAGATTGAGGTTGTTGCGATCCAGTTCCCACCGAACGGTGCGAATCAAACCCGTCGCCATCTGGAATTCAGGGTGTGTCAATGGATCGCCTGTGACCCACAGCAGTGAATCACTTCCAGTGATCAGGTTCTGAATTGATTGGTATGTGCTGCTATCCAAGCTGTTGAGGATGGGCTCTTCGGCTTCGAGCAAGGAGATGCAGGTTCTGCCCGCTAGGTCCTCAGGACGAAGCATGTCAAGCTGACAGATTGAAAGTTTCACGCCAGCATCGATCAATTTTCCAGTGAGCATGCGAGAGATCTCTGAATGGGACTGCAGAATGACGAGAACCTCCAAAGAACGCACGACATCCTCTTGTTGTGTGTGCTTTGCAGTAGACACCATCAAGGTGAAGTCTGCGAACTCAGCAAAGGTAGAACTCGAAGCATCGAAGTCGATTCCAGAGAATCCAGTCTTTCGGAGGGCTTTGTCCCAGTCATACTTGTGCGCAAATGTATCGAGTTTCGGGCACACTTCGATTGCCTGGCTGAAGCTAGGCACAAAACCGAATGAAACATTGGCATGTAGCGTCTCCGGCCGCATCTCCTCGAGGATGCACAACCGGCCCCCGGGCTTTGCCAGAGAGTTAAGTCGGGAAAATGTCTCATTCAGGTTGGGCATCCCCCGAATAGAATCGTTGATGATGATGAAATCGAAGGATTTTAAATCGAAGCCCTGTTCGAGAGGATCGACTCTCAAGTTGAGGGCTTTATATTTCACGATGTCTCCCCAAGCAGCAAGGCGCTTCTTTAGTGCCTCAATTCTGTTGGTTGACTGAGAACCAATGACATATTGCTCAACAAAGTCTGCATCACTATTCTCACATAAAATTTGGAGAACGTGCTCAGAAAGAGCTCCTGTGCGCCCCTGCACATCCAAGATGCGGACGCTGCGGTGGCTCCGGCGGAGGAGAGTGAGGAATTGTGTAAGCGTGGGTAGAATGTTTCCTCGTGATAAGCTGCTCTTATCCCAAGCCCAGATGAGCTCATCCGTGTCAGAAAGGAGCTTTTCAATTGTGGTCTCTTTTCGCAAGATAGATAAGACTTTTGACGCCATTTTGATCAGCAATGCACCTTCAGGATCCCTCGCCTCAACCTCGCGGTAGAGTTGCTTTTTCAGTGTGGCATTCGATGAATACTTCAGCCAGGTCTCTAAGGACACATATGGGACAGCATCAATTGTGAGATCGGCAGCGATATTTCGCAGGAGCTTGAGATAAGGTATGTGCTGATCTCCCAGACTAGCTGCCTTGTCCCCGCGAATGGCCCGAAGACCATCGTTCGCTAAGAGAGTCGAAGCTAGCTGCAACTTGCTCAGCCATTCCAACTGGCTAGCATAGCTCGCAGGCGAGTGTTTGGGCTGCGGCAAGAGTTGTTGCAAATCGTTGTTGGTGATGAGGTTCAAAGCTGGATGCCACTCAATCGAATAACACGTTCTCCTGTCATTGGAAGGAGTATCACTGCTTTCAGCCTTGAATGGAGCCAATCGAGCTCCAGTTAGGGAGAATAACTTCGCGCCCGGATTTGAAGGATTCCAGGCTTGGATGGTACTCTCAAAGCTACCATGGAGACTGGGAGAAGCCTCACTTGTGCAGCGCAAGGTCGTACCGGGTTCAGACGACAGTTCTGTTGTCGACAACCACATTTCTCGAACGGAGCTTGGGATGCAGCCGCGTCGCAACATCTTCTTTTCATTCAAATCGTAAATCGCGGCAAACACCGCCTGGAAAGCGTTGTCGAGGGTGGTTGGATGGATGAGGTGTTCATGCGCGTACTGCTTTGGCATCATTTGCTTGACATCAGGAACAACAATATCGCCGGTCATCAAGCCCTGGTCACCATCACCGATGGTGACATTAGACAGGCGTCGGAAGATATCTCCGTGGTTGATACCGATGTCCTTGAGATGTTTGTAGATGGGAGCCAAATCAACCGGCGCATCACAGCTGCTCTCTCTGGCCTGCACGAATGCCAACCATTCAGCCTTTGCGATCTCTTCTTGACGAGAACCATCAATAGGATTCAGCGATTTCTTGAAATTTGGTGCGATTTCACCAGTACAATGCTCAATCCACTCCTCGGTCTCCTGGTTGTACGAGGCAACTTCGAACCTCCTCCATGTGGTTGAGAGGGAGGTCTTAGCTTCTGTCACAGGATAGAAGGAAAGGCATACTTCCACTCCTTGTGTATCATCCGGAACCACCAGCATTGCTTTGAACAGTATGTCCCTCAAATGCACTCCAATTACATCGGAATCATCCGTAATTTGTTGCAGCGCTTCCACTGCCATCACGACATAACCCGCTCCTGGGAAGACGTAATTGTCGCCGATCTGAAAGAAGATTAGCATCTTAGCTGACTTTTGCTCCATAATGGAGGGTGAAAATACTGACCACATGCTCTTTAAGCCACGGGTTCTCGGAAACGCGCAGGAAATGGCGCCAGCGTGGGCTGTTGGGGTTCCAATCGGCCACTGGAGCCCCGAACAAGTCATGCCTAGGGAACTGACGAAGGCGTGTATTCTTGATCAGACGGCTCTCGTAGAGGGCTTGCTCTTCATGGTTGAACGGGTAGGGAGGTAAATCAACAATCATCTTGGGCGCAACTGAAGGGTTGGTAGCTCTGTTCACCTTATCCAGATCGACAGATGCACCGCGGACAACTAGACTTCCAATCGTCTCAAGCAAACTATTGAATCCTCCATCCTTTCGGTTTAGGGTTGCCAAATATGGTATCTCGACATTTGAGCCTACGATTTCCTTGGCTGCGCTTTGCATTGCTGGATGAGGTCCGACTTCGAGGATTACGTCCACCCAGGTGTCCTGCGTCAAAGAGCCGTCTGTTGGAGTAGGGTCGAAACACATTGACGACAGGGCATTGGTGAATTTGACAGGGCACACCATACTGTCCCGCCAGTGTGATGCCTTTCCAGGTGCACATGAAGCATCCAACAAACGACCCGTAAGAGTAGAGAACATATGGACGGTGTGGTCAAAGTTCAAACGATGCTTCGACGGTAGCTCTCCCAACAGGTCATCATATTCGGCTGAGAAGTACTCCATGTGAGCAGAGTGAGCGGCATGTTCCACTTTGAGCTTCCGGGTGAAGACTCCTTGCTCGTCAAGCATCTCCTTCAGAGCATCCACCATATCAAGGTCACCAGAAACAGTGTGATTGCGAGGGCTGTTGTGGCAAGCGATCGACAGCGCACCACCGGGGAATCTTGAGTGTACCTCCTTGAGGAGATGGAGTAAAGGCTCTTCTTCAAGGCCCACTGCAATCATTCCTCCAGTGAAAGGTGGCTTTGACTCTCCCGGTCGGAGAACATGGCCTCGGAAGTAGGCCACTTTCCATGCTGCTTCTCGCGAAATCTTACCAGCACAGTAGGCTGCTGCAATTTCTCCCGACGAGTGTCCCGTCACACGGTGAGGAATGACACCCCAGCTGAGCAACAAGTCAAGCAGTGCAATTTGAACTGCACAAGACAAAGGGTGGGCAAACGCAGACTTGGATATCTTGGAGTCCCTCGCCTCACGATTCAGCTCTTCTAGTAGTGACCAATCACTGCCTAGAGATTTGAAGTACGCCCCGGCCGCTTCCAATGATTGTCTGAAAACTGGGTAGATAAGCAGCTGTTGGCCCATCCGTGGATATTGAGCTCCTTGACCGGTGAAAACAAAACCGATTCGCAAGGACGACCGGGACTTGATCGCGTTTGAGGGCAACTGGGGAAGCTTGACTTGGAGCTCGTCTACAGAGCTGCACAAGGCATAACTCTTCCAAGGAAGTCGAGATCTTTTTTCGGACAGGCTAAATGCTAGATCGTTCAGCGCTTGCTCGGTGGAAGACTTGAAGTCCGAAAGTCGCGATGAAACGTAGTTGTTGGTGTGTATAACAACTTTCTCCAATCTCTCCTGATCAAAGGCCGAGAAGACGAATATCATTGGGGCTTCAGTGGCTTCAAGAGACAGTCCATTAACGCCGTGCACTCCTTTAGCCCCGTGAACACGATGAGAGAGTTTGACTCCGTTGGTGCTGTGGACTCCGTTGGTGCTGTGGACTCCGTTGGTGCTGTGGACTCCGTTGGTGCTGTGGACTCCGTTGGTGCTGTGGACTCTGTTGGTGCTGTGGACTCCGTTGGTGCTGTGGACTCCGTTGGTGGTTTTGACACCGTTTGAGCTGGTAGTGCCATGCGAACCGTTGACGCCATTCGCATGATTCACACCATTCGTGCCTTTAACGCCGTTAATTCCAGCACCTTTGGTCTGGGGTTCAGAAGGTTCAGAGCTGGAAACCTTGATTTCATTCTCATAGCGCTTGAAAACATGGGCGAGCAGGGTCTCGATGTCCTCTTCCGAAGGGACCGATTCGCTAGTTCGATGCCGAGCAATTAACCGATTCTGCCTCAGATAATGGTACGCATCATCCAAAATACAATGAGCATTTGTGCCGCTGATTCCGTATGCACTGATAGAAGATCTGCGGATGCCTGACGTCGGCCACGGAATGCAGCTCGTTGGGAATCGAAGATTCCAGGCGTTATCCAGTTTTGGATTGATCTCTTCCAGTGTCGCATTTGGGGGAATGATGCCAGATTCCAGGATAAGAACTGACTTGATGATACTAGCAATGCCAGCACCCCCTTCAAGATGTCCAAGGTTGGGCTTGACAGCACCAACGTAGAATGGTGAGTCTCGATGCCGAGTTTCAAATGCAGCCGCAATGGCAGTGCATTCGATCAAGTCTCCAGCTTGTGTTCCAGTTCCATGGCTTTCAGAATATACTGTGTCTTTAAGATTTAGACCCGCAGCCATGTAGGTTTTGCGAATCAGTGACTCCTGTGCAGTTGCACTTGGATATGTCATCCCAGGAGTGCGGCCATCATGTCCGAGGCCAGTGCCACGAACGAGTGCTCGGATTGTGTCACCATCACGAATCGCAGCAGATAACGGTTTGAGAATGATCGTCCCGACACCTTCTCCAAGGCCGTAACCTTCGGCTCGAGAATCGAATGCCATTGACTTGCCCTCTGGCCCTAAAAGCCCGGAATGGGACATCTTCATCAAATGAGCAGGGTATCCTATGACGCTCACACCACTCACAATGGCCTTTGCTCATAATATAACTTGTCAACCAAGATTCATTATCTCTGTCAATTCTGGAAATCACTTACCATTTCACTTTCTTTCGCAAGAAGACTCTGCCTGGCGAGGTGAAGAGCCACAAGACTGCTCGAGCAAGCAGTATCGACTGTCAAACTAGCTCCTTGCAAGTTGTAGAACCAGCTGACTCTGCCTGAAATCATTGAGCTTTCAGCTCCAGTTGGTTTATGTTTGAAAGAAAGTTCTAAGTCGCTATTGAGACGATCTGCATGATGGTAGTTGAAACCATTGACGAAGACAGACGTATTCGAAGAGATGACATCTTCCATTGGAAGACCGGCTATGTAGAAGATTAGCATTCCTGTTGTGAATATGAAATGTTCCAATCTCACCATTCTCCAGTGCGTGGTACACATTTTCCATCAAAATTCGTTGTTGGGGATCAAGACTTTGCACTTCAGTCTTGCTCATTTTAAAGAAAGCAGCATCAAATCCATTTGGGCTCTCTGCAAGAAAGCATGCACCTTTGGCATAGAACTTGGAAGATATCAGCCACGATCATGATTGCGTTGCTACATCACGTACTGTTCCCCCATGATCGGGGTCTGGGTGGTAGAATGCTTTTGAGCTGAGTCTATCCTCTGGTATGGGCCGAGTTGCTTGACGTGCTCTCAGGAGAAAGTGCCAAAAGGCCTCCGCATCAGTGGCCTCATCAGCGGCACGCATGGCCAGGCCAATGATGGCTATTGGTTCTTTCTCTTCGGCCCCATGACAGGCAACGCGCTCTGAATGGCCGTCTGTCTCTCCGTTGAGGTATGGAGTCATTTTTTCGATGAAGAAAGGAGGTCTCTGAGAAGTGTGAAATTGCGTGCTGTCTTATTCTCGATTTTAGGAGTCAAATATTGTCCTGATATACAAATGGCAGTCCTTGGCCCAGAGACAATGCTAGTTATAAGTGAGATCCACACACAGCAACGTGCGGGCTACCGCCCCGCCATATTCCCGTGTAGCCTGCTGAGTATTCGAAACATGTGGCAATCCAACCTCTGGACTAGGCTTGCTTTTGGTACCTTCCTAGATGCCATCTGCACGGCAAGCATATCCATAAAATGTTGAATTGAACAAATTCGGTACTCGAGATCGACCGCAGGCCACCGAAGACTAGTGGGGAACCCAGGTCATGTCTATACACACCGCCATGTAAACCCATACCGCGAATGAAATTTTTTATTTTGGAAATTCTCAGGGATTCCTGGGGAGATGATAGAAGATACAATGAATTGTGCGATGTTGCAGATTGATATTGAAATTAAAGTTTCAGAACAATGGTGTCTACGGGGTACTGTACTGTAATGCATCCGATGTTAGGTACTGTAACGTGAGTACATGGCCCCCCACAGCTGTGTAACTTGGCGGAATATTTGTATTGTTTTAACAAATACATCCTTTGCCTCCTTGAGCTCTAATGCCCCATGCTCTTGCAGCTTGCATAATACAGCTGGATATTCAAACTTAATAACAGCTAGTCTTGTATTTTGCCTTTTCCATACATTGGATTATCTAGGCTCAGGGATCTTCTCCAGGGCGTGCATCCGCGATGCATCTCTTCATTTGGGCCTGCAGAATTCTCCGATTATCCACAGTCCTAAGCCACTCATGTTCCATCCATTGTTGCGTTTCTGCGTTGGCTGGCTGAAGGAGTGACAGGTGAAAATATTTGTTTTCTTGAAATGAAACCATGCGGATCGAAAAGTTTGCCATGATGTGCTGTTCGCGCTCATTATCTCATGATAATCCCGCATACAAAATAGTTACTGCGCGATTGGCTGGACGGAGTGTTGTGGAGTGCTTGATCATAAGTAGGCAGTATCCTAGGTATCTTAGTAATATCTTAAAATGCATAGTTACAATAACTATGTTGATGCCTGGGAGACGCTATGTACATGTTCGCCATACGGTCACAAGTCGAGGCATATACGACTTAAGGATACTCCACTGCAAAAGCTGCGTTTATCTCAAGCAACTATGGTTTCGGTTCGTTTTGTAACTAATTTCAAATCAAACTCAGAAATACAGTGAACGGGCCAAATTCATGTTTTTGAGCCTTGGACAGAATATTCGGGGCGCATAGCTTACGTCTGAACAACAAGCCTGAGGAAGAGAGTCATTCGTAGTCGAGACGAACGTCGCCTTGAACTAATTTCTGTTTATGAATCTCTTGCTCCATGCTATCTCTTCAATCTCAACAATATCTATGGATATGTGTACCGACTATTCTATATGAGAAGGGACAGGTACTGCGGGGATTCGGCAGCATGGCTCCCAAAGTTCCAATACCTGAGCTCATCAAATGTTTGAATATGTCTGAATAAGTAATCAAAGTTTGTTCGAGATCTGCAAAGCCTGGGGCTTGCTCCAACAGTGTTTTATGCTTGATCATCCAGAAAATATGAAGCATAGTCACACAGGGGAATCTCTCTTTCCGTATGACGGGGGAAGGGTAGCAGAGACACTTTGATCTTTAAAGCTGTCGTCGCTTCACTAGACCTCTGAAGTCCTCCACTTTGGCAACATGGTCATTCCATAGCTCCAAATTATCAGGGAGGGTGTTAATGTCATATGAATAGAAGACCAATGCCAAAGCCTTGAGAACCATCAGCGTAGCAAGATGCTTGCCTATACACTCTCTACTTCCCAAACTGAACTATAAACTGAACATTAGTATTCCGTCAATTGCAAATTTTGGAGAAACCTTACCGGTATACTATAGTAGTTGGCTCTTTTTGCCTCATCTGGATCGTCAAGCCACCGCTCAGGTCGAAACTTGCCTGCGTCCGCACCAAAGTATTCCGGGTTGCGAGATGCCACCCAGTAATTGATACCAATCACTTGTCCGGCACGGAATTGATAGCCTGCCAGGGTTGCCCCTCCTTCAGGAACCACGCGAGGGAATGTAACACCGGCCACTGGCCACAGTCTCATGATCTCTTTGAGAACGGCCTGTAGATAGGGCATCTCTGGTATGGCTTCATGGGGTAGGATGCTATGGGAACTAGCATTTGACTTGATCACTCGTGGGTCAATTTCATCTCGCAATCGCTGAAGGACGGCGGGCTCCTGGTACACATGATACATTGCTTGGCACATGAATGAAGGGGTGAGCTCAGTGCCCCCCAAAGCGCCTCCAATTCCGATGCGGACTTCAGTTTTGTCCATCTTCTCGGCTTCCTTCTGTTGAAACCAAGTATCCAAAAAGCAAGCTCCTCTGGTTGAGTCATTGGCCGCCTCCTTTTCTGCGATTTGTTTCTCGGCAAATGAACGAACCTCCTTCTCGCTCATTATGTATGAAGGAACATAGTTCCAGAGAACTCTATGCCACTCTGAAATAATTCCCACCACACTGGCATAGAAAGTGCTGGCTCTCGTAAGCTGGAGAAGTCCATTAATATCGGCGTCATTTTCCACGCAACCGAAACTTTCTCCAAAGATAAGCAATGAGCTGTTGTCCATGCTCCAGAGCTTCAGCCAATGCAGTAGATCGGAAACCTCTCCATAATCAGCAAGCTCGTTCAGCTTCTTGAACAGGATTTCAAGCGACTGATCAATAAGGTATTCCATTTTCACCACCTGAGACATGGAAAATGAGTGTTGAAACTTTCGGCGCAAGTCTCGGTGGTTCTTGTTGTTCCGCATTGATACTAGAGTTTTGCCGCCGGGATTGGTGAAGGAAACATAGAAATCGGACTGAGTGCCAGCTAATCAGCATGGAGTCAACATAGAGTAGGAATCGACTAACCTTTTCAAACAATGTACGAGGCCCGTAAACCTCTCTTGCGACATCCATGTCGGAGATACTAAATTGATTTGGTCCAATCCGCACCACAGGACCTAAAAACTGTAAGACGATATTCATATCAATGAATGGTCGACAAGCCATCTCACCATGCTTTTGATGAAGCCTCGCTATTGTGTCCCGTGAATGGCAGTTGAGCATTTCAATAAGATACCATAGTCGGGTATATCTCGCCCAAAACGGACCAGGGATATCTTTCAAAGGATCTCGATGGTGCTTTATCAGTTTTATAATGCAGAAACTGAATAATAAAACGACACTCAATATGACCAGAGTCAATGTTTCGTTGCCTTCATAAAAACCTTGGGCCGTCATAGTTGCCAACTCCATCGCGGTTAGGTAGTAGTTGATGTGAGAAATGTCTGTGTGCTCAAACACGTTTTATTTATACCACATGGAGAAAGTTACATAATGTGCATTCGGGAACCACATCAGCAGACTAAAAATTATAGCCACTCTGTAACCTTGGATTTGAATCTTCTCTCTGGCGGTCAAAAGACGCCCGCACGGGGCCCGGGCCTCTGGAATCTTGGAGAAGCCACCACCACCAAAATTAAAGAATGCATGTACAATAATTAGCTTGATTTTTCCTCAGCCTGAAACCGATCTTTTACATACTAGTGTAATACTGACAATTGGTATTCACGTTCTGCACCAATGTAAAGGGCTATTTATGCACGGAAATTATCCGTGAGCTAGACGCCATGTCACGCAGCTGCAGGTGGTATAGTCCGCCAGTGGAGACCTGTCTCATGCATCCTCTGCTTCTCCTCTTCTTAAGCTTCGAGCTGTATATTGCCACGTAGCAACTTATTTCCTGGGTCAATAGATGGGCATTTACCCACTCAGGTGCTTTAGGTTTGCAAGTATCCATTGTCCGTTGTTATTACTTGTACTTGGGGGACACGGAATTATCCCAACCCAACGACAATCCTATTAGCTTGCGCATGAATTATCCAGCAGGCTTATTCTCAGTGTTAGAGAGATAAAATGCCATTTCGTGCATGCTATACGGGGTCATGTGCTGTTAATCCTCGAAGGTATTTCCTGTCCTTTTCCCAGACAATTCTGATCTGTAAAAACGGTTCTACTGCAGCAACTTCCACTGAATAATCTTTGTACTTAAGCTTCCCAACCTTGCTTTGGGGGTGATTTGAGTGTTGACTTCTGCAAAGCTTAACATCGACGTAGAGTAAAATCCATTGCCTAAATCTCAATCTAATTTAGTTAGGGAGGTCCGCCGCCCAGTTCAATATGGCATCTACGAGACCATCGACTTCATGCTCACTATTATCGGCATGTATGATCACTCTCACTCGCTCCTTTTCCTTTGCAACAACAGGATATCCGACTTCCAGAGAGAAATAGCCACAGCCAGCAAGTCTATCCTCCAAGCTGTGAGAAAGGCCCACCTTTGTTAACATAGGAATGATGGGCGAAATGAATTCCATATCTTTCCAAGATTCAGCAGCAAGGACTCTCACTCGGCCAGTTTTACAAGCAGCGCCCCAAAGGTGGTGCTCAGTGAGGCAACGATAGAACTGCCGGATGCGAGCCTGCAGCCTTTGCCTTCTCTGTAGGAATTTATTAGAAAGTTAAAAATGCAAGGAACTGTCGAATGACCTACTTCTTCTCCTTCTTCACTGCTGATAACATTGTAGGATGCTTTGACAGTGGCCATGGTGAGGAAGGCTGGACCAGTTGTGAAGATGAAATTACGTGCGTAGTTCACCAGCGTCTCCTTGAACAAGGGAGGACAGAGGACCGCGGCTATAGAAGATCAGTCTTGATATCTTTGTGTTTGGACAGACTATTTGTTGACTCACCCCCAGTAGCATTGATACCTTTCCCAAAGGTATGCAACCGAATAGCGAACTCACTCTCGAGTCCATGGTGACAAATGAACCCGCTTCCCCGAGGGCCCATGATGCCATTTGAGTGAGCCTCGTCTACAACCATAACCGCGTTCTTTAAAGGCAAACACTCTTTGACAACCTGGACAATTTTGGCCGCTGGAGCGATATCACCGTCCATACTGTAAATGGACTCAATTGCAACAAAAACCGTCTTCTCCCCCTTTGCTACTGCGGAGTCATTTTCAAGAAGTTCGAGAAGTACTTTCTTCAATGACTGAGGATCATTGTGGGAGAAAGACTTGATCAGCGAGGCACGGCTAGCACGCATACCAGTGTGAACACTAGCGTGGATCTCACTATCATGGACAATGATATCAGTCGGACGAGGAAGAATGCTGAAAATGGCAACATTGGCATCAAATCCGGAGTTGAATAATAGGCAGGACTCTGCGTTGTGAAAGTCTGCGAGCCACCGCTCAAGTTCGAAGGTGTACTCCGAGCTTCCATCCGCGACTCGGCTGGCAGCAGCACCAACCTTGAAATTGGGGTATCGCGCGATTTCTTCCAAGACCGCTTCACGGTGCACACCTGAATTCAAAGATAGGAAATCATTTGAAATGAAATTAACGCCATTGGCGTAAAACTCAGGAGGGCGAAGGGTCCAAAGTCGGCGTATCTGTCGCCGCTTCTCAATTGCCTCTTCGAGACTTTGTTGGAGGGCCTCAGGGAAAAACACCATATTGAAAATCTTCCGAGGGACAAAAGAAAGGTTAAAGACTTGAAGTTGTCGTTTGATGTCTTATGGCAGGTAAATGAAAGAATTTCTTTCCTCGTACTTATACCCAGACCATATCAGGAACCAGAACCAAACCCACTTATTGTGGAAAGGTATTTTCCGGCCTTCTATGTTTCTTCCAAGTGCTGCAGAACATGCTTTTCCCCGTCTCTTTTGGTCTTTTAATTTTTCGACATTTTCTTCATTTTTATTATATTTTTTGGATTAATGATTTTCGGATTTTTCCCTCTTTCAAAACCGCGAAAGTTGTACCATACATGACGAATCTTGAGTCATGTTGTACCTGTCATCGTGCTAGTACAGTATATTAGTTGACATTCATTCGAGAGGGCATCTCCCACAAAGCTCAGATCTTATCCAGTGCCAGTATTTGACGCCTCCTCCGGAGCCAGATATGAAATAGCGGTGAGTGACGCTAATCTAGACAAGGCGCTAGAAGGTTGACTTTATTTGTGTTACCATCGGCAAACTCCAATTTCGTACTTTGTCTCGCTTATGAACAATCTCTTTCAGACAAGGAGTGGATCTCATTGGTCCCTAAGCTCACTCTATGTACTTCCTAAAATAACCCAATCGTCTCCTGTGTTTTTGATCGAAACATTCAATAACATGCGTACCCCTCCGATGTGGCTAAAATTAGGCCGAGGTGGAACTTGGATCAGACCTGCGTGCGGGGCCAGTAATTGACGAAATTGTAAGTCTGAAAGTTACGATCGTAATTTACATTTCTTGCAAAAATTCGTAACAATCTTGTTTATCTGCACGCTGATCCACTTGCCTGACAGTGATGAGCGGGGTAGCTGTACGGAGTATCCAGCCTAGACTACGCTCATATTTATCCATTCCAAAATTGTAGACAGGCTACCGGTACTCGTAACTACATTTGTCCTTCTACACAGAAAAAAATAGTCCGTCATGTCATGTATCCCACCTCTTCAATCCTCGATATCCCATCCTCTATCACGTCCCCGCTGTTTCCCCAAAGCTTTATCACGTACATACATTCACCATGGGCGACACGGAACAGTTTGAGTTCAGCTTCCGTCCTCAAGATGATTCCACTCTCTCTCAATTGAACGTTGCAAAATGGAAAGCGGTTCTTGCCCACAATCGGGAGGTCGAGTTTGTATGGCTACAGTTCTTGCTTGTCGAGGGGTCTACTCGAATGAGAATGATACCCGTGTCATATTTCTCTAAGATGATAGAGGAAAACCGAAACCTGAGCCTCTCGTCTGCCCATCTTCATCTTCTACGGAATGACCATGTTACCGGGGAAGCAGCCCCTACTGGTACGATGTATCTGGCCCCAGATATCTCTACTGCCTTCGTCCCCGCTCGCGAGAGCTCACGGGTTCAAATTCTTGCAAATATTGTCAATGAAAATCAAATTCCACGACCAGAGTGCCTGCGTTCGAAATTGGTCAATTTATCTGACATTTTGTCTCATTTACACGGCTTTGATATTCTAGTCGGGTATGAAATCGAGGTCATCTTCTTCAAGAACGAAGACAAGGACGGTAAAGATCCCATTTCAAGTCACAAGCTATGTGGCATGATATCTGGTATGCGGCCCATCTTGTCTATGGTGGAATCGATTGTCAGGACATTGAACGAGGAACAAATCTTGCTTGAGCAATATCATGCGGAAATGACACCGGGACAGTGGGAATTTGTGCTCCCTCCTAGATCTCCGCTGGAAGCTGTTGATACTCTGATGAGGGCTCGCGAGATTATCTCCACCATAGCAGATGACCATGGATACCGCGCCACAATGCATCCCCGTCCATTTCCTGAGCATGGTGGCTCAGGAGCGCACTTGCACCTCTCCGTGAACTCCTCGATTTCCTCGGAGCCCGAGCACACGGACCCATTCTTTGCCGGAATTATCAACCATTTTCCATCTTTGATGGCTTTTTGTCTTCCGTTGGATATCTGTTATGAGAGGGTGGCCACTGGAATCTGGAGTGGGGGGAGTACATCAGTTGGGGTTGGGAGAATAAAGAAACACCATTACGACGAGTTGCGAACAATCGATTCGAGCTGAAACTACACTGTGGCATGGCAAACCCATACACTTCTCTTGCCGCTATCCTTGCTGCAGGCATCGATGGTCTGAACAAAGGCCAGCCACTTACTGCAGGGGACTGTCAAACTTCCCCGGCATATATGTCGGAAGAGCAACGGGCCAAGCTCAATATCCGCCCAGTTCCTCGAAATCTGCAGGAAAGTATTGGGTACCTGGTTGAAAATAAAGTGCTTCGGAAGATTCTTGGCGAGGAATACACAGCCACATACATTAGTGTTGCAAGCGAGTGGAATCGGCAGCTAAACGAAATGGATTCCAACAGTCAGCGGAGGATGCTACTAGAGAACTACTAGTCGATGTGGGATCGTTCAAAGTTGATGAATGGGAGTTTGTCACAAATTCTTCACCTTTGGATCCTCAAAATAACCTAAATATCTACACCCATACTTAAATGCGACTTTCACGGTGGCAACAGTAAAACAAGTCATATCGGGTGCAGCCGTGTATGACGATAAACCTTAGAGCATTAACTACTTTCTATACATTTTAATCATAATCTCGAAATTTCCCTGTTAAGGCACATTAGGCTAATAAAAATTTCCCGTCCAGCAAAGTCTCATCTTTAGGTGAGCAAACTCCATACAAAACATCTAATGATTAGAGTGTGTTGAGTAGCCCTTTCATTCCGAAGCGTATCAAATTTTCTCCGATGGGATAGTAGAGTGGGCTCCTGGTTGTGACTCTTGTAACAGCTGCCCGACTCCGCTAGATCATGCAGACTTGACTTCTCTTTGTTTAAGAACAATAAGGAGGGCCAGCAGTAAGGAACCGACCCCAATAGCTTTGTTGAAACATTTTTATCAGTGAACTCACAATCTGACATAAGAGGGTAGAAATTCTCACCTGGGGGTATGTAATAACTCTGTTGGAAGATCAACCGTACAGTTTCTTTCAATGCCGGGGGTACAGAATTCATTGACCGTCGGTGACTCATTATTTGTTTGATCAACTACCAGCATGTCAGAATGTGAGTAACAACGTAACTTCTGGACATGGCATCAATACTGACCTCATTTCGTCCAGATTCATCTCGAAGTGCAAACATGAGACGGTGCTCAATCTCCCTTGAAATCAATGCCTTGGAGAGAGTTATTCCCATCATAAAACCAACCTGCTGTACCAGGTAATAAGTGGTGACAGATGTAGCGGCATTTTGCTCTGGCTTGGAGGCAGACAATGCCACAAATTGAGAAGACAGCGTCATTCCCATACCGAGCCATGCTAGAAATCCATACGAAATCTCCCACATGTGCGGCTGGTATACGGTCCATCGGACCAAGATGAGCAAAAAGCCAAAAATGGATATCGCGAGGCCAATTACCGACCATCGAAGATATATATGAGTGCTATATGTTTGAATTTGATGTTAGTATAAGGCGAAAATTTGGTACATGTCCGATTCAGACGCTACCTTTGTATAAGTTTGCCGGTGACCAGTGCGCTGAATGCAAACCCAAGAGTAACTGGTCCCCAACACATGGCTCCCTCTTCGGCTGAAACTCCTCGAGTATTCACCCAGTAGTCCGAAAACATGGGTGTCATCTGTATGCGTCGAATATCAGGTTAGAAATCGATTCCCATAGGGCCTAATAATAAGCAACGTGATCAGAGGGCACATACAGCATAACTCGCCAGACCAATGAAAAATTGGGCACCATAGTTCAACCCCAGCTTGCTTATACGAAGTAAGCAGAGGGGAAGCAGGGGGTCACGAGTCCAATAGGCTTCGTTAACACAGAATATCACAGAGCATATGATGAAAGTTCCCCCAAGGATGGCCAAAACCATTACCTGGTTTTGCATCCCCTGTGCCTCGGCGAGTTGAACAAAGCAGAGTAAGCAAACGATGGCCGTTATTAGTAAACCGAGCCCCACGATATCGAATGGCTTGGACTTGGACCCGCTTTCTTGGATCTTGGTTTCTTCGATCGTTTCCTCGATGGTTCCATATTTGGGGTCCGTGGTGATGAGCGACCGGGGCTTATCAATGTGAAGCTTGAGCGAGATTATCGCGATACATAACAATGCAAATGGGACGTGGATAATAAATGCCCTAGGGGAGAACGAGAGATAATTCAGTCACCCAGTTTGATGCAGATCAGGAATGCTGAGTCTTACAGTTGCCATCCAATCTGGCTTGTGAGTAGCGCGCCAATGGGAGCGCCACAAGTAATTCCAACTAACGAGACTGTAGTAACATAAGAGCGTAGCATCGCAACTCTGTGGAAGTCATCGATATCTGTTGTCAAACAAATTATTGTCCTCGGTTATACTGGATTCAAACGCTGGGACCAAGAACGGGGCAAGAACTTACTGTTCAAGAGCACGGACACGAGCTCGTTCATGCCTGAACCTCCAAATCCAGTGATGACACGACCAGCGATAGCATAGTTTATCGTGCCAGAAACTCCGCTACAGCTACGTCAGTAAACCATTGGACATAAAAAATGAGGAAGTAAGGACGTACGTCAAGATGCAGCCAGCTGCATACAAGGCTAACGCTAGGAGGACGGCTCCTTTGGGTCCTGTGGACTCACATATTTGTCCATACTTCGCGGTTTAGCCCACTATTCAAGTCTTAGGGAGAATGAACTCACTACTGGCAAACCAACTGTGTATCCAAGATTGTAAGCGGTAATTAGCCATGAGGCGGAACTCGATGCGTTGAGAGCGGACGCGACATCGCTGCCTGTGCTGAGAACAAAAGTTTCATCGGCATTTGCTAAAAAGCATGCTGTATTTTCAACATCTCAGCGGTCGAAAATTTCGTATCCTTCGTCGCACAAAAGCTACTCACCCAGCAAGAGGGCTCCCATCGTCAGTTTCCCGATCGGAAGCTTGTCCGACCCCGCGAGGGCCTCCTCATCTTGTCCTGGTCTGTCGAGAAGTGCCTTTCGCTCCCCGATGGTCATCTTTAACGATGCCACACTTTCAGTCCACACTTTCAGTCCACACTTTCAGTCCACACTTTCAGTTGCAGTTAATAGACAGGACAAAAACAAAAACATATGCAAAGATAAATCTCAGAGGAGGGCTATAGGTCGTTTACTTATCATTTACGCAGGAAGGCAAACTCTATACGATGAACTCATCACTTTTTCAGCTAGATCGAGTTACACTACTGCACAGTTGTGGAGATAATATCTCACTATTGAGTCCTCAGCCAATCATTAGTCAGGTAAGATGTCTGCCAAGCTAAGAGTTCTTGTGTGGCTACAGATTGACGCAGGATTTTCATCCCTTGCCGAATTCAATCAGTTGACCATGCTACCAAAACAACTATGTAGCGAGGTTTCAACTTGCATATTGAACGGCCGCGTAAAATATCTGATCCCAGAACGTGGACGATAGGTATAAACAAAAACGGGCAAGGAGACTTTTGTCACGGCTTGACTTTTGGATTTCGGGTGACGGGAGATCAGAGAAAGGAAGAAGCAAATATGCATAAGTGGGCGAGGTTCAGCCGCTCTAGCTCTGCAAAAGCCCCATGATTGGCTGACAGACCTGAGAGTGTGAAACCGATGGAACTCTTCACAGGCAAGGAAGCTGAAAAGAGTAAGAGACAGTAGCTGATTCACTGTCCGTTCTCCACTTACTCGAGTGTGGCGTCTAGTCTTTTCGTTGCCACCCAATTTACTCCAAGGAAGCGAAGAGCTGATCCAAACCGGCTCACATCAAGAGAACCAAGCGTATTATATGTAGTTGCTTGATAACATACCACAATTTTGAATATTGATATACCCATCTGCTGTAATTACTATTCGAGGAAAATGATAACATCAAGGAGGAATATTCCCTGACTTGCAGCCTGCGCATCAATCAAAGACTTCACGTGGAAGTAAAGAAGGAAGTGCCAATTACTAGGTCCATGCACATACATCTGTAGCCTTGCATTTCTGACATATAATTGCCACATTGCTATTATGTTTTCAAATACCCCAATGGATAGCTAACTGATGTCTGTAGTTCCCCTACGGACACGGTATTCCAAAGACTGATTACAGACCAGGAATCTGATTGGCACTCAGTAGACATATATATGTTCAATCCCCATGGTCCTAATTACTATTATCAGGTTAACCGGACTACCATCCGGCTCGGTCTATTGTTTTCCTTTTGTCTACAAAATTCAGACCTAAAGCCTTACAGAGAAAAAATACATATAAGCATCCATAATTATGTCCTGGGGGTCATCTCAATTCAGGAAGAAGACTGTGAGACCAGTGTGTCTTAACGCAAGCAAAAGAAACACATTCAGAATATCGCCAACGTGCTTCTTATTTGGTAATAGCAGAGCTACTCAACAGATCCCAATAGGATCCTAACTACGACTGAGCCGGCCAATTTTCAACCTTCACCAGAATACAGTACATCTGACTTCCAAGCTCTCTCTTGCTTCTTCATCTTGGTTTTGGCCATCGAGCTCAAACGAACTGTGAATGGCACCACACACAGGAAGCTCGGGAGAGGTGTCTGTAGGATCCTGTGGGGCTCTGAGGGTGGCTTCCGTCTCGTTGTCGAAGAATTGTATAATCAAAACTTCGTCAGGTTGCTGGTTAGAAATGAAGTGCCAATTGTGTCCCTTGCCCTGTGTATCGAGCGGTTCATGCGCGGTATAGGCCCATGTGCGATATTTTCCCGCTTTGTGTTTGTCACCATCCTTAGTTTGACCCTCGGGGGCGGCAGTATCGATGATCTCAGCAAGGCGAGGAGGGATATCTTTGTCGAATGACACGTCATAATATTCCATCGGAGAGTAATCAGATTTGGGGAACGACAGGGTTGGCGCGACAGCAAGAGGGTCTCGAGTGACAGTCTTCAGAGGACGCCAGACTGAGAAAAGTGCAAACCGAGGGATTCCCTCCTCTCCATCAGCCTTCCCCTTATAATGGTCCTTGAGATTGTCCCAGTCGACACCAGAGCGAAGCAACTTGTTCTCTGCCTCGATTACTGGCTCTGCCACTGACACCAAGTCGCGATGCTGCTTTCGAATTTGGCGTCGCGCACCTCGTGGGGTGAAGTCGAGGTGCACTTTAGGAGCAGTGGATACACCAGCGTCGGGCCGACTGCCGTAGATAGGGCAGCAGATTGTTATTTCCTCATCTTCTTTCTTCCCTTCTTCGTCAGAGGGTTCAGGCTCTTCTGCGTATAGGTTGCTTCGGAGAATAGCTCCCGTGGGTATAACTTTCTTGCAGCCAGTGACCTGCTTCAGGAGCTCCTCGACTTCAGGGAAATAGATTGATCTCAACAAGTTTTCATCTTTCCAACTTGAACGGTCATAGGGGGCTGAATTAAGCCGTGACTCCTGACGACGAGCAGTGAAACCGTGCTTCGAAAGTTCGAATGGAGAAGAATCACCGAGGTCCAAGGAAGGGCGGATATCAGTCAATGGCAAGTTGGGTGATGCTTGGAAATTTGTAAGAGCAGGTAGGCTATACGCTCCAGTCCCCGGGGTCGGCTTTGTCCCGCGAGGGAGATAGTTGAATTTCCCGTAGTATTGTGTAGCGATGGAGCCCATTGGTGGCGATTTGAAGTTTTTCAGTATGAGGGGGAACAGTGGGGCAATATGAGAGTCAAATGACTGGGTTGAGCCTGTGCACGCAACAGAGAGAGGCAGGACATATATATACACGTTCTCAGCGTTTTGGAGGACCAAGTCCAGCCTATGACTATCTAGGGACGTGACTTAATGCTGCATACGATCAACGTGGAGCAATATGGTCCGCTAAAATCTCCGAAACCGCATTCAATACATGATAACTAAGTGTACAATACGAAACCATCCCATAACCTTAAGCGTTTGAAAAGAGGGCGGTGCCATGTCCAATATACTAGACAAAGTCCAAAGCTCTTGCATTCAGAACCATCGAATGTGTGCTATATTTCAAGGGAAATGAGGAGACACATAAATGAACCTAGGATGCAAGACAAAGCCAGTGTCAGTCAAGTATCTATGGCCCCCTCCAAGTTTCCAACGAGTATCTAGAGTCACAACGTCTGCTACAGCAAAGATTTCTTTGTCGCTTGTATCTAAATGAAACGCAATTAGTACTCTACAGTAGTCATTATGCTTTCTGCACGAATAATCTCGGAACAACGTAAGAGAAAGTTACCTTCATGCCAGACGTCCAGCTTTTACGGCCTGGAACTGTTTACCAGCTGTAGCTCTTGCTAATGACACCATTTCGGAACGAAACCAGAAGGAGGGGCGCAAATCCTGCCCCGCACAAAACCTAGGCGCATCATGGATTGTCTGTGCTTTGCATTTCGCTAACTTTCCGAGTACCAAGATGTTACACTGCATCTGTGAGAGTGATTTTTCCTCATGTCGCTTATGTCTATCAGATCTACAGATGCAGAATGTATACCTTAGGTACGTGGATCCGGGCTCTGGCCAGGTCGTCTCATTTAACCGAGTCAATTTGCTGCAGGTCCGAAGATCGATACCACTCCGGCCGAAAGAGTACTGGTCGATCGCGAAAGTTACAATTGACTCTACCGTCATGCACGCTAGTCCCGCGTATTGCAATTACCATCAAGCAACAACATATCTGAAAAAAAAACAGTAACGTTCTGCCTAGTTCAAATTATTACAACAATGGATAAATCTATGAAAACACGGCGAATTGAGTTTATTAGCTCGAGACAAACAAGCTTGGGCTTAACTTTGCCGAGTCTAATTAGTTTCAAGGGTCCCCTCGTCTACATTGGGAATTTCTTACACTCGACAATCTCATAGACCCCATTTTGGCATTCTCCAATCGGATCCGTACAAGGGCTCGAACATGCCACCTGAAATTCTGTATATTTGCTATTACATGGATGAATTCACTTAAAACCCGGAATTCTGATCAAAGGTACTAGTACCATGTCATGTAATATACCACTCGCGGTATATTAGCTTGAAAATGAATAATATCAACATGTGGCCAAGCAGCGCTACTATGGCTATCTTGACGCCAGGATATCTGCAAGGGGAACTTCAAACGATACACTTACGGCACGTTGTGCATTACAAAACGCCTATCATACCGTAGCTAATGAACACGTTCGAGAGACACGGGTGCTAAAGCTATTTACCGTGTAATTACAAGACCCAGAAGGATCGGTCCGCTCCGGCCCAGTAGTTCGCAAATGCCAACTCCAACTACCACCGGCTGGAATAAGGTCAACAGTGTATAGTAAGAGCGGCTTTTGTTTTCTTTTCTTTTCTGTTCTTTTCTTATTTTGAAGCATCAGGAGGCTGACCAGGTGGACTGCACGATCTCCAATTATCTTCACATCCCCTTGATTTGACTTCCATAGCCTTTCAAGGAGTACATAATAATGGCTTGATCCTGGACCTTCGCAATTCGTTATATTTTTAACTTGGACTTCTTCCTCATTGACGCATGGGCACTTGTCTCAGCTAGCCACCAAAATTGGCGTCATTCGAGGTCAAAGCTTTGGAAGAACGTACATGGAGGCTACATACTCCGGCGTCGTTGATTGTTTTTCTGCATGGTTTGGCCGCGCGTGGCTTGTCGATAGACTGGGGCGATCGATCCGATCGAGATAAGATCTGCCTCCCACGATCTAGACCCGAACCCCACTATAAAAAACCAAGAAACATACGAGAGCAAAGATGCATTTAGCAGAAATTCTGTTAGGTACATTGAAGACAATGCATTCGTATGCAATACCGTCAATACTATTATCAGGAGTTCGAGGCTACCTCCTACTAATATTCTGTCTCTCTCGCGTAATACTTGAACGGTATCAGGGGCGCACTGTTATTACGCTAACGATACTAGTCGTTTCTTACGATTTAATTACTTACAGTGTGCACCATTCTTCACAGGCCATACCAGTACGATACAAGAAACGATCTTACTCAAGCTATGATGGAGCCTGGGTCAAGGGAAGAGCCTCGGCGCTTGGACAGTGGCAAAATGTCAACGTGCAGGATCCGGAAGACGCATTTGTTTGTACCTCGAGTCACTAAGGTGGCATGGCCATCATAGCTATGATTCGTGCTAGGTGAGCTCACTTCGACCGTGAATTGGATCAGTGCGACTGAGTACTTGACAATGGGTGATAGACCGTTGTCATGGAGCTGTTAGCAAATAGAACTTACGCTAGGGAAAGGGTATTAGGCTCTATAGCTGAAGCAATTTCTTCATCATGTGCTAGGACTGTCGTTTCAAGGGAAAATACTCCTTGACGCCACGCGTCTCACAGTAGTATTCCGATGCCCTCGGACTTTGGTTAGCATCACAGTTTAACTATTTACTTCCTCAAAGATTGATGACTACCATATGCATCCACCAGCTAGCCACTGTTCAAGAGTTACGGCGACCCCGTCGGAAGGATTCTATACGGCAGAACAGTTATCGCCACTCGAAATATATTTTCGAGTACCCCAGATCCACAATCCATTTGTACGGCCATAGTCTGCGACATAAGTAACAGCCACGAACGTATCTAGTTACTAGACTAAGCCTACATGGTATGCTGGAGGAATGATGGAAAGTAGTAGATGTCAAAAAGCGCCCTTCCTTGGAAGCGAAGTGTACAAGACCCCACGGACCCCAAAACGGCAATCCTACGAAGCTCGACATGCTGCAGATCCGATACATCGACCCGACCCGCCTTGGAGGTTATTCACAATTCTCGGAGAATATCTATTTGGTACTACTATAATTCAAGTGTCATTGCGTCCCCGGAGCTGTCTGAGCTCCGGCCTAAAGGGGTGCAGGTTACACGACATTCTCATCAGTATGTCAGGACCCGCTTGTAAATTGCCTTTCTCGGCAGAACCCTGAGAGCCAAGGCCTCTGGGTCAAGATCGATCATTCAGGAAAGTTTGAAACTCCATGTCGTGCAAAGCTCCCCACCGACCCCACACTAGCATACATGTCGCGATCTATTTGGCCCGTGAGACGTTCTGCAGGCCTCGACCCATCGATATGCCTCAACATGTGGGGAACCCTGGTCCTTTAGCGAATATGCAGAATCTCGATTTCTGGCAATGTACCTACTACAACGTCAAAAGTGCAAGTCCAGATCGACCTTTCTATCCACATTGTATTTCGATATTCGTCTTGCTTGCACGTATAATACTGCATCTGCGAAGGAGATGACGCCATTAAGTACACGTGGCCCTGCAGAATGCAAATGCACAAACAACCTCGAATAACATTGAACACATCACCCACGGAGTGCCGGAGACGCGTTTGCTGCATGTCGCATACTCTGTACTTCGCAAAGTACTTCGCATAGATCCATGCGTAAGTAAGTGGCGTGCACGCTGTGGATAACACCATCAACTCGACGGGCGATTCGAAAAGTCATTGAAACGGCATGGAACAAACGTCTAAGAAAGTACTATACAGTAGTAGAACAGCACGTAAATGCCTCAAGTATCGTTACCTTCACGATGACGGGTTTTTTTTTAGCTAATTGTTCTCTTATACGTACAACGCGCTATAGCCGATGCGAAAAGCTACGACGCAGTAAGACTGCTGCTACCTGCATTGCAGGACATTGTGAGGCAATATTCGCAGCTCGGCTCTGCATTGCCCATCACGGTCCGTGCCAAGTGCCATATGCGGCCAGGATGTTCTGATAGTGGTCTCAAATTAGCCTGCCGCTCTTTGAAGAGTTTTGTGTGCAGGTTTGAAGAAAGGGCCGATTTGGAAGCATTGAGGATGATAAATTGAGAGAAAGAATGAAGAAGATCTCAGATGAACAATTCCAAAACTTGCCCTTGGTAGCTTTTGATAATTACTATTATGGCCGGTAGAGATTGGAATCCTATATGCTTATTTAATGGCTATGTCCAGTCTGGGAACGGAAAGAAGAAAGAGGCGCTCGTTGTTTGATCATCCTAAGTCCACCAAAGTCTTTCGTCCCCCAGTAGTCACAATTGTATATGCAAATGGGAAGATAGTTTGCTACATCCATCTTTCTAGCCTTTTCGTCGTTGCTTGACACCACAACTATTAGAAGGGTTGATACTGGGCGCATCGAGGTCTAGAATTTTCTAACACAACTTCGACGCTTTGCAACGAGATTCAAATTCTAAGGTATCTTGTCCATTTATCTAGAGATATGCACTCAAAGCTGCAGTGATGTATAGAGGCACAGAAAGAACCAAAGGTATGCAAAACAAGAACAAAGACTGAGCAGCGAAACCCATCGAGTATCAAAATCCAAAAAGTCAAACGCACCAAAAAAATCAACCACCACCAATAACTCAATGCCCATTCTTAACACCCTCCATCCTCTCCAAATACTCCACCAAATCCTCAATAGTACACACCTTAATCCCCCACTTCTTACCAAACTTCAAACACCCATCACGCCTCATCATCCCATTATTACCCCGGATCTCCGCCACACCCTCAACGGTCTCGCCACCCTCCACCAGCTCCGCAATCACACCGACAGGCGCCTTACCGGCCAGTCTGCAGAAATCAACTGTAGCCTCGGTGTGGCCCTTGCGTTCGCGCACGCCGCCGGCACGCGCCTGCAGCGGGATGATGTGGCCGGGTCGGCGGAAAGAGTCGATCTGCGCGTCTGGGGATGCGAGCGTGCGGCAGGTTAGCGCGCGGTCTTCGGCGGAGATACCGGTCGTCACTGAGTCGTCGCTGGAGTCGATGGTGATGGTGTAGGCGGTGCCTTTGGGGTCTGCGTTTTCGGCGACCATTTGTGGGAGGGCGAGGCGGGTTGCGAGGGGAGGGGGATAGGTGCGCAAATCAATCCACTGGCGAAGAGAACTTGATTAGTATGTTGTTATTGACGGGAGCGCGTTGCTGCTAGAGTCCCGGTGCTGCTATTGCTGTCGTCTCCGAGGGAAAGGGTGTGCTCCACCGGATGCCGGCAGCGGGGTGGAGAACTCACCTTGTGTAGCGCACGAGGAAAGCCATCTGCGCAGCGGTGATAGACTCAGCTGCAATTATAAGATCTCCTTCATTCTCACGATCTTGTGAGTCGAGGACAATGATGAATTCGCCATTCTCTGGAGTGAGTCATCGTCAGTTACGGAGGTCAATGGAAAGCGTCGCAGGTCGCGAGATCGGACCAGAAGTGAATTGGTGGCCTGGGAAGAGCAATTACTCACTGAAAGCAGCAATTGTATCTTCGATCGAGTCGAATTGCTGTGCAACCTCCGTTGTGGAAGGCATCTTGAAGTAGAGGGAGGGGTTGTGAAGCGGTTGCCGTTATTTTTGCCCCTCAGTGCGCAATTGCGGGAGTCGGAATGGAGATGGAGGGGAATTGAAGGGATTGAAGGCAATTGAGAGACTCTGAACAGACAAAGGGTGAGAATGAGTATGTGCGACTTCAGAAGAGAAGGAGTAGATTGTTCCAGAAAAGTTGCCTCCCGTAATCGCTGACGGGGTATTAGAAATGCCCGTGATGCCGGGACCCACGCGGGGAGCCGGGCGGTGAGTCGGTTTGGGTGCCGAGGATATAATTCGGCGTTTTCCTGATCAGCTGGTCCTACGGATTTAGGCATACTACCCTTTTGGGGTATGACTAGGAGTACTGAGTTCGGACTTTTTACGGACATTGACAGATACGTCTAATCCCTATCGTGTTTAGACAACTATAGTGCCATTCCAATACACACAGCAGTGTCATGCGATATATGTTCCGCTTAAATTCCGAACAAAAAACCCTCATGTCTAGAAAGCCGCTCGAACGAGAAAAGTCACGCGAGAGAATGCCAAGATTATAGAAAGAAAGGAAAAAAAAAGAATGACCGCTCGATATGAAAGCGCTCGATATGAAAGTTCAAACGCGAAAGCATACGCCATAACGGACACCCTATCAGCTCATGCTATCCGTCCCCATCCATCGGACTTCATCGGCCTGCCGCTCAAGTGCCCGACGCATCATATCTTCATACCGTTGCTCCTTTTCCCACTCATCACGATGCTTTTGTCTCATCGCAGCGCGAGTTTCTTCATCAACTTCAGCCTGCATGAACCATTCATCCCCATCTTCCTCTAAAACACCATCGAGGTCGGCGGGTATGGAGAACTTGATACGGCCAATGCGCTCGCCAGTCCAAACTAGCAGCTCGTCACCGGTCAAGTTCCCACCCGTAGGAAGAATCTTGCGGGCCACTTCACTGCTATTGTTTTCCGCACTTAACTGCGACCATAGGCCGCGGGGGGCAGACTCGTCGTCTGGCTGTGTTGGTGATTGTATTGGTGTGAGACTGGATCGCGAGAATGGGATTTGAGGTTGCGAGGTGTTGATATTCCAGCGGCGGACCTCTGACCGACCATTGCGTTCGACCCATTTGATATTCCCCTCGGAGTCAGAGTAAACGAGACGATTTCCATGTGATGCGACCGAGAGCAGTTTGGAACTCGCTGCGCTTTGTCGATTCTTATATTCGGGCGTTAATTGCGACGTCATCTTGGACGGGTTGTCGTTGAACTCTTGTGACGATGACTTCAGACTGTACAATTCTAGCGAGCCACGACCGTTATACTCACCACAAGCGACCACAGCGTGAGACTGGGGGTAAGTCGAGTCTGAAAAAACCGGAAATCGAGGCGCAGGAGCCGAGGCAAGGCCACATAGCCGGCCCCCAGAATGTACGGTACTTTGCAGCCGGGGAAAGAAGCGTCGGTCATAGCAGAGAATGCTAGGGAATCGGCCCGCGAGAAGGATAGAGTTCACATGAGGAGCGGGAGGGTGTAGAATGGAGAGTGGGCCGGGCTGGAAGAGAGGTGCGTAGTTCTCCCTAGCCGTAGGGTCAGGGCTGCGGATGCGAGTGGGAGGCTGCCCGTTTGGTTGCAATTGCAGTAATGGCGAGTCTGGATGGGCAAAAATGTCCAGCTCAGGCACCAAGGGTGCCATGTTCTTCTCACACCGTAAGCTGATGGCTTCTTCCTCTTCTGTTGCAGATAGCCGGGCATCATGAATCTGTAAACTGAGCGTGGTCGCAAGTGTTATTGGCACTGAGTAATCGGTCTCTTGCGAAAGTGCAAAGATCGACCAAGGGTATCGCTGTTGCGAGATAATCTTGAGTGTCTCTAGATCAACTTCGTTCAAAACATTGCCAACAGCGAGGTATGCTCTCCGTCGAAATGAGTCCACAGAGACAGCCTCGCCGAGATTGATAAACTCCAATGCAGACTTGGAAGGCGAGACCTCCCTACGCCTAGACATATTGGTCATGAGAGCACCTGGCTCACTCATCCCAAGTATTTTGCCTTTTGTTGACTGCGAATCGGAACGGTGGGAGTGATTGAGGTCCCAAATGCAGACTGTGCCGTCGTCTAGAGGAGCCACGATCTTGTTCTCCCGCGCAGAGCTCCAATCTTTCAACAGTCCCATGCCCTTGATTTCGTACGGTTGTTTCCTCCGACCGGGGCCATTTGATCGCATAGGCTGCTGCACCCAGGAAAGTGACATAGGTCCATGACGAGCAATGTATTCCGAATACCAGTCAACATGTTCTCCCTCCGCCGAAGAGTCCCAATCTGCAGCCGCCCTTGCAATGTCGCTCGGGGAATATCTTCGTTCTTCATCCAGCGGGGCTTCCCCCGACTGCGGAGCCGGAGGTTGAATCAAATCACGCAATGAGTTCTGCCCTAACGTACTCAACGACGCAGTCGGGTTCGACAACAAACTTTCCGAGGTCCGGCCAGCCGGACGGGTGGCTTGCAGCGCAGCCCATGACTGCTCATAGCAGTGCAATTTCCAAAGGTTATTGTCGCGGGCAAGATCGAAGAATTTCTTGCAAACCAATTGTAGCTTGACCTTCTCGCGCGGCGTGAGATCTGGGGTATAGAGGGAGATATCAGCGCTGGGCGTTCTTTTGCTTCTTTGTGGAGGAGTAGACCAAGTGGTGCGGGGAACACGCGGGAGGGGAGGAGGGGTTTGCGGCGGCTCTTACGGTCGATGATTTTGGTAAGGATTTCTACCGGCAACTTGTCCATGAGGGAGGCAAGGATGGCTGCTGCATCGGGGGCAGGTGGAGGGAGTAGGAGACTAAGGATCAAAAGTTCCAAGGGTGAGCTTTGCAATGTTGCGCTTCGGAAAAAGTTCAGGCTTCCTCGAGCTGGCGATCTGCGCTGACTTTGTCACGTGGCTTAGGGCAGAATAGTAGATCGTTGTTGTTTACGTTGGAGGTTCTTGATAATCCGAGATTTCGTATGATTTCAACTCTTGCTGTCAAGTCATACAGGACTATAGCTCTCTAATAACGGTTCTCTGGAGCGTTGGTTTCGATCTAGAGTGTCTGGGGCCAATTTACATGAAGCAACCCCACCGGACATTTGTTCCGACACACGAGCTAAACCATATTTCAATGTATTTAAGAACCATGGAGGGTGTCTATGCATTATGCTATATAAAGAGTATGGAGCAGCAGGTCATGGTTGGAATCATCCACCGTCAAACGCCGACTCACCCCATCGTAAATCGTAGATCCAAAAGCAACATAAAAGGGAGATAAAAAAGCATAAAAGAACGTCTAACATATTTCGAGCGACGCCTCTATTCGTCCGGCTTGAAAACAGCGTCCTTACAGAGGATAGCCACTTTCTTGAAGAACCGACGCCACTCTAAGGGATCACCCTTGATTTTCACAAACTCGACTTCAAAGAGGCCCTCGGAGACACACTCGATGTGAACCTTGCCTTGGAGTGAACACATTCTACCGTCTTTGGCAATCACCCGAATCATGGCAGAGGTATCTCCAGAGGTGACGGCAGGGACTGAAGGAACTGGTACTCCGAGTCGGTGAAGAGCTTCACAGATCAACGGGACCAATAATTTCAACTCCCATGCAGAATAGAAACGCGTCAGTGAGCGAGGTGGAATGATATCTTGGAATACCTTGGCATTCTGAGTCCGACTCAAGGGCACAGAAGGCCTCTGAGAGAATTGGGACATGGAAGGCTCGTCTTCCAGATGGGCCGACATCTCGGCTTCTTGGGACGAAAATGGCTTGTCTGCGGGCTGTGTAGAGTAGTACTCCCCAGCCAGGTGTGGAGTGTGCCAATCCATGACCATGTTACCACCTGCCATCTCTGGTTGGGTGGAAGACATGCCTCCGGATGCATTGACTCCTTGGTCGTGCATATCCACATCCATGGGGTCACTCCGGCTGGCCCCCGGCCGTTTCTGAGATAGAGGATCTTGGCTCAAGTCGATGTGGAGAGATTCGAACATTGAAGTGGCAAGATTGACAGGATCCTTTAATTTTGTCCCGTCGCGTGATAGGTATTTGTTCGATCGAGTATACCAGGGGTGTCTTCTCACATCTTCCAGCGAGAAGCGACACTTGGGATCGACCGTCAACATACCGCGGAGTAGGGATAAAGTGGCAGAGGGCAGCTTCTGCCATAGCTCGTCAGTGGGTCGTGCATTCGTCGTAAGGTATTCGTGGAATTCGTAACTATCGTCCGTTGGACTGTCCCATGGGGTATTACCGGCAAGAAGGACAAAGAGGACAATGCCGCATGACCAAATATCGACCAAATCCGGATGGTATCCTGATCCCTTGTTCTGACCCCGAGTACTGCAGGTAATGACCTCGGGAGCAATATAAGGTGGACTCCCACAAAACGTGGTTGAGAGCTTCCTCGTGCCCTTGTACTCGAACAGCGCTGCCAGACCAAAGTCGGCAATCTTCAGATTTCCATCACTGGTCAAGAGCATGTTCTCCGGCTTGATGTCCCGATGACCCACACCCTTGGAGTGCATGAAGCTCACCGCACTGATCAATTGTGAGAAGTAGACGTGAGCAATATCCTCTCCTACACCCTCATCCGCCTCGATCTTGTCGAACAGATCCCCACCCTCGGCCAATTCCATTGCGATCCATCGCCAAATCTCATCCTCACCAGTTTGGTAAAAACTGATGATGTTGTTGTGGCCTGTGACGTGTCGGTGTACCGTTACCTCGAGCGAAAGTTGCCTTGCACTGATCTTGCCATGGCGCGCGGCGTAGTCCTTGTGGATGTACTTCACAGCGAAGATGGGATTATCGGCGTCGAGAGGGGCGGCCTTTTTAATACTGCAGATTCATTCACAGCGCGTTAGGATCTCTCCTCCCATTGGACATAGAGATGTAAAACTCACCAAGCATACGCGCCCTGGCCGATTGTTTTGGAGACAATGCGAAAGGGCACATTGGTGGGCAGCGGAGCCAGCTGGGAGTGCTGCATTGTGGGAGGAAGGAAAGTGATCGAGGCGCGTCAAGGACCAAGGTTAGGATGATAAGCGCTATGAGTGGATATATTCCATTGCGCGATGTGAAACGAGTGATGGGCGATGGGCGAGGATGCAAGGTGGAGGGCGAGTAAGATGCGGCTGCAAGGGCCAAAGTGCGACGCGGGACGAGACGCGGGCCACTTTATCCCTTTTGGGTAGTCTGTTGACAGTGGGTTGGTTATTATGGGAGAGCAGATAATGCAATGGTAGAATACACTTGGACAGGAAGGATGTAGTAGAATAAGAGACAAGATACTTTCTCAGAACTCAGTATTAGCTACAATCTATGCCTGATGATCTATGAAACTACAGAACTATAGTAGTTCATGCTGGTCGACCCGCATGTTCCCCCTCCTTCGCACTAAAGTCTTCTCTCCGCTTCGGTCTGTGCTCGTGACCGTTTGATCTATTTATATTCTGTCTCCTACATTTTGTACATTATAATTGATACTTTATACTAAAATACTTCCTATAATATCCTGGTAAACCGGTAACTTATTACTCCTTCATCAAATAATCCCAACTCGGGAGTGTTCAATATCGTCCGCAGCATAAGCGGGGGCCATCTCGCGTTGCCGGGGGGCGGCGAGTAAACAAAACCAACCAAAAATCCAGCCGGCGCTTAGCCTCTTCTCTCTTCCTCTTTTCTTTGTTTGCTCTCATCATCATCCCCATTCTCACCTTCGCATCCCATCCCCTTAGCACTACTCCTTTCTTCTATTGTTCCGTCTCCTCTTCCACCTCACCTCTCTCCTCATCGCTTTTGGTCGTGGTGGGTCCACTGTTCGGATCCGTCGTCATTCCAGACAGCAACCCTCGTGCTACAGTTACTAGCATTCCACGGACGGCCCGGGAACCTGCAGCCTTCCAGATCACTTCTTTGTCGGACCCTCAGGCCCTCTCTCCCTATCTTCACTATGGACTACACGATGGAGGACACTCAGAACTCGGCGCCCGAGACCCTGGAAGCTACCAAGCTGAGTGGCGCCGGACAGCGCGGTGACACCCAGAGCGTCACCAAGCGGTTCGTACTCCCGCCCGTGCAAGGACGGTTCGATTAACATGGCCATGTGCTAACTCTCCCTCTTTCGTCGAATAGCCTACAAGCTGAGCTGATGCAGCTCATGATCTCGCCCTCGCCCGGTATCTCCGCCTTCCCCGACGCCGACGGCAACCTCCTCTCATGGACGGCGACCATCACCGGTCCCACGGAGACTCCCTACGAAGGCTTGACGCTGAAGCTTTCCTTTGCCTTCCCTAACAACTACCCCTACTCTCCGCCAACCGTCCTCTTCAAGACCCCCATCTACCACCCAAACGTCGACTTCTCTGGCCGGATCTGCCTGGATATCCTGAAGGACAAGTGGAGCGCCGTGTACAATGTCCAGAGCGTGCTTCTGAGCTTGCAAAGTCTCCTGGGTGAACCCAACAAGTAAGCCGGCCTTGCCCCAATTGCCAGGGGTATTCATCCGTGAAGTTCTAGTTGCTGACAAAAGATACTAGTGCGAGCCCTCTAAACGCCCAAGCCGCCGAGCTCTGGGACTCGGACCAAGCAGAGTTCAAGAAGCACGTCCTGGCCCGCCACCGTGACCTCGACGATGAGTAGATACTCCCCCTCTTGCATGGTTTAGGGTTCCATACTGGCGTCGGGCGGTCCCGTGGATGTTTCCCTAGGCCCGGTGGTGTCATTTCGGACAGACATAAGGCGTGATGCACATGCATAATGGCCCATTATAAACGGGCTTGGAGTTATCGGTTCTCATTGTTTAGGGGCGCTCATTTTCTGTCTCTGGTTTATTCTTATGGCACGCATTAAAGTACAGGCGTGTTGCTCTGAGTTTTGCTTCCGAGGGTGTTTTGCGTGATACTTTCCTTGTGGAATTTTGTAACGAGGTAATTCATCGATCATATAGATGTCTCGCAATCTCTGGGCTCTCCGATGTAGAGCGGTAAGGCAATGGCCTGTCCGAAAAGGGGTTTGGATATTCCGTGATCAAGGAAGAAGGGCTTTCACTTCGTAGCCTTGGTAAAGACTCGTGATATTAACTCAAAAATTTAACTATCATATCATGATATATCTCAAACATATACCTCGCCTCCCTCAATTACGAGGCCGAGCTGAAATACTGCTTCTCATCCGTAATGAGCAGACCTGCAATCGTCGCACTGGTGAAAGTACTAATCGCACCCGTGAGCATAGCACTGACGGCAACCCGGGACACATCACCACTCCGACCGGGCGAGATCTGCGACAAGACACCAATCTGGTTACCCAGCGAGCCGATGTTGGCAAATCCACAGAGGGCGTAGGTAGCGATCAGGCGCGAGCGATCCGAGAGGTCTGCGTAGGTATTGTCATTTTGGAGGGAGTTGTAGGCGACGAATTCGTTCTGTGGGAGTCAGTCAGGGTCAGCAAGTGAAGAAGCAAGAAGCAAAACAGATATGGAACTATATGGCTTTGGAGCGGGATGTGTAAAAACCTACCGAGACCAGTTTGATACCAATCAGTTGGCCGACCTTGAGCAAATCCCCGTCCCGCGAAACACCCAGCAGGAACGCAATCGGGTAACAAATGTATCCGAGGATGAGCTCCAGGGTCAACTCGGGATCGTTGATACCCAAGTAATGACCCCACCAAGTGAGAAGACCGTTGATAAGGCCGATCAACGAGATAATACACAACAACGTCGAGGCAATCATCGCCGCAATCTTAAGACCCAACCAAGCGCCATTGGCGAACGCGTGGAGCGCATTAGCAGCGCGGTGTTCGTCGTTATCAGGAATAACGACCCGACCAGCGGTAAGACTTTCTTCCTCCTCGGGCCAACGCAGTTTCGAGCACGCCAGTGACGCGGGGATACTCATGACACACGAGGACACCAATGCCTGCGCGTTCAGGCCCATCGAGATATACGCGATCAACACGCTACCGGCGATAGTCGCGAAACCGGAGCACATGACTTGGTGCAGTTCGGCCATGGTCAGATGCGCGATGAACGGCCTGATCAGCATAGCGGACTCGCCTTGTCCGATGAAGGGGGACGCAGCAGCGACGACGGCCTCAGCGCCGGAGACGCGCATGCACCAGAAGAAGAAGACGGCGAACTTGCCGATGAACCACTGCAGGATGCTTGTGTAATAGAGCAACTGCACGAACGAGACGAAGAAGATAATAGCCGGGATAACGCTGATCAAGAACCAATTCGCCGGCTGGATCGGGGTGGTCAAATCGTAGAAGTCCTCCGACGTCAGGAATACGAAGCCGTCCTTCGCGAAACCGAGAAGGTCCCGAGCGAGCAGGGAGACGAAATTGAAAATGTCGTATCCAGCCCCGGATCGCAGGACGAACAGCGCAATGATGAATTGCACCAGCATTCCCACGATGACGGTGTGCCAGACGATCTTCTTGCGGTTGCGGGATGTCAACCACAGCACGAAGATGAAGACGATCAAGCCGAAGAGACTGACGGCGCGGTTTGCGCGCGTGTTATCGGCTGATTCGGGCGAGGCGAATGATCCGATTAGGATTACGCTGACGCAGACCAGAGCGCCGAGGGGAGTGCGGAATTTTTCGGGGATGGCGTTGACAATAGGCGTGGCGGTTTTATTCCAGACAAAGTACATCGGCCGGGTGACGATCGAGATGGGGATGTAGAAGAAGATTAGGCGGAGGGTGATGGCCAGGTATAGCAGGAATGGGATTAACCAGCCCAGGTCCCGGTGCAAGACGAGGCCGGTGATCCACCAGCTAGGAAAGACGGCGTAAGTTCTCTGGGAAATTTGGGCGGAGAGATTTGACATGGAGGTTCTCAAATTGTGGTACTCACCCGGTGAACAAGATCCAGATAGCAGCATGGAAAGCAGGTCTCCAGTGCTTCATCGCGCGTCGGTGCCATGGACGAGGAGCAGGGTTATTCTCGCCTGTCTCTTCATCCTTTGAACCCTGGCTATGTATCTGACTACCATGATCGAGGGGCGATGGTTCAGGCACGATACCCTTCTCGAAAGCTGTGTCTTTGGCAAAGACTACTTCATCCTCGCGTCCTTGCTCTGCAAAGGCAGTATGGTGATGATGCTCATGGTGGTGCTGGTGCTCCGACTGCAGCGCGGGATCTCGATGATGCTCGGTCGTGTCTACCGAGACATTGTTGACCTCGGACGACTTCTCGGCCATGGTGTTCTGGAAAGGGAGGTTGAACTTTCCTTTTCCAATACTACGTGGTGATCGAGTCTTGTTGAAGATACTCTAGAAATCAACCCCACGTGGAGCAATCCCTCTCTTTGCGCGTAGACAAGCTTAAACCCGCGACTAGGCGAAGATTGCAAGGAACTGAAAGAGGGCCGTGGAGAAGCAGATCAATTGTGTAACCTCGCAGGCGGAGAGCCAATTTATCACCACCGATGCAGGGCACGTTCAAGGAATCAGGTTATCAACGAGCCGAGAGAATTCGCATTGTGGCTGGCCTGGGTCATTTGCATTCCAGGCGTACCATTGGGGGGACGAGTCTGCGTTTATCAACGGCGCTGGCATCGGGACCTTTTTTTTTACTTAATTTTATTTTTTTTCTTTCTTTTCTTTCTTTTCTTTCTGTGCGGGGAAACAACCTAATGCGAGATAAGTGAAGCAGTGGAAGGGAGTGTGGAGTATCCCTTCGGGCCATATCCCAAGATTGGCGACTAGCGGGTTTCCCATGTCTCTTGGCGATTCTTTTGTCTATCACTGGATTCACTGGTGATTCGTGAACAGACTTTTTCTTTCCATTCGACGTAGAAAGGCGGACTCGCCGACGGACCACCCGTCTCACTCGGGCCACTAGAAAGACTGGAAAGAGGGGGCTGCATGTAACCTTTGCACATCGCAGCAGATTTGCGGATTGCGGGCAAATTAGCCCAGCGCTATGGGCTAAACATCCAGCCGCCGCTATCTTTCGGCGACCGAGACCACCTTCCTGGTTTTGCTTGCTATCTTTGCCATGGTTGCCACCGGTTGTGCGATGTGGTTGGAGGGAAGATCCTCGAGCTGAGAAAGGTGGAAACTCCTCAACGGCAAGTGGAGAAGGACAAAACGCCCGTGGTGGTTTTTGGGTTTTTTGAGTTTGGTGGGTTTGGCTGGTTCAGGAGGTCGTGTGCCCTACGAGAGTAGTACTACTGTACTACAGTACTACTCTCTTTTTTGACTTTCGCCATCAAGTCTGGGGAAATAGTCGTGTGGGACATTCTGCATGATCAACAGAAGGAATAACGATCTCTGGTAAAAGGGGGCTGCGGAGTATATTCGCACCATCTCCAACTTCTGGAAAATCACTCGACTACTCTATCCAGCTCGACTGGCCTCCCACTGGCGAACCTAATTAACTAGACTCCACCCCTTGGGCCCCCCCCTTGGCATTCCTACCACCCGTGCTAACGAGCGAATTCGAAACTCTCAGATAGGCGTCCTAGCCAAGAGTAAGATTATTTCTCGAACTCTGAACTCTCAAGTCTTGGCCTTGCGTCTCTATACTACCCTGGCTTGATATGTGATCCCTGTCCACCAACAGTAATAGGCGATCTCCGCCACCCCGGTCCGTAGATCTTGGCGTTACAATTCGCGAAGCAAGTGCTTATGGGAATAACTAACTTAAAGGCTGTCACGGGACGATTAGATGTTATCTGGGGCCGAAAAAGCCGCACGTGCTAGGTGGTTAGACACGGGATTAGCTAGGTAGCTCCAGGCTAGGGGACTAGTGCGTTGTCCAGTTGACAGATAACCTATCGATCTATCTATCTGCGGTCGAGTTTACCCGCTTGGAGTATACGGGGGAAGAGATTAGGCCTTCTAGGGTGAGATTCGGAATGGGTTATTGAAGCAGAAAAAGCTTGTCGTGCATGAAATACGACAAACTAATCTTTTGTGAAACATTGACTTCGAGAATGTGCATAATTCAAACATAAGCTTCGTTGACTATCCTATGTACAGTATATTGTGTTGCGCGTTTAGCATCGGGATTCTTGGACCATGGCCGGAAGCGGTATGCGGGGGATTTGCCCCTCACGGGCCCAACTTGGCTGTCCCTTGGGACTCGGCCAACACTCACGGTTCAACCACGATCTACCAAGATCTTCCACGATCGAGCAGATCTAGCTCATCAACAGACAAAAATTGAAAAATGGGAGGTGAAAATACCCACTGGGAGCTGGAGGAAGGTCTTCCTCAGTTTGAGGATCCTTTCATCCAGCAGTACTTGAAGGGTCGTGACGCGTTAATCGCCGAGGAACAAAAGAGGCGCCATGGTAAGGAAGCATAGATTGCAGGAGACGTAAACATGTCTATATCATCAATATGATATCTAACGCTACATAGATGCTACTTATCGCAAGTCCATGTCCCCGATTGCCGCCCGCGCTTGCAAAATCGTCTCCCAGATTCGGGCCCGCGAGCAGAACGAGGTGTGGACTACTGGCCTGGACGCCGAGACAGCACACCAGGCCGATGAGATCCTCTACCCGGGTGTAATGTTCCACCATGCAAAGGGCCGCATGGAAAAGACCAATCTGTGGAAGATTGTTGAGAAAATGCCCAAAGGATCACTCTTGCATGCTCACATGGATGCAATGTTCGATATCGACTTCCTAATCGATCAAGCCTTTTCTACACCTGGTATTCATATTTTGGCTCCAAATCCACTTATTTCACCCCGGGATTTTGAAAAGGCGCCCGTGTTCTTCCAATTCTCGTCGCAGTCGACTGCAGAGAGCGAGAAGAAGACGAATATCTGGGCCGAGGGGTATGAGCCCTCATCGTTGATCCCAATCCAGACAGCTGCCTCCTCCTTCCCTAATGGCGGCGAGACTGGATTCCGTGAATGGCTTCGCAGTCGGTGTATGCTTATGCCCGAGCATTCATACCACCATCATCATGGTGTCGATGCGATCTGGGCAATCTTCACTACGACTTTCCCCGTCATCAACTCGATTCTCATGTACGAGCCAATCTTCCGAGCATGCTTCCGCCGAATGCTGGGCCAATTAGCTGCCGATGGCATTCGCTATGTGGAACTCCGTATTGCATTCGTCTTTGCGTGGAGGAAAGAGGGCAAGGACCAGCCGGAAGACGGTTATGATGACTGGTGCCGAACCGTTGAAGAAGAGGTTGAACGGTTCAAGCAGACGGAGGAAGGCAAGTCATTCTACGACGCGCGCATTATCTGGACTACGATTCGGCGATTCGGCAATAAAGAGATCGTCGAGACTATGAAGCAGTGCATTGAGACCAAGCACGCCTTTCCCGATCTCATTTGTGGCTTTGATCTAGTCGGACAGGAAGATCTGGGAAGACCACTCAAGGATCTGGTACCAGTTCTGTTCTGGTTCCGGAAACGCTGTGCGGAGGAAGGTGTCGATATTCCTTTCTTCTTCCATGCCGGTGAATGTCTAGGCGACGGTGACGAGACCGATCACAATCTCTTCGATGCCATTCTACTGGGGACCCGGAGAATCGGCCACGGCTTCTCCCTCTATAAACACCCGCTTCTGATTGACTTGGTCAAGGAGAAGAAAATCATGATCGAATGCTGTCCCATATCGAACGAGATCCTCCGCCTTGCAAGTTCCATTAAGAGCCACCCATTGCCAGCGTTATTGTCCCGCGGTGTCCCCGTCTCGTTGTGCAACGATGATCCAGCCATTCTCGGCCACGGGAAGAACGGGCTCACCCATGATTTCTGGCAAGCGCTTCAGGGTCTGCAAAATATTGACTTGGCCGGTCTGGCCATGATGGTCCAGAATTCGATTCGGTGGAGCTGCTATGAGGACCAGTCAACTCCCGAGTGGAAGCACGATGTCGAGCAGGGAATCTTGGGTGAAGGATTGAAGGCGGCTCGTTTGCGAGAATGGCATACTGAATTTGAAAAGTTTTGCGAATGGGTCGTTTTGGAGTTTGCGGAGTTCGACGAGGAAGATTAGCGATGATCGGCGGGGATATGGAGTTATTGAATGGGCGGAAGGTCATGAGACCTATGGGATCAAAGATCCTAAGAAATAAGCGGTGTAAATTCCAACAATATCTGCATAGAAAATTGTCAACCAGTGATGCAATAAAGACAACTTTCTCTCAAAATTCAGTCGTAACTGAGTTAACGTGGTGCAGCCGATAGAGTGGAGAATCAACGTTCCAAGGGGAGGCCCGCCTGACTTGGGCCGATCACTTATCGGCTTTATCAGGTGCCCACCAAGAGTACTCCGCACGTCATCGTCAACCCACAACCATCCCCTTTCACCCACTCTCCTTGCTCCTCGCCACCGGAGTCTACGCGATATTCCCTCGTTATTAAATCTAGGATGATGGCCGTGCTTCGATGAATCTTGTTTCTGCTTGACCGAGCCTCGTGGCGGCTCTTTGAAGATGGCGTACTTTCTGCCTTCGTTCTTCCAAAAGCGCTTGCTGAAATATGCCTTGTCGCGTCTGGGCATCGTCGATACGGAGGCTCTGGACCCGGATAATCTCGGTATTCGCTGGGGCCAGCGGAGTACGGTCGAACTGAAAGATATCGGGCTCAAGTTGGAGGTGAGTGTGAGAGGATGCCCCGTACCCCGCGGGGGAGGCGTGGCGGTCAATCTCTTGCTTCTATGGGAGCCTGGAAAGGATAATACTGACGGTTGGACTCTGGGAATATAGAAATTAGCGACTCTTCTCAACCTCCCGCCGACGTGTAAGCTCCTCAGCGCCCGCGTCCAGCTTCTTCGGATCACCGTTCCGGCCGACATATACAGCAGCGGTATCATCTGCGAAGCCTCCGGTATCAACGTGCATATCTTATTATCGGATGAGTCAACTCAGAGCAAGCATGGGGGCCCCAAATCCCAGCTTCCGTCGATACACGGCTCAGAGGAAGGACAAAGCCTACCGACAGCTACCAATCTAGCCGAAACCTTCCTCGAAGCTGAACCAACGGAGGAAAAGGAGGAGTTGCAAGCAGCGATATCATCGCAGTCGCATATCCTGCAGAAGAGCTCTTCCTTTACGGACGAGGAAGATGAAGAGCTTGGGCTGGGAAATGAGACAATGTCCCTGCCAAGCTTCGTTGCGGGATTCCTCAAAGGTGTGGCGCATCGGTTACAGTTGAAGATAAAAGATGTCTCCGTGCGGCTGGACATGGAGTTGAAGCAGGATGGTCCGTCGAAGCGACATCCCGAGGATAAGCCGGATCTAGTTGCGGGATTGTTGACTGTAGGCGAGATCGACGTTCATGGGGCGTCGGAATTTACTGCGGGCGCTGACGAGCCCTTACCCATGCGCGAAGGGAAGCGATTGATTTCACTCGTTGATATCAACCTTGGCCTTGTGTCTGATTCTGCCGTGTTTTCAAATTATGCGAGATTTACCGTGCCTGCCTCCCCCACGACTACGATGCAGTCCAAGGAGAGTCAATCTTCGAGCCGAGCATTTTCACCTCCACCGTTGGAGTCGTCCGTTTCTGAATCAGACCCCGGGCTAGCTATGACTAGATCAACGATCTTCGAGCCATCGCTTGGACTTGGCTTCGGAAGTGCGATGGATCCTGGTCTGGATGCGGGTCTGGATGCGTCGACAATTTCTCACGAGACATTTTCCCATGATGGCCGATTCTCAGACGCAGACTCGGACACGGAGCATCGACACGCCAGATATCCTGAAGATTCCCAAATTCTTGGGGAGGACGACCCGTTCCACGATAACCCTGGGTATCTGGATTCGGTCATTGATACCCAATTTGATGATTCTGATGACGAGCCGCCCGCGGAATTCCAATTTCAAAGACCGCAAGTGGGAGAAAGCGGCGACAGTTCTTACCACCTTGGTCTCGCGTTCCGTTCTAATCCCCGACTTGTAGAGTCCATCGAGTTAGGACATTCTGAAAGAGTCTCACAAGTTGACAGTTTCCGGGGCCTGCAGGCCTACGGCTCACACGAGGAAGGCCAGTTTGGATTTGGATCCGAAATTGCGCCGCAGTCCTCGGAGCCTCATCATGAACATTATCATGAAGAAGAGTACCTTGCCACCTCTCGCCAAACCTTCCCAAATTCCCCCCATCAAGAATCCTATCGAGAATCTGCTCCGCCGTCCGAGTTTGGCAGCGCATCATCCGAAGGAGGTACCGCGGTTGCCAATCTGACAGAGTCCAAGTACTTCTCTCATGATGAGGCACAAAGCTTGTATATGAGCGCTATGAGCCAGGGCACTGGTGAGAGCTTCATTCCAAACATGCCAGGTGCATGGGACTCATTTCACCCCGGTGAAAAAGCAGGAAGCATTACCGAAGTTCGGGAGATGGGAACGGAACCTATTCATGATGCACATATAAGCAACGAAGAGCAAGAGGAACTTGCAGTATCTACTCCAAAGTTAAATGCTCCGTCGGACTCATACTTTGGCGAGCAACGAGAAGATAGTCGGTCTCAGTCTCAGCCTGCACCCACCAACAGAGCTTCTACGCCCTCTTCCCCTGCTTTGCACAAGTCGAGTGAGATAAGGAAACCTATTCTCAACATTGATAAGATTCTCGTCTGGGTACCGTCAGCTTTGAGCGACGCAGAATCAGATGTTGCTGTGCCGAAGGTCCCTGTCGAGCGGACAGATAGTGATACGAAGGACCTCTTTTCCGGCACACGCGAATCCGCAGTGGAGGAAAGCATGTTTGCCTCGAAGGTCAATGCGGCTACCCGGTTATCGAAAACCGCAACCGAGTCCCGAGTTCTGCCCGGCAATGATCATACAGACCACCAACATGGCCACGTCGCGAACCAAGGGTTGGCGGTAGAGATTTTCGCAGTGTCTGTTCACTTTGACATAGCCACTGGTTGGCTTCTGGTCAAGGCAGGCCAACGATTGTCTCAAATGGCCAATGGTCCCGAGAAAGAGAAAGTTCCATCTCGAAGTCAGAACCCGCCAGACCAACCCACTCAGCAAACGACTGTTAGGCTCGATGTACACAAGATCTCTGTCAAGTTCATAGAGCATGTGGTTGGTCATTCCTACCCTCTGGAGAGTGTGGATACGCCGGCACCCCCACCCTTTACATCTATGGAAGAAATTGTTCTCCAAACTACTGCGTCTGGTCTGGCAGTCAATCTCTCCTCGAATGAAAAGCGCACGAATCTTCATCTCGACGTCTCGAAATTCGCCTTTGGAATTGCTTCTGACGATCTCATCTCATTTAATGAGTCCTTGAAAATGCGCGAATCTACTCGGGACATTACGACGCCTTCTCAGGGTGATATCTCTCTTTCTTTGACCAAATCGGCAGAATCAGCCAAGGTTGATGTCTCTACTCTCCCTCTTCATATCAATCTCAATATTCAGCACCTGGAGGAGGTTCTCGGATGGATGGGTGGCTTGAGCACTATTCTAGAGCTTGGAAGTTCCATGTCCTCTACATCAACAATGAAAGGGGCCCAGAAACCACCGAAGAGGCGCCCGCGTGGTGTGCATTTCGAAACGCCAGCCCCGTCCGCCCACAAAGACCACAAAGATTCACAAGCCTCTGTTCCCTGGAAGGTGAATGCTCGATTGGGGGGTGTTGTGCTTGATGTAACTGGCGAAACGCATTACCTAAACCTCAGCACGACCGCGGTCAAAATTGTCAGTCGATTCGAGGGCATTGCAGTCCAGATTGACAAGGCAAGACTGAGTGGGCCGCATCCACTTGATGATCTGTCTGATGCACCCGCAAAGGTCACATTGACCAACATCAGAGTCGAGTTCTTGTTCGCGCCCAAGGAAGTAGACCTTGATCGTCTTTTGACCTTGATTACACCGTCCAAGGACAAATATGACGACGATGACGATATCATGCTTGATACTTTGCTTCGGCAACGAAGGCAAGGATCCGTTCTTCGCGTAACGGTGGCAGGAATGAAGACCGTTATTTCCAGCACTGGTGGCCTGGCACCCCTCGCCTCCCTTGGATCTGAGCTAGGTCGCCTGTCCAATGTGACGAAGTATCTCCCAGAAGATGATCGTCCTGGCATTCTTACCTTGACACTTATCCGAGAGTTTGAAACTCAGGTGCATGTCGGCGGGGATGTTGGCGATATCAATGCACACCTCACCAATGCGGAAGTCGCATGGATCAGCATGCCCTCACTTACTGCCACGCAGATCGGGACAGTTAGTATCATGAGGAACCACAAGGAAGAGCTAGCTGGCGAAGCCCTGCTGTCAAGCAAGGAGAAAGCTCCGATGACACCGCGCCCGCCCGTTCTCATGGCACGTTTTATTCCCGATGAGATGGATCCCACCTTCAAGATCAAACTACACCATCTGCGCGTCGAGTATACAATTCCCTCCGTCATGGCATTCTTGGGGCTGGGTCAAGATACAACGGGTGGAGAGTTGGCTGGTGAGATGGCGAGTTCCATCGCCAATCTCGCGGAACACTCCGATCGAATTCCCTTCTCCCCCTCAAGATCCGAGGCCTCGGGTGCTTCCAGCAAACCGACAAAACTAGCTGTCGTGTTCCAGGACTGCGTGCTTGGCCTGAACCCGCGCAATTCTCCTGCCAAGGGACTCGTGGTACTTACAAACTCCAAATTCAGCGGCACTTTACATGGCGATGAATCATCGGAAGCAACCCTTGACATCAGAAAGGCGTCCATCATGATCATCGACAATGAGGCGAATGCAGGAAGTGCTGACAACCTCCGCCAGCGCACTTCGGCCGTCACTCAGAGCGACCAGGTCCATGAATACATTGAGAAAGGATACGTACCCGTCTCATCCATTTCTACTGCCACAGTGGTGGTCAAGATGATGCGGCTCGCCGAGGATGGGGCCAAGTCATTAGATGTCGAGCTGAAGAATCGTCTTTTAATTTTGGAGACTTGTGCCGACTCAACGCAGACGCTGATCAGTATTCTAAACGGCCTGCAACCTCCTACGCCACCGAGTGTCACTGTCAAGTACCGTACTGAGGTTACCCCGATCCAGGACATGCTGGCCTCTTTCTCTGGAAATGCCTTTAACGCCGATCCTTCTTTCCCCTTGGGTGAGAAGGTTGATCCGGCACTTGATCTTGGAGGCATCCCAGAAGAGGAAGAACTCGCCAATGACGAACTTGAATATGTCAGCGACTTCTACCCCAAGCAGCAGGATGCCTCTATTGGGGACGTGAAAATCGAGCCGACGGGAATGGGGAGCTCCAATGAACTCATCGATAGCTTCCATTCCCAGTACCATGTCTCCTCAAGTCTGACTGAACTTGACTTCCAGGAGGACCACTTCGCGAAACAATCTGCCGTCGGGGGCACTGCGCATCGCTGGGACTCTACAGAGAACACCTACGGCTTGTCAAACGATACAAAGCTCCAGAAGAGTCCTCTTCGCGTCAGAGTACGAGATGTGCATGTGATTTGGAATCTGTTTGATGGCTACGACTGGCAGCGAACGAGAGACACCATCTCCAAAGCAGTCGAAGACGTTGAAATCAAGGCTACCGAGCGACGGGCCCGAACTTCTCGCATGTCCCCCGCAGCCGAAGATGAAGAAGAATCCGTTATTGGCGACTTCCTCTTCAATTCAATCTACATCGGTATCCCCGCGAACAAAGACCCCCGTGATCTCCATCGGGAGATCAATCGCGACATCAACGACCTTACCAGCGAGACTGGTAGCTATGCCACATCCACTACCGTCACTGGTGCAACTGCACGACAGGGCCGACCAACCACGGGACGAGACAAGAAGAAACTTCGCTTGCATCGTAGCAAACATCACAAGATGACGTTCGAACTGTCCGGTATTTGTGCGGACCTGGTCGTCTTCCCGCCAGGCTCGGAGGAGACGCAGAGCTCTCTGGACGTAAGAGTGAAGGATCTAGAGATCTATGACCACGTGCCTACTTCGACTTGGAAGAAGTTTGCGACTTATCTGCATGAGGCCGGGGAGCGAGAGAGCGGGACGAGCATGGTCCATTTGGAGATTTTGACTGTGAAGCCTATTCCGGAACTTGCGGCGTCCGAGATTGTTCTCAAGGTGAGCAGCACAATATCTTTTTGTATATTTAACTAATGTTTTCAAGGCTACTGTTCTACCGCTTCGACTGCACGTCGATCAAGACGCCCTCGACTTCATGAGTCGCTTCTTCGAGTTCCGGGATGAATCCATGGAAGCCGAGGGTACACCTGAAGATGCTCCATTCCTACAGCGTGTCGAAGTCAATGCTATCCAAGTCAAGTTGGACTTCAAACCCAAGCGAGTGGACTACGCGGGACTTCGGTCCGGTCGCACGACCGAGTTCATGAACTTCTTCGTTCTGGATGGCTCTGACATGGTTCTACGACATGTCATCATCTATGGAGTGTCTGGATTCGACCGACTCGGGAACACCCTTAACGACATCTGGATGCCGGACGTCAAGGCCAACCAGCTTCCCGGAGTTCTGGCTGGTCTCGCGCCTATCCGATCTTTGGTCAACGTGGGTGGTGGTGTGCGACAACTCTTTGACGTGCCGATGCGCGAATACAAGAAAGATGGCCGGATCGTACGAAGCATCCAAAAGGGCGCGGCTGCATTTGCCAAGACGACATCCAACGAACTTGTCAAGCTGGGAGCCAAATTGGCCATCGGCACACAAACCGTCTTGCAAGGCGCAGAGGACCTACTGACCTCTCCAAATGGCCCATCCGCTGCTTCCGACGAAGACCGCGGTGACGAGGAGGAAGCCAAGAAGATTTCTCTGTATGCCGATCAACCGATTGGAGTTGTCCAGGGGTTGCGGGGCGGCTTTAGCGGTCTCGAACGTGATCTGCTTCTGGCCCGCGATGCGATCGTCGCAGTCCCTGGCGAGGTTGTGGAGAGTGGCAGCGCCAAGGATGCAGCCAAAGCAGTCTTGAGGCGCGCCCCGACGGTCATTCTTCGACCTGCCATTGGCGTTTCCAAAGCTGTTGGACAGACACTCCTTGGTGCTGGCAATTCCCTGGATCCGAGTAACCGGCGCAAGATGGAAGATGTAAGTGGATGGGCTCCTATTTTTCTTTGTTCATGACTAACTTTGGTTCCAGAAATATAAACGTCACTAGTGCTGCTCTCTGCCTTGATGCGGAGTTATTCGCCGAGATGAACGTAAAGCCTTCATGTGGCTTGTTTCTTTGTGTTCAAGGTTTTTTTTTTCTCTTACCCTTTTTCGGGAACTTGTGTCAGTTTTTCATGAGCTCGTAGATACTACAATATTTTTCTGCTTGATTTATCTGCGTTCTGCGACTTGCTTTTGCTACCAGTGATACCACTCTCCACCCCGGGACATGACGGATGACGACTGCATGTAAAAATTGCTGCTATGAAACGCATGATCTAGGCGTCCTTGACCGATAATTCGTCTCTTTGATTTGAATTTGCATTTCTGTTTTGATTATGACTTGCTTGGGCGTATTGAATTTGCCGTCTCTCTTGTGATTATGTCCGTGATTGTTTCCTAATGATTGTCCGAGCGCAAAGTAGATTGAATTTCGTTTTAGCGAATGATTATTACAGGGTCCTCTGCCGAGAATATGTAAGACTTGGGCAAATAAACTTAACCATAACCGTGCGGTTGGGTAGTAAAGGTGGGTAGTAGTGTCATTGTGGCATCATGGGCAAATCATCGTATCATTATCTGCATTGGTGTAATCCTCGTAGTGAATCTCGAGTTTCAGAGTCAAACTTGGGCTGAAAAGCACGCGACTGGAGTTGCCTGAGGTGGCAGCGGCAGTTTGCCCGACGGCCGAGTTTCTCGACTTGAGTTACTTTCACTCCACTAAACATCAGTCACCAGGCAAGACAAAAAATTATCCGATCAAAATCTTGATGGAAGTTCCCCTCGCTCTGGCTAACCTTTTTGATGCACTCATGAATCATGTCGCCAGGTACGAGGTCGAACCAGCCGGGCAGACCGACGTGAACCACGGATGAACTCGTACAGAATTGCACGAGGAATCCCCAAAGAGAAAGTGCTGAAAAACTTACTGGGAGCCATCCCGACTTGTTCCTGTTGAACAAACTCGCGTCTTTTCCCCTGCCAACTTCAGGGACGATGGAAGTGTGGATCATTCACTCCACTGAGGCTGACGATTCTCTTACGATCCCCTCCCACGCGTCGACTTCTCTCTCCAGGGTCTGAACGGGGGAGGCGCTTTGCCACCTGGCGGCCCTTCTCGGATTGACTGGCAGCCAACGAACCCTTACTGGCCCGGTGTTTGTGTGTCTTTAGTTTTCCGGTTTCCAACTAATTTGCTTTCTAGTTTCTGCCCAACGGGCATCGCTCTTTGCATTTCAGCCCTGGGCCCCGACTATTTTCATACAGGCTCGTTCTGCGCACCGAGTGGTCCGTTGCGATTCTCAATGGTGGATCGGGGTTCATGTCAAAAGCGCGCCTGGAGCGGGTGATTGGCCGGGGGTGGGACGGGAGGGTGTGCGACTAACGAGACGCTAAGATCATTGGAACAGCGCACCAGGATTTGACGATTAACGATCAACGATCAACGATCAGGCGGGATGATGATTACCCTGTCGACGAATCGTGACTCGTCAGCCATAATGGGCGGAGTCTCTTCATCTGCATGTCATGTCTCTGGAGATGCGATGCATCCGTTCTGTCGGGTTTTCTGGTCATTCTGCAACAACACACGGTGACTGGTGGTCCATTGGACGCCATCTGGGGCACACAGACTCCAGGGGCATACACAACACACACCTTGTCAGACCGACTTTTCGCCCTTTTTTTCTCCCCCTTCGCCGGAAATGGAGAGTGTGACGTCGTCCATTTCTACATAATCCCATTATATCACCACTCATGCGCCCAGGATCTCCAGTCGACCCAACGGTTCGCTGCTCCCGCGACCCAGTGTTCCTGGGGAACAAGCCGGGTTCTGGACCTCGTCTTTTTTCCCATGTGGAGATGTGGATATCCAGAGAAGAACAAGAAAAAAAAGGAGGACGAGTCCAGGCATCTCCGTTCGGCTCCGGTCTCCATCCACATGGATGGGCTTGATTTGAGCCGCCTTCTAATTTATTATTATCACGATTCCCCCCCCCCCGGTCTTGTAGTATTTCTTGTTCATGGTGGGTGTTTGGATCTTTTATTCTTTATTGTACCTTGCATTGACTGGTGTCCTGGTAAGCCGACGGTTTCATTGTCCCTTGCAGTGGTCCCCGCTCTGACGAATCAGATGTATAGCGGCGTTGGATTGAGCTCCCGATCTACACTGGCAATAGACATGTCAACCCGCTGAACGCAATATTCCCACCACACGAACACCCTCTTTGTTCAAAAAGCCGGGGAAGAAACTCTCAAGCGCAAACTTTGAGAGCAGCGAGCAATTGAAAAAGAAAGCCAATTCCAGATGTATGAAGATCCCGGCTACCGCGATCCATTCGCGGCCTGGCACAGCGGCGAGTTACCGGACGGCTCGCTTTGCTCCAAGTGTCTGGAGCTTCATGGCGTTCATGCACCATGCACGCCTCTTAAGCCCCTTCCTGCAGATGCGGTGTCACTTCCCCCTCGGTCGATCAAGTCTGGGATCACGGGCGCCCTCTCCCTCCATGACTATCGCAAGTATTTGTCGCGGTCCGCAGAATGCGTGGACGATCCCGTCGATCGCTCTGAGAAGACACTCAAGCGGAAGACTGCAACCTCCAATTTGAATCGTCCACCACCACTCGTCTCGCTATCTTCGTGTGCGATTTCGGTGTCCTCTGCGGCGTCAAGCACCCCGCCACTATCGCCGTCGTATTCTCATAGTATCATCTCTTACCAGAGTGAGCAAGAGCCCGAGGTTTCAGAGGCATCAACTGGTACGTTGCAAGCCACATCCCCCATCTGTACTCCGCATGAGTAGTTTAATGAAAGAGAAACAAGCACTGACCTCTCTGCAGTTGTCATTCCACCACCCCAGGGCCCACGAGTGCATCTTGTCTCGGAAAAGTTTACACGCCCTAGGCCGAACCGGAAGCGATTGGTGAGTACTCCTGAAACACTAATAAACATCCGATTTTCCCTTTCTCTAACTTTCTTTTTTACTTTCTTTTCTAGAACACCTTCCGCGAGAAGCTTCAGAGGGACGCACAGGCTCCGGGTCAGGCTCGACAACCATTGCCTCATCCCCGTCCTCAAGCATCCACTCCGATGCTGGCCAACACGCAGGCCGTTGCCACCATCTCGCACGGCGGTGCCTCCTTTGAGATCTTGAACCCACGCAAATCCCTTGATGTGGCTCGCATTGTCTCCTTCATTGAGGATGTCGATGGCTGCTCGATGCTGTCTTACGACCCCCATCATGACTCAATAGTTTCTTCCAACCCGTATTCGGCGGACGAGAGCTTTGATGGAGCTTCCCTGTCGCAGTTTACCGATGCTTCGTTACCATCGCACTTCTCTTCTCCTTCTTTATATGCTACATCCCCTTCCATGGGGTACTCCACGCCTAAACGGCAAACAGCCGATATCCCCTCGTCGTCACCTGGTGTGCACGACCGAGTCCGCTCGCTCTCCGATTACTCTCTCCGCAAGCACGACTACTGGACACCCGCACGCAAGGAGGATGCCACCTCTCCTTTACAAAACAGCCAGATCAACACGACCCACGATCTACCAAATCAACCCACGGTGTCGACCACCGAGCGCCCACAGGACCCCGAATCCGAACCAGATCTCCCATCAGAACCCCAATCCCCATCCTCCCAACCAACCTTCTTCTCCGGAGAAAGCGATATCGGCGAGCCGGGCTCGCCAGTCTACGCCAACGGCGAATGGGCGCAAGTCGACGAGCGCGACCGCGGTATCTTCATGGACCTCCAACCACCCCCGACCCTATCACCGGGGTACTCAGAGCCCCCCTCTCCATATGACGTTTACTATGCAAACACCATGTCAACACCTCTCCCTTCAACACCGTCTTATATCCAGCATTACGATCCCTATGACCCCATTTACTTTGACCCGCACGTTCAATCTGTCCTTGCCGCCGCGAATGCGCATGGTATGGGATTACGTGGAAACCCGACGCGTGCCCTGGATGATCTGCAGCGCAGATTTGGCAGTTCGGTTTCGTTAGGCGGGTCTGGTTCGGGGGCTGGGGCTGGGGCTGGAGAGGTGGCTGGGCATCGGGAGAGGAAGAATTCCTTTTCGCAGAGGAAGAAGCTAAGGAAGTTTTTTAGTTGGAGATCCGGGAATTGACCTGCTTTGTTATGATGTGATGATGACTTTGGATTCCGGGATTGGTGGAGTATGGACCCTTTTTAACCTTCTTTTTCGGTGACTTTTTCGTTTACCTTCTTCTTCTACCTTGTCTTTTCATACCATGTACATCATTTTATTCACTGGGTCTGTGACCCGACTCTGGACTGATATCACTAGTTTGATATCACATCCATCATATTTTACTATTCTCCATGATACTTTCTTTCAAATATCCATTTAGATCTATATCTACAATCCTAATTCAACCCTCACGTATCACAGACCACCAATACCACCCGGTCCCAGCTAAAACCAAAATACCTCTCCCTTATTCACCACTTCATCCGCAATCCCAACCTCCTTCAACCTCCTCTTCAACCGCTCAGTAATAGCATCAGGATACTCGACAGACGAATGCGCAGGTCCCATCCCCTGATCAGCCAACCGATCCGTAATCTCATTACTAGCCCTAAAAAACGGAACTGACAGATTCTCCCTCGACCCACACGCCTTCACACAAGCTTGATACAACTCTTGAAACCCCTCCTCGCTGTACCCTCCACCCGTGACTATAGCGCGTGCAGGGGATGTGAAGTCATTAGAGGCGAGTTTCATGTGTAGGGAGTCATACGCTGGAGGATTTCCGGAGATTATGAGGGGGACTTCGCGTTTTGAGTGGATTGGGTTGTAGCCTGCGTAGATTACTGGATGTGGATATGGAGGGCGTTAGATTGGTTTGGTTCTGTAGGGGGTTATTGGGGAGTGGTAGAACCGACCGTTGTATTCTGGTAGGAGTTTTGTTTTTATTAGGTTTGCCATGTGCTTTTTGGCACCGCAGAGGATTAATGGGGTGGGTGTGGACATGGTGGAATTTATGGCGAGTCTCGTTGGAATTGGTTAGTTTCCTGGGGTGACCTTGGGGTGGGGTGGGATGTAAAGATTGAGATGCGCTGGGCTGGTTGTATGGAGGGATGTATGATATACTGAGGTATTTAGTTAATGAGGAGAGACGTTTGATGGGAATGACTTTCGTACGATAGAAACAATTATTAATTCCGTAATAGACTATGGATGATGCATGTGGTGTGAAGGTTTCGGGGTCAATTTAAAGCCGAATATGCCGAATGACAAAGATGCTCCGAGATAACTATCCGTCAACCTACCGGTATTGTCATTGGTCGAGGTATTATACATTCTTAGTGGAGGTAACTCAAATTCATGGATCGATATTCATTAATCGGAGTTTATTGAGTTAATTCCAGCTTGTGATTTGCTGAAATCCGCTCAGAGCAGAGCATTGATATGCAGAACAAATTGTCCAACCTTCAACATGCGTTGTATACTCCGATTACTCCTTCACTTCAACGTGAACTGTAGCCGCCTTGCCCTCTGTCTCCCTAGCTTGCTCTTTCATATCCGCGACGGCAATCTCGCCAACATCAACCGCGTCATCGCCATCGAAGTACTTGGCGATTTCCTCCATGGGAGTATAGCGGGTCTCGATCAAGAAGGGTGTAAATAACGAACACTTCCATTCCTAGGAAAACGCAGTAGACAATGTAATACTTCCAACCAATTGCATCGAGAGCAATCGCGTTAATGTACTGGTTGAAGAAGAGCGCTGCGGTGACGCAAAAGTTCAGCCAAGTAAAGCCCTTGGCACGAAGGCCGTAGGGAAGAATTTCAGTGGTATAGGTTGCCATTAGACCGGATCTGTGAGGTTTTCAATGTTAGAAAAAGTACTAGAGGATTTATCTGGATCAAAAGGATGGTGGATACTCACTTGATATCGTAGAACAGTCCGTAGAGAACGGTCAGAACCACGAAAATGTACCCAAGTGCCTGATTCGCCGCAATTGCGTACCGTGCTGACACGATAGTCCATGCATTGAAAACCACGAACGTGCCCACTGTCGAAACCATATAGACTGGCCGCCTTCCCAATTTATCAATGAAGAAGGCCAGGATAAAGTTGGTGAGTAACGCTTCAGTCTTGATACCGGCGTTGATTCCCAGTTGTGTAGACGCCTTCGTGATACCAACACTATCCATAACCTGCTTCAAATAGTACGATATCAGGCCATTCCCAGACCATTGACTGAAGAGGCCAAGAGCGGTGATCAAACCAATTCGTCTCCGGTTACCCTTGGTCTTCAAAAAGTCGACCCAGCGAGTTTGGTCAATCTCCTTGTCTATATCAATGGCGGCCTTGATCTCTGCATATTCTAGATGCACGAATGCATCATCCTGGTCACCTTCGCCATGGTATTTGACAAGAATCCGCATGGCTTCATCGTGTCTTCCTTTGCTCATTAGCCAACGAGGGCTTTCCGGCATCAGCCAGATACCGCACACGATGACAATGGTACAAATGGCCTGCAGTAAGCTTGGGAGACGCCACGACCAGTCGCTCTAACGGGGAAACAGATATGAGTCGAGAACGAAAGTTTTCCAGGTTGGCTATCTAGATGCCTGATAGCCGTTGGGGGGGGACGTACCTGAATCTTCAAAGTACCCAATGTCACCCAGCTAGCAATAAAGGCGCCAGAGTGATACGAGGCACCACTAAGTGTGACTAGAACGGCGCGATCCTGCGGATGTGCAATCTCTGCGATCAACAGTGGAGCACTCCCGAGAACGAGACAGTCACCAAATCCAATAAGGAGACGCGCAGCGATAAACATGCCAAAGCCCGTAGCCCCAGACTGCAGGCCCACTGCAAGCAGCATGATGAGACATCCAACGAAACACCCAAGTCTGCGACCCCAGGCATCGATCATGTAAGGCACGATGAACAGACCAATCAGTGAACCAAGACTCATAGAGGCATTAAAGAGACCGAGGAGCGAGCCGTGAGGGTGGTTGAAGTATTCCTGCCAGTAGGAAAGGGTCTGAAGACCGTTCATCATGGAGCCATCAAAACCGTTTGCTGTGTTGGTCATGATGAGGATGACAATGTAGATGTATAGGGTACGCATGTTCTTCCTCTTCCACCAGGGCACCCGCTGGAACTCCTGGTGAGCGAAGAGGAAATGGCCTTTTGAGGGCTTGGCTGGTATGACCCTTTGGGTTGACTTTGGGGGCCGGAATCGCAACGCCATGATTGCGATGCGTGGGCGGAATGCAGATGTAGGTGAGATAGCAAATAGGTGTAGCAAGTTGAGGGATCAACTTCTACTCCGACCGGGGACAGTAGAAGTTTTTAATCACGAAATGCCTCCTCATGAGTTATGAGACGGACATGAACTTGAAAAGCCCAGTCCCTTGGCTTAATCGACTCTCGGCTGTATTGTTCCCAACCGGGCTTGTCACGACATATTGTCAACCATTCATTGTTGAAAGTCGATGAGCTTGGCGTTTATATTTGCCTGTTCTGCCATTTTACCGATAGGTGGCGTTTCTTCGACTGTTCGTCTCCTTGAAGCATGATCGCTTGGCCTTATGATCCTTCATCGAGGCCATACTCGAGACACTGTGGGGGTGGAGGCTCGGGGCCAGTAGTAGACCCTTGCGGGGGCCCGAAAAAGGCTAACTGCTCCAACTATTCCATATTTGGTAAGAGGATGATTAACTCAACATTAGTCAACTTGAGTTTGAAACTAACACTCGTAGGGTCGGCAAGAGGCCGGCAAGTGGACGCTTTGAGGACGTGAGATTGAGATCGAGATCGTTTACTTCCAGAATGCCTTCACCAAAGGCAAGAGATAGTTCAAAGCTTGTACCCTTTAATAGTTTAACGTTCTGCGAAAAGAAAACGAAAACCCGCATGCCGGCATTTCGACCCATTATTCAGACACAGCAAGCAGTAATGTTCTTAAAGCTTCGCGAGATACCGTGGACCATCTCACCTTTACATGCGGCATCTCTGTGCGCGAAGCTGTTGACAATGGACAGCCTCGACGATTGCTCCCCTAGCACCTGCCAAGCGACTGCCAAGCAGAACGGCCGAGGGGATCCCTGTGATTATTGACCGCTGTATGTACCATTCCATTCGGAGCAATTGTGGGGGAGCGCCTCCTGCTGGACCTTTGCCCGCAATTTAGCCTATATAGCGTGCTTCATACATTCTTGGCGGCTTACCAAGAGCCTAATTTGCCCGCTCATTCAGCTACGTGCGTCTGACAGAGGAAATGTAATGGATGTGGATCTTTTTACCGTGGTGATGATTCATGTAGATAAGAGAGAACCTTATTCATTCAAGGATTTGCCGTGCCTTATAAGAACCTACGAACTACTAGATCCGGTTAGTTTTGCTGTCCACCAATTCACTACTATTCTGTAGTTTCCTCCCCCAATTTATCCCGACATAAGAGACCCAACCTCGCCGTCTCGACCTCCTTTCCTTCTCCCCGTCCCTTTAACTTCTCTGCCTTACACTTATCAGAAAGAGACCGAAATGGAGCAGTAGATTTAATTAGTCTATGAAGAGCCTAACAAAATGAGCATTTCAATATATTATTGCCATAGATTGGGTAGTAGGATCCTAATGGGAAGTACCGAGAGATTCGGCAGCAAAAGGAATGAGATACGCGGATTTGAAACCCAAAATAACGCATTGAAGTAAATGAAATAGGATGTTGGATCCACAAGGCAATCGGGATTAGCCAACCAGGGCCACGGAAGATGTTGCATAAAGAGGTTCTCAGCGAGAAAATGACCATTCAAATTGCTTGGCGCAACTACATTCACTCAGCAGGTACACACTCCAAGACCGAATCATATCTGGTGTTGTAGGTATAGATTTGCTTGATCTTGAGGCCCGCTTTCTCAATAAGAGCATACCACTGTGTTATCGTCCGCTCATGGGAAGCTAGTACAGACATCATGGTGATATCGATTTGGGTTGCATGAAAATGAACTCCGCTTCCCGGTAGGACCATATCGTCAATCAGAATGACCGAGTCAGTGCCAAGGGCTGAGATAACATTCTTCAAAATTATGACTGCTTTCTCCTCCGGGTAGTCATGCATAATGTTGCGCATGTAGTAGAATCGACCGCCTGTCATCATTTTTCTGTCAGACTGTAATTCGAAAGAGCATGAAAAGAGGAAAGGAACTTAAGTTACCCTTGATTGGCTGAGGCTGCCAGAAGTCATACGCCATTGCCTCGACCCCTTCATGTTTGATTGCCTGGGCAACAACAACATCCAAATCTTGGAGGATGACCTTGTTTTTGACTGTTGGTAGTCGCTCCCTCAGCGCCATGCATTGGTGGCCAATTCCACCACCGATATCGACGAACAGAGTTTGCTCTGGTTCCAGGCCTTGAGACCTCTGCTCAATTGGATAAGAATCGAGCCAATGCGGCATATCTGCATGTTGTGCCATCATGAACTGATTGAAATACCGGAAAACATCTGGCTGTGTTTGCGCCCAGAGAAAGCCCGGCAAATCGGTATTGAAGGCTTTTTGAAGTGGAGTGTTGACCGGAGACGTAATATCTTGGTACTTAGTTTGGGCTAAGAACTCGGGCAATGCAAGTAGTGCTGGAGCTAAGCTCTGAATGCTGTAGCGGTTGACTGATTAGCATCCGACGACCAGGGCTGTCAAGGAAAGCGAGAACAGGGGACCAACTTATGATAGACTGCACTCTGTACTCCTACATCACTTAGGTGTTTGGTGATATTATTGGCCATAAAGGTGTCTTCGCCGGTCTCTTTGACAGCCCCAACTGAGGCCAAATAGCGTAAAATTCGTCCTATATTGGGATGTTCAGGATAAGGAACGCGGGAGGGGTTGCTTAAAGAGTTGCTTTGTGGTAGTCTCCGTACCTAGTAAATCCGACGCAGCGGAAGTTCGATCACAAAGCTGGCCAATAGTTAAGGGTGTTTCGCTTTCAGCGAGGATGTTGAAAAGATTCAAGTCTAGTCCAATTTTAACCAGGATCGGCTCTAGGTGCTAGAAATGAAAATTGACGATTGATTCAGCTGGTGTCTAATAGACCAAGGTAAAAGGAACAAACAGGAAGTATGTGAGAGAGGAAGGGAGGGACAGCCGCCTACCGCATAAGATATTCTTTGCATCGTATCTTGGCGAGTTTCAAGCGAAAGATAAAGCTCACGGAGGCTCTGGAGAATAGAGTTGTGGGTCGCCCCATCAACTCCTTGGGCCAATGACTTGACCTGAGCGACAATGCCTTCCATTGTGACAAGAGTTGCTGCCTTGGGCTGAATTCGAAAACGCTTGAATTGTGAAGTATGTGAATTGCCGTGTTGTATCCGAGCGAAATTTGGCGCACTTTATATTTTGTTCGATGTTATGGACAGTCCCTGGTAATCGCAAGGCTCGTGGTATACCGTACAAGGCTGGAAAATGCACGGAGCACGTTTACCTATTTCGGACAAGTGTGAATTTAAACCCAGTATTATCAATTGCCGCCCTGACGCCAAAATTAGCGGCGCACTGGCCACCTCTACCTATTCTGGTCAATGTGTCTTGTAGGCGAGGCGGAATTATTAAAATTGCAGCTCAAAGGACGAACGGTTACGGGCATTTCAAGATAATGGCATCCACTATGTCTAGGATTGGGGCTCAGAATTGAGCCTTTCTCACACGTAGAATCCTTCATATTGATGGGAATTGGTATGGGCAAGTACATAAACCAACCAGCCAATGAGAATCGGTGATTCAATGTAGAGGTGTCTAAGCTGTGAAAATCAAGCAGGGGCTTATTGGACCACCCGACGCTATGTACAGTCTTGGTATTCTCGGATGCCTGGTTTACCATACAAAACCATGGGGACCTCGATTATTCCTGTAATGGCCTGGCTTATGCGGACTCGTGTAGATCTCCGCAAAATGCATGTATCCTTATCTCATAAGCGATTCGGTTATGGACCCACAAATTGAGTATACAGCTCGGCCTCAATGACGTTGAATAAACCCAGTATGTTTCTCTTGAATTTATTTTCTGTGCCGAATGACAGATTCCCACAAACACGTCGCCTGCGTGTCATGGGAGCGAGGAAAGAAATACCCCTGAAGAAGATGGGCGGCATTATCCCAGTCTACCAAATCTAGGACATCGGCCAGTTCTGCTAGGCGCTCCACAAACCATGTGTGAGAGGAGATTGGGGGCTTCTGAGATGCTAGTGCTCCTGTGAACAACATCCAGAAGAGCAAGTCGGGGGCTGTCAAGTGAAGTTCAGGATAACTATAGTCAAAGCTCTGGCGAAGGTGGTTTGAGAGAACTGCAAGACATGGCAATCCTTGAGAGTTCCAGATCCGAATCATGCAATATACTATCGTCGACAACCGAAGGGATTCTTGAAATGCAAGATGAGAGCATTCAGTGACTGGTTTGTATAATCGGAGCATCATAATAATGAGGTAATCGTTGCCAATAGAATGCCATGCGGAGCCTTCAAAGAGTTGGTGTTCGTAGTAGCTGATGAATTCCTGGAGTGATTGAAGGATTGATATCAGCTCTAGACTAATATTACAGGACCACGGCGAATTAAAGAATCGAGTCCCAAGTGAAGGAAGAAGAGTTGATAGATCGGTTGTTGCGAGGAAAGTGCATTGCGACAGTACCCGTGCCGCCCAGGGCCTAGAAATATGAATTACAGGCTCAGAGCACGAGATAACACCTCTCATCACTTCGCAGCTAGATGAAAAAAACGGTTAGGAGAAGCGTAGCTGGTAAAAGAGATTCGTTGTAGAGCCTACCAATATACTGTAGAGATAGTTTTGTTTCCTAGTGTATCCAGTCCGCCGGCCATATCTACCAACCTTTTGAGGCCATGTAGATGTGCATCGACTGCCATTGTATTAGCCTCAGCTGCCTAGTGGTTCTTTATTAGCCAGTTCTACGTTCCTCGGAAAAGAAAATATTTGCAAGATAGCCCATACCTCTATGCAAGTCAGGTGAGCAACAATCAATATGGTCGATTCAAGAGAGGTCTGAGGCATATGATCAAGCATCTGTTGTAGTAGTTTGATGCTTTGCGACCGAAAAAGGAATGAATCCTTGGTGGCATTGCCTATAGCTGTTGGAGAGGCATTTTGAAGTCGTAGTGTCGAAGCTAGCTGTGATGCGCTGGTCGATAGAATAACATGTCCCAGAGCGGGATGGTCATAAGTCTTCTGCCAGAACCATGTTGACATCCCGTGGAAATCAATAGGCCAGCTCGATCTGGATGTCTGAACCCGGTCTAGGCTGTGTGAGTGGATACTCTTTGATCTGCGCGATTCTTGTTTTGGTTTTGGTTCTCAAGCTAAGTACACTCACAATGATGAAAATAGATATCAGATTTGTCGGCCCGGCAGTCTGGGGATGAGGGAAGATTATCGATTACTCTTATTGTCGGTGGTCGCGATAGTACAATCTCCGAGGGGAATGTAGAGCCGGTATTACCATCGATTTTCTCCTGGCTGCTGTCGATCGGATTCTTCTTATTATCACCACCCGCTTGATTGGCCACGCCACCATCCGACCGCAGAGGATCATATTGGACTCGCGTATCTAGGCACCAAGACATTGAATGCTGCATCTTTTGATTCCTCTGCGCCTTGTAATGTTTATCCTTCAGAAACGAATGTTTATAGCGCGCAAGGGCCTTTTTCTGAGATCCGTCCTGTTCATAATTTACCCAGAAAAAGCGCGGTGATTCCTCAGTAAGAGTGGTAAATCTAGAATTGTGAATGGCCATGACTGTAGATCAGGAAGTGGCTAGATCGTCGCACTAGACCTGCAGTCCTAGTCCTTATGTTCTGACGCTGTTGTTCAGGCAGGGGAGGTGGGTTTTCTGAGGTTAAGCTTTGTGCGCTGTGCGAGTTTTTTCGCCCCCAAACTTGTGAGAAAGGGGCTTAGTTGGCGTATCATTGTAGTAGTTTCTCCCTTTCTAGATAGCCACCGTAGAAGTAATCAAAGACAGTTGACGGCCTTAGTTGTCTCCTTCATCGCCTAATTTTATCAAAGCTTGCGTCTCTAGTACTATCGAGAATTGCCTATCTATGTGTACACTTACACCTATAGTTAGTTACAGAACGGATGCCAGTCCTGGTTGGGTGCAGAATGGCGGGGTACTAGGCACCGGTTAAACGGCTCGGTGTCTCAAGTTACGAGTGGAAAGAAAGGCGCCAGAGGTTGTCATTTTCGGTGTCGATTTTACAGGGTCTCCTATAATCTAGTTGTAAAGGTTTTGAAGGGGAAAAAGCACGGGTAAGCTTCTCTAGGAGGTTGATAAATTTCGCTAGGCTACAATTGCATTCCTTGGAATAAGTAGCTTAGTGTCACAAATTCCTCAACAGATAACTACGTTTGGTATCAAGATTCTGCTCCTGATCCACAGGCTGGAAGGGCGACTCTCATGTCCTTGTGTAGGGATAAACCCGCTAGACATCAACTTCACTTCCTCATCACATCGTCAATTTACAGTGCAGCTCAAGCCAGATAAAAAAAATCAAATTTGAAACTACCAGGTACAATCGTGTATTGCCCACCACTCACGGAACTCTCCCTAATCTTCCGGAATTTGCCTAAACTTCGCTTGAACCCCTCTCCTGCAACTATGGAGAACATTTAAATGTTCTACCAAAGACTTGGGGGGGGAAGATTCTGTTCAATTTCCTCTGGCTTTCCTGCTTACTTATTGCGTAAGCCACCTTCTACCTATGTCGGATACAATCAACCCCATTATACCAGGCTTCGCGCCAGATCCATCCGTGGTAAAGGTGGGCGACTGGTTTTATCTCATCAACTCCAGTTTCCACCTTTTCCCCGGTCTACCTATTTACGCCTCTCAAGATCTGGTATCCTGGCAGCAGATTGGTAAATTCGACCGGTCGCTCAATGGAAATTTTCGCGATCCAAGCTTCCACTGACATGCGAGTACACAGGAAATGCAATCCACCGTCAGTCCCAGCTCAGCCTCGCAAAGTCATCGGCGAATCTCTACCCAGTGGATGATGGCAAGTTTTTGGTCGGGAGTGGAGGCCTGTACGCGCCAACCATCCGTTACCACCAGGGCACATTCTATGTCGTCTGTACCAATGTCCTCCGTTCGCCAGGGAAGAGTAGGGATGGGACGGAGAATTTCGTGGTCTCCACCGATGATATTTGGTCAGGCACATGGAGCGACCCGGTCTATTTTGAGTTCGATGGAATTGACCCAAGTCTTCTGTTTGATGATGATGGAAAAGTCTACTTGCAAGGGTCTGGTGGATTAGGCCCAGGCACCACGATTAACCTCTTCGAACTCGACCTGAAGACCGGCGCAAAATTGTCGGAGGAAAAGGTCATCTGGCGCGGCACTGGGGACATTTACCCTGAGGGACCGCACTTGTATAGGTACAAGGGCTGGTATTACCTGCTCATCGCAGAAGGCGGCACCCACGGCGGGCATATGGTGACAATGGCACGCTCTCAAAACGTCTTTGGCCCATACGAATCGTGTCCAAACAACCCCGTCCTCACGGCGCGTGGGACTCGAGAGTATATCCAGTATACCGGCCACTGTGAAATCTTCCAGGACGAGAAGAGCCAATGGTGGGGAGTTTGTCTTGGGGCCCGTCTAGAGGACCAAGGGAGATCCCCCATGGGTCGCGAGACCTTTTTGACCCGCGTGGACTGGAATGGTGAATGGCCCATCTTTGATCAAGTGAAAGTGAATCCCGGCGGTCTTTCCGCAACCCGTTCGAGCTCACACCTCACGGCAAAAGCTGGGTTGGACTATCTCTACATTCGAGATGCGGATATGAGCAATTACCGGCTCGAGAATAGTAACTCTTCCGCGACATTGACCGCATCAACGGTCGATTTGTCCCACCCGGAACACAGCCCGACATTCGTTGGTAAGCGGCAACGGCAGTTAGCCGGCACCAGTTCTGCGATCCTTGAAGGAATCGAAGATTCTTGGAGCTCTGCAAAGATCCAGGCTGGGCTCGCCTGTTACAAGGAGGAGCACCGCTACTGTAGGATCTACTACAACGCTGCTCAGCATGAGGTGGTTTTCGAATTGGTCAATTTTGCTAAGAAGATTGCTCGAACGGATAAACACACCCTCGGGGAAGTCCCTCACTCAGTGCGTTTCCGCATAGAGTACACAGAGAAACAGTATACCCTGTTTTATTCAGCTTTGCCTCATGTCGGTAACGACTGGTCACTCCTAGGAACGGTTGATACTCTGGATATGACAGATCCCGATTTCACCGGCCCAATCATCGGCGCCTATGCTGTTGGGCAGGCTGAGGGCGTGCAAGTTCAGTTTGGGGGCCTAGATGTCCAGTAAATGGCGAGTTTCGCTTGTGAAATGTCATCATAGACCTCGTGTGACCACGAGACTTGAGCTTGTTTTCAATCTCCATAATATTCAATCTTAAATCCTCCATAACTCTCTACTGCAGTGAATAGTTATGGATCACAAACAGCAAGGATCCTGCCAGTTTTATTCCCGTCACCCGTAGCATTAATGTGATACCAGCCTACACTTTGAGGAGGGACTAGGCCCTAAATTGAACTGGGTCAATGTACTTCCTTGGCTCTATTACCGCCCTGCTAGCTGGGACACGTTTCATCTACTGGTATTGAGAGTAAAAAGAAGAAATGAAAAGTATGCATTCTGTAGTATGACCATAACGTACCGAGGTTTGTATAACAAAAAAGGGATGCGATCGTTATGTCTGGATGTTCACGTTTCGGAATTCACTCCAGGCGCAAGCACAATCCAAGTCGTAGCTCCTATCCATGTGCTTCAGTGGAAGCTGGCTGAATATGAACGGGCACAGTAAAGTTATAGTGATCATGAGGCATAGGAAGCGTATCGATTACTGCTGGATTGCCCCTCAACGTAAACTCGAAAGTCAACCTGTCGAATATATCCAATGCGATTTTGTAGCGGCCTGGAAAAATAACCAGACTTCCATTCTCATCGGCTCTGGCCAGTGAGCCGAGGGTGAGAGGCAAGTCTGCTACTGGTGCGCTTCCGCTTGTTATATTGTGGAGGCGCAAATAAGACACCAGGGATTTATTTGGTCGCGGAGTCGGGCCTGCATTCTTGCTGGAAAGGAACAGCAAGCTAACATAATCGGATGTTTCATGACCAACATTTTTGAACCGCGCCTTCACGGCGGTAAAAGGTGTGTTGTCTTTGATGGGGCCACCAGAACTTCTTTGGCATGAGGCAACAAGCTGCTGAATGTTGTACTCGCTGTGCAACGTCTCTTTCCACCCAAATTCAAACTCTGTGTAATGAAGGCCATATCCGAATGGGATCACAGGTTTTCCTGTATACCATTTGTATGTTCTTCCAGGATATGAGCCGTCAGGGCGAAGGTTGATGTCGAAGATACTGACTTGGTCGGCATAACTGGCAGGATACTGAGTAACTGGTAGTCTGCCAGCAAGTGACCTTTTGCCGAGAAGGACATCAAGGAGTGCAGATCCACCGCTTTGGCTGGGATATCCCGCCCAGATCAGAGCTTGGATGCCTTTGTTCTTCAGGAGGAAGCTGTCATCGACCTGGCCACCGCCAAATTGGACAACTATCATTGGCTTCGAGAGCTTTGATAAGCTTGTGATGAGATCGAGTTGGTTTTGTGGCCAAGTAAGCGAAGTTCGATCAAGTGTTTCGGACTCCATGGAATTGTCGATGCCACCGAGGTAAATGATCAAATCAGACTTCTCCGCGGCTGCAAGAGCTGACTCAAACCCAGTGGCAGTCTGATTATTGATTGTTGTACCCATTGCATAATTCACTTTCCACCCGTGGTGGCTCTCGAATGCTTCCAACGGGCTAATTATAAAGGGCGCATTGCCTGAGTAGTCGCCTTGCATCTTGGTCGTGGCATTTGCGAATGGTCCAATCACGGCGACACTTTTGAATTGACGCAATGATCCCAAAGGAAGGAGCTTGTCATTTTTGAGGAGCGTCATACCTTCGACAGCAGCCTCATATGCGAGAGTCTGTGCAGCAGGGGTAGAAACGTCCGAAAAATCAAGGTCACTGTACTTTCCGCCATCGAAGAAGCCGACCGTAAACAATGCCGAATATAGTCTTTTCAATGCCTGGTCCAAGGTTTCGACTGAGGTCTCATTTGCAGCAAGAGAGTCATTGAGCTTCAGATATGAGGAACCGCATTCCAGGTCAACCCCGGCGTTGAGAGCAACGGATGCCGCCCCTTCCTCGCTGTCAGTAAAGTTGTGGTATTGCCAGATATCCGTGACTGCTCCGCAGTCAGACACGACGTAGTGATAGTCTTTCGAGAAATTCCAGTGCTTCCTGAGCACATCTTCAAGAAGGTATTCATTTGCACAAGCGGGAATGCCTGAAACTGTGTTGTACGAACACATGATGCTTCCCACATCCGTATCACGTACGCAGGTTTTGAATGGAGCCAGGAAGTATTCACTCAAGTCCTGTTGCATAGGGTTGTAGTTATTCCCATATCTGCTCGTCTCCAAGTCGTAGACCGCGAAATGCTTGCATGTTGCAATGACTTGCTTGTCCTCGGGGTCGTCACCCTGAAGTCCCGGAATAAAATTGCGAATATAACTCTGCGTGACAAATGTATCCTCTCCAGGCGTCTCTTGCCCTCTCCCCCATCGAGGATCTCTAAATCCATTGATATTAGGAGCCCAGAAATCGAATCCCGAAAACCCCTTGTTTGCAAACGCTCGTCCTTCTTTGCCGATGACTTGAGCTATTTCACGAATCAAAGCGTCATCAAAGGAAGCCGCCGTTAGAATCGGCGCCGGAAAGCTTGTGGCATAACTGAAATTGGCTGGTTTTGAGGTGAATTGCACCCCCGGTGCGGAGCCAACACCGTGCGTTGCCTCATTCCACCATTCGTAGGATGGCAACCCGAGGCGTGCGGATCCAGCTGAAGCATCCACAACATTGAGGATCTTTTCTTCCAGAGTCATAGAATTGACAAGTGAGTCTACTCTCTCATCTATGCTCAATGAAGTGTTGCAAATAGGGTGACTGCAAAGGGGCTGTGTTTGACATGCCGGCACGAACCCAGTGTTCGTGACGTTCCCTTCTGGATTCGAGATCTTGTACAAAGACATGCTAAATACAGTTCCAGAATATTAGAATCATACTCTCCTTCTGAATTTGCATTTTACTTACACATAGGTTCCTCCGCATGAGCTGGATGGTTCGGTTGAGCATCTCGAGTTGCAGCTGGTGTCGTTTGTTTTGCTCGCGGTGCTGAAATCGGGCATATTCCCACAAAAGCATTGCCTGTTTGGAGATCAGCTTGATAAATGATGTCATTTAACATGCAGTTCGCTTACGTTCCAAACTCGATACCCCCATATGCAAAGCCCCGTTGACCGCACCAATTGGCACAGTACTGGGGCGTCATAGCAATAGTGCTGAGTTTCGCCGCCGTCAAAATAGTTACTTTTGGATCTAGGTAACATCCAAGGTAGCTTGTTGACGCATTATATGCTGTCGCCAGCGATGAACTGTTCATGGTGCAAGTGAATGATGCTTGAACGCCAGTACTTACTGCTATGAGAGACAGTAGTAAGTTCGTAGCGGCGCGGATGGCTTGACATGGTGTCATGATCATTTCCTTTTCCGCGCGAAGAGATAGGGAAAGCCGTGTTCTCTACGGATTAAAATTGTAGAGGATGATAACATGGCCTACGACAAGCCCATTCAAGTGATTTCTAGGTGCTTAAATAGATTTAACTGCACATGGGCAGACCTGCTTGTAGTATTTCGTCGTTGATAGCTCCCTAGGCTAAATGGACTGCATACTGAGTAGGGTTTCCTCCGACCTAGAAGTCCGGGAAACAGCTCTCTATAGATCTCTACTCAGGAAAGAGGGGTTACATCTTCCTCGGAGCAAACTTCTCGATGCTTCCCCCGCAAATTCCGGTAACAGCTCCGGGACTATATTTCGGGACACCATTAACACCAGCCCATAAGACACCCATAAAAATCCTGTTGGTCTTATACTTGCACATAAATACTGAAAGCTCTAAGGGAACCACTGCTTATCTTTCAATCGCATAACTTGATCATAACCTTGCAGTAAGAACCTTCATATGAGTAGAAAATGTGGTATATCGCTCATGCGTCCCAACCAACGGACCCACACTGAAGAAGAAAGAGATAAATAAAGAGAGCCTTAAGGCTATTGGGCGTTAAAGAGTGATTTACATGACTGGTCGTCCAAGTATACCTTAGGGAGTGGAAAAGCTTCCCCACAAATCCCGGGAACCCTAGCAGCAGTTGCCCTGGACCCTTAACGCCACGTCTGCGGGGTATTTTCACTATAGTTACCTCGTCGCTCTCACAAACTTCAACACGATTTAAGCCGGCAGGGGATTTTCCGCAACTTGAAACATATCGTCGCAATTTTGTCTAATAGATTGATAAATCGAGAAAACGTGGGCCAGCGAGCGATTCTTTCAGGAGCGGTGCCAACACTATACCCAAGCCTAAATAAGAGAAATAACTGACTCATCTGAGACAATCGATTCCATTAGGCTAATAGGAGTATCCCTAGATAGAAACATCAGATATTTTGATCACAAACCATAAATGCTCCACTTTAGCCTGAATTTCCAGGTTACACAGAGCAAAACTCACGGCTAAACCTTCGTGTAGCTGAGAGATTCTGGCTTCAAAAATGCCTGTTCAACCTCGTCGGCACGGAAATTTTCCCAATTGAGACGGTAGTAGAATATTATGTCCCTGCTTATAGACTAAATGCCAACATATATAGTAAGGCAATTTGGGATGGAATGGCTGAGGACCCAAGAGGTGGAAAGAGCCAAAAAGACGAGTCGTAACAGCAGTCTGGTAGTTGGTTCAAATATACCTAATTCAGAAGTATGCTCACCAAGCTTTTACTCTTCGGTCTAGCCGGCCTTAATTGTGTCGAATCAATTAAGCCACCCCAGAAACCGCCGCCGCCGTCACCACGAGCACAGCCCTGATCCACTTTCGCAGAAAATGTCGTCTTCCAGCCCAAACTCCAACCACACTATTCTCTATCCCCGGCAAGTGGAACTATCAGATAGAAGTCTCCTCGCGACAGCCTCATACGGAGGTGACAAGACTCCATACTTCCCCATATTTCGAAGTGCAGATGGGGGTGCTACATGGTCCTGGATCTCCAACCTGACTGACCAAGTGAATGGACTGGGAATGTCGGCTCTGCCGGCACGGTTCTAGCCAGTGGAAACAGCTGGGGAAGTGAAAGCACAAACATTGATATATATGCCGTAAAGACAAGGGTCATACACGGAAGTTCGTCAGCAACGTGGCGAGAGGCCGCGGGCCAGATACTACAAATAGGAATCCACGTATTTGGGAGCCATTCATCGAGTGAGTGACGCTCTACCCATATTTCACCTTCGTTGCAGACACTGAACAGCAGGATTCTAGGTTTTTCAACACTACTGTCGGCGTGTTTTACTCCGATCAGCGTGACCCGCTGCATGGGCAAAAGCTTACCCACCAGGAATCGACAGACTTAAAATCTTGGGGTCCCGTGGTAGATGATGTTGCATATCTCAACTATACTGCCCGTCCTGGAATAACTATCATTTCCTATATCCCCCCTCTGAAGAAATGGATCCTGGTGCACGAATTCCCAGGGGGAGATAGCTGGTCTGGGGCAGGCTATCCGGTCTACTATCCAATGTCTGAGAGCCCATTTGATTTCCGATTCGCCTACGGCATACCCATCATGGTTGATGGGGTACAGCCAAACGCGTCTCCTTATGTGGTGTGGTCCTCGGTCGGCGGTGCCAATGGAGCCATCATTGTCAGCGACGCTGATCACAGCAGTGTCTTCACCAATCGAGCCGGTGGCCAACCTGATCAGTGGGAAATTCACGCCACATCTCAACCGGAGTCATACAGCCGGAGCTTACACGTCTTTGCAAAGTATCCGGATCATTTGATGATCCTGGGTGCAGGCGTCTTTAGTGGAACAGAGAATCTGCCGCTTTATCTCAGTGTGGTGAGCATAACAGATACCCTGGGGCAGGCAGCTGGAAAATAGAGAGGATAGAGAGGCTTTTCATGCTGGGAAGCCCGAAAATAACAGAGGTATGCCCCCCATCTTCATTGATTGGGGTTTGAACGGATTAAGAAGTGATGCTACGTTGAAATAATGAGAACTAAAATCTTGAGCCACTCCTTTTGCTCATAGCAGCTACTAAGCACAATCTAGAAAATGGCCAATTCCAATCCATACCTACTGAAACTATGCTGACACGGAAACTCCCAAGAATTTAGCTCCAACTGTTAACTTCGTCGAATTCTACCTACCTTAGTATCATCTACTATAGTCTACGAGGAGGAATTATCCTATTCGATAGACCCTAGCAAATTGAATGATATCCCCCGGCCGACTATTTACACTAGAAACTATTCTTTACTTTCATCATATTCATGAGGGGAGAGTCTCTCTACAAATACACTTTTCAACCCACAATCACTCTTCCTTCTCAGTAATCGTGCCAACATTACGCCAATCCCACCACAACCCCAGCGCAGTAAACATCCCCATCAACCCTTCAAAAGGAGCAACATTCTTCCAACCCCCACCACTACGATGAAAAACGACCATAGCCAAAAGCCGCCCCGGAATCGCAGCAAGCATCATGGGAATGTTATTCTGGTATGATGCAATGGCGTAGAATGAGCCCAGAGATAGGGACGTCAGACTATACAATTAATGTTAGGTATATACGGTGATAGTCTCGAGCCTAGATAGGAAGTGATATGTACCTGAGTGCTTGGATCGTGCCATTGCTAAGACCTTGTAAGGGTGAATCCGGGAGAGCTGCTGCGGCTGCTGGGAATAAGAGGGTGTAGATGCCGCTGGCTAGGAGGGGGACTGTCTGGATGCCGAAGACATAGGGAGCTATGAGGAGTGGCTTGCGTCTTGGCATGTTGGTTTTTGGGGACATGGTGCTTTGAGAGTTTGTAAGGCTTGGCTTTTGGGAAAGGGAGAGTCTCGTTGCTCGTCGGTTGACGTCGGAGGGAGGATCCGCGATCAGGCCGCCCAGACTAAGACCGAATCAGGCATCAGCTTACGGGGTCAGTTCAACCAATTCTGGTTGAGGCTCAAGCATCAGTAGTGGGGGCTGTTTCTACATGTTACTAATCGACTATGGATAACTAAGTTAGTCAACATGCAGTTAACTTGTACTCCCATGGAAACCGTTGTAGAAAATATTGGGTATCAATTCCAACTATGTACATGAAGATAACATAAAAGCCCGATCAATCAGATCAAGACCGTTCCACTACCGACGCCAGAGCCGCACTCACTATGCTCTTCCTACGAAGGCCATGATGATCGCCTCGTTTAGAAGCATCTCGCCCCGTATGAGAAGTATAGTGACTCTTCTCTATCCGGTGCGATTGCATAGCTCCAGAACTGCTTCTGCGTCGTCCACGAGCCTCGCCTGCAGAGGAATCCGCGGGTCCAAAGCGGCTGCGATGTAGTGTAAGTGCTCGTCGCCGGGGTGAGGACCGTGGTGGTAATGAGCTGGGGTGGCAGTCGTCTGGGAGCATGTCCGGGTTATAGGAGCCCTCTGCGACGACTGTCCGGCGGACTGCATCAATATCCCCTTCGTTGCATTGCAATTGTGAGATTTGTTGCCGTTGCATACGAACGTCCAGGTGATCTGGTATATTTGGGATCTGATTCGGAGTTTCCATTCTGTCTAGAGATAGGAAATCCGGTGGGATTGACGTGGGACTGGGGTTAGAACATAGCGAGGGCGAAGAGTCACATCGTCCGTCCTCATCATGATCCGTGTCCGGTGGCGTAAGGACATAGCCAGAGTACCGGCCAGAGAGTCTAGCCCCATTATGCCGAAACCGTGCCTGGTCCGGGATATCGGGGGCCTGGAGCGTATGTTCGTGCAATTTCTGCGTCAGGGTCGAAATGGAGAGACGTTTCTGCTCGTAGGGAAACGGCACAGAAGTTGGAGGCGGTTGTTGTGAGCGAAAGTAGGAGGATCGGGGGCGGGATAGAGTGCGGAATCGGTGCGACTGCGGCGAGGGGCATCGCGACGACAGGGGCGAGATCAGAGTACTGTCGCAATCGACCATGAGCCGGTCATCTGCATCCATGGCCAACCGGCCAGGTTGCGAGGAAGGCGACGAGAAAGAGAAGTCTTCGAACATGACGGCCAGAAGTACGTGGTCGGGATCTGAACGGGTTGCAGAGCCTCGAGGGGTAATCGGGGGGGTGGATGTACAGGAATGATCGAAGGGATTCTCAGTCGGCGCCCGATTCCGCGGTGAGACAAAGTCCACCAGGGCGTTGCAAGGCAGGGGACATGGAGATATAATGCGCTCGGGGAATTAGACGGGCGATTTACGATTTGCCCCAGAAGGAAAAATCTTGAATGGTTGAACCAGTGGATGGAGGGAGGCAAGACCACGTGATCTGGTGGCCTGCGCTTGCGTTGAGATTTCAAGGCGTTTTTAAACGCCCTGGTCCACCGTGCAAACTTTATTCTTTCCTTTCTTTTCTTGCGGCTTTGTGTCTGGTGGAGTTGGAGAAATGGATTTCACATTATACAGAGCGGAGATATTGTCCCGTCAAAGAACTCGTTCCAAGGGCAAAAGCCATACCCATATCCACATCCACTACGGAGTAGTAGATTTGCCACAAATCGACTCAAACACCCCCAAAGTATGCTCCCAAACTAATTTCCCCGTGTCATTTTTCCGAAGTTCTTGCAGGGGCTTCTTATTTCCATTGTCAGATCCATCCCAATGCAACAAATACGCACCACTACCCTTGGTCCCGTCGGAGCCTGGTGCCGCACGCTCAACGTCCTTAGACGCTCGTGGCGGGAAACGGGGGCTAGTGGCGGCGTATAGATGCCGCTCACCACTCTCGTCCAATGGCACCATCCAGGGGCGGGCCAGAACGAAAAGGGCACTCATGGCAGTGCGGGTGATCGCCCCGAAGTCGCGCATGAGACCTGTCTTCACTACACCCGGATAGGCGTGCACGAAGGATGTCGTTGGATACATAGATGACAAATGCTCCATAGACAGAGAGGTCATGGTAATGGCATGCTTGGCACAGTTTCGTAGCGAATAGTTTTTCTTCAGAGACAAGTCGTCGAGAATAAGGGGCGCTTCGCCACCGGCTTCCAGTACGGAAACCACTCGAGACAGATTTCGGTAGAGGCCCGGTTGGGTTGCAGTGGAGGATGCCTCGGTTGCCAAGCCGGCTTTGGTCAATTGCGGCACAAGATTCGTCAGGAACCGCATGCGAGAGTAGTAATGCAGACTAATTTTCTTATCCAGTCCTTCATCCGTTTCTATATCATAATAATTGTCAGTGGAACCCCGTCGATGCAGGAAATTGTCATAGGAATCGAAGATACCGTACCATCAGGCCCTTTGGTCGTCAATATTCCAGCAGTCATGAACAACAGATTGACTTTGTCTTCCTTGTCCTGGATAGTCTTGCAAGCCTCGTCCACACTCTTGAGGCGGGCAGCATCGCAATGCACAAAGTTGATTTGACCATTGGGATTGACTTGGCGGAGTTCCTCGATGATCTTGGAAGCTTGCTTCTCATTGCGACCGACAAGATAGACTCGTGGTGATACTGTGTCTCGTACCAAGGCACGAGCAGTCACTTCGCCAATCCCGCTGGTTCCGCCCACTGGTACATCTCTATGTCAGTTCGGAAGGGGCGGTACGGATAGGGGGCCTTGAGGATAACTTACCGAACACGGCCACTAAACCTGGGCCATAGTCTGCCAGGTTGACATTATTCTTCAGCACAGTTTCCAGTGATGCCATCTTTCAGATTTGTTGATGGTGAATGTCAGAATGATCAACGCGAAAGGATAACACCTTGCCTAGGTCACATGACTTTTCGATAGTCCTGCATTCCAATAGGCCCAATGATGGCTCGTCGTTTGAGTATTTAGGTGGGCAATGTGGAGAAATAAAGTTCTAACCTTACTTCAACCGGTTAGTAAACTGTCAGCATTCAACTCGGATATCTTGGCAAGTTCTGGTGTCAGCTCCTTTCTATGAATAAACAGTCAGATCAACCCGCCATTCCATCAAGTTTACGGCGGACTATTGGGTTCATCCCCAAACCCCCTAAATCCTATTCAGTGCCTTCACCGCTTATTCCACCGCCCTATACGCTCTAACTAAATATTCTTGACGTATAACTCACTATGGAGGTTATCTTATAAATCACATAGATATTTATCTGAGTTACGATAAGCTCGTTAATGAAGAATTATTATGTACTAGTATTATATACTAACGTAGCCGGTTTAATGATACGATTAGTCTTAAGATTAGTCTTGGGATTTAATAAGTTATACCTAGATTAATAAGTTATAGATTATATTAGATTGTAGTTCTACTAATCTAATTAGTTAAGTTAATCTAAACCAATTTCAATCGTTTCCCTGTGGTAGAATTGAGATTTTCCCGGTCTGAAAATCGCTAACTAAGGGTTTTGGGGAAGTGAACCCAATAGTCCGCCGTACAAGTTCCCCGTGGTCCCCGCGCTCTAGTCATTTGGGGCTCCAGCATAACAACGTGAGCAGCAAATCTAAGAGTAATTCCTTAGTCATAGCCCTATGTTATGTTGCTCTGAAGTTCCTTCTCTTGCTAATTCTTAACATAAGTCTACGATGTGTATCTCTGCTTCAATACCATACTCGGCTTTTTCGGTTGGTCCGGCAATGTTTCACGGATTTTGGTCGGAGAAATTCCATAATTGGCCAACGGGCTTCGTGCCTTTTTGATTTCGAGTCAACTGAGAGATTGCGGTCTTAGATTCAACGAGGCCAACGATGGAAGTTGAATCAGCTCTGATTGACTAATGAATGAACCATGGGAATGAATTGGATGCGGCGTAGCGAGGAAGAAGGAAAGGGCGAAGAAAACAGGAAGGAAGGAGGTGATGTTGTTGTATAGTTGTGACGACCAATCAGATGACGTTATTCCAAATCTTGATCTTAACCGCCTAATCAGAAGTAGAGAGCTATACTTTTGGCATTTGACCTGATTTGAATCTAATATTCACGGCATCCTGAATGGTGAACATTGGTGGAAGACCAATGGTATTCAATGGGACTTTGAAAAATGAGGAGTTCTTGTTGAACCCGGTGGATTTGTTGGTGGTTGGTCATGTTGTCAGGAAGAGATTTCGTGGACTTTTCATCGAGTTCACTATATGACTAGATGCCCGGGGTATAGGTACAAAACCGTACAGATCGATGAAGCGAGTAGTCCTAAAAACGGAGATGCAGAAGGGGGATGCTGGCTAGAAGGCTGTATACTGGGAAGGGAACACCTAATAAGCATGGAAAGTCCCTAGGGGGGTTTCGTTGCATCATGCTGTGTGGGAAGAATTTAAAAACCAACACAGTTCGGTCTTTGCGGTGTTTTGTTTAAAAAACAAAATTTTTTCTTTTTTCCGAGACACTGGAATCTCTTCTGTGTTGATGGGTAGGTCCGGTATATATCTCTACCGCGACAATCGAGATTGCCGCGAACAGACTTATCAGGACACTTAAAGCTATAACAATTCATTGAAGTTTTCTTTTCTAGGTAAATACGCAAGATATTTAATTGCTAATAAGACTCTACTCCAACACTAATTATGTACCTTCTCCAACAATCGTTGGTAAATTTGGAGCAACTTGACCCCAACTGGTTGACATCGGGCTTATCAACAGCGCAATCTCCCCGCACTTCGGATTTCCCGTCGGAGTTGCCCCCCCCCAACTGGCTCCAAGGATTGGGAATGCGCCAACTTCTCTTCTCCTCCAACTTCTTCCCACCAGCACAACTACCATGGCTACCTTTCTCAAGAAGCCCTTGAAGCTGGCCTTGGTGCAGCTTGCATCGGGTAATTGAATTGCCCCCCGTCGCGTCCACCATCCTTGTTCTAACCAAGCTATTATTTGCTGCAGGCGCGGACAAAGCCGTCAACCTCTCCCATGCCCGGAGCAAGGTCCTCGAGGCTGCCCAAGCCGGTGCACGACTGATCGTCCTCCCAGAGTGCTTCAACTCCCCCTACGGCACGCAATATTTCCCCAAATACGCCGAGACTCTCCACCCCTCCCCTCCAACGAAGGACCAGTCGCCCTCCTTCCACGCCCTGTCCGCGATTGCCGCCGAGGCAAATGCATACCTCGTCGGTGGCAGCATCCCCGAGTTGGAGCCGGAAACCAACAAATACTATAACACCTCGCTGGTGTTCTCGCCCACAGGTTCCTTGATCGGTAGCCACCGCAAGACGCATCTGTTCGATATCGATATCCCCGGGAAAATCAAGTTCAAGGAGAGCGATGTGTTGTCACCGGGCAATTCATTGACAGTCATAGATCTCCCCGAGTATGGCAAGATCGGTCTGGCTATCTGTTATGATATTCGGTTCCCAGAGTCGGCTATGATCGCGGCTCGCAAGGGCGCGTTCTTGCTTGTCTACCCCGGCGCGTTCAACACTACTACTGGACCTCTTCACTGGTCGCTTCTGGGACGAGCTCGTGCCGTGGATAACCAGACATATGTTGCGCTGTGCAGTCCGTCGCGGGATCTCGAGGCTAGCTATCATGCCTACGGCCACAGCTTGATTGCTGATCCTAGTGCTGGTATTCTGAGCGAGGCGGATGAAAAGGAGACCATTATCTATGCTGATTTGGATAATGATGCCATTGTGAATACTCGCAAGGGTATCCCTATCTACACTCAGCGGCGTTTTGATGTATACCCTGATGTGAGCGGCGAAGGCTCGAAGTAGACGGATTGGAGGTAGCTAAGAGAATGCATTGCATGGGCGGTATATTTAGACTGCGAATCACCAGGTATATCTTCGAGTGTTAATTTGCTTCAGATCGTAAGATGAAAAGTGTACAGGTAATAATGTAAGCTACTGAAGGTTGTCTGATCTTGGATGAGACTGCCAGCGATGAAAGTGACACCTCAGGCATGGATGTTTATGCCTGAGGCTGCCACGCAGGTTGATTCAAGATCACATGATGTCTCGCCCACCCACCAATCACAGCCCCACATTTCGATAAGCGAGCCCACTTCGAGCCCGTCGGCCCACACGAACTTTCACCCGCCGGCCACAATTCTGAATTTCTCTCCCCATCGACAACTTTCGCCCACAGTCGCCGACCACCCCATCCAACAGTCAGTCTCTCTCAACACACAAACCAACCTCCAGAATTTCACATTAACATTCTTCAGAAATGTCCTCCGCAAACACCGGCAAGAAGACCCGCTCGGCTATCTCCGACGTGGTGTCTCGCGAGTACACCATCAACCTCCACAAGCGGGTATGTTGAAGCTGAAAAAACCCCCCTCGAGACTCCCCCCCCCTACACGCGAGAACAAATCGATTCTGCGAAGAATCTGTGGAGGTACAAATGGACAGAGAACACACTCTCCTGAAATACGGAGTTTCTTCTATGAGGAAAATTAGTGTGTGTGCGCACTTGGGTGCGAAAAAGGGAACTGGACATTGAAAAATGTTCCAACACTTCCTTTTCAAACCACCCTTCCAACCACACCACCGCATTCTTTCTCGAAAAAAAAAATCAAGATTCGACAGTCTGGCAATCGGGAGGGGGGCGGAGACTCAACACTTCTTTCTTTCTCGCGCAGGGCGAAATCCCTCTGGCAGAAGGAGAGAATGGGTCTTTCTCCCCACTCCCGGTCGTCATGACATGGCCGACAAGAAGAAGAAATTAGTTTTATGAAGTCCACCTCTATGGCCGAACCAGAAATTCTCTCGCAGGGACTCGATCTCTACCAGATGGCATTCGGACGGAAGACTAATTGCAACCTTCTTTCCATGGTTATAGTGCCACGGTGTCAGCTTCAAGAAGCGTGCTCCCCGTGCTATCAAGGAGATCCGTGCTTTCGCCGAGAAGGCTATGGTAAGTGATATGACACCCTGATTATCCCGTCTCACCCTCTTTGAGGCCCATGCTAACCCTAATCTCTTCCTACAGGGCACCAAGGATGTCCGTGTCGACCCCGCCTTGAACAAGAAGGTCTGGGAGGCTGGTATCAAGGGCGTTCCCTTCCGTCTCCGCATCCGCATCTCCCGCAAGCGTAACGACGAGGAGGGTGCCAAGGAGCGTCTGTACTCCCACGTCCAGGCTGTCAACGTCAAGAACCCCAAGGGTCTGCACACCGCTACCGTCGATGACGCGTAAATGGGTTCTTTAATCCCATCGTTGTCGCTTCTATGATTCCATGTTACAACTGGGGTTTTGGTCGGGGCTTTTCAAAATAAAAAATACCTTCTTGCACGGCTTGTTTTCCGAGGCTTCATCGTAGTGTGTAATCTGTGTAATTTTCCATATCGTAGCGAGAACCTCTACATTCGAGTTTTCGACCTTGGTTGCTAGTCGACTATGCCCACTACAAGGTTCGCTTTACAAACTTCAAAAATCACAATGGGTGCGGAAACTCTTCATTCACAAAGATGGCCTAAATGCAAAATCCTCGCCGGATGTAGTATGTCGATAAGAAATGCAGGTAGAAACGAACTCAAAAAAAGAACTCCGGCCAGCTTTGATATCGTACATGCAATAAATGAGAAAACAAATCCGCAACCCGACCCGGAACACAGTAAACACAGTAAGAGGGAAAGACTCCTCCTTTTTTGCATATCATCATCATCTCTTTCTCACCCTCGGCGATTTCCTTAGTTCTTGATCTCTTGGATCTTGCTGTAGAGCTCTTCAATGGACTCCGCCTTGACACGAATGGCCCACTGCTCGGGCTTCTCGCTGTCGGCCTGCGGCACCATGAATTGAACGCTATTGCTCTGACGAGAATAGTCAAACTCCTTCTTAAGCAACGTGTTCAGGATGATGTTGCCACCGGGATCGGCACGGAGCACGATACGGGCACGCCCGGTCTCGGGGTGCTTGAGCAGACGGGCAACGCCTGTACCCTGGGAGGTCCAGCCGGTGGTCAGCTTGAACGCACGGGCACGGCATTCAAAAACCAAGGTTTCCTCTTCCTCGCCCGCATTGGCCTGGGACATGTCGAAGACTTCGCCGGGGGCAGTCTCCTCGTCAGGGGTAGCATCTCCAGAGTTAACCCCGCTGGAGGGCTGAGTAGAAGCCAGAGTCGACGCGGGAGCCGAAGTGACGGACAGGGCGGAATCAGTGGAAAACTTGATCGGCGAGGTAGGCTTCCAGGTCTTATCCGTAGCTGGTGCGGCGTTGTTTTGACCAAAGGAGATGGACTTGCCAAAGGAGGTTGACTGACCGAAGCTAGCCGAGAAGAGGCTCGATGTAGATGTAGAAGTCTCCTTTTGGGGAGTAGGGGTAGGAGCAGGAGACTGGATCCGATCAAACAAACTGCGACCGGCAGTGGGAGTTGGCGCTGGAACAGGTGTGTCCAGACTAGACTTGGCGGCATCAGTCTGTTCTGAAGGCTTGGTCCGCTTGGAGTTGCGCAGGGCAGATGCAAAATCGTCATCCGTACTGGCATCCTCTTCCGCAGGACGCTTGGAAGAAGAAGCCTTGCCCTCGTCACCAGACTCATCGCTGTCCTTGTCAGCTTCAGTCGGCTTCGGGGTAAGACGACCGAAGATGTTCTCGGATGCGGGCAAAGGCCGGCTAGAGGATTCAAAGATGGATCCAGTGGAGGATGCAGGAGACGCAGCACTGAAAACGGCATTATCGGCGGGTACAAATAGAGAGCTGGCAGCCGGTTTCTCGGCAGGCTTAACAGCATTGCTGCTAGTCTCCGCCGAGGCTGGCCCATCGACGTCAACCCACTCAAACTTTCCGTTCCTGAAAACAGACTTCTTCTGACTGCTAGCTTCGAGCTTCGCGCGCTTTTCACGCTGTTGCTCAGCATCACGACGCTCCCACTCTTCTTCGTCGTCGTCGTCTGAATCAAAGTCTTCCGCCTTGCGCTTGGCCTTCTCCTCAGCCATGGTCTTCTCTGCCTGCTTCTTGAACTGTGCCATAAAATCCACGGCGCCGACGCCATTCCCAAATTTGGGGGGAGCAGGAGCTGCAGAACCGTTCGGGGCTGTTGCAGAAGTTGATTGCGCGAACATATTGCCGGCCAATTTCGGGGCAGTAGAAGCGGTGGGCACTGCCGAAGCTGACTGCGCGAACATGTTACCTGCCAATTTGGGAGCAGGGGAAGTGGCTGGTGCAGGAGAGGCTGGCTGCCCAAACATGTTACCAGGCACCTTGGGTGCGGGAGAAGCAGCGGGCGCTGGTGAAGCTGGCTGCGCGAACATATTGCCTCCCAACTTGGGGGCAGGGGAAGCAACGGGTGCGGGAGAAGCAGCACTGCCATTTGACATGGACTTAGCAAACAAATTACCGGTAGCGCTCTGTGCCGGGTTTGACGCAGCTACCGGCTGAGCTGGGCTGGGGCTCGGCGAGGAGAAGGACTTGGCAAACACGCTGGATGTAGCGGAGCCGTTGGGGCCGTCGACATGGACAGACTTCTCAACTGTCTTCTTCACCTGTAGCTCGGGAGCACCCTTGATCGGCGCACCCATGCCCTTCCGAATCTTGATGTAATAGAGGATCAGATTATCGAAAGTGTCCGTTCCAGGTTGGTACTTCATGACTTCTTGCTTGAAGCGTGTATCCAATCCTCGGATCTTCCATAGTAGCTCGGCATTCTCTGTGATATCTTTGCTCGTGGTACGGGGGATACTTGGCTTAGGAATTGCTGCTTCAGGTTTCTGCACGCTAGCAATTCCAGAAGATGTCGCTGTGGGTGCCTTCACTGGGGTAGGTTGGGGAGCCGCAGTTTTACCACCGAGTAGGTTGCCAAATGGTTTAACGGGGCTCGGGGCAGGTTGCTCTGTCGCAGGCTTTGGCGCGAACGGGCTTGATGCTGCTGCCGGCTCAGCTGGCTTAGAAGTTGTCGAGGAGGCACCGAAAAGATTCTTGAATGGCTGAGGAGTTTCGGCGGGCTTGTCTGCGGCCTGCTGTGTCACAGGTTTGGGTGCAAACAGACTCGGCGTCGCTGTCGCCGGTTGAGCTGAGTTGGAGATGGTAGACAAACCGCCGAAACCGGCCCCGTAAGGCTTAACAATAGTATCTTTGGAGATTCCTTTAAACACATTATCAAAGGGTCCAGGCACTGCAGGCTCTTCGGAACTTTGCTGCGCGAAAATATTGCCTATTGAAGCAGGGGCGGTGGCAGGCTTCAGTGTGGCGGGCTGCGACGTAGTCGTCGATCCGAAGAGGTTCTTGAATGGCTGCGAAGCTGCAGTGGTAGAAGGTGCATCGTTGGTAGGAGCTTTGGGAGCAAAGAGGTTGGGTGTTGAACTCTGCTCTGCAGGCTTGGGAGCGAAAATGTTGCCTGAGGTAGATGGCTCAGCACTAGGTTTCGGCGAAAAGATGTTATTGGACGCAACTTGGGGCGTAGTCGCTTTTTCAGGTTCTGACGCTGCGGGCTTGGAGAACATGAACGGGTTGCTGGGGGCAGCAGCTGGGGCGGCTGCTTTGGAAGCAAAAAGATTGTTTGTAGCAGGCTTCGCAGGCTCCGATGGGTTGGAAGTGGCAGGCGTGGCTCCAAATAGGGACCCAAAGGGCTGTGCCTGAGAGGTTGCAGTGGGTGCCTGACTAGCAAAGGCAGGCTTGGCCGCGAAGGCTTCTGGCTTGTCACTTGGGGGCTTCTCAGCAGCAGCAGGCAAGCTCAGACCACCAAATGGATTGCCGGCTGGTGCAGCAGGCTTCGAAGAAAAAATATTCGAGGCACCCGATTCGCCGAAGATATTCTTACTCGGGAGGGAGGAAGACGCAGCGAAGACGTTCTTAGGTTTAGCGTCAGGAGACATCTGCATGGAATCCGCAACAGCATTTCCGGTGGCTTTGGGGGCCGCTGGTTGTCCAAACAGGCCGGTGGTTGCTGAACTGCTCGCATTTTGGGGTGCGCCAAACGAAAAGGCTGGCTGAGAGGTGGGTTGAGAGGTAGGTTGAGCAGCGGGTTGACTTCCAAGTCCGCCAAAGCTTACAGAGCCCGTAGTGGAGCTTGGTTGAGCAGGGGCAGAATTTCCGGCAGTGAAAGGGTTGTTCGCAAATGGGTTGCTTGCAGGAGCTCCAAATCCACCGCCAAAGTTGAATGACGTTGAGCTATTCCCGCCAAAAGAGAACGGGGCAGAGTCTCCTTGTGTGGGTTGGCTTGGCGTTGCGGTAGCCCCAGGGAAGCTTTGGCTTTGACCGAAGCTAAAGCCGGTTGACTGATTTGTGGGTGCGGAAAATGAGGGAGCTGGAGCAGACGAGAGCTGTGAGAAAGCGCCGGATGGTTCACCGGCTCCACCAGTCGGGGTTGTTCCACGAGGACGTCTGCGAATTTCTTTGATCCTAGAGACATCAGAAGGGGCGGGGGTCAGCATGGTTTCCAGATTTCGCTTAGACATGATGAAAAGGGTTGTGGGATGGATTTTCAGAATGAGAGATGGGGGAAGAGAGCCGAAAGCTGTGGATTTGCAGAAGATGCGAGGAGTGGATGAAGGATGGAGTGGGAATGTCAGAGAGACGAGGTGAGAATCACCTCACCCCAAACGCGTTCGCGATACATCCCAACAACGCGCGTTGGTGGGGGAAAGCTCCTCGACGACTTGGCCGCTCCTGCAGAGTCATTGCAATCGACTCTCACCACCACCACCACCACCTCTCTCTCTTCCACGACACATGCGTCCACGCGTAGAACCGCCGTGATACGATAGATAGACCAAAAGGGATAGAAGACTTACTTTCTGTTGGCCAACTGAGCGGCCGTCGCCCGTTGGGGCTTCTCCTCGGGTGTGCCCATCATACCGAATTCGTGCATTCTGTCTGAGCCTCCTTGAAGACCGTCAGCTAAGCGTTTGGACATGCTACGGCTGGCTTAGATCGCGTGCTCGCGCGTGGCTCGAAGCTCAAAGGTTTGCGGGCACCGAGTAAGCCTGAACACCTTCCCTCAGATCAAAGACGATCCTCGAACCTGGCGCTCGTTCATACACGATTCGACTCCACGAGTCTCGACGGGATTCGAGGGGATTCGGCGGAGGGATGGGGATACTGGGGTGGCGGTCACGATCGATAGCTGAATGCGCTTCTCGAGTGCCAACCGCGTGCAAGACCTGGTCGGAGGTGCAGTTTCCAATATCACGCGCAGGCAGATACGACGGTGAAGATGCGTGGCTTGCGATCACCGTTTGTGATTCCTCGGATATCCAAAGACCAAATCTTAGGTTGTCCTTGTTAAGTTGGATGTCGGTCGTTGGCGGTGCCTGGTTCCGTGACACGACCTCGTTCGCGAATGTGTCGCGCGAGTGGCTCCAAAGCGGGCTAACCGGAGTCAAGGTTGATTGATGAACAGGAAAGTGGAATCTGTTTACCTCGGATGGCAAACAGTCTAGGCGATGTTTAGAGGTGGAGGTGGAGGTAGAATGGAGATGGCCCTGATTATTTTTTTTACGTTCGCGGAGGTCGTCGCGGAGGCAAGAACACCACAGCAGAAAAATCCAGTCACGTGGTTTCTTGGCATCCACCGCCATCAATAGAAACCCGAGCTTCCTATGGATTAGACAATGGTACTTTGGTCCATGTTTACGAAGCATGGTAGGAACAGGTGTAGAAGTTTTGGGGATTTTTTGGGCAAATTTAAAGGGTAGCACTGAATGGAAATCTATGCTGCATTTTATGAAAGCTGCAACTTTTGGCTTTGTAGCTCTCTCGTAGGCTTTCCTGACAATGACGTCGCGACCTTGGGAACAAAGTCCGTCTTAAACCCGTCCAGCTGCGCAGCAGGGTACTCGGATCCGTGCACGGTGCACTCGCGACTATGTTCAAATATGTAAATAATAATTGGTGGCCAATATATTAGACAGTCATAAGGATTGGTTTAACTGTAACTAGTGAATGGTGTTGTGTTGGAATATTACTGAGAGGTGTGTGGATAAATTGGCTATCTTGGGGTGACAATATATATCTCGGGCTATAACTAGGTACTATTACGTGTTGTCGAGCTTCCTTGGATAATTACAATACCTAAAGACTTGTAATCCCGAGTATCCGCGGTTTCTTGCATAATGTTCCACTAACCGACTATCAGATCAGGCAAGATCATGATCGCGTGGGTTGGGTGGGCTCGGCTATACTCGAACCGCAACGTGAGCCCGAATGTAACGGAAGCTAGGATACGAACCCTCGTATAGGGTCGTACGGCAGCAGGAACCTTCCGAGGCGGAGTACTTCTCGAGGTAAAATGGACATGTACGTCCTAGACCAATTCGTGATTCTTCGGACTAGGTAACGCATTAGGCGTGTGGCGTGTAAATTGCCTAAACCCCGAGGGCCATTCATAGACGGGGCAGTATAGTTACCTCCGAGTATGAGGGGAAGCGACGAGACTCTCGAGGCAGAGTTTAGATCTCTGACACGCTAGTTTATCTACCTTTGTGAAGATTATTGCTTACGGATAGGCGTGAGAGCCTGAGAGGATGTGGATCTTGCCTTGGTATCTCGCAGTAGTTGACGAAGTATAAGTTTTCACAGTGTTTGGAACAAAGGCGTCGACACTTGTCGTTTGGGTATAGTCATCATTATCGTTAACTACAAATTATTGTTTACTGCAAGCATGGCCTATTCGCTCGTTAATAGACTTGAAGCCGAATCCTTGTAAAGCATCATTAATTACTTGTTGCTTTTGCCAATTTACTTGACCCCTGAGTCACATTTCCCCCCCTCCAAGTGGCGGCAGTCAATCCTGCAGCGAGTCACATTCCATTCCCGCTTTGAGCTGCACTCCACGGGGCTAGCGTCCCTAGTGCTTTAGTTTCTTCTTCCTCGTCAAGAAGAGGCAGCCCTTCGATCTCCCGATTGGTCCGATGCCGCTAAATATTGACAGGGGGGATCTCGACTCCCCCCCCGTGGGGCCCGATCGGCATGGTCGATTCCCGTTCTTAATTCTGCACTCCCCCCGATCATGAGGGCAGGAAAGTCGGCATGACAGCCTCACAGGCCGAAATCGGTCATGATGGCTTGCTTCACCCCATGTCCTGGACTGCCTCTTTTGCGAGCTAGCCCCGGGTTTCAGGGTCACTCGCCATCTATTTCCCCGTCTCGAGTGGTATCCGGGGGTGGCATTTTATTCGCGCTAGCTTTTGTGATGCTTTGAGAATGTGTGTGAAGGAGCAGGGGTGGAAACCTCACCCCTTTTTTCGAATTGTCATGCGCGTTCCATGCATGTTATTATTGATCCGAGTTGCAGGTTGCCTGCCGGGCAGCCTGAGAAGGGTGGAGATCTATAAGATCAACCATGTGTCCTGTGCACTGTCAGGGCGGCCCACCTTCTTTTTGGTCTAACCTGGTGTCAAGATGCGTTTCGTGCCATTCCTCTCATGCCTTTCTGCCATAGCATGTGCGAATGCACAGCTATTGGATATCCCGCAAGTTGACGCGCTGGTCAAGGAAGCGTTGAAGCCTCTGTCTGCGTGGACGCATTATCATGGTCCCAAAGAGAGCACGTTGAACGCCAACATCCAAGGAGTGGTGGAAGCGGCAACTGCAGCCGTGACCGATCCTTCATACTGGCTGGCAGACATCACTCATCAAGGCCTGGCCGCATTCAACTCCAACCCGTCTGGATACAAGGTCTTCCGCAATGTCAAGGACTACGGCGCCGTAGGTAAGATTATACAAACCAAAGGCTTGATCAAGGGATGCATCTAACATGCGTTATAGGTGATGGTGTGACGGATGATACTGCTGCCATCAACTCTGCTATTAGTGATGGCGGCCGATTTGGTCCTTCGAGCCGCGAGTCTTCCACAACAACTCCCGCCATTGTATACTTCCCAGCCGGAACCTACCTGATTTCGTCGTCGATCCTTGACTATTACTTTACCCAACTGATCGGTAATCCCAACTCAATTCCAGTCATCAAGGCCACTTCTGGGTTCACGGGCCTTGGGTTGATTGACGGAGACCAATACCAAAGCGATGGCAATCAAGGCTGGGGGTCCACAAATGTGTTCTTCAGACAGATCCGGAACTTGAAGCTGGATTTGACCTCCATCCCAGCAAGCTCTGCTGCTACTGGTATTCACTGGCCGACTGGTCAGGCCACTAGCATTCAAAATGTTGAGATTGCCATGAGCTCTGCGTCGGGTACCCAGCACCAGGGTATCTTTATTGAGAACGGTATGTCTTCCCCCATGATATAATGGATATCTGCTTACATCTTTCCAAAGGCTCTGGAGGCTTCTTGAACGACATTACAATCACCGGTGGACTCTACGGAGCTAATATCGGCAACCAGCAATTCACCATGCGCAACCTGGCCGTCTCCGATGCTGTGACTGGAATCTCCCAAATCTGGGACTGGGGTTGGACATATCAGGGACTCACCCTGACCAACTGCACAACTGGTCTCTCGATTAACAATGGGGGTGCTGGCAACCAGCTCGTTGGCTCGGTCAATGTTCTCGATAGCACCATCCAAGACTGTCCTACTTTTGTGACGACAGCCTGGGCAAGCTCGACTTCGTCCAACGGTAGTCTCATCCTGGAGAATATCGCCCTTGACAATGTCCCCGTTGCAGTGCAGGGAACCAGCGGCACTGTACTATCGGGAACAAGCGGGGCATCCACTATCAGCGCTTGGGGTCAGGGCCACAAGTACACTCCTAGCGGTCCCACTAACTTCCAGGGCAGCTTCACCGCGCCAACGCGCCCAAGTGCACTGCTTGCAAGCGGCTCATCGAGATACTACACCAAGTCCAAGCCTCAGTATGAGGCTTCGCCTACATCATCATTCGTTAGCATTCGCGGCGCTGGGGCCAAGGGAGATGGTTCCACCGATGACACTTCAGCCATCCAGTCTGCAATCACCTCAGCCGCATCCTCTGGCAAGATTGTCTTCTTTGACCAAGGAACATACAAGGTCACGGGTACCATCTACATTCCTTCCGGCTCCCGCATCGTCGGCGAGGCCTACCCCGTGATTATGGCTAGCGGAAGCACATTCTCAAGCATCTCTAGCCCTGCCCCTGTCATCCAGGTTGGAAAGTCTGGCGAATCTGGATCTATTGAATGGTCCGATATGATTGTTAGCACCCAAGGATCTACGCCCGGTGCTGTTCTTATTGAGTGGAACTTGGCCGCAGCATCTGGCTCCGGCATGTGGGATGTCCACACTCGGATTGGAGGATTCACCGGCTCTCAGCAACAGGTCGCTCAGTGTCCCACCACTGCGGCGGTGAGTGCTGCCTGTGAAGTTGCTTATATGTCCATGCACATCACTAGCAGCGCGAGTGGTGTGTACATGGAGAATGTTTGGCTATGGACTGCCGACCATGACCTTGACAGTGCCTCCAACACGCAGATCTCCGTGTACACTGGCCGTGGTCTGCTGATCGAGGGAAAGAATATTTGGCTGTAAGTTTCACCCTTTGACAACCTGTGATCGCAGAACATGGCTCACATTGACCTTAGCATCGGAACTGGAGTGGAACATCACTCCTTGTACCAGTACCAGTTCTCCGGTGCCAGCTCAGTTATGGCAGGCTTTATTCAGACTGAGACACCGTAAGCCAGCACTCGTAACGATTGACACCTTGTCTAAAGACTAACATGCAATGTTTAGGTACTACCAAACCAACCCCAACGCAGCCAACAGTCCTTACCCAACCAACTCTGCCTTGAACGACCCCAGCTACAGCAGCTGCCTCGGCGGGAACTGCGACGCCCTCGGTCTACGCGTTCTCAACAGCCAGGACATCATTATTTACGGAGCCGGCTTGTACAGCTTCTTTAACAACTACAGCACTACATGCTCCACATTCCCTACTCCCGAGAACTGCCAGAGCGAGATCTTCAGTATCGAGGGTACCACTAGCTCGTTGGTGGTTTACTCGCTCAGCACCGTGGGAACGACCAACATGATCGTCAAAGATGGTAGCTCACTTGCAGTTGTCAGTGATAACCTGGCAACTTATGCTGCTACCATCGCGTACTTCACTCTTTAGGATGTTTCCTGATTTTTTTTATTTTGTTTTCGAGTACATATTTTCAACTTACCGTCTTTCAGTCTACTTTGTTTATTCTTCTGTGTCTTCACACTTTTTTTCTTGTGGAAATTACTTTCTAAGCTAGACAAAATGGATTTTGATCTACCAGCTCAGAAGAGAACTTGAGGTCCGTGATTGCACTACACTCGTAGTCGGCTCTAATAATCCGACAGCCTCTCGGCTAACCGTCTAAATCCCGGATATAAATCCGAAAGTGGAGATCCGGGGTGGTGGGGGCGTGGGGGGATTGGTTCACTGAGGGGTCACAAGTCGGGCGAGGAGAGGAAAGATATCCCGAGGCAAGCTTACCGTCCCAAGCCTTTTAGACGTGTATTTAGAGTGTAGCACCCGCAGCCAGATCGCATATTCTCCTTCACTTTGACCTATACAACTACGTCACTCATCAGTCATGTCGGTACCTCAAAACGATAAAGTGATACCTTTCGAGGCTCTCCCACTAGATCCTTCTGGCCCGCGTGGAAATGCTTGGGGTCGATTTGGACAAAATGATCAGCTTGGTACATTAAATCTACTTACGCCGGAGGTAATTGTTGAGGCTGCGAAGGAGATTCGGACGGGCATTCGCATATCACTTGACTGGCCGCTCAGCATGCCGAGTTATCCCAGCTTCGATCGCAATCCTTTTAAGCAGGAGCTGGTCCTGCGGAATCCGAACTGCATTTATGATGATATTTTGAGTTTTAATAGCCAGGGGTCAACGCAGTGGGATGGGTTCAGACATTATGGTATTTCCCTTTTCCTCGTCGTAGTCTGTTCAGTGGCGATGGAAGCTAATGGTGAACTGGTATTTAGCCAATCAGAAGATGCGCCGCTTCTATAACGGGCACACGACGGAGGAGATTGAGAATTCTGATGTCATTGGTCTTCACAGTATGGATTAGCATGCTCACGATATAGCTCAGCCACGCTAATTAACCCATCATAGTTGTTGCCGAACATGGCGGCATGACAGGCCGTGGCGTTCTACTTGATTTCGCCGATTGGGCTGAATCAAACGCAGTCTCTATCTCAGCTCTCGAGTCACAAGCCATCACCCTCGATAGCCTTAAGCAAGTAGTCAAGGACCACCAACTCGAGTTCCGGAAGGGTGATATCTTGTTTATCAGGAGCGGTTTCACAGCAGCATACAACAAATTAAATGACCAACAGCGACGAGATCTTCCGAATCGCTCAACACCAGACTTTATCGGCGTGGAAGCGACTGAAGGGATGGTTCGATGGCTATGGGATCACCAATTCGCCGCTGTGGCTGGTGATGCACCGAGCTTCGAACGTGCTCCTATCCGTGGCAGCCACGCAGATCCAAATTTCAATTTGCACGAGTGGGTGTTGGCTGGATGGGGGACACCAATTGGGGAGATGTTTGATTTGGAGAAACTTTCTCAGCACTGTAAGGATACTGGGAGGTATAGCTTCTTCTTGTCTAGTATGCCGCTCAAGGTACGTTGTTTTCGCTCTCAAGTATCTTACCATTCAATAGAGCTGACATGGATATCTTTGACAGGTTATTGGTGGAGTTGCCAGTCCACCAAACGCGTTTGCTATTTTCTAATTAGTTGAATGCCGGGTTAACAAACAAGGCGTGGTATTCGTGGCTTGCATCAATAAAAATAATTTGTTGACTCATATGGCGAATGGAACCAGAATATGTTCTCCATGCGGCCTTCTTCAGTTAAAATCACATATCTACCGGATAATGTCAGGCAACTATTGGGGCCCTGACAACGTCTGATAACATAACTCCAGCCACAGGAATAAACCTAAAAGACTTTGTTAGTACATGGCCAGGTTTTAGATATAGAACTTCAATGCAACTGCTTGCAATATGGAACCGAAAGCGCTGATGTATTCTATTTGTCTATTAAATCTATATAAGTCTATAGGTATTTGAAACAATTTAAAATTTCGAACGTGCCAACAGGAGTGAAATCAATCAAAGATGGACGCCTTCATAGAGTTTGGCTGGATGTATCCCGAAGCATTGCGGAAACTGGTGAACCCCCACCGGATCTGAGCAGCCATAGCAATCTCAACATCTAGATCCTTGGCAAAATGCCAGGCTAAACCAGTATCCCGTTGGAACGCCCGTCCAACTAGGATTACATCCAAATTGTCGTCTTGGAGGATCTTCTCTGCAACATCGCCATGGTTAATCATACCAACGGCGGCGACTAGCAGGCGATCTCCAACAGCTTTCTTGACTGCCGCGGCGAAAAGAACCTGGAATGCCGGGCCGGAGGTAATCTTTTGTGCTGAATGAACACCTCCACTGCTGATATCGATGAGGTCAATGCAGCCTTGATCGGCAAGCGCACGCGCAAACTCGACTGTATCGTTGATTCCCCATCCCTGTTCTTCGGGGCGGTTCTCTAGCCAGTCGGTAGCAGAGACGCAGAGGAACACAGGCATATTTGGGCCGACAGCATGACGAGTCAGATGGGCAACGTCGAGAAAAAGCCGAATACGATTTTCGAAGCTTCCGCCGTAACTATCGGTACGCTTGTTGGATGATGCGCTAAGGAACGACGAAAGCAGATAACCGTGTGCTGCGTGGATTTCAATAAAATCGACACCTGCAGCAAGTGCACGCTTTGTTGCGGCCACCCAAGCATCCTTCAATTCCTGAATATCCTCAGAGGTCATCGCCTTGGGGACGATATCGTTTGGGCCAAAAGGAATAGCGCTGGGAGCTTTAACTTGCTCCACCCAACCGCCAACCGCATTTGTAGCCGTGGCTGCGCCAACCCAGGGAGGCATAGTAGACGCTTTGCGCCCAGCATGAGCAAGTTGGACACCGATCTTTTGGCCCTGACTGTGAGCGAAATCAATCACTTGCTTGAGTGGGCCGATCTGCGAGTCTTTCCACAGCCCGAGACAGCCAGGAGTGATGCGACCCTCGGGGAGAACGCCAGTCGCCTCGACGATCATCATTCCAGGACCTCTCTGGGCAATTCCACCATAGTGAGTCAGGTGCCATGGTGTGATATGTCCGTCGTCGGCACTATATTGGCACATGGGTGCCAGTGTGGAAAGTGGCCACCCTAATGGTGAGAGGCCGAAACAGCTTGGGAATAGGCTTGCCGCTAGTTTGGGGGTCACGAGCGGTTCCAGCAGTAGGAGTCTGTGCCGGAGCATAAAAAGGCACGCCCTCGGCTGCCTTAATGTGCACGTCGGGCCAGTTGGTCATAATGTGTTGTCGGTTTGGATATGACCTTCGTAAGTTCGAATAATGGAGAAGAGATAACTCTGGCAAGAAAAGGTTCCCTCCAAGAGTTTAACGACGTAGAGTGAATATCAGAAACTGACTTGTGAATCTTTTTTGAATATGTATCACTTATATGGGCAGGTAGAATTACGCTTTTATACTAACCCTTGTTCAAAGCTTACAAACCAGCTTGATCCCTACCGGTGAATGTGATCCTTGTAACTTGCCGAGAACCCGATTGTACCTACCCGAGCGCGATGTATTCATCGATCATTTGTAATCTTGGATAGAAAACTCTCCGATGGTACGTGAGAAAAATTTCGGCCCGGTTGGAGACATCGGGATTTGAGTTGGAGGTAAGGTTAAACTCTCGCGCACGCCATGGGTATAGTTTGGCACGGTTAGGAGAAGGCCATTTCCAGCCGCCTTCCCGAGCCTTCTGCTCAGAGCTCCACTGTGACGTGCCTGAGTAGGATCGAAGTCTGTGCCGATAGGGTCGGAATTAGCTGTCCTAGTGTATATTGTTAATAATCACCAAGGTAACTATTACCCTTTCAGTATTTACTAACAGATAGCAATATAGCGTAAATCTATAAGTATGATTGAAGAAATTTCAACTTAGAAGAGCTTAAGATGAAGACTAAATCATAGGAATAACGTGGCGAAAGCAAAGCGTCCCCACCCTAGCCTATCTATCTACCTCCTCAAATAAAAATAAAACTTTCCGGCCTCGCCCAAAGACTTCCCTTCCATTACTCCCGCCATAAAATCAACATTTACATAGCGAAAATGGTCAATGATCGGTCAATCATCATAGATCATCGCTGTTGAGACAGTTCTTTCGTACACCATCTCTCGCAGCTAGAGTCTCAGTTGCGCATGTTATGTATGCGAAGCTTGAAAAATGCTCACACAAGCAAACCCCCATTTTCCCCAGCTAGATCGCTTGCCATCCTGGTCAATAATCACGGGATCAACTTCTTCGGAGGATTTGAACGACTTTCCAATCCATTTGATTTCCACAAGTTGTTCGCCAACTGGATGGGGAGATTGGTTTGAATCACTGGTCTAATATCAGACCGTCGATCATAGTGAGAGATTCTACTAGGGGCATTTATTCTGAAAGGAAAACGAGCGGAACATGTTAGAATCATCACTATTGCTTAATCGACAACTCAAATTACTATGTCTATATGTCCATCTACTAACTAACGTTAGTTAACTTATAACTAGTTAACGTTACTTCATGGATGTCATCTATCTTACTCAGCACATACTCCGGGACCCCAGATTCCGTGACCGGGGGAATGTTAATCCGGGCTTCCCCTCCGCGTTCTAAATGCAACGCGAGCCTCACGACTTGACCAAGTCGCGAGCCACGAACCTTGGGGATTGATCTGGTTCGTGATGGGAGGAATGGGTGATCAAATTCCACTCTTCTCCGGTGCTGGTAGGCACAATTGTGAACAATTTTGGGTTTGTGACCTCTTTCTCCTTGCATTACCCACGGCTCCCAAGCTGACCAATCCAGGACTCGGAAAATGCATGGTTGTCACCATGCGCGCTGCCTTACTTGGTGATCGCTCCCGCCAGCGTGATTCTGTTTATTGCATGCCGCCATCTATTAGGCTCGGCATTACGACGGTGGCAACCTCAATGGACTCTTCCGTTTATTTCTGAGAAAGATGATTATCAAGGCTTCTCGCTGGATAGAGTCAAACAATCTCTCGGATGGACTCTTGCGCTTCTCACCTTTACGGGCATTGGCTTCTCTGCCGAGCTGGTGCATTTCTTCCCTCCAAATATCGACCTCTCTGCTATCTTTCTCGTTGCATCATGGGTAAGTTATTGACTTCCCGCGCTGAACAAGAAATGTTATTGATATAATCACAGGCCACAGCAGCCGTGGTAATCACGGTCAAACGACCGAGGTCATGTTCAATCTTAATGCTTGTCTTTTTCGTTTTATGCTTCATGGTTGAGATCATACTAGCCACGGCATCCTATGGCAAACCGAAATTCCAGACATTTGCTCGGTACACTGCCGCCTGTGCGGCTTTGATGGCCTGTTTCACAATTCTGCTGATGCCATTCCGAAAACCATCACTTCCAGTTATTGATATCAGTGCAGTCGGCCAGGCACCATGCAGCGACTTTCGCAGTCCAGAAGATAATCTACGACTCTGGCAATTTCTGACTGTATCATGGATGGCACCCCTGATATCCCTCGGACGCAAGAGGCAGCTCAATGAGCCAGATGTCTGGCTATTGGGCTTCGAGTTCCAACACAGTCGCCTCCATGAGAAGTTCCGTCGAATCCGTGGATCTGTCCTTCGCCGGGTACTGCAAGCAAACGGACTTGATGTCCTTATTATCTCTGTGATTGCTGTCGTGCAAATGATTTGCACGTTCTCCACGCCTGTACTCCTACAGCAACTCCTGCAGGCTATGCAGGACCCAATGAAACCAACACGTGTGCCACTCACTTATGCGATTCTTGCTCTGGCGCTTCGTCTCGTGGCCGCACAATCTCAAGTATTGAAACTGTGGTATGGAAGACGCTGTTATGAGCGATCTCGAGGTGAGATGGTGATGATGGTTTATGAAAAGGCACTCTCGCGCAAGAATATACTGGGTACGCACGTTGAGAACGGACGGAAGCAGCCAAGCGGAGAAGAGCCCACCAATGGCGACACCTCGATCCCCGAGATCGAAACTTTACCCCCTACCAAGCCCAGTATATGGAGCCTTTTTCTCTCTCGAAGCGTAAGCCGCAGCCAAAGAAAGCAAAAGAGGCTGCCACGCTGGGTAAAATTTTCAATCTTCTCCGAGGCGACGTCTACGACGTGGCGCAGCGATTTTGGGAGATCGATGTTCTTATCGACAAGCCTCTGGGCTTGGTCATCGCAGTTGTCCTCGTGTGGACACTTTTTGGGCCATCCTGTTTCTTGGGTATACTGGCAGTCTTGGTTGCCCAAGGTTTAAACGCCGTCATCACTCGATTCCTTCTTCGACGCGAACGACTCACACGAGCCGCCACGGATGCTCGCCTTCAGATCACATCACAGTTTGTGGAAGCGATTCGGCATCTCCGGTGGTACGGCTGGCAAGATCACTGGCTTCAGCGAGTTATGGAAGCTCGTCAACACGAGCTTAACCGTCGAATTGTCACCAAATTATACACCACCTGTATCAACTTCATCAATGCTTTTGCTAGCGGTGTCTTTCCGGTAGTCGCTCTATACGCCTACACAATGCTAGCTGATCATGAGCTACGCATTGATATAATCTTCCCCGCCTTGCAGCTTTTCACCATGCTAGAGACACGTTTGCGCGAAATTCCCGGTCTGATCACTGCCCTCATCAATGCTTCGATTGCACTCGGACGTATCGAGGACTTCATGGCAGAACCAGATAAGGAGCAAATTGACGCTGATCACCGTCCAGACGACGTACCTTTCCAACTTGATTCGTGTTCGTTTGCATGGCCGGGCAAGGTATCGCCTGTGCTCCGAGACATCAATGTTACCATTCCGAAAGGCCTTACCGTTGTGAGCGGAAAGGTTGGAGCCGGAAAGACGGCTTTCCTACAAGCTCTTCTTGGTGAACTCGATCGCTTAAGTGGCTCTTGCAGTCTCCCCAACGAAACGGTCGGATACTGCGCACAAACACCATGGCTACAGAGCATGAGTATCCGTGACAATATTCTCTTTTCCGCACCGTACGAGGAGCAGCGTTACAAGCGGACTCTAGACGCCTGTGCTCTGCTCCCAGATCTGGCTCAGTTCAAGCATGGTGACTTGACCTTCATTGGTGAAAATGGCGTTGGTCTCTCCGGAGGGCAGAAGGCACGAGTGGCTCTCGCTCGGGCGGTTTATAGTGCTTCCCGCGTGCTGCTTCTTGATGATCCACTGTCGGCATTGGATCACAATACGGCTGAGTTTGTGGTTCGCAAATGCCTTTCGGGGCCTTTAATGCAGAACCGCACTATTGTATTGGTGACACATCGTACCGCACTGGTGCGTGATATCGCCGATCAGATTATTGAAATTGACGAAAGCCGTGCCATTGTCCACAGCAAGGCTGCCATCTCAGCGTCTACCAAACGAGACGGGCCCGGTCTCCTGTCAAGCCTTACCGATTCCGAGACGGAGACTGAAGAAGCCAACGCAGAGGAAGAAGCAGCTGCCATTCCGGACAAATTCATTGAAGAAGAGCACCGTGCAGAATGGGGCGTCAAAGCCCGTGTCTATTGGAACTATATCCGAGCCGGCAAGTACCGATGGTGGGCTATCTTGGTCTTGGTCCTCGCAATATACCGACTCATGGCGGTTGGACAATCATGGTTTCTCAAAGAGTGGGGTGAAGCGTACGGTCAGGTCTCTCTCCCGCACAGTGGCCTGTCAGTCTGGCAAGTCCAGTCCGTGGATACCTCATTGGTATCAGTCTCAGGCGTGGATGCGTATTTCATTCCTCAAAATCCGATCGACCGGCTCCCACCTCCGTATGAGAATGTTCGCCCTTGGTTATGGACGTTCTTCGGCATCATCTGCTTCCAGGCAACCGCACTGTTGGTCGCTCAGCTATTGATGCTGACTATTGTCTACTGCGCGGGCCGGACCCTCTTCCGCCAGGTAATGGTTCGGGTCAGCTATGCCTCATTCCGTTTCTTCGATGTAACTCCTGTGGGCCGGTTGATGAACCGCCTTACCTCGGACATTGGCGTGGTAGACGGCAACATTAGCGAGCAGTTCCAGAATATTGCATTCCATGCAATTACATGGATTTCTTCGATCCTGGTCATTGCTACGGCGACCCCGGCCTTCCTCGTCTTCTCTTTGATTCTCACCCTAGCGTTTGTGCTCATCTTCTTGCGATTCCTGCCAACGTCACAAAGTCTCCGGCGCCTTGAGATGGTATCTTTGACGCCGTTGTTATCCAATTTTGGGGAATTGCTACACGGTCTGACCACCGTACGCGCATTCCGCGCGGAAGAACGGTTCCAAAATCGTGTCATCTCCGTAGTTGACAAGTTCCAGGGCATGGATCATTTCTATTGGTCATTACAAGCGTGGCTTATGTATCGCTTTGAAAGTCTCTCCGCACTGTCAACCTTTTGCTTGACTGTTCTGGCCCTCTATACAAACACCACACCTGGTCTGGTGGCCTTTGTACTCATCGCTGCTAACAACTTCGTCGACTCTACACATGCTCTGTGCCAGCAATACGGTCAATTGCAGATGGACTTTGTATCAGTTGAGCGTATTGACGAGCTTCTGCATATTGAAGAGGAACCAAAGGGCACGATCTATCCTCCGGCAGCGTGGCCAACGTATGGAAGCGATGTCACCTTTGAAAACGTCACCCTTCGATACGCCCCGCACCTCGATCCAGCTCTGAAGGACGTCTCTCTTCGCATTCCTGGTGGGTCTACTACCGCCGTCATCGGCCGCACGGGTAGTGGTAAATCTACATTGGCCGTCTCACTTCTCAGTGTCGTCCGACCGGAAACCGGCCGCATCCTAATCGACGGTATCAACATTGCCGATGTGAACACGCAGGCACTCCGCACTCGAGTCACGTTCGTCGCCCAAGATCCCGTTCTTTTCCCCGGTAGCGTCCGTCTCAACCTGGATCCTACAGAAGAGTTCTCTGATCAACAATGCGCGGACGTTTTGGAGCGACTCTGCGGCCGGCATGGATGGAACCTTGACACGCATATCGAAGCAGGTGGTAAAAATCTCAGTCAAGGGCAACGCCAACTCATCGCTCTCACACGCGCCGTTCTCCGGCGCAGTCCCGTTGTTATTCTCGATGAGGCTACTGCATCGATTGATCATGAGACTTCTCTTGAGATCCAGCAGATTATTCGAGAGGAGTTGCAGTTGTCGACTGTCATCACGATTGCGCACCGGGTTGAGGCTGTCAAGGACGCGGATTACTTTGTGGAGCTTGATCAGGGGAGGGTTTCACGATATGGGAGTGTGCGAGACTTGTAGTCACTAGATAAGAAGTGAAGGACAAGGAAAGAAGGTGCAGCAACGAATGGCATCACTTTCAGCCAGAAGATGCTGGATTAGCCCGATACCTGGAACTAGATTTAGATTTCGTATACATATTTTGTCCTCATCGATTGAATTGTGTCTGCAGCGCGCAGTTACTCAATCCTACCCCACCACGCTAATTATACAGTTATACACTACGAAGGAAAATGTAAGATCAAGGTATTACCCAAGGAACGTTTTCATGTACAGATGTCAAAAAAAGGGTATCTAAATATTTACAGCTTGGCCTTGCCCTGAGCCTTCTTGAGGATAGGCTCCATCTTGGTAGCCTTCATAATGTTGCCCTTGATCTTGAGCTTACCGCCCATGAACAGGCGCTGGGCGTTAGCCTTGCCGGCGACGAGGGAGGCGAAGTCTGCGTCGGAGAGAGTGAGGGTGACTATACAATCGCAAAGGGTCAGTATTGATCGTTTTGATCGGAGTATGCTTGTTCGTGTAGGGTTCTCAGCACTCACCATCAGCCTTGGCTCCAGCGGGGGCAGCACCCTGGCCAACCTCGCCCTTGTTCTTCAGGTCGAGGTACCAGCTGGCCTCCTCGCCCTTCTCGTTCTTGAGGTTGAAAGAGACGATGGCCTTGGCCTTGTCGACGGCATCCTTGCGCTCGGCAGCATCGGCCTGGAGCGTCTGGTTGATCACGTCGAAGGCGGCGGAGGCGGGAAAGGAATCTGTGGATTATGTGTTGGTTAGCATGGAGCTTTCCTAGTTGTGAGCTTCTTCCCGTGGATGCGACCGTGGGTGGAGGCAGTCGCGGAGGAATAGTGGAGGTGAGGACGTACCCTTCTTGAGAGACATGGTGGATGATGGGAGATGAATGGATGTGGAATGGGTAGAGAGAGGGATCAAAGTGGATAAGAGGATAGAAGAAGAAGTATAAGTTATATATGACGAAAGGATCAAATGCGCCGTGGCAGCGCAACATGTGAAGTTCCCAAAATTAGCGTTGCCGTGCCGAGGCCCCCGTGAACCCCGTGATTCCCCACACGACTGAGAATGGTACTCAACCTGGGGATTTACAGAACAACATGGTCCTGATTATTATTATCCACTCGTTCATAATTCTTCCCACACGCGATCTCACAAGGAGATGATCCCGCCCTTCTCCCCTTTACCCCCGAGTTCATTCCACTTGTGCCAGACTCTACCCCAACGAAATCCTCGAACTATCCCCAGTCTCCCCGATCCGATACAAACTTATGTGGACTAGTCCACATTGAACCGGACCTAAATTTCCCTTTTCCGATGTGCAATAGACCCATTACCTAGTCTAGCGTTGGTCGGTTTATTAGTCAACCAGGTCGCACGAATCCGGTATTCATCGCGATGCGCTAACAACCGACAATCGTTTCCTCTTTGTTTTTTACCCTCCGAGGATCCGCGACGTCACCGCCGACACGAGGCTGATGACGGTGCCAGCCGCTTCATATGATCGGGCCTCCCCCAGGAATGTTCCTCCCCTTGTGTCGCCAAGCTGCACGGTCCTTGATACTGTCTCTGGACTGGATGGTTTCCTCGTCGCATTGAATGCTGGGTCGTCATGGGCTTCAGCATTATAGGCACGTCGGCGCTGCGCTCGTGTCCTTGGTACTGTTTCCATTTGTCGCTGCCGCTTATTCGAGTCAATGGTGCCAATGCTTCGTCCCATGTGCCCGTACGCAAAACAACATCTTGAAAGTTGAGTTCACGCAGCGATTTTCGATGATCGAAAAGGAAAGATGCTACCTGCGATGCATCCATCACCACATTGACCAGCTCTACCTCTTGTAGGTAGGGCAATTTCAGCGGCCGGAGGAACCAATTCCCCCTGCTGGTATCGGATTGCCTCGATCTTTTGTTGGTCGGGTTTCGCAGACAGGGCTCACTTGCTAGCGACACAGGTGAAAGGCTCCTTTCGCCTTTCCAGTGGAATACCAGAGTCTGAAGCTCGGGGAAGCTTTGCAGGTACCCGTGCAGAAGCTTGAAATGATCCGTCAGCGAACCTGCCTGGTAGGGGAAACTCTCCATGTGGATGGTAAGCTGTCGAATTTGGGACCATCGCTTCCGAGAGGCAGGCGATGCGCCGAATCCCATATTCGGCTGGAGATAAAGTACGGCTGCGGGATGGACTGACAATAACGAAAGACTGTTCAAGAACTTGAGTGAGACCTGCTCAACTGCAATGCGCAACGAAATCAACGCATAGTCAACCGCGCTTCGTCGGTACCGATGACTAGGCGGTTGGCCCTCGCAGGTGATTCGCAGATGGCACAGATTTTTCATTGAGGATAGTACTCGCACGAATGAGGGGATGTCGGTGGCTGTATGGAAGAGAGGTGGGTATTGCTTGACTAGCAGGTCTGTCATCTCCCAGGTGCCATATTTGGGGCTCTTTGGTGACCTCTGTTGGTGCTGGGGTGTATACACGAACGTCTGCTCTTTCCCCGTATCGGCGTCGATGACTGGTGGTAAGAATGTCTCCGCGGTATGTGCGATGGCAAATGTCACTTGCTGAATATGTCGTCCGATACGCTCGAGTGCAGAGACCCGCGATGGCCTGCTCAGTGACCTGCAGCGGAATCGGATTGTGATGTCCTCAAAGAGGACTGGCTCTAGTTGAGTGGCAAGGTCTCGGCATACAAGGCGGCAGGAGAACAGGTCGTTTGATGTTAAGTAAAGTTTCAATCTTTGCCGAACTAACACTCTTCTCCAGAGTCGAGTCAGTATAAACTTGGGCAGCATCATTCTCCTTAGTATGCCTTGGCAGCTGTAGCAATAGAATATTTGAAGAAAGTCTTGATAAATCAAACTCATTTCTAGCAACACAGCCTTTTGTCTTCAATATATCATTCTCTGATCTAGCCAACGATTTTTGATATCGCATTCCTTCACACTCCACTCAGCTGTAGGTTCGGACACAGCTATCGACTTGCGTGCATCTCGGGTGTTTTCCCTCTTGCTGTATTTCATCATTGGAGAGTTTCATTTCCAGCCACTTCATAGTATGAGTCATTGAGCACCAACTTTGGAAGTCGATAGTCATGAATACAATGCAGCACCTAAGCGCCCGGTATAGTTCAGATAGGGATCCGCGTCCTGAATAGGGAAGTAGGGCTGGATTGAAAGAGCCCTTGTGTTTGTCGCGTTTGCATCTTTTGCGAATACAAAACGCGTGGACGCGTTCTATCAGCACGTGATGATAAGCAATGTCAACTTGCAAGGAGACGATTGAGAGATCGATCGATGGTGGATTATAGAGAATTCGGTGGATGATCGTATCGAATCAATATGCAGTAGTGACTAGGAGCATTCTGGTGGCAAGAAGAAACTAGAATGTCAAGTCAGCCCCGCAGAGCCGCACGGTTGAACCTCCAGGCACGCCCGCGATAAGCCTTGGCACACGGCGAGCGCTCAGAATGACATCGCCAGCCAAATTCTCCCCGGGCGACCAGCTCAACCTGTACGGGCTTCGGTGAGGTTACAGCAGGACTGGCTCCGGCTTCATCACCTGTCGATAACCCCTCTCACTTTTTCTACTTGACAACTTCTCGGTGCCTCTTTCCGCCCGCCCGTCTTCTCTCCGTGTTATCTCCACTCCCCCGCGACTGCGCGACTCCGCCAGGCTTCCCCAAGTCCATCCATCCGTCAGGATCGCATCGCATCGTACGAGGGAAGGTCAGTCCACACCTCAGTTCTCCCATCCCAGTCCTCGAAAGCACAGCAAAGCACTTGCTACCGTCTGAATCAGCGGGTGCTATGCATCAGCGCGCCATATTTGCTTTTTTTTTCTACGTATCCTGGGTGCTCTTCACCCGGGTGCCACCGCTCCGTTTGCACCTCGTCATCTCAAGACTTAAAGGCTGATAGTAATCTCCCAGATCCAGCCATCCTATCTTCCCTCGTCCCTCGCGCTGGCGCTCGCTCTGACTTGATAGTTGGCCCAGAACTGCCGTGTAGTCTTTCTATGGAGGTTTTCGTTCCGTCTTGCGCTCGACGAATTACCGCAAATTAATAGATCACTCTCGATTGATATCCGATCGACGTTAACCCTCACGATTGAACATTCTTATCCACCTTCTCTCTCCCATCCGTTTCATATCTTCCTCGGTGAACCTCGCCAATCATTCTACAACCCTTCTGTGAACAAACCCTGCGTCGTAACGAGCAACTACTACAACCACTCGTTGCTCGAAACGAACCATATCGCTCCGCTATTGCGTTCTTGACTCATCCATCACGGTGGATGAATTTCCTCCCATTTCACCCACGACTTGAAAAATATCCGGCTGGTCCAATCTGCGATCCTCGGAAACCTCAATCCCGGTCCCATTCGCATCATCCAATCCCACCACAACTATGGATGATTTGAAGCAGCGCAAGATCAACAGTCTCGTGGAAGACCAGGAGACCTACAGATTCCTTCTGGAGGACCTTCTCGAGCAAAATCCATCAGACACTGCTGGCATTGCAGATCTTCAAGCAACCATCAAGAAACATGAGGACGAGATTGCAGAACTGCTGGGCACCGGCCCCAACACTTCGGGCTCCTCTTCTAACAGTGTACAAAATGGTGTTATGCCCCGATCACCTCCCCGGGCAAACTCAATCAGCCAACCTACTTCTTTGGATTCTTCCCCTGCGGATCCGGCGTCTGCCCCTTATCATCCCTCAACTGCCCCCTCGCCTTTTGATACCGCTCGTACAGGTCAACCTGCACGGCCTTCTCTGCTGTCCCGACCTGATGAATCTCGTAAAAGACAGCGCCAAGATTCCATGAGCTCACCGGTCCAACGCCAATCATCGAAGAGGACGGCTGTGGACCGACACAAGTCTCGATATGAGGAACTGGAGGCAGAAATGGAAAGCCAGTTGAAAGCCAGTCGAGAACTTTACGAAGACACCAAGGACCGTGACTCTGTCCAGCTACGGGCAGCAAATGAAGGTATTTCCATCGAGCAGGTCTTAGAGGAAATGGACAAGGAGCAGAAGGAAGAAGAGGATGTTATTCGCTCTCAATTCCGGATGGACATGGACGAGGAAATGGCGCGAATGGTCCAAGCAGAGGATGCAGCCAGTGAAAGCGAGGATGAGTGGAGTCCCCCAGTGTACAGGATTCCTGATCGTACACTGCCACTCCCTTCGACACGTCCATATGCGGCTCCATCATACATAGACCCACCGCCACATCGTCGATATCCCGTGCCCACGCAGTTCGATTACAACGCCTACAACCCTGCTCCCCCAGGTTCATATCCATACCGGGATGACGATCTGCAAGAGATTCCAAAGGAGTACTTCACCGCGCGTGTGCCGGGGTCCTCATTCGGTACATCCGTGTATGGTCCGTCGGGATTCAGTCCTTCGGGGCCAATTACTCCTGCACTTGGTCCACCACGTTACACTCCCATGTTTAGTGGTCCCAATCCCCTCATCCGTGGTCGGACTCTCCCGTGGATGCACGATCCCAACCCTGTTCCCGAGCTGGCGGCCATCGACCTTCTCAGTGACAATCCACTCGGACTGGAAGATGCAGATGACCTTGAGTGAGTACGCTCTTTGCCATTGTTGATCATGGATACTAATATACCTGCGTACAGGCGATATGAGGAGCAAAACTTCCCTCAGGATATCAAGAACCTGATCACCGGTATCAAGGATATCCGCGAAGCCACCAAGGCGGAGAAGGACGAGACGCCGGAGGGTCTAAGAGTTACACTCATGAAGCACCAGAAGATCGGTGTAGCATGGATGAAGGCGAAGGAAGAGAGTAACCACAAAGGTGGTATTCTCGCCGATGACATGGGTCTCGGGAAGACGGTCCAGGCGATTGCGCTGATGGTCGCTAGACCTCCAACGGATCCCGAACGGCATCCATCGTTGATCGTCGCGCCAAAGGCATTGATGGATCAGTGGAAGCGTGAGATCCAGAGACATGTCGAACCTGGAAAGCATCAGCTTTCGGTTTTTATCTACCATGGTGCCAACCGTTCCGACTGGAGGAAACTGAAGTCTTACGACGTCGTCATCACCACCTTCGGCACGCTTACCGCCAGCTTCAAGACACTGCTTAAAGCAGAAAAGCTTGAGGAGGAAGGCAAGGATGCGAGCATTGTCAGAGAGTGGCGCAATATGGCAACACTCTTCACACCAGTGAGCAAGTGGCATCGCGTTATTGTTGATGAGGCACAGAATATCAAGAATCCCTCGGCCAAGTCAAGCAAGGCATGTTGCAGACTAAACGCAACATACCGGTGGTGTCTTACGGGAACGCCAATGATGAACCGGCTTGAAGACTTCCAGTCACTGCTGTCTTTCCTGCGCATCCGGCCGTATAACAACAAGGAGAAATTCAAGCGGGTACGTTGTCATTTACTACAAAGGATGATGCGTTTTATAACTAACAATTCTCTATAGGACTTCCGGGTGGTGAAATCCGGCTTTGTGCCTGAGCCTGTCATGCAGCAGCTGCGCATCCTGGTCAAATCGGTTTGTTTCCGCCGTACCAAGGCATCCAAGATTGATGGGCAACCGATTCTACAGCTTCCACCAAAGGTGATTGAAAAGGTGCATGTGGTCTTCGATCAGAAAGAGCAGGATATCTACAATGCACTTAACTCCCAAACGCAAGCCCAAATTGAGAGACTTCTCAATGCGGGTATTCTGGGAAAGAAGTACAGCCATGTCTTGGTGCTTCTGCTGCGGCTGCGGCAAGCTTGCTGTCACCCGCATCTCATGCAAGGAATCAGTACCAAAATCCCCACCGTCGAGGGTAGGGATATGGTGGCCAATGCGAAGCTCCTGAGCTCGACGGTCGTGGAGCGGATCAAGAACAACGCGGGCGGCGAGGATGAAGGCACTTGCCCTATCTGCATGGATATCGTTGAGAATGCTATTATCTACATTCCTTGCGGTCACTCTGTCTGCACCGAATGCTTTGCTCGAATCTCCGATCCCCAAATCCTGGCCCGTGACGACGATACGGGGATGATTAAGTGTCAGAACTGTCGTGGTCCAGTCGATCCCCTCAAGATCACCGACGGGGATGCGTTCAAGAAGGTTTATAACCCGGCCAGTGCATCTGAGTCTACCGCAGCTGCAGATGAAGAGGAGGGCCAGTCGGACGATTCTGACTCGGATGATTGGGACTCGGACACAGAAACCGAGGGATCATCCGATAGACCGAAGAAGAAGTCACTCGCTGAGCTCCGTCAGGAAGCCCAGAAGAACAAGCGTGCGAAGCACAGATACCTTCGCCGCCTTGAGAAATCATGGATCCCTAGCGCCAAGATCACGAAAGCCGTTGAGATTCTGGAGGAGAATGAAACCCGCGGCAAGGATGAGAAGACGATTATCTTCAGCCAGTTCACCTCCCTTCTTGATCTTTTGGAAATCCCGATCGCCCGTAAGGGCTGGAAGTACGTCCGTTTCGATGGCAGCATGAACATCACCGACCGCAATGAATCCGTTGCCACCTTCACGGATGATCCTGAGGTCAAGATCATGCTCGTCTCTCTCAAGGCCGGCAATGCAGGTCTTAACCTCGTCGCTGCTTCCCACGTCATCCTCTTTGACCCTTTCTGGAATCCATATGTTGAGGACCAGGCCATCGACCGTGCTCATCGTATCGGACAGACCAAGGATGTCTTTGTGCACCGTTTGCTTATCGAGAACACCGTCGAGGATCGCATTATCCATCTCCAGGATCAGAAGCGCGAGCTCATCAGCGGTGCCCTCGATGAGGGTGGCTCGATGAATGTCTCCCGACTGGATGTCCGGGAGCTTGCATACCTTTTCGTAAGTGCCCGTGCTGTCTTGCTGATATGTCAAGCTATGCTTGGGCGTCTTTTTACTGACTTTCTTCTTTTACGCAGGGAGTTCGTACCTAAGCCTCGACCCTTCAGTCGCTATGATATGACCCATGGAGACTTTCCTGATCTACAAGGTTCTCGTTTCATGCACCATTGCTGTAAATTTTTGTTATTTCGCGGGCGTTCCGAGGCGCAAATGATGATTACGTTCTACCCACGACAATCACATATACCCCCAAAGTCATCGCCTCATGAAATGTTTTCCCCGTGATTTCGGCTTCCTTGTTTAGCGTTTGAATAGCTGGATCGCTTTTAGAAATGAAGAACCTTTGGATCAAAATCATACTCTTTTTTTGTGGCTCGCCGAAATCGCGCTTTTATTTTCATTGCATATAGGGGGGTAGAATCAAAGAATTATTCATGGCTTTTTTTTGGAGACCTTGTTGAAAGAGGACATGCATTTTATGCAGGTAAGCTCGTTTCAGAGGGAGGAGAAAAAAAAAGGACATTTGGTAGGTAAAAAAAGAGTCTAAGCTACTGTGGTTGGGGGGAAAACCATAAAAAGAAATGCATAATCGTGCCGTCCCTTTCTTCAAACCGCCACTGCCCCAACCGCTTTCATTGTATCGTGAATCCTAGGACTGTACTGTAGTCGAGCCCAAAACTTCCGGTCGTGGAATGTGCCGCCCCTCTTTTTACATGTCGCTGTCAAAAGACGGAGACAAGGGGGGAAGTGGCTGTGAGGGACCCCGAAGTCCGGAACGGAAAAAGAACTGTCGGGGACCTGTTGGTTGAGGTTGACCACTTTACAGGTCGGCATCGTCCTCGTCGGGGAGGGGCTGAGCGGCAGCATCGGCCATCTCCTGGCGGTACTTCTCGAGCTGCTCGTGGTCGACGGTGACCTCGGGGGGAGCAAGAGCGGGGGCAGCGACGAACTCCTGCAGTGATAGTTAGTAGGCTGATCGTGGCGGTGAAGGATAAAGATGCGGGAAAAAAAATTACGTACCAGCTGGGGGTTGCCAACCAGTTTCCGGGCGAGCCACAGGAAGGGCTTCTCGAAGTTGTAGTTGGACTTGGCAGAGATGTCGTAGTACTGCAAGTTCTTCTTGCGGTGGAAGGTGATGGTCTTGGCCTTGACCTTGCGCTCCTTCACGTCGACCTTGTTACCGCAGAGAACGATGGGGATGTTCTCGCAGACACGGACGAGATCACCTATAAAATCAGTTAGTCAATCCCAAGTCCGTTAAATGTCGCGTGAGAGCGGGGGGGAAACGTACGGTGCCAGTTGGGAACGTTCTTGTAGGTAATTCGGGAAGTAACATCGAACATGATGATACCGGCCTGACCGTTGATGTAGTAACCATCACGGAGACCACCGAACTTCTCCTGACCGGCGGTATCCCACACATCGAACTGAATGGTACCCAGGTTCTATCGATTTCGAGTTAGTCGGCCGTCATAAACGAAAGAGGGGGTCATGGCAACGGAGTCGGAGCGGGGCTCGGCGGGGCATAGCATACGGTAGTGAAGGTCAGAGGGTGAACCTCGACACCGAGAGTGGCAATGTACTTCTTCTCGAACTCGCCAGTCAAGTGGCGCTTGACGAAGGTGGTCTATCATATTGGCTGCGTTAGCGAAGGCTGTTATGTCGAGTGAGGCGAGCGTTGGGCAGATATTTTCATCATTGTTGACATGATCGCGGGGCAAGGGAGGAAGAGAGGGGTTGTTGCCAAAACCGGGATCATCATAGGGAATCAAAAAGATCTCAATGAGGGCAATCGACTTCAATATCCTTTTCCTTGGCCTGGAATCAAAACCCGCAAGCTCAAGTAAAAACCGCTTACCTTGCCAGTACCACCGTCACCGACCAGGACGAGCTTGAAAGTAGGTGGGGCCTGCGCAGCCATTATGGAAATTTTTCGCGAAGAGAAAATGTAAGGGAAATGGAAATCGCTGGTAAATCAGCGGATGAGCAATAGACCACAGAGGGTTGGATTGTTTTTGGGGGGTGAGGAGGGATGGGGAGAAAGAAGGGGAAGGTCTGAATAATGCGCGATGGAATTTTTGCCCCGGTCGCGGGCGGGTCACGTGGTCCGTGTGTGTGCCTGTTGGCCTGACGTAGTCAACACCGCCTTGCTCGCATCACTCGGACTATTTAGTGCTGCACTATTGATTTAATCAGAGCGATGATTGTTACTTCTAGGGATAATTCTGATCTGTCTTAATGTGAGGATTGTACTATCAGTCGACACCAATTGACTATAAACATAATCCACTATTGAGACTCGGCATTATATCCCTAATAGCTGTCACCCTTCCTATAGGGCTGACCGTAAACAGTTGAATCATAGTATACATAAACCATGATGCCCAATGTACTATTCTAGATGTTCGCATCCACCTAAAACTCCAGCTACCTATATGCAATAATTGTCTTTTCCATGGCCAACAACAAACTATAGACATTTCTTACAACTACACAATACAACGCGCAAATACCATCCAGAATAAGGTCATGCCTCGTCATTCGTCAAGAAAATTGCATAGTCAACGTACAGAGATAAGGAAACCGCCCCAAGCACTCCTCCGTAGCCACGGCAACAGCAAGGAGGCCCGTCTTGGACTAGTCACTACAAAGGAACAAGATGACATCCCAGGAGTCCTCGACCGCCCCAATTGCGCCGTGGGGTCAGCTGTAAGTCCAGCTCGGTCGATCCTGGTGCGCCTTCGTTTTTCCTGGTTACTTTGACCATGACAGGGCGCTATATATATATATGGTCAATATGGTCCCCCGGCGAAGAAATAGATGGAACAATTGAGAGATTATCACTTACCCCTTCGTTCTGCTGTACAGTCTCGGCAACCTTGGAGAGGCGCTCATGATTCAGCCAATGCACCCCTCCAAATCCTCGAATAGTATCGCCGGCCTTCAGGCCGGCCTGCTCTGCCGGACTCCTGGGCTCCACGCTGTTGACCCGTGCGAATGGCGCACCTAGAGCACTGGCATCCGCGATGCTGCTGTCTGCCATCGATGCGACTGACGGAACGGTCGTGCCGTTCGTGGTGGCGGTCGCTTGCGCATTTTGTAATTGGGCGAAATGAGCGTGAAGACCCTTCTCAAGATACTTCATGACATCTTTATGATCGTTTCGTAGGTGGATGATTCGTACGCGCGTCGTTCGAACTGCCATCGTCTCTCAGTATATTTCGGTCGGAGTAGTTCATGGGCATGGCCCGGATCCAAGCGCACCTTGGGCAATGTCGATATCGTCGCGTGGAAATCCATCGAACGTCGTCAAGGATGTGTTCATATTGACTCCATGCTGGCGATACCAATAGAAGTTAGCAAGCTCTTTAACCTGCAAAAAGCCAGAGCTGTCATCCACTCACCGAACTGAGCACACTGCTGAGCGCCGACAGCTCCGCCTCAATCCGCTCCTTTTCCTGCATGAGATCGGGCATGGTCAACTTAGAATAGTTGCGAGGTGTGGCCCCGGACGTCGGTCCGGAGGCCACTGTAGGGGCGTGAATGTTGTCGTCCATGGGGATGCCCATAGTCCGAAGGTGGGGAAGATCGCAGCTTCCATTAAATCGCGGCGTGAAGGGCGGTGGGTCTCCGCTCTCCGTCTCTCTTTATAAGCGCGACTTGGCGCTTCCACCCAACTATACATAATCATACTTTATGCTCTACGACTCTCGTTTGCGAACCCTGATCCTGGTAATTCAAGCCGTACTTGGACACTGCCTAGCTTTGTCTGCTTCATCGGAATTCCGGAATCATAGCGAAAAGCCTCCCCAAGAGCCTACATCCTTGCGCACTTGGGCCTGGAGGCAAGATTTAAATTCCACCTGTTGAGCTGCCTCACGCCATGACGTACATGGATCAGATTCAAATTGTCGGTTCCTCAGCGGCTTCTACAGCTGCCTGGAGCCGGCGCGACTTGTGGTCATGGCGCTGCCTTCGTCGCTCTTCCCTTCGCGAGGCTGGGAGTCGGTGATTCCACCGTTCTGATGCCCCGATAGAAAGAGAAAGGAAGCGTTCCTTCTCCTTTGCAGCACCCACTTTCCTCGAAAGTCGCGGTCTCCGTCGCGACTGCCGAACAATGAGTGCTTCAACTTCGGATGCAGCAGCTTCTGGTATGACTGTGTTTACATTGCCTTCCCGGGGCGGTCCACAATTTTCATGACTCCAGCGTCGGGTATACGATATCAACCGAACGCGCTCGCCGCTTCGTTGCAGAATGGACAACACTGACATCGATGCGATCGAGATTGAGACTGCCGAGCTTGCTGTGGAAGATGAAACTGAACAGCTCCTGGCAGAGAAGGTGGAAGATGATGCATCACTGAGACCGAATGCCTCTCATCCATTCAAGAAATGGATGGACAGTTTCCGAACTCGCAGAAGGGTGCCTCCGACAATCCCGGAAAGACACGTACCCGGCTGGTTTGAATCAGCGCAAAATGAATATGTCGCGCCCAGCCCGGCTGGTCGCCGAGACTCGCTACTGTCAGGGCATTCGTCACAGCTGGGAACAGTGAAGACGACCACCCTGAGCATCACGAGCCGCAGCTTTGGGAGATCCCGGGGCACAACACAAAGTACTGCTGGTCAGAGCAGCCTCTCGGATGCTCGATTCTCAGGCGACAGCTCTCGTCCTACGTCCAGCCAGTACTTTGATGATCAGTCAGAGATGCGGGCGAACAAGAGGCGTCAAGTATTGCAAGAAATACTCACCACCGAGGCTGAGTATGTCATGGGTCTTAAAGCTCTTACAGGAGTAGGTCATTTGGTTGCATATCTATATGCTGGAGATCACTCGGCTAATCGGAGGTTGCAAGGTTCTCTCGATATTCGATACCCGACCTGAGATATATCACAACATTCAGAAGATTCGCGGCATCCACGAGAACTTCTTGACTCAATTGCAAACTATATCCCCGATGTCTTCTTCACAGGCTGCCGACGGTGCCTCCGACCTTGCGACTCGGGGGCTTTCAAAACGCTTGGGCGGAATCGACTTGCCTGGGCTGAAAGGTCTGCAGAGTCGGTCTTTGAGAACTCGAAGTTTCAAAGCGAGCATTAATCGACGTCTCAAGGCTATGCAAGCGGACCCTTTGGAGGCTCTCGAAGTTGCACGCGCCGTGGAGAATTTGGTCAGTTGTTTGTACCAGTTCCAAACGCAATAGATGCTAATATATGGCTCGTCTTCAGTCAGTGTCCTTTCCTGCGTACGAAGAGTTTTGTAGCAATTACGACTTGTTCACACAAGACTTGGCCATCTTGCGACGTTCGGTTCCAAATTGGGCAATGTTCGATCAGGGTATTGAAGCGTTGTCAAAATCGGTCACCTCCATTGAAAGCCGAAAGCTCGAAGAAAACAAATCGATGACTATGAGTGATTTGATGATCAAGGTTAGTTTTCTGGTCTCTCACGTTGGATGACGCGATATATTAACAATTCGCTAGCCCATCCAGCGACTGTGCAAGTATCCGCTTCTCCTTCAAGACCTGCTTCGGAATACCCCTGTCAGCGATTGTCCGTCGTCTCATAATGGAATGCGGCAAATTTTGGAGAGTTTGCGCGTTCTGGTGGCCCGAATCAACTCGGCAACCGGAAATCCCGTCAAGAAAGATCGGATCCAAAAGACTATACTCCTTCAAGGGCGCTTTGACTTTTCTGAGTCGGTATGCATGTTGATTCATGGTCTGGCAAGTACATGACTGCTGACGTTTGAATGCATCAAGTACAAACTGCAGGACATATATAAAGATTTGGGTCCAATGACGCTGTGCGGTGTTTTGCACGTCACCTATCAGGCCCCAGGGCAAACTACGGGAGACTTCATGGTTTCTGTGCTCTTCAACTGTTATTTGCTTCTCGCCAAAGGGCTGGATGATGGTCGACGACTGGAGGTTGTAGCATGTATCTACCTGGGTGATTTGAAGGAGGAAACCATCCAAAATGGACAAGGTAGGGAGTCTTCGACCACTGTCGCTTGGTTTCAAGTCTACATGCTGATCGCCCAGGTCTTTTCTGTTACGGTTGTCCGTTCTCGTGGAAGTTTCAGTTCCAAGTGCAAGAAGAGAGCTATGAATTCGTTCTCAGCGCATCATCCTCAATTGAGGAGAGGCTATGGAAAACGGAGACCCTCAAGTGCTCTGCGGCCCTCGCAGAGATGGCTAAGCCAGGCGGGACTTGGGATCCCAGAAAGTATACTCTTCTGAGCCTTCCTCTGGTACCGTTGGATCACATCCAATATACAGTGTCTTCCTTGGCCAGACGCTCATCGATGGACTCTGTGGGAATCCAGCGCAAGGCCAATGTCCAACCCGTGGTCATCAAAAAGACTCACTTTCCGCACTCTTCAGACGAGGCCACCAACCCACCACCGGAGGGCGAGATCGAAAGGCCCAAGACCACGGTTGCACGCGGTGCTCTAACCGTAACTGCAAAACGAGCGGAACGAGTTCGCCTAGAGCGATTGATCTCGGATGCCTATACTCGAGATGTACTTCCCTTGCCGGGAATGGTGCTTGGTCGAGGTGATATATTTCGACGCGGCTCGATCATGAGACGCCTCAGTCTTCATGCCACATTTGCCAAACGGTCCAGCTCGGTCAGTATTGCGAGCCAATCCGGACGGGCGGTAGCCGACGCGCGCTCGATCGACTATCAAAGTGGGGAGGAAAAGGATTTGGTAACCACTGGTGATGGGGCCAATGACCAGCGCCGCTCAGCAGAGGCAGACTGCGAGTCGCCTAAAACCCCGACATCAACACTTGGACGTCAACGGACGATTCGATTCCGGAGCATACCCAAAAGAACGTCCGAATCGGCGTCTTCACCACGGAGTGAGAAACGCACCAGTCAGGAGAGCAGCTATGAACTGTCTCCGACGCGGAAGAAATGGTCATCAACCATCGGCCTGCTGAGTGCGCTTTCGCCGAAGAAATTGATCAGGCCACGGTCCAACACGGGGCATGGGGAAGAGAATTGAGGTGGAGTGATGCTGTCGTCGGTTTGATAGTTCGGGATGGTGCCACGAACAGGTGGCACGTTGGTATGTTTAGCCTGGAATACTATTCTTACAATCGACTTTATACCCATATTGGGTACTTTGTTCAAGGATTCTTACCAATGAACTATTTTCAATCGGATGCTGGTCTTATACCCTAGCACACTTGTATATGTTATGAAGGTGCTCTGAACTGGTCCAACAAGCATTTCAAGAACAATCAATCTTCTCAATACAGGTTTTTCTATAGGTATAGCATTGCCTAGCAGCATGAGTTGAATAATTAGACTGGGAAAGGAGGGCAAGCTGCTGCGTGTGCATGGCCCACCCGAGCTAGAACTACGAGCAAATGAAGCTATCCAAAAAGCGACACCCCGATCCACAGAGGAAGTGACATAGCACATACCAAGTATCTACAGACATAGTAGCTACTTCAGGAACACTGACTCTGACGCCAGTGTGGGGTACATACCAGGGCATGCTATACAATGCCACAATGCAGCATAAGACAATGAGCTCCAGCCACATCGAAAGAGGAGGAATGACAACGAAAGCATAATAACATGGGCTGATACTCCACCAGTGGACCCCCAAGCAACCAAAAAGACCAAAAAGAATCAGCCAAGTAGCTTAGATGACGTCGTACAGCAGGCGGAAGGGAGCTTTCCATGACACACGAGCATTTGGCCAAACCCGTTGGAAGGTGACGTCATCCATCATCATCATCATCGCTACTTTAAAGCTCCCACAACCTTTCGCTTTTCTCCTCTTTGCTATTTGCTACCAACCATCTTCTCAAATTCATACCCAATTGAAAATCTTTCCACAACTTCTCAAGTCTCAAATCATTCAAGATGCCTCGCGCCAACGACAGCACCCACAAGATCTTTTACAAGGGTCGTTCGGAGGACTTTATCGTCTTCGTCGATGACCTCAATACCCTGCAGAAGTGGAAGGGTGACCGTAGCGTCCCATTGACTGATGTGCTGAATGGGTGGAAGATCTTCGTAACTCACGGGTGAGTCTTGGGTCTTGGTCTTTATCGTCTGTCTGTGTGCAGGTTGTCTAACATTCGTATGTATCAGACACGGCGCTCAAGGCGTTCTCGACAGCGCTAGCAAGAATGCTCTGGAGAATGAGTTTGGTACCTCTGATGATGACGATTGCATGGTGAAGATCCTGGAGGGCGGCGAGTACCAGACCAGCACGGTTCGTTCTTACTCGTTACTTCTGGGTCGTATTGTTCTTGATATACTGACTTTGTTTGATATAGGGACGTGAGCGTGAAGGTAACAAGAACGTCTCCATGGGCTCCCTTGGTGTTACCCGGTAAATGAACCAATCGTGTCAGAACCGATTGAACTCATGAACCATGCGATAATGGCCGCTTCCTTTGTCCCTCCCCTTTCTCGGTATCCACGAAGATGTACCTCCCCGTTTCTCTTCTATGACCTCGGCGTCGCTGGCTCATGGTTCACGGTTCATGAAAATCTATCTCCTGGGTCTGTGGCAGTAGAGTGTCGACCAGGGCTCTACAAGGAGAGATTTTGATATTTCGGGAAAGGTGTTTCCGGGCTGTATTTGCATTAGTTAGCAGTGGCAGGCTTCCATACCTGATATCATGAAATCACGAGAGTACGAGCAATCTAAACTCGTCATACAAATACCATACGTTTTGAATGAATAATTGATCTTCAGTATGTTCAGTCTAATGTGTAGCTTAGCAATGCATTCATATTATGGGCTGGCATATCAAAACGAATTGGATGGAGCCTTGACATGGATAACGGCCACGATCTAGGGTATATAGCAATGAAAGCTCTTTCAAGCGCCAAATAAACAAGCAAAATATTCACTAAAGGAAACCCCAAAATCAAATCTCAGAAGCAACGAACCCCGCCTCGGCCCGCCGCTTAACAACCCAAGCACCTAACTCAGCCCAAACAGCCTCCTTCTCCGCGATACTCATCCCCGCCGCAAGTCCACTCGTAGTCGTAGCCACAAAAACAGGCGCACCAGCCCAATCACTCCCATCCGTACACCCCATATTCTCCCCCTCATCCTGCCATCCATACTGAAACTCCTCCTTCCGAATCGCCCGTCCATGCCGCACACGCCAGACAGCCTCCCAAATCCCCTTCCCGACAAGACACACAGCCTGCGGCCGTTGCACGGCAACTTTAGCTTCAAGGACGGGCACGCCCGCGTCCATCTCGGCTTTGCTGAGCATGCTTGCGTCCCGGGAGGGTCGCTCCACGATGTTCGTGTTACCCACGTTGTAGAGCGCTGGGAGCTTGTATGTGTCTGAGGGCGGGTGGCGGATGGTGGTTATACCGGAGGAATGGAGGAGTTTCCAGTATAGGTTTGATGGGTGGGCGTAGGCGAATCCCGTTGTTCCGGTTAGGATGCCTGGGTTCACGCCGACGAGGAGGAGGGTTAGGTTTGCGGGGATGGTGTCTCGGAGGAGGGAGTCTGCGGCGGTTGGGGGGTACGTTGGAGGGGGCTTTCGTCGGCGAGGGGACTTTTGAGGGGAGGTTGCTCGAGATTGTGGGATGGTGGATGAGGAGCGTGAGCGGGTTATGGTTGTAGGTCTGACTGTTTTCGGGATGGTTCTCTCCACTTTCGGTCTTTTGGGACTGGCGGTGGCACTGCGTGTTTGTCTTCTATGGAATGGGACATTTTGCAGATCGTTTGTTGTAGCTTCTCGTTTGGGTTCGAGAGCATCGAGGTCCCTTTTTAGTGGACTGGCTGGCCTGTTGGTGGTTCCGGGGGCCAAGCTGTTTGTGAGAAGGAAACGATTCAGTTTGCCATGGAAGCTGGTAATTCTGTCGACCGAGATATTTTCTGCGACTGGAGGATCTGGAGTGCCACCATGCTCTTGTGGAGGCTCATCATGTTGGATGTTGGTTGAGGGCATCTTGGCCGAGTCAGTGTATATATGTGCTGGCTTCAGATGTGATCGTTAGTCTGACTCTTTGCCGCCCGGTAGTGGACTTCAGTCCATCGGTTGGTCCCGAGTGACTTGCAAAGCCTAGAGAAAGGTAGCTCTTGTTGTTCGAATTAGTACAGATGACTGGTCTCAAGAGCTTTCCTTGGAATCTGGTCGAAGCATGGTCGAAGCATGGTCGAAGCAGATCACGTGGTTTACTAAGCCTCATTCATCAGGCGCCAAAATGACATTCTAACCTAGAGCTGCTAGCACAATAGCCCGTCGATCAGGTCACATCTGATTATTTATTAGCCTGAAAGCGAAGACTCGGAGATTGAAAGACAATTTTAACAAAGTCTCTGGTTTTTTAGAAGAAATGGCCGTTTGCTGAATATTTGGGCGTGGCAAGCAAGTCAGAGCCCCGGATTCAGGTGTGGATGTATACAGCGGGAAGCATCAGCGGCCCGATCCTACGCAGAACTTCAAACTAGACGGGAGAAAGGTATATGCAGAGGGTATATGATATTATACTGTATTAACTATGTACATGATCTGCGTCCAATGTAATCAATACACTGGACCGATTCGAAAGGCTAAGCTTTGAGTACACTCGACCGCTTGGGCAATGTCCATGGTTCCGGACAAACGATCTATACGAATGGTCAGCAAGTGGCTCGTGAGTGTTTATACTGATATTTTCAACATACCTCGCCTTCACTGAAAGCCCAAAAATACACCCCGATGCCAATCAGATAATACAACGCGGGATCGGTCCCTTGGTAGAGCAGGGCTGCGAATAGAGCGCTGAGAGGGTATACGACAAGTCGGAGTTCGATGCTGCGATGCGGTAATGATCCGGCTAATGGTCGTAGAGGCCACTCCCAGGCCAAACCAATGAGACCCATGACTAGATTGAGGGTCTGTAGGACTGGAATCGGTGAAACGGCGGCATCAAGGTTCTTTGAAATAAAGTCCCAAAAGACCTTTGGCCAGATGAAGCCCTCGATCGCGCCTGCAATTTGATCTATGAGCAGGTGTAAGCGTTAGCTGCGCCGTTTGAATGATGTTGAGATTTTAGAGATAAACATACAGGCCGAGGCCGTCAGGATAATTAATCGCGCCCAGTGGTTTTTGATGAGCCTGCCCATCTTTTTGGATTATTGGATTCAGAGGCAATAGCCTGTATATCGGATGGATCTCTCGGCCAGCGACAGATTCCAAGTTTCGCACGGCAGTCGCTTGCGGTTAGCGACGCCGGTGAATTTCTGTTCAAGTCGCTCGTATATGACGGCGATTAGAGCAATGCGATGGAGGAGAGTAGGCTTTACGACCTGCCCATCAAGCCGAATCTCTACCAGTCGATCCCAAGAGAGTAGACGGAGGGTTGGCAGAGCGACGGCGAGGGGAAATTCGGACAGAGTCTTATCGCAGAAGCATGATTGAAATGCCTTTGGAGGAAAAAGTTCGTGGAATGGGTTGAGGTACGTTCCGCACCTGCAGGCGGGGGTCGAGTATAAGAATTCTATACTTAGACACCCAAAGTCGTAAAGATTCATGGAAGCGAGCTACCCATGCGACAGGATTGTGACGCTTGGGCGCTTTGGCACCCAAAAAAGGTCACTAGGTACAAGGGTATAATGGGATAATCCACTGTATGGCGGCATATCGAGGCGAGTGCTTCGTTGAGCTAGCTATCTCATCTGTGATCCGCACGGATGCAGTTAAGCGCCGACAGCCAATGAGTATTCCTAGATGTGCATGGCGGGGAGCAAAGACTGGACGTTCCCCTCTTTCCCCCGTGTGCTGAAGAGTGCACGTCCGCGGTGTGATTGGCTGACTGGGGATGTGACGGAGCGGATCGCCCTGATGGTCGAGGGCAAATCAGCGTCCACAACGCACCCGCTTGGCGTGACGAGATGCCGAGATGCAGCTTGTAGCACGCGCTTCCAGGGTTTTGCTCGTTCCTGGAGGGGGGTCTGACCCGTTTCACGCACAATTCGAATTGTTGTGGCGAGTGGCTGGGGATGGTTTCTGCGCGTTTCCAGGACGATGTCTTGGGAGTAAATGATAATTGTTTATGGTTCTATTGTGCCCGAGACAAGGGGATGTTTACAACCCGATGTCAGATGATCGCGCAAGCCTTGACTCTCTGTTATACAGTCTCCGAATCCTCCCATGAATGACTCCAATGTCCTGCACGCCTGGCCCGGTTGTGGCGTACAACGTTCAAGACAAGCAGAGAGGAGAAAGTTGTGATGGTCGATGTGATATGCAGTTGCCAAGTGGGCCCAGATTCCCTCTTTAGGGCTGTAAGCAGCTCGAGATAGCGGCACAAGTTGCACCGCACCCTTCCCCCCGCTAGCCATTTTACATGCTATATTTGGGATATTCGAGATGTCATTTCGGACGAGGCTACCAAGACGAGGCTACTTAGACTGGAGTGAAATGTCCGGCCCGAGTGACAGGCATGTTCACCCACGAATGGAAAAGGGCTGCTAGGACTGGGGGCACTGGTGTGACGAATGCAAGCGCTTGCAGAATGCATTCTATAGGCTGATTTACCAGTGACATTCTGCCTTAGCTTCAGTTACCGCTGACCACTCGCCAGCCTTCTCATCTATCCAATTGTCGGACGCTTTCCCGGATGGAGTTTGTAAAAAAGTCAAAGTCCTCGACGCCTTGCTCCACCCTTCTCACCACTATCTTGCCATGTGGAAGACCGGGGGATTATTATTAGTTCCAAAAGAACATGCTTCTTTTGATTCTATTTGAATTCGGTTTCAAAACTGGGGAATGGGGACTGGCAATTGAACCTAGAGGAATCTCAATGGCAATCGAGGACTATTAGCTACAACAGTATAAACCCCCCGCGGTTGATAAAACTCCAGTCAAGCAGGAACACCCACTCAATCTTATGATCTTTTCGTATCCCAACCACGCCAGCTAAGATCCTTGCGGCAAACCATAGTTCTAAAAAAAGGATATAGCCAAGCGAGCCTAGTGAAAGTGAGGTAATACTTGACGAGAGCTCGAGAGCTCGAGATCCTCTGGATAAGAGAAGACGGTGTAGGAAAGGATCCCGCCCCAGACTATTTAGAAGGTTTTTTGCCAGCATTGCCAATGAAAACCTATCACCTATCACATCCGAGAAGCGATCATTGCGCTCGTAGAGAACCAGAGGGAATCGAAAAGCACGGACTTGGGGTTGAGTTCATTGGACTAGCCTGGTCGGGTTCATTTTCGGGCTTTCGATTGTTGTGGCCGCTAGAAGCGATGTAATTATAGATCGGCCCCCTCCCTCACACCCCTGCAGCTAAAACCACAACGCTGGGAATCTTTGAACCTCCCTCCAGCCTTCGGTTTTGTCTTTAGCCATCGCACTGCATACTAATCGTGTTCGGAAAGTTCTTGCTGGTTCACCTCAACCTTGCGCTCTGGGAATAGCGACATCTTGAGTTTGTGCAACGACATCAGGTCTCTCCACCGTCAGAGATCGGGCTTCGAGGATTGTTGAACGATCGCATTGTATCTATTGTACTCTAAGAGTCTGCATCAAGTCTGTGACTGTTCACCAAACGTGAGCTGTGACCTTCTAGGTCAACCTTGAATCCCCCGGTCGGCGGGGTAGGCTGTGGTCGAGAATCCAAGTTCATGGAGAGAAAAAGACGCCAACGACCTATTCATTCCTCGCAACTTAAAAGGTTCAACTGATATTTCAGCCCCGGAGTCTTTCTCACGACTAGACCTGTGATCCTTTAAGGATCTCGGTCCCCTACTCAAAAGTTCGGGTTGCTGGCCAACCTTTGCTCGTCGTTCCTTTAATCAAAGCCCTCGCCACAAAGATTGTCGCTGGTCGACATCGCTAAATTCTCAAGACGACAATATGGTCGCAACTAATGAATCTTGGCTCAAACGGGCCGATTTGACTCCATCCAAATTGCTGTTCTATGCCTCCTTTTGGGCGATACATATTGGTATTTTCGCGCTCGGATGGTATGAGTGAAATCCCCCAGATGAATCCTATTATAGCTAATAACATTCACATAGGTATCTTCAAGCAATAAACACCAAACTAGCCGGGTTGAACGTCCTTAGGTACTCCGTTTGGATCTCCAGAGGTGCTGGTCTCGTCCTCTCTGTTGACGCAACTTTGATCCTTCTTCCCATGTGCCGGAATGTTCTCCGCTGGCTTCGACCTCAGATCAGATGGCTACCGCTTGATGAATCTGCATGGTTCCATCGCCAGATAGCCTATGCTCTTGTGGTATTTTCTGCAGTGCACACTAGCGCACATTACGTCAAGTAAGTCCCGAGGACGGTCTATTTAGACCAAGTCGAATGGCCGTGCTAATCATGTCATAGCTTCTACAATGTCGAAAAAAACCAGATTCGCCCGGAACTGGCTGTGCAAATCCACTATACCCAGGCTGGTGGAATTACAGGACACGTTATGCTATTATGCATGCTCTTGATGTATACGACGGCCCATCGCCGCATTCGACAGCAGTCGTATGAGACCTTCTGGTACACACACCACTTGTTCGTGCCGTTCTTGTTGGCTCTCTATACCCATGCTACGGGATGCTTTGTCCGAGACACGACCGACCCATTCTCCCCTTTCGCAGGAAGTCAGTTCTGGGACCACTGTCTCGGCTATGAAGGATGGCGATGGGAACTTCTTGCAGCTGCCTTTTATCTCTCTGAGCGGTTGTATCGCGAGATTCGATCTCGTCGAGAGACCGAGATCACCAAAGTGATCCGTCATCCATACGGTACGATTTCCATTCCTTGCCATGCCGAGAACGATGCATGCTGATTATATTGATAGATGCCATGGAGATCCAATTCCGCAAGCCCAGCATGAAGTACAAACCCGGCCAGTGGCTTTTCCTCCAGGTACCCGACGTGTCCAGCAATCAGTGGCATCCATTCACAATCACTTCTTGTCCGTTCGACCCGTACATTAGCGTTCACGTCCGTCAAGTTGGCGACTTTACTCGTGCCCTTGGAGACGCTCTCGGTTGCGGTCCCGCACAAGCAAAGGATCTCGAAGGTCTCGACCCCCTTGGCATGTACGAGGTTGCCTTGCAGAACGGACAGACGATGCCTAAACTACGAATTGACGGCCCCTACGGTGCCCCGGCAGAGGACGTCTTTGAAAATGAAATTGCCGTGCTCATCGGAACCGGCATTGGTGTCACGCCGTGGGCTTCAATCTTGAAGAATATCTGGCATCTACGCTCTAGTCCGAATCCTCCTCGTCGTCTTAAACGTGTTGAGTTTATCTGGATCTGCAAGGATACTACATCCTTTGAATGGTTCCAAGCTCTCCTGTCTTCCCTCGAAGCACAATCCGCCAACGCGGCTGCTTATCAGGGTAGCACCGAGTTCTTGCGTATCCATACCTATCTCACACAGCGACTCGACGATGACACTGCTGCGAATATCTACCTCAACACCGTTGGCCAAGCTCTAGATCCACTCACTGAATTAAAGGCCCAGACGAACTTTGGCCGACCGGATTTCAAGCGCCTGTTCACTGCTATGCGTCTCGGCTTGCTGAACCAGACTTATATCCAAGGTCTTCAGTCGGCTTCTACCACGGAGGTTGGTGTGTATTTCTGTGGACCCAATACGGCGGCCCGGCAGATTAACGATGCAGCCCAGTATGCATCGACCAAGGCAGTTCGTTTCAAGTTCTGGAAGGAACATTTTTAGTTTTCAGTTTTGTTTTCCAACTGGCGATGTTGCACCTCCCCATCGCATATGAAATTATGAGTGACGAATCTCTCTGTTGCTGTTCATTTTCTGTTTTGTTTAGTGGAGAGCCTCTACGTATATTTGAGTTATACATACGTTGGACCGGCCGGATGCCCTGTACTATAGTTGATGACCACTGCACAGTTTTTGAAATCAATAAATTCAATTTAGTGGAATGATTATCATAGCCGGGCTGACGTGAGATGCGGTCCGGCGAGCCCTGAGAGTTAGGTCATTGCTAGGGCTCCCTCATTCCACCCGCACACCCTCAACCTCCTCTTCCAATGCCTTCAGCCAGGCATCAGCCTCAACCTCAGCCTCCGCCCTCTTGACGGTCACTTCCTCCAGCTCATTGGCGATGCTCACATGGAGCCGGAGTTCCTTTTCATTAAGGATGTTGTACATCCCGCGGAGCTCGTCGAAGCCCAGAACACCTTCTTCACCGAGACGCTCAAAGGCGAGCATCACCAGCTCCTTGGACCAGGGGCAGGCGCGGAGCGCTCGGTAGAAGACGGCCTTTGCGGCCTTGATGTCCTGAGCTCGATCGAGCTCAAACAGGATGTACAACTTCCAGACAGTGATGTTTGCAGATGCACTGTCATCGCCAGAGCTCTGGACCTCGCTCTTGCCATGGGCATGACGTGGCAAGTCCGACTGCTCACCAACGGCTCTTTCGAATGCCGCCCGCACATAGTGCACATTCCCACCCGCCCACGTCGGACGACACAGTGCCATGTAAATGGAGAACAGGTGAATGGTCACTGGTGTCTTCTGCGGGATGATGGGCGACACACTAGTTTGGGCGTCCAGCTCGTAGCGGCTCCGGAGCTGGGTTCTGACAAGAGTCATTGGATCGCGAATTCGGTCAAGCATCGAAAAGCGCGAGTCATTCCACATGAAGAGGGCCAAGAACATGGTGTTGTGGGGGAACAGTGATACGCTCTCTCGCAACAGGATCTCTAGCTGGCTTGGCCGGAATTGCCTCTTCTGACTGACGTGGAGGTAAATGATCCTGCCACGTGCCTGATGCAGTAGTTCGGTGGCAAAAGCCTTGAACTTGTCCTGCTCAGGTGGTAGGTTCCCCAAGCTCAACGTTGCGGAAACGTAAGCGTCGAGGGGCCCATCCAGTGACTTGTCAGAGATATACCGGGCGAGGGCAATGCAATCCGTGTAAGCCAGGTAGAGATGTAAGTGAGCGTTGGCGAGTGCTTGCTGAGCGGCTTGTTGCAGGTACTATAAAGATTTGTTAGCAATCTCACTTGAATTCCAATTAGTAAGAGGACTTACCCTTTTCAGCTTGATCTCTTCAAAAGGGCCGTATTCCTTGGAATCAGTCACAGCATGGAATGCTGTCAGGTCAACCTCTCCCTTTAGGATAGAATACAGCAGAAAAGAGCATCTTGCGAAGTCGCCCTGCTCAAGCATTTCCCAGGCCCACGTGCTCCACAGAAGACCACACTCCAGTTTCGAGAAGCCCGCATGGTTGATAGTCGCGGACCATGCGTTAAAGGCGGACTTGTGTGCGCCTGACCGGCACTGCATCAAAGCAAAGCTATTGTAAAGCTTGACACTGGAACGGCGGGTTTTCAACAAGCGTTTTGCGAATTCCGCTGCTGCTTTGCGGTCGCAAGCGAATTCCACAGCCAGGGCATACTCGGCAAACTCATCATCTTGGTCAAAATGTCCAGCCAAAGATTGCAAGGTCCGCCGCACCCATTCGGTATCGAGAGGGTGTGACTTGCCAACTGTGGCGGTCTGCCATGATCGAAGAGAGTAAAACCAGTTTTCGGGAGCAAACAAGGTGTTCGTAGTGTGTAAGAAGTCGATGACCGGGAATGAGAATGGCGAAATGGAAGTTTGCAAGTCGTCAGTCTCAGGCGGGAGCCAGTCGGAGAGCTGCGGTTGTGCGGTGTCCATGGCCTCATTTCTCAAAAAGTTGTCGCCGCTCCAGAATCGAGTGCCCTGGGAACCTGAAGGCCTAGTCAGAGGTGGCAAGTGGCAGAAGTACAAGAAGGCATTGACCATATCTCCGGATACAGCCGTGGGCCAAAACGGAGGCAGGATTTCAAGGAAGTCAGGTGCGAGAACAACCGAGTACGCAGTGTCCACATCGGTTCCGTGGTTGTCCAAACTTCGGGCTGGCATCTTGAGATTCTGAATGCGATTTCTCTCAGAGTTTGCCCAAGATGGGAAGACGGATGGAAGGTCGATATGGGCATCAAGTTCACGAGTGACGGGATCGGGCATGGTGTTCTTCTCACTTCGCCAGCCTTCTCCGCCAAACTCGCCCAAACGCGCGACTTCAGAATCCCAAAATTCGCTAAATTGCTGGAGAGCCGTATCGCGCTGCCCTTCAAGGTGAGGGTCAGGTCGGAAGAAAACGAATTCAAGTACAGCCTGCCATAAACCAACTGCAAGTTCGGTGTAGCCAGCTTCGCGAAGCAAAAGGGTTAGACGCAAAAGCAGGTAGCACTGAACCTGAGAGTGGCGCGAAGCATTCGGAGCAGCGTCAAGCCGTTTCATGCACTCAATCAAGAGCGATCTGTGCTTGTTTAGGGAAAAGTCTTGGAAGTCCGTTTGTTGAAGATCCATAAACTTCAACTGAAGAGCAGTGGACTCGGGATTCTTGTCCAAGGTCTTGCGCCACTCGTCCCAAAGCTTTTCCTTGTCCCAGAGCTGGCCACCTTCTCGAAGACGACCGAGCAACAGCAGGTCTGTCTGAACATTGCTGCCACATTTGGCCAGGGCCATGTCGTATAGGGAGAGTTTCATATCGGCCAGGTTCACGCGTTCTGCGGATGTCAGGAGACGATCATCTTCATAACCAAGAATTAGAGCATTCTGATGGTCAATGAGCTCAAGCCATGTTGAGACATCTTCAGGGTTGGAGCTCAAGGATGACCAAAGCTCTGCATTGTATGCTCGGCGGTCCTCATCAATCCTAACATGACGAGCATCGTATTGGCTGTCCTGGTCAGTGACTAGTTCCATTCCCTTCGGAAGAACGTCTTCGATCTTTGCTTTGCCATGGATAGAGCGGTAGGCAAGACGGTCATCGTCGGAATCGCCCGAATAGTCGGTATCAAACCCAGGCTGCCTCTCAGTAGGCAGACCAAGGGGAATGGAATCGTCATTCAATTCCTCAGCAGAGAGAGCACTGGCATCCCGTTGGAGGCGGTAGATTTGTGTCGTCTTCTTTACAGGCCCTGACAGAGGTCCGGCAAACTTGCGCTTTCCAGACGCGGTGTTGTTGTCGCGTAGGATGATCAGGTCCCTTTCCGGCTCCTCTTGATCGATTACCAAATTAGGCGGCAGCCCCAGAACCTGCCCTGAGCCAATTCGACGGTAGGAGGGAACGGCATAGCGATGCGCGGTTCCATATTTGAAGACAGAGCGGTCGCCCTCTCTATCGACGACGAAAAGTTGATCATCGGTCAATTGAGAAAGCTCGTTGGATACATCTTCGGCAACTGGTGGGTGTGACCGATCCTGGTCAACGCTAGTGTGGCGACGTGACTTGCGATCGCGAGTTATCTCATGTTCACGGGAGGCTGGACGGTCTCGGAAGGGGTAGTCGCGAGTGTGACGCGTGGGTTGAGGGCGACGACTGGGAGAGCGGCGTCTGACTCTGTCTGTGGATCGCCGAGGAGAGCGGCTTTGGTGCTCATGACGGCGTTCCGTTCGAGGCCGGCGCTCAGCTTCCGAAGGAGCTGGCGGGGGCTTGAAGCTGGAGAATTTGGGGACAGGTTTTTTGTCCTTTGTCATGTGTCAAAATCTGCAAAAAATGGTGGATTAAATACAGCGTAGAACTTACTTGTGATCCCGACGACTCCATCGTCGAGGATCTTTGGTTTATCTCGTGGTTTAGGGAATAGATAGTTCGGATAAAGGTTCCTCCGGTGAGAAATGAAGGCGGTGAAGGAAGATGATAAATCTCGCAGAAAGAAGCGGTGAGGGGATGTAGAAAGCTTATCGAGATAAGGCGGTGAAGCGAAGAGTGAGTATGAGATGATGAATCCCGAAAAAGGAGGGCGGTGAAGGGATATAGAAAGCTTATCGAGATAAGGCGGTGAAGCGAAGAGTGTTGAAGGGAGGAGTACGAGATGATGAATCCCGAAAAAGGGGGGCGGTGAAGGAGGCTGTCAGGATTCTGGCAGAAAAGAATCTCCGTGCAGCTAGGGCGGTGAGGGAGGAGGCTGAGGGGAGCTCGGAAAAAAGAAGTTCCGATTGAGGAAGGCGGTCGGAACGGGTCCGACAGAAAAAAAAGTTGAAGGTCCACCACCCGACCAGAAACTTGAGCGCGAAGCAATCAACACGTCTGGGCACTCTAGCGATGGCTCACGGTGGTCTGTGTTGAAAAACTTGCAGATAAATACCCCCTTCCACCATGGCTTCCTCCCTCGCCGCGCAGCTGTCGCAAATTGCGGCCAAGTCGACCCACGAACTTGACCTCAAAAAGCAACGGGTCTCCCATTCACAATCGTTAATTTTCGACCGCAAGGTTGCCTCTACGCAAGACTTTGATACTATCTACGATATTTGCTTTGATGGCTTCAGAGAACTTTGTTCTCTTGATGCCCGATTTGAGGAGTTCGGGCGCTCTATCTTCAGCGAGCAGAGCAAGGCCGAAGATCGAACGCAATTGAGTAGCTCACAGAATAAGGAGCTCGATGCTGTGATTGAATCCTTCCTCGCTCTTGTCGGAGGGCGATTGCAGTTGAGTCCTGCAGTCAAGGCTGTCGACTGGTTGGTCAGACGTTTTAGGTACGACATGGACCGGTGATCATGCAGTCAAAGATCTAGCTAACCTCCATACTAGGGTTCATGAATATAACACGGCTTGCATCCTACTGACCTTCCTTCCTTATCACACTACTCCTCTGTTCCTCAACCTGCTCTCAATCTTGCCGAACGATTTGACCCCCACATTCAAAGTCCTCTACCCATATAAGACTGGTCTCATTAATCCACCCCGGCATCCGATTGTGCACAGCGCTACCACGAACAAAGCGTTCTTCGCTGCACTGAATGAATATGTCCTAAAAGCTTGCCACCAAGAGGCACAAAGCCATGCTTTGCTGTCCTTCTGGGCCGGTATCATTACGGAGGCTGTGGCAGGTATGTTGGATAGCGCTCGATCTGGTCGCAGAGAAGCCGAGAAGCAGAAACATGAGGATATTCTTATTCGGGTTCTGCCGCTTCTAAGCCGAGCTTTCACATTGAAGAAAGTCTCTGAGCTGATCGTCAGTTGCTATATGATTTCTGTCGTGCTAGCTCAAAAAGCTTCACTGACCGATGATGTCCTGGATGGCTTGATGGAGAGTGTGGTCACCTCTTGGACAGAAGAGACCCTCAGTTCCGGTCTCATCTGCCTATCGGTCTTGGCACAGCAAAAATCATCTGCCAGTCTTTCTAGGAAGGTCTTCAAAGCCATCATACGGCTCGAGCGCCCCATGCCGCAATTGTCCGAGGTCACGACTCAGTATCAGACTTCCAAGCTTTTGCTTGGCCTTGTTGCAGGCTGTGTTAGCAATCTTGACAAGCAAAAAGACAATGTTCGCCTCGCACTTCTTTCGTCCATCTTCGAGTCTACTGTGTTGCAAGGTGATGATATCCAAGCCGCTATGGGCCTCGTCTTGAAGGCGGCAAGCGACTCGGAGGAAGCTCGTGGCATGTCTCTTGATGTTCAAACTCAACTCGCTGAACTCGTTCAGGGATTCAGTCGGTCTAGCTCCCTGCAACCGATTTTCCAGAAAACCTTGGCTGAGGCATCTCTTAACATTCCTGCACTTGAGCACAACCTACAAACTGTGGTCGAGGCTCCCGTGCCAACCCCGGCTATTGAAGATGTGGATATGGAAGATGTTGGCGATGACAATCTGGACAACTTTACCCCCGCCCTTGAGTCTCTGATTAATGAATCCCTGTTCCCAACATCCTTCCTCAGCAAGCAGCACATCCCTGAGTTCGAGAACCTTGTGCAGGTCTTCGCTCTGGCTGGAGATTCACAGGCCAGAATCGAACAGTTCACCAACCTCCCGATCCTGGGCAAGAACAGCGCCACAAAGGGTCCCCAGTTCATCTCATTCTTCATTCGTGTCATTTCCGGTCCCTTCCCCATCGGTATCAAGGTTGCTGCATTGAACATTCTCTCCTCTGTTCTTGCATCGACATCGGGTGAACTCGACCCTCAGGCGCTACTGCCTTTCCTGGTCGTTGGCCTTGCAGATCCATCAGAACGCATCCGCCGTGAAGCTGCTGGAGTTCTGGCCATCCTTGGTTCTTTGTACAAGAATAAGAAAATGCTAGATGCGATCAAGCCCTGGGCCTCTGATGTTATCTATGGCAAGGGCAAGGGATCTACCGGCATCCAGTGGCTACCTTCGTCCGATGTATACAAGGTCCTGGAACACGCCATTCTCCCCGCCCTCGAGGAGTATATTCTTGATCCCAACCATATCGGCAAGGTTATCGACGCCACCCTCCGAGGAACCGTTCTCTCAGAGGGCTCGGGCGCCCAGGAGTTGAAGAAGTCTCTCCGGACAAGTCTCTTTACCTTCCTTTGTTCGCATGTTATCGGCATGCCGGTCTTCTCGCCCAAGTTCACTTTGCTGCGCATTCTCAACAATGTCAAGAAGGTCTCAGGTACTAACCGCACGAAGGAGCTTCTTCCCTTGCTCGAATATTGGCGTGACCTCAGCCAGTCAGAGGTTGATGATCTCTGTGCTAAGGAGCGCTTGTCCACTGCCGACAGTGAAGGCCAAATTGTCGCCATCGTTGCTTCTAGGAACGAGGGTGCTTTTGAAATTCTCCTGTCTAACATCGCCCCCCGCGCAAAATCTCTTAGAACTTCGTTCGTGGTGGCCGTGTTTGATCGGATGAAGGACATCTGGCCCAAGGCTGCGGAACCAGACCAATTGGCCGCCGCTCAAAAGCTGCTGGATGTTTCTCTTGGCTTGTCTACCGGCGAAACCTCCATGGCGGACTATTGTCGGGATGTTCTGCGCAGTGTTGAGCTTTCTGGGGCTATCCTCGCAAACTTCGTTAAGAAGATCCCCGTCTCTCTCACTGACATTGAATCTCTGGGACCTGCCCCCAAGCGCCGACGCACAAGCCAGAATAACATGGTTGCTATGACTGTTAAGGATGAGGCGGAGCTGAGCAAGCTCATGGACAAGATGACTTTCATCCTTGAAGTTATTGACAGCTCGAACCCAGGCTCTCACCCCGAGCTGGCTGATGGCCTCTTCCAGACACTTGCCGCCCTCCACCACTTCAAATCCCAGATCCAGTCCGGCATGAGCTATCTCCTGAGTTTGACCTTGGGAAGTCTCTTGGCTATTGTTAACACTTCCAAGGGATCTCCTAAGCCCTTGTTCGATACCTCGGTTATTCGTGCCGACCTGGTTGTGGATTGTGTGCGGACTACCGACAGCCCCCAGGTCCAGAATGCTGCTCTTCTGCTTGTGGCTGGTTTGTCTGTCATCGCCCCCGAGCTTGTTCTCCACAGCGTGATGCCCATCTTCACTTTCATGGGATCCAGTGTTCTTCGAAAGGACGATGACTATTCAGTTGCTGTTATCGACCAGACTATCGATCAGGTTGTTCCTGCCCTTATCCAGTCCCTTCGCAACCAGAAGCGCGATATCGTTTCGGGAACTTCTGAGCTTCTGCTCAGCTTCACTGCGGCCTTCGAGCACATTCCATCCCACCGCCGCCTCCGCCTCTTCCACGCTTTGATCACCAAGCTTGGCACCCAGGACTTCTTGTTCGCTGTCCTCGCCATGCTGGCCAACCGTTATGCCACAGACAAGGATGTTCTTACCTTGATGACTGGTGTTGCCTCAGATACCACTCCAGTTGTAGAGTTGACAACTTACAGCAAGTATTTGAACCTTGTCATCGACGCGTTGAAGCCTAAGCCGGGTATCTCCAAGGTCCTCCTTGGCATTGGTAGCGACGATGGACGCGACCCCCAGAAGGTTGCCGTCGATCTGCTCCGTGATCTCGCTCACTTGCTGAAGCATTCGTCCCTGAAAGCCAAGCTGGAAGCCGCATTCGAGACCGAGAATGAGGTTGCCGATCAAGTTCGTGCTTGCTTCTCTCGGGTTCTGGAACAGGTCCTGGGCATTGGCGAGTCTGTGCAGAGCATGAAGCCTGTTAGCCAGGCTTGTGGTGAGGTTTTGGGCTCTCTGTTCGGCACATTGTCTCTCGTCGACTTCCTCGATACCATTGAAGTGCTTCTCGAAGGACCCAATGATGATCTCCGACGCAAGGTGCTTCGGCTATTGGAGAACCGTCTCCGTCAAACCCCTGAGAGGGATAGCGAATCCCAGATCCGCGTGCTCGACTTCCTGCCCACCTTGGTCACTATTGTTAAATCCTCTCCAGATTCGCTACTCAAGCATGCCGCTGTTGCCTGCATTGACCGTATCACTGAGAAGTATGGTCGGAAGGACCCGTCCAAGGTCATCCCTGCAGCCCAGGTTGTTGCCAGTGCATCCTGCCTTGGCCAGGATGATGAGCGTATCCGCATCATGGGTGTTCTGTGCCTCGCATCCATGGCTGAGGTTCTGGGTCAAGCTATGATCCCGGCTCTTCCGGACGCGATGAGCCGCTCTCTAGAGCTGCTGGAGCTGAGCTTGACCCCCGACAGGGAGAACTCGCGCCTCCACGATGCTGTCTTCTCGCTGTTCTCCGCTCTGCTTGTCAACCTGCCATTCATGATCTCAGCCGGTCACCTGGACAAGATTTTGCGTCTTGCATTCAAGTCTACCGAGGCAGACCTTGAGGATAGCTCTGACGACAGCCGTTTGGAGACTCTTCGCCTGATGGCCTCTCGCAAGATGGACCTCGCCGCTACCCTTGGCGCTATCGATCGCAACTGGCACTATGCTGTTGAGACTGGTTCCACCGCTGTCAACGAGATTCTGGAGGTTCTCGCGCTTGCCGTCGAGAAGAACCCCAAGTCGGCAGTTGTCAAGAATGTCAACGTTCTGTCGAAGATTCTCTTCAATGCTTTCGACCTGCGCCGGGAGCAGGTCAGTCTTGGTGACGCAACCGACTTCGACGCCTCCGACCTTGACGAGGCTGAGAGTGCTCTGAACGATGTCACCATCAAGATGATCTACAAGCTTAATGACAGCACCTTCCGCCCGCTCTTCATCAGATTCGTTGAATGGGCAACCACAGGTGTGTCCAAGAAGGACGAGCAAGGCCAGGTCTCTCGCCTCACCACTTTCTATACCTTCCTCCAGGTGTTCTTCGGCACCCTCCAGTCAATTGTCACCGGATATTCCAACTACATCCTGGAGAACGTCGTTGAGATTCTGGGCACGGTTGGCCCAGCCAAGACCACTAAGGCTCTTTGGCTGGCAGCTCTGCGCACACTTCGCAACTCGTTCGAACACGATCAAGATGGTAAGCCCTTTTTGGCTCGCAGTTCCTATACATCACTAACGCATTTTACAGAATTCTGGCAATCTCCCTCCCATCTGGCCAGTATCTCCGGACCTCTTATTTCACAGCTTGCCCACGCAACCACCTCCAAGACTGCTGCACTTGTTGCTGAAGAAGTCGTCCCCGCCATTACTGAGCTGGCTGTCGCTGCCGATTCTACCGATAACTACAAGGAGCTCAACATGACTCTGATGAGGTACCTTCGTCCCTCGACGGCTCCCAACGCCAAGTCCGCGGGTGGTGATAACCCCTTCACTCGTCTTGCCGCCCTCAAGGCCGAGCAGGCCCTTACTGAGCAGCTCGGTGAGGAATGGCTCGCTCTGCTTCCTGAGATGTTGCCATACATCAGCGAGCTGATGGAGGATGAGGATGAGAGTGTCGAGAGGGAAGTCCGTAAGTGGGTGAAGCAGATTGAAGGTGTGCTCGGTGAGCGACTTGATGATATGTTGACCTAGTGTCGTTTTTTGTGTGTGACCCTTGTACAAAGATCCGCATTTGTTTGGCGTTTTAGAGTAGACCACCCTGGAGGGCTTTTCGTCTGCATAAAAGAATCTTATTTATTTACACTTCATATAAGCTTCTCGCGCCTCGTAGCCCATCCCCTTCCTTCGTTGCTCAGTTCTCTGGGACTGGATGGTCCTCAGCAGCGACTCCCGCGTTCCACCGATATTTGAATGCCGGATGGTCAGCCTTTGGACCTGTCTGGCCAGGCGCTGAGTATAAGTTCTCACGATAAGTTCCCTTCGGCACCGCGTAATCGTCCCAGAAGAGTCCTCGCCGGCGCAGTTCAGGGATGAGCAGTTCAATGATATCCTTGAAAGACCCTGGCTTAATGGCATACGCCTTTATTGAGAGACGTCAGAAAATTCACGAGTTGAAAGATTTTTAGGAATGGGTTTAGTCTGATCTCACCAGGTTGAACCCATCGACGTCCGCCTCTTGCACCCAACGTTCCATGCTGTCAGCAACCTGTGCTGCCGTGCCAACGGGAGTAGCACCCAGGCCTCCGACGGTGATGTGCTGACCGACTGTTGTCTTTGTCCATTTGGCGACTTCGGGGGTAGCCTTGGACCAGCCCTCCACGGCAGACCTATGTCACTAGGTTAATCGAGCACCGACAAGTCCAGTGGTGGTTACTAACCTGATAGCATTGCTCTCGACATGACGCAGCTCTTCATCATCGCCATACTTGTCTAAATCAATACCAGTCCACCCTCCGAACAGAGCAAGAGCACCATCGATCGAGCCCAGGCTGCGGTAATACTTGAACTTCTCGGCAGCTTCCTCCTCCGTGCGACCAAGAACAGGGCAAAGCAGGGCCAAGAACTTGATACTCTGCGGGTCTCGACCAAACTCCGTCTTCGCAAGCTGGCGAATCTCAGCAACATTCTTGGCCACCACGGACGGACTATGACCGGCCACAAAAATGGCTTCGGCATGTTGAGCTGCAAAAGTCTTTCCAGCTTTGGATGTGCCAGCCTGCAAGATGACCGGAGTACGTTGAGGACTGGGTTCGCAGATATGAGGACCTGGCACATTGTAATACTTTCCAACATGGTTGATCTGTCGCACGCGTGCTGGATCAGCATAGATGCCACGCTCGCGATCGAGAACCACGGCATCTTGACGCCAGGAAGACTCCCAGAGCTTGTATGTGACTTTGACGTATTCCTCTGCCAGGGCGTATCTGTCATCGTGCTGTGTCATTGTTAGCTTGTACTCGAAGGGGTATATCGTGTGCTTGTTACGAGATTAACGACTGACATGTGGCTGTTCAGATTGGCCCAGGTTTCGCGCAGCAGAGTCAAGATATCCCGTCACAACCTGAACTCTTGGTCAGCTCTCATCTTCCATAGTCAATCATTGCTTCCTTATTTCAGAGGTAAGATCCTACATTCCACCCGAGGCTGATAAATTCAATAGTTAGTGAACTGCCAATTATAGGCTATCTTGAAATTCGTTATACATACCGCCCTTTGGTAAGGTGGTCCACGGTCGAGAGCCGTCTCGCAAGATGATATGGCGGCTCATAAGTTGTTGTCACCGTCACTCCGAAACCGATATTCTTGGTTGCTGCCGCCATCGCTGGGACGACAGCCAGGGGCTCATTGACTGGCCATTGCGCGCCCGAGATAATTGCAGGATCGAGATTGCGCGGTCCCTTGTAAACATCGTAGCCGCCTGAATACAAAATATCTAAGTCTTTGTTTGGATTGCTCTACTATTGGGGGAAATTGACGTACCTAGCACATCCGCGATGAAGATGCCATGGAATTTGGCTGACTCCAGAAGCTGTGCCAGTTCCACCCAATGTTCAATGTCGTTAAAACGGCGAGACTCATCCTCGGGGTGGCGCCAGAGACCTGGTGACTGGTGTCCGCTGCCTACATGCCAGTTAGATGCCTCCGGGGTTGGGCTTTAGAAATACGAGATCAACGACTCACACATTTCCACGAAGGCATTGAGAATCAGTGACTTGCGTGGTCTCTCAGACCCCGCAACATTCGTATTCTCGGTCATTTTGTTGGATGTTGATTGAATTGAAAGGCAACGCGATCTGCTAGAGCTTTTTACCCTGATGTTCCACGCAACAAGCCTTAAACCCTCGAGGAAAAAGGAAATCCTACTAGCACGACATAATTGGAGGGGTAGCATGCAATTTGTATCTCGAAGATCGACGAGCACATCATCCCTGCGTGCGTCACTTTTCGTGTTTTACAATCTCAACTTCGTGGCTTTCGCTGGTCTCACAAGTTATACGTATAGCATCAAAGTGGGCCGAGATGGCGCGATCCGGCAGATCCTTAGAGGCCCCCGAGAGCTACGCCATGCTTGAGTGGACGATGTTGGATTAGACTTGGCTCGACGCACGAGTTAAATCGCTGCATTAAAAATAATCCTAGTTCTCGGCCCTATACGTTTTTCAATCTCTCGGGCGAGAGATGTACTCTGCGGCTTTGCGCACTTTGGGATGCATCCATGACCCCGGGTCTATGGCTCGGTAGCTATCAATTCCCCTATTATTTTTCTTACCGAGATCGCTAAACGTGATTGATTAATTTGTGCCTTTTCAGGATATTGCATTGACCTTGAAAATCTTGTGGGTCTTGTATATGCCCTGAGATAGGTATCAGTCGGTGTCTGGGCTGGCCTTCATGTTCACACCGAGAGCTACCTCACCCTTCCCCTTTCGTAAAAGAATCTGTTTTGAGTCTGCGCTACTAAGCATTATGGTAAATGACAAGGTATATAGACAACAAAGTTCAGGTTTTGATCTGCCACAAGTCGCAAATTTGCGGCCACCTGTTGTGGCACCTCATACTGGGCTCCATGGAAATCGATCGCTCTAAACTCTAAATCTTACCCTTTATTACTCGCTTCTCACCCTCAAAAGCACCTCATCGCAAGCATGTATCAAACCATTGCGGGTCCAATTGTGCTTATTCGCTATGAAGATACCGGCGATATGGCCTCCCCCCAGAAACCATGAATACCCCTGTCCCGGAAGACGGGGCTGCATCACACTCCAAGGAGATATGATTTAAACATGCAGGATCCCCGTAGTTCCCCACGGCTTTGGTAGCATATGCTGAGCTGGTGTCCACCTAAATTCGGAGACCCTGATTAACTACAGCTAGCTATCCGACTTGTGTATTTTATGCCAATCCGGATCGTCACGATGTCCAACTTGCATGTTCGTAATGGGATCTCCACGGTCGAACCGCCTCTTTCGCAGGCAGTGGGCTACATCATTGTTGTGTTAATCGGTATAATCATCGCTCTCGGTAAGCTATTCTAGTTTCCAATATCCTTTCAAGGCCAAGCTGATGAGAAAATAGTGATGATGCTTGTGACAAAGATCTTGAAGAAGACCACTGGAGAGGATAACAAGAAGACCGAAATGTACAACCTCGCTTTAGCATGGTTACGATGCATTATCTTAGTCCTTTACTAACCATAACTCAGGTTCATGACCGCAAATCGTACTGTGCGAACTGGTCTCACTGCATCAGCCGTCATCTCTGTCAGTAAAGCTTGACTCGGTTTTCACTAGGACTGTCACTAATTACCACCGAACAGTCTTGGCTTTGGTCGACAGCGCTCCTGGGCTCTTCATTTGTTGGATACGACTACGGTGTGGCCGGGCCATTCTGGTTCGCTGCTGGTTGCAGCCCAATGATCGTGTTTTTTGCCCTTCTTGGCATTTCGTGCAAGCGGAAGATTCCTGAAGCACATACGTCCCTAGAAGTAGTTCGGATTCGATATGGTATGCTTAAATCTGAATGAAATGAAGGACGTTTTCGAAAAGCAGTCTAACAGCATACAGGTCGAGCCGCTCACATTGTGTTCATGATTTTGTGTTTGATCAATAACATATTCGCTTGCGCAAACATGCTTCTTGGAGCGGCTGCTGTCATCTCTGCCGTGTATGTCATCCTTCAAACCCTTGCATGCTAAAGAAGCTAACCAGTGTAGATCTGGCATGCATATTATTGCCGCAACCTTCTTGCTACCCGTCGGTGTTACGGTATATACCTTCGTTGGAGGGATCAAAGCAACGTGAGTTTGGATTCTGTGCTTCTATCAAAGAAGTAACCTAACACTCAGTAGCTTCTTGACCGACTACTTCCATACAGCTGTGATCCTCATCATTGCTTGCTATTTCTCTGTCAAGGCCTTTTCGGATGACCAGATTGGCTCAGTTGGGAACCTCTTTGAGCTCCTCAAAGCGGCAGCTGAGCGCCACCCTGTTTCTGGTAATCACAATGGGACCTATTTGACCATGACCTCAAAGAGCGTGAGTATGACCCTACTTCAGAGGCCTTTACTCTGCTAATAATTCCTCTTAGGCCATCCTTTTCGGTATTCTTCATACCTGTGGCAACTTTGGCCTTGTTGTTGTAAGTAGGACTTTTTATTACCCAGAGATACATATACTAATGCCCAGGGTAGATGGATACAAGCTACTTCATCAAGGCTTTCTCTGCATCGCCTGCTGCAGTTGTACCTGGCTATACAATTGGAGGTATTGCCTACTTCGCGATTCCTTGGGCCCTAGGCACAGTAATGAGCTCTGTTGCCCTTGGATTAGAAAATCAGCCAAACTTCCCAACGTATCCTAGAGTGGGTTCATCCATATTCTGCCTCACTGTCATTAAATTCTTACTTTCTCCAATTTCCAGCGAATGACTACTTCTGAAGTCAGCGGTGGACTGGTTCTTCCCTATGCAGCAATGACCATTGCAGGCAAAGGTGGGGCGGCTGCTGTTCTTCTCATGACTTTCATGGCTGTGACTTCTACACTCTCCGCACAGGTGATTGCAGTCAGCTCAATTTTAAGCTTTGACGTGTATCGAGAGTATTTCAAGAAGTCAGCCACCGACCGCGATTTGATCCGGTCGAGCCACTTTGGCGTCATCTTCTTTGCCGCATTCTCTGCTGGCTTCAGCACCATGCTGCACTATGTCGGCATTGACCTCGGCTGGACTCTATACATGCTCGGTTGGTCAAAAGCTCAATAATTTCTCCCAGAATCTGGAACTGATTGCTTTTCTAGGTGTCGTTACTTGTCCGGGAATTTTCCCAATGGTTTTCACGGTTCTCTGGCGCCGCCAAAGCAAGGCCGCGGCAATCCTCTCGCCCATTCTTGGTCTTGCGACTGGACTTGCTGTGTGGCTTGGAACAGCATCTCATTTCGGAGGTGAAGTCTCCGTCGCCAGCACCGGTCAAGTACTGCCTTGTATGTACGGCACGGTAGCGTCTTGCTTTTCGCCCATTCCCTATTCGATTTTGATCACCCTTTTGCGGCCACAAAAGTACGACTGGGCCGATTTCCGAAAGGAGAAGCTGGCGCTTGAGAACTTGGATAGTAACTTGACCACCGCTCATGTTACGGGTTCTCCTGATCACAGTGAATCAAGTAGTATCGAGAATGGAGGTGTTCAAAGCGCTGCTTTGGAGTCGAAAGAGCTGAAAAGATGGGGTCGTATTGCGGCTTTCTGGTCGATTGCGACATTCCTGGGGCACTGGGTACTTTGGCCCTTGCCGATGTATGGATCTCGCTATGTTTTCGAGAAGAAGGTATGGACTCGCCAATTTTTATTTGATCTGACATCCTCTTTGAGTTGCCCATACATATGTGAAATATTCTAATCTTTGGCATTTTCAGTTCTTTATCGCTTGGGTCGTCATTGCCATTATATGGCTCTGGGGAACTATGCTTGTCGCTATCTTCTACCCGCTTCTTGACGGTGGCTTTCAGCAAATTCGGCAGGTTTACCGAGGTCTTACTGGTAAGGAAAACATAAGTTCCAGTGTTGAAGGTGCCGAAAAGGAAACAAAAGATGATCCAAAAGTCTTTCATTCCTCGTCATCTACAGGGTCAACCGACGAAGGCCATCGGCAGCAGACGATCAAGGCTGACGTTATATAACTTCATGGATTGGAGAAGAAGTGGAAGAATTTTTGCAAGGCTTCAAACAATATCGTGGGAGAAATGTTGGCACGTTGGCCATTAGATGCTTTGACGGATCTATTAAATTCTAATACCGGGGTAAATGTATGTGTTTTGTTTATCTCCGAGAGTTGGAGCACATTGTTGTTATCTCATCACTGCCTCCCTTCTATTCATGTGCACACGAGCAGTCATCAGAGATATGGTACCCCTATCTACTAAGATTCGTTGCCAAACCTCAAGGTGTCGGTGTGTCCAAATATAGCCGAAGATCTGTACCAAGCTTCAGCGTACTAATCGAGCTCTCACGTCAAGAAGCGGTTGTCCATTCACTCTCCTCCTATTAAGATCAAGAATCAAATTATTATCTTATCTTCGACTTCCATACTACGTGGTCAATACGGGAGGACAATAGATATGTCAAAATATTTAAAAACAAAGCGTGTTCAAATATCCACAAGGGTAGCTAAACGAAAGACTATTGGCCGCCTAGCGGACGAACTTCCACAATGCCTTGCATTGGGTAAACAAAGGTAAAGAATGTTAGAACTCAAGAATTCCACGTCAAAATCTCCGTGCTCTGATCATAAGATCAACCGATTTAGCTAGATGGGAATCCAGCCTTCAGGTTATCATAGGAAGACGCAGGGTAGCTCAGCTCGTTCTGGCTCTGGTCCAAAGCACTGGTGCCACCAAATTGGTTGACAACCTAGTACAGACTTGTTAGCTTTGCCCAGGAATAATTCCTTATCACTTGGAAGAACCAGGGGACGAACCGTAGTAATCAAGCTGTCCGAACCAGTCTTATCGCTGCTGCTCTCCCACCACATTCCACCGCCAAGACCCTTGGACTGGATGTACTGCGCCTTCAACTGCGCCACCTGAGGAGTGTCATAGCTGACCATCATTCGCTGGGTGGAATCATAGCTGTAGCTGGCAACAGGCTGACCGAGGTAGTTCTCTGTGGCACCGGTCATGGGTAGGGCTTTATAGTCCCACACACCGTTCTCCCAACTGCCACTACCGACTCCAGTATAGTTGGTTCCAGGTCCGTCGGTGTTCATGAAGGAGCGCCCGTACAGGGGCATTCCCATCACGATCTTGTTAGCTGCCACGCCATTGGCAGTATAGTAGTTAATAGCTTGGTCCGTGTTGAAGGGGGTACTGGCGGGATTGCTAGTTGATGCATAGACATTCGCATCGTGGCCGGCGATAGTGTCCCAGCTTCCGGAGTAGTCGTAGGCCATAAGGTTCCAGAAGTCAAGGTACTTGTCCATTTCCGCTAGGTGGAGCTGTTGGTAGTTTGTTGGGCCTGGTTTGTTTGTTAGCACTTATTGGGATACAAAGGTTTATGCAACACATCTTACCAGCAGGGCATGCGACAGTGATCAGGAAATGATAGTTACTCGCGTTGGCCGCGCTGTAAGTATCCAGGGACTAGGATTAAATAAGCTTTACCGTGTCATTCAAACATTTAAGATAAGATCATCTTACCGAGCGCAGTGTTTGGAGGGTGGAGACCAGGTCATCAGCCTGGGCACTATTGGTAGGGTACTAATCCAGTTAGTATATGTCCATACCTTGAAATGGCTTTCTACTTACTTCCCAATCAATATCCACACCGTCAAAGCCAAGGTCCTTAACCAAGTTCGTTGCAGATGAAGCGAACGTAGCTCTTCCAGAAGCTGTGCTTAGGGGACTGGCAAAGTTGCTAGAGTAAGTCCAGCCACCGATAGACAGAAGAACCTTCAACTTTCGGTTCTTCTGCTTGAGTAAGAAGAGCTGCTTAATGCACCCGTAAACATTGTTTCCGGTGTCGCTCCACGAATCTCCGGTATAGTGTTTCTCAATATCGGCCCAAGAATCCGACATGTAAACCTCCCCGGTTTCCGGATGGACGTTGGCAAACGCGTACAAAACATGGGTCAATCTCTCAGCAGGAAGATCCTGAGGGTTGAAGTTACGTCCATAGATAGCCTAGTATGTCCAACATACATTTATTAGTCTCGACGTGGCTAGGGGATAGGTAGTAGGTCAAGGTACTAACCCAGTTGACAAAATAGGCAACGGAGCGATATCCAGTGGTATCGCGAGCATCAAGCTCGGTTGTATGAGTGTCATGCGAAGGAATGACAGCGGCTCCAGCGAGCCATCCAAGGCCCAGGAGGAAAGGAAGGATAAATCTCATGATGAAGGAAAGTTCGAAGAAGTTCACGAAGGAATGTCTAGTCGAGCCAGCGACACTGAGGTTGGAGAATGTCAAGCGAGAGTTGGGAAGGCGAACGCCACTATTTGTATTTGCCAGGAACTACAGTTCAACAATAGAGTTATCCTACCCGGGCAAGAGGAATGCAGTCGAGCGAACAATAGCCTCATGGTCCGCCAGACCGAACGGCACGCTCGCTGCGGAGTGACTCTAGGACACAAACCTCATAGTTCCACATTCGCTTCCTACTCGTTCGCACTCCCATGCGATTTAATCGAAAGCGGAAATAAAGAGGAAGATCGGAGGAATCAGCGACTGCGCATGGTCAACGTGGTCACCACAGCAGTTCCGACAGCCATCCACAAAAGACAGTCACATTCCCGTGAGATGCATGGAAGCCTTTCGAGGGCACGGGATAACAAATGCTTGCCGGTATCCGAAGCCATCACGAATGGTTTGCAGATATGTAACGGCTTCAGGATGGAGCAACGTGCTCCCCAGGCAGCCCTGCGGTCCCTGGTCTCGGATCTCGCCGTTGGAAATTATTTCTTGCTGGTGTCCAATCAGGAAGACTCGAAAGGTCCGGAAGGGGTAACATTCTCATCTCCGAACTTTCCCCTCAACCGCCCTAGATACTTGATGGCGTGTCTTCAGGTTGCTAGTTCAAGTCGATAGGTCGTCTCCAAGACGGCTCAGGGTCGAGCGTGTAGCATTTGCCCTCCCCATCGCTCCTCGGGTGTGGGATGGTCTGTCGGGTGTCCAGTAGCAGGCCGAATGTAACTTGGATCACAGTGTCATTCAGACCGCGATGGGAGATTTGATAGCACCGACAAGGAAGCGTCTAGGTCTGCTCAGCAGGCATTCCAACGGGCGAATCAGATTAGAAAGGGTCTTCTTCCTTGGTGCAAGCTGCAGGAACGCATCACCCGCGCGATAAGCCAATGTAACACTCATGCCCCGGACACCCATGCGACCGGGGCATGTGCCATACCACCCAAGACGGGGTGTGGCTCCCCAAAGTTGATCTGCCGAGTTTTCAAAATATAGTCTGGACGGAGTATATGCGAGCGTGATTATTCAGTCGGGTCATCCTGAAGTTGACTTTGCTTGGGAATGATGACCTAAGGGAGTACAAAGGCCCTCCTCGTCGCGACGCGTGTACCCGGGATAGTTTGTAGAGAGCCTCATCACCCCATTTGTGACAGGGCTATACTTCCCAGTGGATAGCACCCGCGGCATGTCTGAGATCGGATCTTAGACAACATCAAACAAAGGCTGAAGAAAAAGAAGGTGAAACCGGGGCTGCTTGGCGTGGGTTGGGAACAGGAACCAGACCCCTCGGATTGTTGCACGAAAACGCTCGGTCCTCGGATTCGCCCTGAGCTTAATTTCGCTTACTGCGGAGATCACCCCTCAACGAGGAAGACCCTCCAGTCATTTTTCACGCGTGAGATTACGTATTTACCCATTTCAGAATACGTATGCAGCCTAATCTGGGAAGATTTGATCAAATGATGCGTGCCGCCCGCCGGTACCTCTAAACCGTGGAGGTCCTCCATTCCAAATTGCCTAGAGACGAACTAATCTAACTAGCCATAACCCAATCTAGGTCGAGTTGGAGTTGTCCGCGCATGACCACGCTGCCGAGCCTCCAGACTCGTTGTAGCTGTTGATGATACTGACAACGGATCCATACGTACCAGCTACCATCAGGAACGTCCCGGAGACAACCACAAAGATGCTCCAGCAGACCATCAATATCCACCTGGGGGATTTATCAATCTTGCCTTGGCTCCAGTGATCATATAGCCACATACATCCCATGGGCTGGAATGACATCATAGTACCTAGCAAAGCCCCGATAAGGGACACGAGATTGTTGAAGACGGGGATAGCACTGGCAATGATATAGGCCACTACGGTTATTCCGAGGGTGCAACCCAGCCAACCTACCCAATGAACAACAGTGTTGGCAGTCAAATGTCGAGAGCCTTGTAGCATTCGGATGAAGATATACTTGGCCGGAAGCTATATCTCATTAGTCTAGAACAAAATGAGTAAAGAGGGAAGACTAACATGGATTACTAGCATGGTACTAGCAATTAGCCCCGGGAGTGCAAATCCATAGCTGATTTTCTTCATAGTAGGGCCTGCCGAGCCAAGAGCAGGCGATGCGACATAAGAGCCACAGTAGTAGTATACGACACATCCGATGGCAAGATAGACTGACGTTACCACCGTCTGGCATATAATTAATGATCTGGTATAGTGACGGGGCTCGCGCATTTCAGAGACTATAGAGAAGAATGCCGGCGTGCCAGCATAGGCGAAGACGATTGAAGACACTGCAGCTATCGCATCGGAAAAGCTCGGGCTAGCAACAATCTTATAGTCAGATACCCAAACTCCCGTCTGGGGGGCTGCAGAGGGACGATCCTGAACGCCCACGGCAACGGTCACGATGAAGACTGTTCTTCGAGGTTAGATCAACTTCAAAAGGCTCATATTGTCAAAATAAAACTCACTCGATGTAAGGATACAGAATAGCCCCACCCATGCAACCCAACTGATCCGAGCCAATGTTTGTATACTCGACAGCAGGAAGCCTACTATGGCGGCGACCGCGACGAAGATAGCAGTACATGCACCGTGAGTAGACACTGCGTTCAGGGAAATCGAGATACTAAGCATGCCAGAGCCGGCTACGAAGACCCAGTCTGCGCCTTTGTTAAACTTGGTGTAGGTCGAGAGAGGAAGGGAATATTCATACAGAGACAAAATGCGAATCCAAACAGGTACCGGCCAGCGTTGCCAAACATCAAGCCGCCCGCATCGCCAATGCCGTAGACATCTCGGTGTCGAAGTTTGAAAACGCCGATAACATAGTCGGACCAAGTTGTAATAGCGGCAATGGCACAGAGGATAATGACTCCTGGCACTAGTCCTAATGTATCAAAAGCGACTGGTATTGAAAGGACACCTAGTCCAATCTGGGTCTTCATCATCAGGGCTGCAGTTCCTAGCCATCCTACCTAATAGTATTGTCAGTTGGCCAAGCCATATCCCAAGCTCCCGATAGAATGTGATAGCGCATGTTGCGATAGTTCGGACCCTCTCCCGTTATCTCTCCAAAGACAGCATCGTGGCTGTGAATCTGATCCTCGTAGATCTGTTCGATCTTTGAGGGGTCCTCAGCTACGGACTCGTCATGTTTCTTATCGCTCATATTGAAAGCATCAGAAATTTCTGTTTTCACATTGAGCAATTACTCTCAATGGGAGAGATATTCCGGGGCTAGAAGGCGCTATTTAAGTGTTCTCGATCCAAGGTCGGGGCCCGGGCCGATACGTGCATCAACATCATTGCGGGTCCATACTGAAGCAGATATCAGCAAAGGCAATCTTGTGAGGAAAAGCTCAATTGTCTTATCAAACATCTTAGCCGCTGGTTATTTTAACTCTCATTTTCTCGTTATAAAAGGGTTGCTATTTGCACTGTCATGTCCGATATTTGCACTGTCGTGTCCGACCTTGAGATATGGATGATGTATAGTTGGGACTCAACCGTCGCAAACTCCCCCGGATTTCCCTCTCAAGCCCGAAAAAGCGTGGGACTCAACCCCTCACTTTCGCTCTTCGACTAGTACGTAATCGCCGGCTGTTATCTCGAAGTGGCTCCAACTGCGATATTTGATGTATGATATCCACTTGGCTCCAAGCCCGATATCGCTTGGGATGCCGACCCCAGACAGATTAGCCCCGGCAGCCTTCCCGAGACCGGCGCATCAGGCTCAACTATATTTTGACTCCATCGGCCCTGAAACACAGAAGGATCCCGACTGTCAATGAAGGTCTGCCTAATTATTCTTTTTGCATCGGATTCTTTGAAAATAAGGTGCATTGACTCCTGGGAGACTGGGAAATTGAGATAAATCATCGCCAAGCTAAGTGCCGAGATGCACGTCGTCGGCTAATCAGCAGGATCAATTCCGAGAACTCCGCATTCTCCTTGCCTGAGGACCAGTGGGGAATCTCCTGATCTTCTCCGCGTTGTCCGTGTTGATCAATGCGGAGAGATATGTATACATCATGGCAGGAGCAAGGATTCGTGTTGACCGGTAGCCCATCCGACAGTCAGCCTTGGTCCAAGCTTGCTATCGGCGTGATAAATATTCACACAAGTCTCTCAGGCCCAAAGCGACGATATTCAAGTTGGTGGAACAGGAGATCTTCTCGCCATACGGGCTAATTGATTGAGTTTCCGTGACAATCAGGTTTGGTCATCTTCTCAATTAGGCGCATGAAGTCAAAGGCAAAATTGGTAGTGTTATAGTAGAGACATGATCTTGAACTACGGCAGCCCTTCCGAGATAATATTCGTTACGAGGTGTCTGCCCAGTAGATAATGTTTTGTGAAACAGGAGACAGCCGACGCTATGATATTTGCTCAAGTTCAAGGCTAACCCGCCCCATCGCACTGGAGTGACGTAGGAGGAGTAGCAGCTGCAAAGGAGCCTGGGTTCCTTCATTGGAATATTATGTCCGGGGATTAAGATATGAATAAGAAGCTGAAGCCTTGTTGCTTGTTGCCTGAGAGATTCGGCAACCACTTTCCACCTTGCGTCCTCGAATCGATCTTCAACCCCATGCCATCGCACAATCGGCGCAAGAATGACCTAGTTCATCAAGTTGAATTGAGATCATGACCTCTTGGTGAGAGCTGATATTTGGTACGCTCATCCTTAAATCCGTACCTTAGCAGTATCTATAGCGTCTTAGTATCTAGTGCTTCACACTATTTAGTGTATATAGTCACAGTTCTTGGGAGTTGCAATGGCAAATTACGGTGATTCTAGAACGGGTGAACTACGATGAACCTTTGTAACCCTGATAGAAGAGCCAGGATGCCGCAATTACAACCCAGCTACTTAGGAATAGGAGGAAGGTAAAGGGCAGGTGCAAACATGAAGCTGGTAGTAACAGCAAGCTAATCATATCAACAACCTGGAAGCTTCTAGTTGGAGTAAACGATTCGCCAGAGGTAGACGCATCCTGCTCCGTAAAGGTGTCCATATCCTCGATTCCTTCTAAACCCTTCACCCCGGACAGTGTTCCTGTTCAACGCTTACGTCTCTCTTCCATCCAATCCCTCCTGCATACACTCCCATGGAGCAACAGACCACACCAACAGCCGCGCAACGCGCTCTCGCCACCCCCGAAATCGTGGCCAACATCTTCAAACACCTTACTCAAGCGCAATGGATCACGCTATTGTTCGGAGGGCCCAAGGTCTTCTATGACAGGAAATGCTGGATCCATGCAGCCGCGTCAACTCTCTGTGGTGCCCCGAAACCAAGAGGTATCTCTGGCAATATCCAACGACAGGAAGAATGATCTCACTCGATGAATGCCTTGCCCGAGTCCATCCGGACCATCGCCAACTCTATGCGAGCTTTGTCAGACGTGCCAAGGTTACTTCAGCCCATCTTAGAAATTCACCCAGTGGGCCAAATGGACATCGCCAACAACTGGGGAAAGACTTTGCCCGAGCGGGCTCTGATTAATCTCCCTGAGCACATCAAGGTCTGTCCCTTCTCTGCTGTCCTTCTCCTGCGTGAAGTTTACGTGTTTGACTGAATACGACTTACAAGGCTATAGGATCGATACCCAAAGATCAAGTGGTTCGGAATCGAAATTGAAAATAGGGCTGCTCGCAAAACGGTCGATGACATTCTCAAACTGCTTCCCGAGAATGAGATTCAGTGTGTATGCATGAAGGGCAACCGTTCTCCGGTTATTTGGTAGAGTATTAGCTGCTGTCTAGGTTTTCAAAAAAACATATCGCTGGGCGTTGAAATGTTCTGGTAGCATGATATTGTCCACATTTGAAAGGCGACCTTTGGGTTACTCTAGACATTGATTTCGTAAACGACCTCGACTGTTGAGGTGCAAATTGATTTCATTGCACCGACAAGTGCTCAAAAGGCCTTCGCTGTCGCAAAATCTGGGTTTCCCACTTCCAGTCTCGTCTTGTCCTTTCCTTTAGATATCAGCGCTATCCTGGGGCGCATCAGCCAACCACCACATGCGCTCTGTCCTCAAAGCTCAAGGAAAAGTCGATTCTGCTCTTCCACTACAAGAGATCTCCCGGAGAGCATTTCCACTATCTCATTGGATGCTAGAACAGTGATTCCAAACACCAGCTTGTCGGTGTCCGCAAACCGATTCTAGTATGTGGGAACAGTATAAGCGTCAGCAAGAAGAGTAAAAGGACCTCGGTTTAGACTTACATCCAGGAGCTCCACGAGTGCCGTGGCCATGTCAACTGACAGTACTCTTGGCAACCATACTAACTCACGATATGGCAACTTTGCAGCGGGGCCAGCCATGATTAGCTCAATCTGTACGGTTGAGAGGCTCGGTGTCCGCATATCTGGTAGGAGGATAGTTTGTAGACCGACATACAAGTACGTCGCAGTTCGTTTCGGCGAGGTTACTCCAGGGGCCAATAAGCAGATTTCCACTGGCTATGAAATTGGCATACATTTGTCGACGGAATGGCGACACGTTTGCAAGGCAGGCTGAAATACTGGTGTGGGCTTCCGGCGTTGGATGCTCCCAGAGGTGTCGGGCAGCCTCCCGAAACCACAGACTGTTGACACACGCACATCGTAGCAGTGTTCTGTGGGTGACGGTGTTCGATTAGCTTCCTTTGGGTGTATCCTTGCTCTGAGTCTCGGGTGGCCCTGGGTCGTAACTGTGGACCAGCCAGTTGAGGATCTCACCGACGAGCTCGGGGATCGCGAAAACTCGCTGCGCGGCCATGACGACGAAGTCACTCATTTTCGGTCGTGGTGATGGACGTTGTGGCCAATGAGTATGAGGTAAGTTGTAACCCAACTGAAAATGGGGGGTGGGAGGGAGTGGCGTGTGTGAATTATCAGTCTTTGGTAAACAGAGGGTGGTTCACGTGAACGAGCAAAACTTATTGATAATTTCATCAACACGGTGGCCAGATATTGACCTCAGTATTTTAATGTGGTAACTTCCTTATCTAACTCCTTGTTAACAAACTTCGCAAACTGATATGGAACCTACCCAGTAAACTACTTAGTTTCTAGCATAGCCTTTTGCTAGAGCTAGAGCCATATTCACAGAACTACTATCTTTTACCGCGGGCAAGACAATTTTTCATTTATCCAGAACACAAGCAGATATTTCTAGATCTTAGGTACAGGGTCAAGCTCCGTAACAACCACAACATGGGGGAAACGGCGATGAAGATCCACCAGCAGATCATCATTCACCTTGAAGAGACAGTCGAATCTGATCAGCTTGAGGCTGGGGAGTCCAACCTGTGTTCAAGTCAGCGAAAAATCTTTGTTGTTCCAAGGAGGCATGGATCCAAACCTTGATCAGTCGAGACAGGCCCTTCATTTCAACCGGTCCCTCCACACGCTCAAACGGGTCGATACACAGGGTGATGTGCAGAACCTCCAGCGCTGGGGCATGGAGTCTGGGGATATTGGCACCCCTGGTTCGGATTTTCAGGTGTAGGACCTCCAGGTGAGGAAAGGACAGGCCCCTCAGGTCGGTGTTGCACCGCGAGATAGTCGAGTCCGGCATGCTTGTCATTTTGAGCCGCATCACAAAGTTGGCGTAGAATTGTCGACGATATCGATTGACGCAGTGAGGGTGTCCAAGAAGGCCAGTCATTCCTCCCACGGGGCGAGCCCAGAATCTATGCATGATCTCTTGGCACCATAGGATGTTGACACTGGCGCATCGGGCCAGGGTATGGCGATCGTAGCGTAAGGACATCTCGTCGGGGTAAACTCCGTCCTCGAGAAAGTCGAAAATGCGACAGAATAGCTCTGGCGTGGTGAGTACGCGCTGAACCGCTATGATCATCTTGGGGGCTATGATCAGAGGGAAAGCCATTTGAGTGTAGATAGAGGGAAAACTCGGTGGATGGTCGAGCGGGAGTGCTTTTGAAAGGTAAGGAATGGGAATATTTAAGTGATCAAATTTCTAGGCTACAGCAAGATACGATTCGAAGATTCAAGGCAGAAAAGGAAGCTCTTTTGGGAAGAAGATAGAGGTCCAGGTAGCAATCTGTTGACAGGCAACCATCAGGGATGATGACGGAATCTTCATGATCCTTTTGGATTGGAACAACCAAGGCTACCACGGCATCAGGTAACTTCTCTTTCCTCCCATTGATAATCATATCCCAAAGTTTTGAATGTTTTAAGAGACGTACCAGTATAAGCGACTAAATGATATACTTCGGAATATTGTCTTTCCGCAGCTCCGAACCAAGAAGTTCGATCTTTATATCCCCAAAATGATCTTCCTGTCTATGGCTGTTGCTCCAGAGCTTTCGTTGGTGGAATTGGATACTGGTTTTGGTACTAATCCAACTCTTGGTCTTATTGAGCGCAGAGTGATTGAGAATCTTCTCAGACATATCAAGGCATACTTCTCACTTCTCGCAAGATTGTGAGAGCTTCTTGGGCGAACTTATCTACTCTTGCGGCCTAGAACTCGTTTCCCAATTTGAAGACACTCCGATTCACGAAGAAGTCCTGGGTCAACGACGATCTCCTTCAACTATGCGCCTCGCGTCTCCCCGGGGTGAATGTGTCTCGTGACGGCCCTGATATGATGTTGTGGGAACCACTGCCGGTTGAGACAGTGGATGAAGGGCTCTAGATGCTTTTTAGGCCAGCAAATGAGTACTGGCTACGCTCTTTCGCCACTTTTGATTGAAAGGGAACACATCTACACGCTTAGGTTTTATGGATTTAACACAAAGTATTTATTTATTTATTTATTAGGTTGACTATTGACAATCGCATGAAGTGATATGGAAAGAAATGCTATGAAAACCATGCTATTGCGCTCTTCTAGATTAAGGAAACAAAAAGGGGTATATCCATCAAAGTACATGAAAACAAAAGGCTCAGACTCATTAATGTAGGAATGCCCTGCAAACCAAAATCAACAAAACGTGAAAAGCAGATTGAACTTTTGTATAGGCCACGGGGTATTAGAAAATTATAAAGCCAAAATCCAGAAAACGAAGGAAAGTCATTACTTCGCCAAAGCAGAAATGATCATCAAGAGGCGGTGCGCAAGCCTCGCAAGCCCGAGCTAACAACCGTCTCCGAATACTCAGGTGGCGCAAGACTGACATCGAAAACCGACTCGTTGAGGGGTGCAACCGAGCGAGGCTGGAAGAATTCGTCCAGTTCTTCCTGTGTCACAATCATGCCCAAATCAGACTTGAGGGATTCTGCATACTTTGGTTGTGTGATGACCTGGATAGGGAGACGGAGGGAGACGGTAGGAGTGAGCACGTTGGCGCCCGGCGTGTGGTATGTCAATGATAGGTCGAGCGAGTAGGTGCGCGAGATGAGACAGGAGTGGAAGGTCGGGACAAAGGTTTTGTTGTTGGGGAGGCTGACTGGGATTACTACAGATGCGGTGTAGTAGGTATCGCCGGAGAAAGAGGTCGATGGGCCGGTTGAGTTGTCGGAGGTCATGGATTGTACGGAGTCGCGGCGTTCGCATTCGGTTGATGCTGAGTGCTTGACCCATTTTGCAGAGGCAACGCACATGTTGGAAATAGGAACGGATTCGGTGAAGAGACCTTGGCCAACCTGGGAGAAGGGGGTGGTGCCAGATTGCATGGGGAAATCCTCCCAGGGTCCTGCGCTGTAGAAGGTGCTGGCCTTGATCTTGCTGGTCATCGAGCCGAGCTTTGGTGGCTGTTCATCACCCACGGGGTCGAATCGGAGGTGAACTGTTGTCATGGTACTGACGGTATCAGCGGCCTCACAGCTGGGAGTAAGCAAGCGAATTGGCTTGGGCTGCGAGGCGGAGGCTACCAAGCGGCCGAGCTTCCCTCGAAGGAACCCGCGCTTAACACTCTTCTCCTTGCGGGTGCAATAATAGATGTGGTCGGCCACGTTGATTGGGGGATCCTCCTCCACAGTTGGGATAATGCGAACCTTCTTCGCAATATTGGCCATGGTCTTGAGGTTGCCGTGGTCGGTCGAGGATCTCTTCAATACTGCTGCGCGTACGATATAGGAGATCTGGCTCATATCGGGGGCCATGTCATCCAGCAAAGTCTTGCCATTGCCAGCTAGCATGGGGTCTCCCAATGTGGGCGGGAGCATGGTGTGTGCAGTGTGAATGTGGATATTGGTTCGTGCGTGGGTGCAGACCTGTGGCAGCAGACGATCGGGTACCACAAAGGTAAATGGAAAGGAGTATGTGCGTCCTGCCTCCATAATTCGGGGGCAGGGATAGTCGGATTCTTCGATTGGCTGGCGAAGTTTGAGGAACATCTGCTGTGATCCTGTGCGTCCAGGGCATGCAGCCCGCTCGACGGTGGTGTGGGACGTTCCTGCTTAGGAGGTTAACCCTGCACTCATGGTAGTACCATAAGATTTCCATGGTGACATACCTTGGAAGATAATTTCAACCTCATCAAAGCGGGTGTCGGTATCCACTGTGATCTTGACGATACCCTCGATCTGGTCACTGGTTGTATAAGAGTTGACCAGGCCAGGTTTCTGGCCGACCAGCTCAATCTCGACCTTTGGTGGAGATCGACGGGTAAAGACATCTAGCGTTTCTGAGCCGTGGCTCATGATAGATCTGGCAGTCATTGCGTTGAGATCTTGGAGGCTCTCGGGCCCTTCAGGGATGGGGATCTGTGAATAGAATGGAATGCGGCGAGTAGGTGCTTCTTGTACTCTTGTTGTATTTAAAGTATGCGGGGCCGGGGAGGACGTGCACTCGTGACTTAATTGGAACACCCTGCAGGGTGGACAATTTTGAGTTTTTGGATTGATAAGGAAAAAATAAAGAAAAGAAGACCTGAGATGTCACTCGGCGGTTTGTTTTCTTTAAGAGCCAGAAAAGAAGCAGGGTCTGGAGAAAAAAAAAAGAAGTAGAAAGTGGAGCCGTCGACAACCGCACTGGGGCTCGTTGTATACTCCGTCCAAGAACAATGCGGTTAAGTAGGGAAACCAGAAACTTGATGGGTCTGTAGTGGGCACAAAAAAACTTGCGGAGGGTCTCCCTCGTTTTATAGAACGTCGAATTAATGATTCCTATAGAAGATAATCCTTCAGCACGTCAGAGATGCTTTACAAATCCACGGTGTGCCTTTTAGCCTTATTCGTGAGTCATCCGCATCATTCAGAACCTTTCGCCTAATTCTAACCGTTCGGGATCTGAATGATGGCGTACGCGACCTTGGGAGAACGGGGAAACACGTGTGGAGGGCCAGCCAAAGCAATCGTGGAGAGTGCAGTTAAAGGGAAAGCTGGAGTGGTCGAGCCAACGGAGTCATTGGGCAGACCAGATGATTGGAGGAGGTCAGCCTAGTCACGCCCTATTTCGGGCCCTGCTCACGCCCTTGGATTGACATTCCGCTTGTCGTTAAAGGAAGTAGTTTTGAGAAAAAAAAGAGAACCCTTGGCTAGCTCGGCCAGGGATCCGAGCTGCATCACGCAGACCTGCGCAGAAGCACCATAATGGAATGTGTGACCTCGAACTGTAGACCTCCGTCGCCATTCTGCTCGTCGTTTGGCAATAGAGTTAGGCCGGACATCGAAGTCTGCGAAAATCTGATTAACAAGCTCTCTCAAAAAGCAGAGCAAGACCCAAGCTCTGACTCTGAACGGGCGGGCTCATTGGTGGAGCGCGCCTTACGTCGACATGCACGCCCTTCGGGTCTCCACTGGCGGCTTGCGACAATCGGAGTGATCCACTCCCATTCTCTGGATGGAAGACGCTCGGTCGTTGATTGCCGCACCAGACCAATCATGCCCCCCAAGCCATCGCGGGGAGTCACAGGCAGTGATTGGAGCACCGACTGGCTCTGCTGACAATCCATCTGGGATTTCAAAGCATGGGAAAGCTTTCCGCCCTCGTATTAGGTTTGTCAGCCTGGCGTTCGTTAACTATCAACCTTGATATTCAGATGATGTCGTCTTTGAATGTTCTTGATACCCTTGTCGCCATGACACCATATGATGGGGGCAGGTCCATCAAACCCTTTTCCGAGGAGAAGTACAAGCAAAAGACGATGGTAGCCGATCTCTCGGGAGGATCCAGAATTTTCCGACCGTAACCGAGCATCTGGCCATGCCGAGTGGGTGCAATTTTCGGAGTCGACAACGGGATCAAAGGGGGAAATCGTTTATGCTGGCTCGTGTCAGGCCGTCAATCTCGGTGATTCAAGTCGGTTTCCCATCGGCGTGAGATTGGGACCCCGAGATCGTCATCAGGTGACTTCATTTCTAATGTACAGAAAATAAATATGACTTCAGAGCACTACCATTTCAAACAACTGTTGGTTTATTCTTATAGTAAAATATGGAAAGTAGAATTTCGAGTTCAAAGCTTATGTTTCTTCTTATTCATAACACTATCGAGGTTTACAAGGGCTGTCCCGACAGATAAATTACGGTGTAGATCCGTGGTGCAAAGCGGATGAAACCGTACTCAAAAAACGTCGACGCATGGAGATCCACGCTCATTCTTGTCTCATACTGGCCAGACACAAAAGTGAATGGGCGGCATCCAGCTCAAGATTAGCCGAGTGAAGACGGCAGACCGAGCAAGGCAAGAGACGACATCCTAGTAGGATGTCATGGAATAGAAGGAAGTGCAAGAGAAAAGGGGAAACAGGGGAGAAGAGGAATCGTGGTGGGAAAGCCCACCCATTGGTATGTCAATTGGTAACATGAAACTAGGTATCTGAAGTCCACAGAGCAAAAACGCCGCATCAAGACGCCAAATGTACCCTCATGAAATTAGTAAGCCACTCTCGTTCGCATATCCTACCAGGCACGTTAGCGATGAGTCTTGGAACGAATGGGGGAAGCGTTGGTGTAAACTTACCGAGATCTTACGCTCGATCTCGCGCACAGAGCGATCGAGCTCGGCGGCAATCATCATCTTCGTATCGTTTGGCAACAAGAAGTACATCTCGCACAAGTCACCGTCAATGACACCCTTAGAAGGGGCATAGTAACCGCGGTAGATCAGGTGGTCCCGACCAGCCAGGGGAGGGTGTTGTGAAGCCAGTTGCATCTCCAGGCTTTGGAAGAAATCGACATCTTCACGGCTGACGAAGGGAACGAACATACCAACAGTGCCCTGGAAGCCGGTCCAGACAAGGATGTCACGACCACCGGCCACCAGCTGCGCCTTGTGTATACCGGTGGGAATGTCTTGCACGTAGTAATGGACCATGAGCTCTAGACGATTGGGCGTTCCCTGAAGGTAGCCTCTCTCGTGGACAAGGTGAGCACCAGACCCATCCTCGTCAGCCTCCTCGGAGAACTTGCTGGGGCAACGAAGCAGCCAGATGTTGCCAAACTTGTCACCACCAGCAGTAGTTTCATAATCGACCATCGTAGTAGATGTGGTCCACCGTGCGATGGTATCATCCACGAATGGAATCAGGATGTTCTCCTGATACTTGTAAACGACATAAGTTACACTGTCGCGTGTGTCGCTGACAATGATTCGGCTTCCTTGTGTCTGAAGACCGACGATGGTATGTGGCACAACATGGGCCTGGCATTTACGAAGCAGCTGCTTCATGCCCAGATCGTACAGCCGGAGAAGCGAACCAATACCGGCAAGCACTCGGCCCTGGAAGGCAAGAAGAGCCAAAGGAGGTTCGTCAACCTTAGTCTTATGAATGAACTCCAGTTCTCGGCCGTCTTCTTGGAAGCGATAGATGTGAATGAAACCAGTGGCTGATGAAGGAGAATCGGCAGTCAGATCCTTGGCCGTTCCGACAACCAAGAATGTCTCATCATCTTGACTAGAGAATGGCACTGCAGCAATACTGACTGCGGCCTCATTTTCTTCCAATTCAAGAGTGAAGACCACTTGCTTAGTGGAGACGGGGTCCACAATTTGAATGCATGATGCCCAGTGTCCGGTACCACGAGGGTAGCCAAAGTCTTCCGGGGGAAGGATCTGAGCTTCACCATTGCGAGCTTTTGAGTCCTCAATGAGGCTTTGTTGTGTCGCAGAGGACAAAACGTTGTTGTCGGATTCGATGACATAGAAGAGGGGCTGCTCAGGATGCTTAACAAAGCGACGGGGGGTATGAGCCAGGGGAATTGACTCCTGCAGCATGTTGTTGTCAAGCTTGTCAATAGAGAAGATTCTAATGATCGTCAGTGAAATGCTCAAATCCCGATCATGGTTGCAGCAAAAGGGAGAGTAGTGTTTGATCTCAGTAGGAACAATTGGAAAAATAAAAAATAATTTGATCCACATAGTAAATTCGGATCCTTTTTTCATCATATGATCAAGAAGAAGGGGAAGGGAGGGAGATTGGATAGAAGTTAGAACATACCGTAGATTTTTGCCCTGGATACCAATCATGCCCTCTTCGCACTGCTCGCTAGAGAAGTTCCAGCCCCATTCAATGCTAGCACAGTCGAGAGGTGTGAGCATGAAGCTCTTTGTTTGAATATCAGAGTATCCGAGCCATGGGCGCGAGCTGAGAGCCAAGACTGCAGTTTGGCCCTTCACGGAGACTTGTGAAAGCTTCACGGGCTTTGCGCCCAGGAAACGCGTACGAGTATCAGAAAGCTCGCCGGTGACCTCATCCAGTACGGTGCGGAGGTAAACACCGGAGTAGAGACCGATGTGCAGGTAAAGTGTGGTGCCACCGGAGCTCGAGTCGGCCATAGCAATGATGTTGAGAGCCGAGGGTGCCGACGTCAAAGCTTGCACGGATTTGTTTTCAAGAGTGGAATCTGGATCCAAGCTCAGGATGCGGACAGTGGAGTCATCGCAGCCAACAGCCAGGAAAGAACTGCGCATCCTGCCTTCGGGAACTTCGCCCAAACTCAAGCAAGTAACAGTGCCAGACATCTGACGGCGTTCGTCGTATTCTGCCAGCGATCCATCGGCATCCATTTCGAAGTAGACGATCTCGCCGGAACTCAGAGCGACAGCCACCTGACGTTCATTGGTAGCCGCAGCAACGATGGATCGGTGCTGCGGTGCGGGCCACTCGTTGACACGGCGATCAGCCATCAAGTGACGGATACCGCGAGGGTGGACTTGGATCAAAGAGTCCTCGCCCAGCTGTTGCACTGCAAGTGTCGGGGCTGTAGAGAGGAATCCAGTGTCGGAAACCTCTTCCACGACCTCACCGATACTGAGGACAAGAGTACCATTGGCAAAGGAGAGCACGATGTAAGCATCATACTCATCACCACGAGTCAGTTTCGTGGTCCAGACTGCTGAGGGTACTGTTCGAAGTTCTGACTCGACGATCTCTGAGACTTCCAGCCCATGCTTCAGTGTTCGGAAGGAGCTGCGAGCACCGGTTCCACCCACGGTGTATATTTGTGGAGCATCATCACCAGTGAGATTGGCAATCTTGCTATCCGTCAATGGGTTGAGTGAGTTGAGACTCTCCATGAGGTTCAAGTTCTCCGCGGGGCGAGGGCGGAAAAATATCGGGTCATAGGGAACAGAGGGGTCGGCGGAAAAGTCATCACTGCTGAATTCGGTCTCCTCATCGTCATCACCAAGTTTTTCAAATTGGTAAAAGTTGTGGTTGCCCGATTCGCTGGCGACGTAGAGGAAACCACTCTTGAGGATCAACAAGCTGGAGGCAACGGGGACGGTGTCAAAGTATTTGATTTTCAACCGTCTGACCTCACCAGTGAGTTGACCATTCTCATCTTCGACCATGTCAAGGGTCAGCTTGAACATGTCGCCGTCTTCCGTCTGAAGGAGGAAGAAAAAGGCGCCTCTCATCTTGTGCATCACGCCTGACACAATGGTGCGTTTCCTCTCTGGGTTCTCGGTCGGTCCAGTCCGGCGCGGAATGGGCACACGGAAGGCATCCTGGTTCGAGTGACGGTAGGTGATGTTGTCCTCCGCGCACACAAGAACACCGCTGGGGCCATCGGCTCCTCCTGGCACTTGGAACAGCATATTGGCCGTACGATCGACAGGGTCAGACCATTTACGGACAACGTGGTTGAGGCCCAGGTCAAGCTCATAGTAGACAAGGACCTTCTCGATCTCCTCATACGCTTGGCCAGTGGGATCCTGGTCGGCTTCCGAGTAATCCACTTCAAGAGCAGCAAAGACGGGGTTTTCATATCCCACGTCCAGGGCCGTCATGGCAAAAACCAAGGTCTGTGGCTTGTGTGCCTCAAGTGGAGACGAGATAGTGAGCTCGGCCTGAGAGTTGCGGTTCAGAACGTAGACCAGCTTGTTCTTTTCCAAAGAGGCAATTAGGCACGCTCGACCCTTGGGGTCCACGCCCAAGTACTGGCCCGGAACAACCCGGCGAACCCCAGACTTGCCAAATGTTTCCAAGTGGATCCGGTTGAAGCGGTTCTGGGAGGGAACATATTCGATGATCGTGATGCGACCTGAATCAGACCCGATGATAATGTAATCTGAAAGAGAAAGACTCAGCAAAGTTCGCGCATAATAAGTTTATATACCGCGTCCACATTGCTGGCCCGGGCAGGTTCCGGAGCCCATCAAGGGACCGGATCGGATAACCAAGACCGTGCTACCCGGGAAGCTTGAACAATCACTAAGTTGAACTCGTAAATGCAACCTAGGGCGACAACAGAGACGTACCTTTGTTACTTCCAGCCAGTCGGAACGCTGCCAACGAACGAATGATGCCAAAGACATCTTGGGAATAGATCGGGGTGACCTTTCCCTGAGATGGGTCAGGACGGTGGATGGTCAGCTTGGACCCAGAGGCAGTGACGATCTGCTGCTCCTTAGTACCCGCAAACTGACCAAGGATGGCCTGAGTGATCGCAGTAGGGGGCTGGATCGTCAGCGAGTACATGAACATGTGCGAGGTGGTGGCCATGATGGGCAATTGAAGCTTGACGCCAGGTCTTTTTGCACCCCCGACGCGAAGCAAAATGACTAAAAGGTGTCACGAGCAATTGCAGTCCAGGGGGTGTGATAATCACACTAATCCCATAGCTGCTGAAAGGAGTGGAGGGGGTTGAGAGACTCCTGCTGTTTGCTTTGAGGGTGAGTTCCCGAGGGAGTTCTGAAGAGGTTTTCAGCAGAAGCTCGAGCAGCGGGAAGCAAAGTTGCAAAATTCCAGTGCGCGGGAAGCTGTTTTGGATGATCACGTGGTGTACCGCACCATCGGATTCGACCGCCTTCCGCCGCCATCACCGCCCTTATGTAATGCCCGTTAGCCCAGGTAGATCAAAGGAAGCATCATCGCCTCCGCAATATCTGGCCACCTCCTGCTATTATCTTTGGTCTCCCCCCAGAATTGCTCTCGTGCTGGGTGTAGCTGGCACTGTTTGGTCTCTCAATAGCAGTCTGTTTCGATTTACACGACTCTCTGTGCCTCTGCTTTCCCCATCCTTCACTACCCCACTCGGCACCGGCTGCCTACAGTACATATCGACCGACCATGGCGGATGATAATGCGACTACGGAGGAGGCTCCTATCACCTTCACTGTGAAGTCCTCCACTGATGCCAAGTTCACCCTCACTCTTCCTCTTTCTACACTTGTCTCGGAGCTCAAGGAGAAGCTCTCTAGCTCTGAGTATGCCGACACCCCCGCGGAACGTCAGCGCCTGATCTACTCTGGTCGAGTACTCAAAGATAATGAGACACTCGAGACTTATAAGATCAAGGACGGCCACACAATTCACTTGGTCAAGAGTGCTGCCAGCAACCAACAACGCTCGAATGCACCCGCTCCATCTACCTCCACGCCATCAGGGGCAGGCACTACTGCCCCAAGCCAACCCGCTGCTGGTGTGCCGACCAATCTCGCTGCTGGTACTGGCAATAATCCTCTCGCTGGTCTGACTGGTGCTCGATATGCCGGCTTCGCTCAACTCCCCGGAGCTGGCCTCTTTGGCCCTGATGGTGGGGTAAGTCTAACTTCTGATTCAATATTGTCCACTATTGGCTCCTATTCGTCATGCCATTCCATTTACTAACTTTTGCGTGCTTTTGATATAGATGGGCCCTCCCCCGGATAGCGAAGCCATGTTGAGCATGCTGGAAAACCCCCAAATCCAATCCCAGATCAACGAGGCGCTACAAAATCCCGCAATGATCGATATGATGATTCAACAGAACCCCATGCTTCGCGATATGGGCCCCATGGCCCGAGAACTGATGCAGCGACCTGCATTCCGTCGTATGCTGACCGACCCAGCGTCCCTCCGTCAAATGATGCAGATGCAGCGGGCAATGGGCGGTGGCGGCATGGGTGGCGGTGATAGTGCTTTCCCGGCCCCTGGCGTGACCAACACAACCGAGGGCGCCCAGAATACTGAGCAGCAGCAAAACACACCGGTCAATCCATTCGCCCAAATGCAAAACCCAATGATGGGGGGAAATCCGTTCGCTGCTCTGTTTGGTGGTCAGCCCTTCGGGCAACCCCCCGCCAGTGCCGGCACTCCTGGAACCAACCAGACGGAGGGTGCTCAAGGAGCCCAGAACACTGCAGCCCGGTCTGCGACTGGAGAGGGTCAGGGCCAGACTCCCGAGGCTGCTCAAAACCCTTTCGCTTCTCTCCTGAACCCAGCCCTGTTTGGCAATGCTGGGCAAGGCGGCATCAACCCATTCGATCCCCAGCAGAACCCGTTCTTGCGCGATCCCGCTCTTATGAACCAGTTGATGCAGGGGATGGGAGGCCCGGGTGCCGAGGGAGGTGCCGCTGGTGCTAACCCACTGGCAGCTCTGTTTGGAGGCGGTGGTGGCTTCGGTTCTCCACAGCCTGCCGATAACAGGCCCCCGGAGGAGAGATACGCCGACCAGCTTCGGCAATTGAACGATATGGGTTTCTTTGAATTTGAGCGAAATATTGAGGCTCTGCGTCGTTCGGGTGGCAGCGTTCAAGGAGCCGTTGAGTACCTCCTTACCCATGGATCATAAGTTCTTTACCTTGTTGCTCGTGTTCTTCTTGGCCAATAGCCTCTATTATCATGTCCCTTTCTTTACCACATGTATTTCATGGCCCCCTGCTTTCATGATGTGTCGTTACGACTGGCCTGCCGAATGCCGATGATCTTTTTTTACATTCCCCATCTCCGCATACACTTCCTTGATATGAACTGTTTCTTGGTGGATGCACGTTTGACCAATTCATGTCACTAGCACCCTGTCTCTGGTGGCAAACCCTCTCCATTATCATAACTAGCACCTTGAGTACTCGAGGCTCTGTCTCCATTAGAGCTTTAAATAATTCGTTATGGTCCAATCATGTTAACAAAACCAGTCTTGCGAGTTTTATCAGCTTTATCGTTAATAGGTGTTCCACTTAATCTCTAATTTAATGCTCCATAAGTAGCCTCCATCAGGGTACGTAGCGCGCGGAGAGCCCCTGCGGTACTTAGAAATATATATAGATTCCACCGGCCAACCTTGGAGCTTACGATTAGGTAGTAGTATATGTAGTATTACGGGAGACGTCTGGTAAGAAAATTGTCCTTCTGTCTAATCATTGAATTAGACTCCTTTTAACCCGAATGAGCTTCGGTTAAATTGTCCTACAGTTGCATCGCATGAACAAAAGACAAAGTACAAGAATTCCACTTTGTGATTGGCGATCCTCGCAATTTGCCGTCCGCATGCGACTCATTAGGTAATCCGTTTTGACACGCTGGAGGAGGCCAACCCTTTGAAGCCCCCCCTCTCGTCCCTTCAGTCCTACATCGAATACTCCATTGCTGACACTGTGGCATTCGTTGCCGATTACACTCGTTATCCTCAACACCTCTGAGCCCGCTGCTCCCTTTCGTGCCCCATACCGCCGACCACAGCCGATTGACAATCCGCCGAGCGCCCAGCATCGTCATCTGCGCATCCGCCGCTCACCTATCCCTTGTCGATCACCTATATAACTTCCTCACGTCCCGAGTCTATCTCCCCGGACGAAGATCAAGGGTGCAAACGCCAGCGAAGCTCTGGTGATCTGCGCTTCTTTGTCTACATACTTCCCCCCACTCGCCAACAACATACGTGCATGGGTATCTAGAAGCTGCCCTTCCTCTCCGAGTAGAGCGGCGCAACTCAAGATTCGTTCGCAATGCATACAAATGCTGCTAGGCCGTTTCGGGCTCACAACTGGGCCTTGTGCCTGCTTCTCTTCGTGTCTAGTGCCTGGGCATTTTACATCCCTGGTGAGCTTATTCGAGAATGGGGTAACTGTGCAACACTAACTTGGACCCTTCTTTCTTACTAGGATACTCGGTCACGCGGTACAACGACGACCAACCGATCCCCCTGCTCGTGAACAAGATATTTTCCGACCACACCCAACTTCAATATGCCTATTTCGACCTTCCATTCGTCTGCCCCCCGAGCGGCCGTACCCACGGCGGATCCCCATTCGGATCGGGCCAGAGCATCTCGCTCAACCTGGGTGAAGTTCTGCGGGGAGATCGCATCATGACATCTGACTTCGAGCTCATCATGGGTAAAGATGTGGAATGCCGCTCTCTGTGCACTGCGCAAGTGAGCCGTTCAGATGTCAAGTGGGCACGCCAATTGATCAAGGAAAACTATGTGATCGAGTGGATCGTCGATAACCTTCCCGGAGCTACGAGCTTTGTGACCGTCGACCGCAGCCGCAAGTACTATGCGTCTGGATTCAAGTTGGGCTACCGTGACATTTCTCCGGCCACCGGCCAGTCGCGCTACTTCATCAACAACCATTTCACTATCGTCATCCGCTGGCGGAGTGCGCCGGAGGGAGGCAAAGTTATCGTCGGGTTTGAGGTCTATCCTAAGAGTGTCTCCGCGGATGGTCGTAAGGAGGACGGTTGTCCCAAGGCCGTGCACAAGGACCAAGAAGGTCTTGGTCTGTATATCGCGCCTAACATGTCGCGCCTGCGCGAGAAGTATGGTGGACTGTCGTATATTCCAGAGGACGACGATGACGACGATGGTGCCACGCTGGACATCCCCTACACCTACTCTGTTTATTTCCGGGAGGAGAACAAGGTCGAGTGGGCCAACCGATGGGACCTGTACTTCACCAACCAGGGAGAGGGCTCGATGACCCACTGGCTGGCGATTATCAACTCTCTAACTATCTCCACGGTGTTGGGTGTGACTGTCTTCGTTATCTGGAGTCGCACTGTTCAAGGCGATATTAAGGGTCGTGGCGACGGTGCCATGGAGGACCGCAAGCTGAAGGTGCAATCTCGTCGTAAGCGCTCCGGTGAGAAGAAGAGCGAGGGACTGTTGGACAACGCAGACGTCGAGCACGATGCGGATATGTCATCGGATGATGAGGTTTTTGAAGACACCAGCGGTTGGAAACTCCTCCACGGCGATGTTTTCCGTGTTCCAGCCTACAGTGGCCTCCTCGCTCCGTTGGTTGGATCCGGTATGCAGCTCTTGTTCATGGCCACCGGCCTGCTGGTGCTATCCTGCCTCGGTGTTTTGAACCCCAGCTTCCGTGGTGGCTTCGTCAGTGTTGGCATGGGTCTGTTTGTGTTTGCCGGGGTCTTCTCTGGATACTTCTCCGGACGCCTGTACAAGACCTTCGGTGGGACCGGATGGCGAAAGAACACTCTGATTGTAGGTTTTCTTAGACAAAACGGAACTTTGGCTTGACATATACTAACTCGGATCCTAGACGGCTCTTCTCTTCCCTGGTTTGACCTTTTGCCTTGTCCTCATTCTGAACTTGTTCGTTTGGGCTCAAGCATCCAGCACCGCAATCCCATTCGGCACTCTTATTGGTCTTCTTGCACTCTGGCTGCTGATCCAGGTTCCCCTTGTTTACATCGGTAGCTGGGTTGGATATGTGCGGGCGAAACCCTGGGAGCATCCCTTGAAGACCAACGCCATTCCTCGTCAAATCCCATCCCAGCCCTGGTACCTGCGTAGCCCGGCAGGTCCCCTGCTGACCGGACTGATTCCCTTCGCGGTTCTCTTTATTGAGCTGCTCTTCGTATTTAAGAACCTATGGCAGGACAAGAGTGGCTACTACTATGTGTTTGGCTTCCTCAGTGTCGTCTCTGTCGTACTTATTGTGACGGTCGTCGAAGTCACCGTCATTGCCACCTACAGTCAGCTCTGCTCCGAGGTATGGTCTTTTTCTTCTTCATATAGTAAGAACTTTCGACTGACCTTTCTAGAACTATCACTGGTGGTGGCAAAGCTTCCTCACTGGTGGAAGCAGTGCCTTCTGGATCTTCGCCTACTGCATCTGGTATTACATGTTCAAGTTGCATATCACTGGCTTTGTCTCCACATTACTGTTCTTCAGCTACAGCTTCCTCGCCTGTGCTGTATATGGCCTGTTGACTGGTACCGTCGGCTTCCTGGCCGCTTACACTTTTGTCCGTCGTGTCTACAGGTAGGTTGTTACATCCGGCCAACTCGACATGATGAAGACTAATAAGCCAATGACTGCAGTGCTATCAAGGTGGACTAAACAACCCATCCATCGTCAAACCCTCCCAATCAGTCCACTCGGTGACTGACCAATTCTACCTTTCAATCCTCCCATTTCTCCATATCTCTTATGATTAATCTGCCCAACAAGCATTGGTGATGTTATTCCACCACCACGGCGTCCTCTCTTGAATTGCATGTCTCGACTCTATGTGCAGACGCACCTTCCTTTCTTCCAGATACACGTCTTCCATCCGATTTTCTTTCCATCTGTCATTTCCATCTGTCTCCCTTTGTGTGTCTATCTGACTTGAGTCACCATACAACTAAGCCAGGCGATGCTGCATTCACGGTTGGCTGGCCGACCCCGTTGGATTTGGGTTTAGGCGCAAGGTTGTGGTTACAAAGCTGAGCGTTAATTTATTGATTCTTATTCAAACGGGCCCTCGCTATGACTGCGTTTTTGGGTGTAAACATTGAGGCGCTATGTGTGTAGTGTAATCATACAACTATCTCTGAGTATATGAATGACACCCTTTCTGTTTTCCAAAGCGGGTTCGAGTTTCTTATCTCTCTATAGCTCTTGGTGGTCTTTCTAATGGAAATACGTGTCACTCGATTGTTTGCCCCACGACTAAAGCCTACCGAATCCCAGAACTTTCCGTAAAATCGTACGAGACGAACAATCACAGCAACCTAGCTCGACTTGATTACCTGCCTGTCATCCTGTGATTGCTGGCTAGACTAGTCGGATCACGGGATTTTCCTCCAGAGTCGCTTTCCAAGGGGCATTTCAACACCCTTTTCCTCCTCTCCCTTCCGTCCTATTCGCATCCCAACCAACTTCCATCTCCTATCATCCATCCACCTGACTTTGAAATTCGAACATTCTCACCTGCTCAACCCGCCTTAGACCTTGCATTTCCTACGCATCTCCAAGGTCCTGGGCTTCTATTAGCTCACACCTCATTCAGGTCCCCCTTAACCAAGGCTACGATCTCTCCTCCGACTGATTTTAGTCACCGTTGCGACCCAACCCTTTGTCAACCTTTGGCCTCTGCACTCTCGGCTGAACATATTCAGATTTCTCTCTCGTCATCACAACCATCTCATGCCTTCATCACTCTCTCAGCAGCCCAGGATGGTGAGAAGTACTGCTCAACTCACGCCCATTCGGTTTACCGGGCAGGAGTGGGCCGATCTGAATGGGTTGGTCCTTTCTCGGAGTCAGATGATAGAACATGGACTGCGCGTGGAAAACTTCAACACCCAGGAGCTTGCGCAACTGCGACGCTGCCTTCTGTGCCGACGTATGTGACCTTTCTTTGTCGTGCGTTGCCATGGAAGTATCGTGACATTGCTTTTGCTAACGGGTCATTACAGATCGAATTAAACGCAGGAAGGTCCTTTTCGATGGCAATGGACTTGAGATTGATTCTGACGAGTCTGCAAACGCGCAGTCTGCTCCTAATCACACGAATATCATTACACAAAAGACCGCATTCAACCTTCAAATGGCAGAGGACTTAGAGTGGGCCTTGCTTGTTCGCCAGCGTCTGGTCTTTCTGGAAGATGCTGATCAAGGCACTACGGAGGGCACCAAAAAGGCAAGCAAGAAAGAAGATTCCGTGGAACTCCCCAAAAGTGTGTCTAGCTATTATTTACGCCCGTTCTACGTTCTTCCTGACTTGGAGTGCATTTTTGACTACTCAAAGTTCACAATCCTGACCGCTGACGACCCGATTTGGCATCGACTGGGGCCGGATGGCAAGTTGCTTCATTATCGAAGCCGGATCCAGCTGAGTATCGAGACTGGCGAAGTCAGTTATTACTCAGTCAAGGTTACAGAAGGAGAGTTTCAGGAATATCTCCGGAATCATCAGTACCGCCAGGAAGATGTCACCAAGAAGGGACGCTGTCAAAGCCACCCAGGAGATTTCTCCAAAGGAGTAAGTCTACCATCATTATTATAAATACTTCAAAACACGGCTGGAAGTATATTTCAGAAAAGTCAATACTAATTCAAAAATAGAAGTTCACCTGTTGCAACCAAGGCGTCTTCAGCAAAGGCTGTTCCGAGTTTCCACATCACGTTTACAACCAGACGCCTGGGCAGCTCTGGAAAGACTTTCACTTACATGAAACCCCAGCGCGCTGCAACACACCCCGCCGATGCATTGTCCTTGACTGCGAGATGGGTGTAGCTAACACCGGCGAACCCGAGCTAGTCCGCATCACCGCAATCGACTATTTCAGTGGTGAGACGTTGATGGACTCCCTGGTATTCCCACAGGTCAAGATGTGGCATCTTAACAAAAGGTTCTCGGGGGTGGACTGGCCAATGCTTCACAAAGCTCGCAAGGCAGGACGGATCATTAATGGGCGCGACGCTGCTCGCCGCCAACTATGGAAATTTGTCGGAAGAGATACTATCGTTATCGTGCATGGTGGCCATAACGACTTCCTTTGTCTCCGTTGGATTCACTGCAAGGTCATTGATACCATGGATTGCGAGAGTCGCCTCGCAGAGCCGGCTAAATCGCCAGGTCTGAAGAACCTCACGAAGGCTCACCTGGGTCGCGAGATTCAGAAAGGCCGGGGTGGTCATGACAGTCTTGAAGACGCCCAAGCGACCCGAGATCTGGCAGTTTGGTATGTGCAGAACCTGCCTGCCAGTGCGAAGGTCCAGGCACAGAGCTAACGGCGATAAGGCGAAGAGCAAAGAGATTGTGGGGCATCGGGGAGATATCAAATAGTGAACCCTCGCTTTTACAGGGCTCTCAAACCTTCAATGAATGAGAACTCCCTGTTGCACTTTAGTTGTACTGAGCCTCACATGTTAATTGTGTGCCCCCCAGTTCAACATGAAGCCCATACTATGCAGTTAGTACAAGCGAGCTTGCTCCTACTAGTCACTATTTCTAGATGTTTTGATTTGCGATTCTTGATCTTTCCCGCTGCCCAGGGTATCTTGACGTCAAGTATTTCCTTACCATTTATCGATACAAGTGCCAAGGTCCCGGTTCTGTAGTGTAGATTCAAGAGTTTTTTCTGGTCATAGTGACGACGCATTTCCGCCCTTCACTTCCAAGACCGTCGCATACTAAGCCTAAACGGTCTACGACCATCCGTCATTTGGACATAGCATTCTTGGCCGTACCTAAGAGCGTCTCTATTGAACATCATGTACTTCTACCAGTCTCTATTCCATCTACTATTCCATACTTTGCGGCTCGAAACACTGCTTCTAGCGAATTTTCGTGACCTACTTCATTCTAAAGGCATCTCTACAGTCCTCCAGTAATTCCCTATATTGGGAAGTTTGCACGTCTACTGGGTTCCTGCTACATAGATCAATCGGAACTTTTCGTGTACCGCCTGATTGCCCCCAGCCTCTGTGGCGGATGCCTATTTCGAACTTAATATCGAGCTGATTGTCTGCCTGGGGATTTTGTGATCGCTGGCTGGCTTGAATCGGTCTTGTGAGGTTGCATTAGATATGTAAACACAGTCTCCCTTTGGTCCTGCTCACGGTCCTACCAACCTTTCTGCTCTCCAGATCCTTTAACGCCTCCGAGCCTTCAAACTTCTTACCGCACTTATTCCCTTTGATCCCTAATCCTTTCATTTCCCTACCTATCAAGCAACTCGTCAAGACCAAAGCCTTCGATCGACTTACGCATTACCCTCCCTCAACCCAAACTGTAATACACGGTCCACCAATCTCGCATCCCTCCTCGACCCTTCGTTCTTGGCCTACAGAATTGACCGACCACTTTACTGACCTGGTCCGGTTGATCATCATGGTGCCAAAATTATCCCGTCAGCCCGGGATTGTGACAAATGGTATCAATCTCATTGCCATCCGGGACACTCCACAGGAGCGCGCCGATCTCAACTCCTTCGTTCTTGACTGGGACCAGAGAAAGAAGCAAGGAATCCGCTCAAGCGACTTTAGTACGGACGAGCTCGAGGAGCTACGGCGTTGCGAATGCTGTCGTAGTATGTTACCCTTGTTTGATCCCCCATCAGGTCATGTTATATCAGTTTTGCTGACAAGGATAAAGAGCGAATCACTTCCGAGAGTATCAAGATCATTTTCGACCAGGAAGGAGAGAGGTACGAGATTGATGAGGCCGCAGAAGAAAGGTCCATGCTCGGTAAAAAACACCGTATCGGGCGGCAAATGGCTTTTCGCACTCAGATAGCGGAGGATCTGGAATGGGCCCTACTCGCTCGCCAGCGCCTAGCCTTCATGGAAAGAACCAAAGTTGATAACAAAGAGACAAACAAGGAGGAGGATCTTATGGAATCTCCCAGTGCGGTTGCAAAGTACTACTTATGCCCACACTACGTTGTTCCTGACCCGGAGTCTTCCTTCGACTACTCTGAGTTTACCGCCTCTGATGAGCCGATTTGGCACAGGCCAGGGCCCGCTGGTACAACTCGTCATTTCCAGTCTCGGATTAAGCTCAGAATGGAGACCGGCGATGCCGGCTGGTATGATGCTGAGCTTACAGAAGCAGAATATCAGGAGTATCTCCGGGGCCGAGGACAACGCCTCCCAGGGATATGGAGAACGGGTCCATGCAACATTCACCCGCGAGGACTCAGGGAAGGGGTAAGTTTAAAACCTTCCAAGTGTGATTCTGAACTGAGAGCTAATTCAATCAAAGAAATACGCCTGCTGTGGCCTAGGGAAGCTGAGCACTGGCTGCACTCTAGCCCCTGAGCATAAAAATGCTCAAACACTTCAGGAGTTGGAGAAAAAGTATAAGCTCTTCGAGACTCCTTTCGATTGCCCGCAACCCCGAGAATGCGTTGTCCTCGACTGTGAGATGGGTGTCGCCAGTACAGGCGAATCAGAGCTTGTCCGAGTGACCGCGGTGGACTATTTCAGTGGCCAAACCTTGATAGATGCCCTGGTTTTCCCCACAGCAAGGCTTCTTCACCCGAATACAAGATATCCGGGTGTGACCTGGCAGATGATGCATGAGGCTAAGCGAGCACGCCGGGCAATTCTGGGGCGAGACGCTGCTAGACGTCGATACCCAGGATTGTGAGAGTCGCCGTGCAGCACCGGCCAGATCCTTTTCCCTGAAGAACCTTGCCAAAATTCATCTAGACAGGCATATTTAGTTGGGCAGTCGGCTTGGACATGATAGCCTGGAAGATGCGCAGGCGACGCGGGACCTCGCCCACTTTTACATCCAGGAGTTGCATGCGCCTTCCAAAAGAAGGCACCCTGTCACTTCATGTCCGATGAGAAGGAGGCCTGGAACAATCTGCACTCAAGGATTGATTCTTGGGATCCTATCGGGTGGCCTGATACGGTTCCGTGGTAAATCACTAGGTCCAGAGAGGCCGACAACAGTCTCCTTGAGCTTCCCGAAACACAGGTCACTCGAGACCTTTAAAACATTCGTGCTCAGCGTCAGTCAGAGGCAATACAGCTATGCAGTCTCAGCGACGGGTAGTCATCAGATGTGGACACTCGCTACGTTTGCCAAAGATGGATTGAGGATATCTGGTAGATAGATTGTTTTCGAAGGTTTCAAAGATCGAGCACCCTAAGAAAAGAAAAAACAAATGAAACATCAGAGTCAGCATTTCGGGTTCCTTGCGGAGTAGCGTATCGTAGTTGATAAATATCCACTCAAAATTCCAACCGCTATTAAAAGAGGCTTTCTATACTAGCCACGATACCCCATTTGCTCAAGGGGTATCACTCAGCCCGGCATAAGGTTACTTACTTACCTAAGGTCTTTACAATGAAATATCATTTTACCCTGGCCTATATTCATAGCAACCTTTTTACATTGCCTGACCAATAAAAGAGTCTGGTACTCAACGTTCCGCTTGATGGGCCCCGTAGGATATCTCCGGCAAACCCGACAGCAACAAACACGAGCACAAAACAAAGCTGTAGAAACCTTAGAGCCTGAGGCTGCTGTCCTTGTTGTATTTGGTTATTTAAACCTTCCCTGTATTCCCCTTCCCCTCTCTCTTTTACACCTCAACTAAATATACAACTTCCATGTCCTTCCTCCACAACATCTGCGCACGTTTGCTCGATTTATATAATGGACCCCAAATATAGCAATACTAGAAGGCAGGCAACAGGAAGTCATGACACTGGCCCGAATGGCTATTGAAATGTCGCGGGTGCAGAGACACTGATGACCATTCGATAGTGATTACAACACCCAGCTCTATATACATGGAAACATCAACGATCTACTTACCGATACGAGCTATCACACCCCCTGACGTCGCCCATGGAATTTTGTGGGCGCAGACACTATTGTCATTGTACATGGTGGCTGTACCAACTTCCTGACACTTCGCTGGATATACCGCTAGATGCTCGTTCGGAGCCAGTTAAAGCAACGGCCTTTGGGAACCTTGCAAAAATTCATCTAGGCAGGGATATTCAGTTACAGAAGCTTAGACACCATCCACCCTTGCAGCGCACCGAAGACCAGAAATGAGCTCCAGAACTGAACATCTCGAGCAACAGCTCAAGCAAGGCCTTTCTGCAAGGCATATCATGAATGGCCTTCACCAGGGCGACCATGATTTATGTATTCGTCGATCTGACCTCTATAATAAGCGCCAAAGGCTACATATGAAGTTTCTTGCTGGGCGAAAGCCGAACCAAGCTCTATTGCAAGAGCCTCCGAAGGATGGAAACTGGCTGTTTCGATATGAGTTGGATCATGATGATCATGCCAACATTCTTCCTTTCTATAGTTATGCGCCCGCTATTGTGTCAAGGACCTGTATACGCATTCAGATGTTCAGTGGAAGAGGGACGCTAGTTATATAATGCTCCATGAAAAGAAGAGCGGGAAATATTCATTCTCAAGAGGCTATATTTGAAGGCTCGGCATATAGCCCAGTCCAGCGCCATGTTCTAATCTCGCCAGGGAGGCTGGTTATCCGCGAGCGCTCATGGCCAGACAAACAACTGCTCATCCGCCCCTGCAGCCTTCGGACAGCTGGGCCGGTGGATATTGTTCTCTAGCTAGCAGGGATTGGCTACTTCTTAGCTGTCGACGAGCGTAAGTACCCGGAGATACACAAACAATGCTCAACTAACAACCTTCATAGCTTCACAGAGGCGGTCGACATATTCTCCGAAGAGAACAGCTTCTTTTTTCGCGGTGTCTTGGCTTTACCTCGTTGACATCCTCCCGTCTTCCCAACCCAGAACGATCCGCCATGGCGGATCCCCCGCTGCGGATGAGGATACCTAGGGGTGTCATAGACTGTGAGATGGTAAAGGATCTGGCCTTTGAGGAAGGCAAGCCGTCATATGATCGGCCTCCAATTGGAGCCTCCAAAGACAACGGCACAGCAGCAAACGTCACAAACAACACGACCACTAAAGCCGCCGGAGTGAATTGGTTGATAGGGCCCGTTATTGCCTCCAAGGCCTTCGTCAATGCTCGGAGAAAATTGGTCCGGACCTACAATCAGGACAAGCACAATGAAGATTGTCGGTTTCTCCACACAGGACCTCTTTTCAAGTGAGATAGAGCAAACCCGAACTCCCGCCCGCCTCGGACGTGTGGTGAGGATCACTGGAAGAATCCACTTTGGCATAATGGCGCACACAGGATCTACATGAGAATGGCGAAACATTGAGGCTTCTCGCTGGCTTCACCACACCCAACGTTAGACCCGCAGGTTCAGGATACTCGTTTTTACCCTTATGGAGATTCTGTAGTAGTGAACTGTCCATTTCATATTTTAATCTGCATATGGTTATGTTTTTGCGCTTCCTTTATACTTGGCGTAATAGATTTTCAAACACATATCTGACGGTGCTTCTTCATCCTGGACTAATAACTAGTGGTTAAGCAGATACGTCTTCCCCGAGAACAAGAGATATGGCTACCCTTTCGTGAGATTGTGTAGTACTGCCAATCTTTAAGCAGAATGTACCATATAACATCTTGCTATTTGAACTTCTCCATTCTCGTTGCCAAAACTTCCTGTTAGTATGCCTCCCCTCGATATCCGCCTCCAGCCACCAACCCCTGTCCTATAATGCAGATACCCTTGCAACCCCATCGGGAAGAAAATACCAAACCAGGCGATGATGAACTCGTGGCCGGCGGGATGTTACCGGGGACGGGATGTTGGCCCCCGTTCATCATCGGAGGTACCGTGCGTAAAGGAGGTAGCATGTACCGTCACACATCTACGTAGACACGTAGGGATATAGAACATATCGTTAGCGTACAAGATACTTGGCGCAGATGGACAGTGGGGATTATTGCAAGATGAACTAGCTGGAACTATAGTAGGTCGAGGTGGCAAGTCCTCGTACCCAGTGCTTGCTCCTCATCCAGTCTATGACTCTATCTTGCAGTAATCGTAATCTGCACTCCTACGAGACAAGGATCCAATCGATCTCAGATCTACTGATTTGATCAACTTTGGTTTACGCCATTCTGCATCGGGTGAAACAGTCCCGCCACGAGTTATGCCGCCGTGCGGCAGGTGATCGTTACACGGGGCGGGATGTATCTCTACGCTATGTGTCCGTATCTCTATAATTTTGTCTTGGACGGAGTACGAGTGGAGGTCTCCCCGTGGATGTGGGGACTCTGGGAGTTGACGGTACTTGTCCACCCGGCGCTAGTCCGTTGGAGAATTCGAAACAGCGGTGACGCTCTTGCTTGGCGGGAATGTTTAGAAACTGGGGAAAGTGATTGAAAATGGAAAATATCTTTTTTTTTGTTTCCAATAATGCTATTATTGTCGTTGGAGGGTGGAATGTGGATTGTGGAAATCCGGGGCCGGCGGCTGAAGAGTGTATTTAGCCATGGCGTGCTTGCGCAGGGGGATTGCTCATGTGTTGTGAAACGGGACTATGGGGATGAAGAGGGTGTTATTATTGGATGATATTGGAATTCTGAGTATTGTAAGTGCTTTTACAATGTTATTACTATAGTACAACCATAGTATAGGTATAGGATAGGCAGAAGATAGACATGATTATCTCACAAAAATGAGGACCTCCTTGGTTTGATTCTCGTCTATCACATACACCGCTTCTTCCACATGTCACCCCGAAGGAATAATGATCAGACAGCCTCGTCATCCTGGTTCTACTAGCTCGGCAGTCACGGACTCATGCTCCATACTTCATCGTTAGGTTCTGGAGAAGGACTCCATCTTACCTCCTCCTCCATAAGAGTAATTGACCACGCGGGCCTTTTCTTTTTCTTCTCTCCCACCGTTCCTCCATTCGGATATACATTCCCCTCCTTATTGGCCACACAGATAAGCAAGTGGAGTAAAGAGCCCCCGCTAAGCCTGACTAGGAAGCGAGTCGCCAGTGGTTGGACCGCAAGTCGCAGGCTATACTTCTGGGCCCAGACTAAGACGCGACTAAGCAGGCGACTAGTGCTGAAAATGGCCACCCCAGGGGTCAACCGAGTGAAAGCTGATTGGATCGGTTTGCGGTGACACGATCCAGTGGAGAACAGAGTTGAGCCCGGAGCATCGGGGGGATCGGCTACGTTACAAGGGTCTGTCAACCGCACCACGATTCTGCCATTGACGAGGTTTATATTTGTAGGCCACTCTGGGGTCGAGTGAACTCCAGAAAAAAACTGGTCATGGAAAGTGTATCTTGCGAGTGTTGAGTGTGTATTATGGGATTTTATTCCCACTGGTGCGGTCAGGGGGCTGATCGGGAGGGTCAATCTTACGCGGACGAGGGTGTATTACGCTCGTCACCAGTGGTAATTTACTTTTCCATGATCAATCCCACTCCGAGTCAAACTAATAGCTGGTCATCAGTTGCAGTTACTCACTAATGTACCGCAGTCCCAGCTACGCCAACCCACTTTTTCGCTGCAGGTGGCAACTCGGCACAACTGCTGGCGCGTTCCATTTGACACGTTCCCTCCATGCTGAATGGACCGGAATGAGTGCCTCGAGCTGGATACCGAGTCCAGCTCTTTGTTTAAGGGACCACATGACCCCTCCAGAGGGCTGATCGGCTGAGGAATTCCCAGAGTCTAAAGTGATGTATCCCTTTGAGTTTTTGGCTTAGTGATATCTACTATTTCGTTGTTCATGGGATTCCTCGTCGATATACTTCCTTCCGTATCTTCCGTATCTTGCGTAAGCGTGCCTGACCATACCCGGATAAAATACGAATAAAATACCGCCCGTACCATTGATACCAACCAAATACCGATGATCGTAAGAATCACACCATCGCACTTCAGAATGAGCCCATCTTGCACCTTTTCAGTCGTACGTCAGTCCTCTTTCTACCCCTGATCTTCCATGCAGGAAAGCTAATCGAATTCGGAGTAGTCGTCATGCGGAGAAGATTTGACTAAAATGCATGGAAGAACAATGTAAGGAGTCTAACAAGTATCTAGTAGTATAGGCTGGAGTATAACTGGACTCCGCAACTATGGGGTCTACCCCGGCAATTGTTCCGTACAAGCGCCATACATTCCTTTTTTTACATTTTTTTTTCTCTCTGATCGTCCTTCCAAACCGTCCTCCTCGATGGAGTTCCTAATCTGATTCAATTCTTCCTCTGGCCTATAGTATTTTTTCGCATTTTCTCCTGTCTGAAGCAACTCCTTCATTGGGTCTCGGGCCCTCTTGCATTATCTTTTTTTTCCTTTTTCCTTTTCTCTTCAGTTCCCCACATACGCCCATTCGGCTTCATATATCTACCCTTTCCCTCCCAAAATCCGGTACACTTTCTTCTTTCTTTTTCCCATTCATAGTATCTACTCGGGCTTGGACTTCTCCTCCTTTCCCTCCCCTCGGGCCGTCCTCTGAATCGTATTGCACACCATACATAGCAATTCCATCATGGCGACCAAAAAGCCCAACATCCTCTACATCATGGCGGACCAGATGGCCGCGCCATTGTTGTCTCTGCACGATAAGAACTCGCCCATCAAGACTCCCAATTTGGACCGCTTGGCAAGTGAGGGCGTGGTTTTTGACTCGGCATACTGCAATTCCCCTTTGTGTGCGCCCTCTCGCTTCGTCATGGTGAGCGGTCAACTGCCATCGAAGATCGGCGCGTACGATAACGCGGCGGATCTGCCCGCCGACACGCCCACTTACGCCCATTATCTTCGTCGCGAGGGTTACCACACGGCCTTGGCTGGTAAGATGCACTTTTGCGGTCCGGATCAACTGCACGGTTATGAACAGCGTTTGACGAGCGACATCTATCCCGGTGACTATGGCTGGTCGGTCAATTGGGACGAGCCGGTGAGTTCAGGAATTTCTTACAATAACTTCAATCGAATGAGGTTTGGCTAATTTGGATCCCTAGGAAATCCGCCTGGATTACTATCACAACATGTCATCCGTCCTGGAAGCCGGCCCCGTTGTGCGCACAAACCAACTCGACTTTGACGAGGAGGTCATCTACAAATCCCAGCAGTATTTGTACGACCACGTGCGTCACCGCACCGACCAGCCGTTCTGTTTGACCGTCTCCATGACGCACCCACACGACCCGTACGCCATGACCAAGGAGTTCTGGGATCTGTACGAGGATGTCGAAATTCCTCTGCCCAAGAACGGCGCAATCCCACACGACCAGCAGGATGCTCACTCCCAGCGCGTGCTCAAGTGCATCGATCTGTTCGGCAAGGAGATGCCCGATGAGCGTATCCGTGCTGCCCGTCGCGCGTACTATGCGGCCTGCACTTACGTCGATACCAACATCGGCAAGCTGCTCAAGGTGCTCAAGGATACCGGGTTGGACGAGGATACCATCATTGTCTTCACGGGTGACCACGGTGACATGCTGGGCGAGCGCGGATTGTGGTACAAGATGACCTGGTTCGAGAACTCGGCTCGGGTGCCGATGCTCTTCCACGCCCCGAAGAAATTCGCCGCCAAGCGCGTGTCGGAGAATGTCTCCACCATGGACTTGCTGCCCACCTTCGCGGGCCTGGTCGGTGCCCCCCTCGTGCTGGGACTCCCGCTCGACGGTGTCTCTCTGGTGCCGTATTTGACTGGCGAGGAAGGTCCTCGCACCGACACCGTGTACGGCGAGTACATGGGTGAAGGCACCCAAGCCCCATTGGTCATGATCCGCCGTGGTCGCTGGAAGTTCATCTACTCGACCATCGACCCACCAATGCTGTTCGACGTTGCCAATGACCCAGAGGAGAAGATCAACCTGGTCGCCGGTCTGCCCATCCCTTCAGCAACCAAGCCTGCAGTCCCCGTCAAGCCCGCCCACGCCAACCCGCTAGCCGTGCCAGCCAGTCTGCCCACTCCCGACGATACCCCCCGCGTCTCGCCCATCCCGCAACGTGCCTCCGATGCATCAGCCCAATACCCCTTCCCATCGCCTACACCCCCTCGCACCCCCAGCCCAGCCAAATTCACCGCGCTGCCTGATACCACGGACCCAACCAAGCTGCTGGCCTATTTCCTCGAGGAAACCAACACCCGGTGGGATCTGGAGGCTATTCGACAGGATGTTATTCGGTCGCAGCGCCGCCGGCGTCTCGTGTACTCTGCTTTGATCGAGGGTACCCCCTCGTTCTGGGATTATGAGCCCCGCGTGGATGCTAGCAAGCAGTACGTGCGTAACCAGGGCAAGGGCGTGCTCGACGATGTCGAGTTGATCTCGCGCTGGCCGCGCGTGTTGCAGCAGGCTGCGACTGCGAAGGGTATCTCTGCGTAAAGTGGAAGATGCGACGAGAAGTTCAGTTGCGTAGCGGAGTATCTTGGCCGTGCCCGCGGTAGATGGATGGCTTCGCGCACAGTTTGATCTGACCTGATCTCATACGATCTTCAAGACAAGACTGTAAAAAAGAAAAGACACCCCGACATTGTTTCTGCATTGATGACTTGATTTTGACATGACCATTCATTGCGTTTCGAGCATTCCGCATGGCCTTTTATGTTTTTTATTATCGCTTCTGGACATTGTTTCCTTTCTCTTCACATCATCTCATCAGCGAGGCGCTATACCCGGGAACTACGATTTCCTCTCCATGTTCATACTTGTTCGTTGTACCACGACTTTTGTATCTCCAGGTTGGAAAATTTGGTGTTTTGCAAAATGCGTGGCATACATTTCTTATCTGTATATATTACTTTACTTTTGGTTTTAACATCCCGGGTTGGGCTACTCGCCCTGGTGAAATATGGGGGAGGGCTATGGAAATGGAAATTGAAATTGTGGATATTCTTGATATTCTTGATAAGTTGACAGACTGACAGATTGGATTTAGTATCGTACACTATGAAAATTGAGAATGAAATTGTTTACCTTTGCTTCGATGGTCTGTTGGAGTAAGTATATTATACTCTGCGCTAGCGATGGATCTGAACAATGTATGATGTCACCTGCGGCAAGAGAAAAAGTATAAAACTGGGCGAATACTAACACTAAGCTAAGTACATACCACACTACTATACTTTACTTAGTACTGTACTTTGCCCGTTTGCGGCGTCCTGTCGGTACTTTTTATCAGATTCCCCACACCCGGGGCTACTCGGTTCTCGGCTTCTCCTTAGCTCGAGACTTTCTCCACTTCATCCCATCATCACTATACACTCCCCCTCACCTTCAACAGTCCTCTTCCATACATACTTCCCATCCCACCTCATCTCTAATATCCAACATGCCCTCCCTAACAGTAGGAGTCTCCCAATCCCGCACCCTCCCCACAACCCCGCAAACCCTCGCCGCCCTCGAACGAACCACCCAACTCGCCGCCCGCCGCGGTGTCCACCTCCTCCTCTTCCCAGAAGCCTATCTGGGCGGATACCCGCGCACATGTTCCTTCGGCACGGCGGTGGGTAGTCGGGACCCGCGCGGGCGCGACCAGTTCCTGGCTTACTTCAAGGACGCGGTTGATCTGGGCGATACGCCTGCGGGGGCGGGAGAGGAGTGGGTTGAGAGACGCCTGGGTGTTGCGCATGGCAAGGCACAGAGGGGGGATGGGACTCGGGAGGTTTTGGAGAGGATTGCGAAGGAGAGTGGTGTCTTTTTGGTTGTTGGGGTTGTGGAGAGGGCGGGTGGGAGTTTGTATTGTTCTGTTGTTTATGTTGAGCCTGCACGGGGGGTGTTGGGGAAGAGGAGGAAGGTTATGCCGGTATGTTTTGCGTGGTTGGATGGCTAATGACAGCAAGTATTGCTAGGGAGATATTGTTAACATGGGTCTTTCTGGTAGACTGGATCCGAGCGTCTTATTTGGGCTCAGGGTTCGCCGTCGACTCTTCGCGCTGTCACTACTACCTTGAATGGGATCCCGTTGACCCTCGCCGCGGCTATATGTTGGGAGAATTACATGCCACTCCTCCGACAGAGCTTATACTCACAGAACGTCAACATTTATCTCGCTCCCACAGCAGATGCCCGGGATACATGGTTATCACTAATGCGCACAGTCGGTCAAGAAGGCCGATGTTTCGTGTTATCCGCGAATCAGTGCGTCCGCAGTAACGAGCTCCCAGACTGGATCACGGGTCAAACAAAGGAAGGCGACTTCCCAGCATCTGCTAAAACCGTTGCCTCGCCTTTGCAGATACAGGCAACGACTAGCGGGCGAAAGTTGTCAATTACCCCCGAGGGACCGCATGAAATAGCCTGGCCTCCATGCTCGACACAGGATACCCAGCCGGTAACTGAAACCACGACCTCAGTGTCAAAGCTCGACATCTCCAGTTCGGAATCCGAGTACGTCTGCCGGGGCGGGAGTTGCATTATCTCACCCCTGGGAGAAGTCCTCGCCGGACCATTGTGGGAGGTTTGTACAGATGATACACCGGATAGCGAGGAAGCAGGTGTTAGTACCGCGCCGCTGGGAACGTCTGCCATTGGCACGTATGGTGGGAATAATACCGTTGCGGCTGGTGATGGATTGGCGATTGCCAAGATTGATTTGGATGATTGTGAGCGTGGGCGGTTGGATTTGGATGTTGCGGGGAGTTATTCCAGGAGTGATGCGTTTAAGTTTAGTGTTGAAGGATTGGATCTGAATCCTCCGCCTGTTTGAGGAACCCGCTTGTAATACTACTAAACCATATTTGGAACCGCTCTCGAATGGATATGGAATCGGGACGCCCGCAGCCAATTTTGGCAGAGTGACTATAATGCCATGTTCTTAACCCTTCAAACCTCTGTTTTAGGTCAAGTACAGGTTGGATTAGTTCAAGTCGGTTCTGAATTTCGCCTGAACAATGAATAAAGACGTCGACACGCCACAGCTGTGAGTCACACTACTAAGAAGAGGAAAGCGCTGAAGTTCTCTTCTCTTTTCATCCTCCCATCGCTCATTTTTTTCCCTTCCTTTTGCTTTTTACTATCATATTTCATGATAAGATATACTTCAACAAGTACAATCTTTGATCCATTTTGCTTTGTGAAGGCTCCAGTCTTTATTCTTTACGCCTTGACGGAACCTCTTCATGGTCGCTATGTAAGCCTACAACTCTCATATCTGAAGTGAATTCGAATCACATTTGATTGACTGAAGAATCAGAAACGTATTTACATGCTCTCTTTCAAGTCTTGAATTTCAACCGGATGGCTTCATTTCCCGCGCTGGCCTCACATTCCAAGATCCTCCATTTGATCTGCTTCTCTTTGGGCTGCCGGATGGTGCCCTTGGATACCATTATGATCTCCATCAGAGCCGTGATGTCTCCCTCTGTCAGAGTCGCTGTGTTCTATTGACCCCAACAGACTCTATCGGGTGCCTGCGACAGGGTGATCATGCTGCGACAGAGCCTGTTTAGCCCATAAACTGGATGTCTGTCTCGTTCCGGGTGAAGACAAGGAGTTCTCGTTGGGGCGGGCATTCACCCCTTCCTCTGCGAGTACACATGCGATGGCTGGTTAGAGCATACCGAAACATGCACTTGAGGGAGACATACCCACAGGAACACGTGCGAGAACACTGCCATCACACAATCTATCTCAAAAGGCGTGTCTGCCATGAGATCGAAATTGTTGACCAAAGCCCTCAGACAGTGCATGCACCAGAAGTGCTTCGGTATTTGGGAACTGCATGAGTTGCACAGGTACAAGGGCCTCGTCGGCGGACTTGGACGCCAGAGGTCTCGCGTTGATTCTGCCTGTCGATTCTTTTCAACTCTCAGCCCTTCGCACCCCGCGGATTCTTCTTGATAAGATGTTTTCTGTTGGACTGCCTTGGCAATATCTGAACTGCAAGGTATGCAATGCACACGAAACTTGGATCGCTAGCTCAGGTCTCCGTTGAATAGGTCTGATGTGAAGACAGGAGCTTCACAAAGGCCCAAGGCGTCATTGTGATTTTCAGGATTGACGAAACCCAGACAGATACTGCTCCACTTGTCGACGCAGACTGTTCTCTCGGAGGGCTATCGGTGTCGATGAAGAAACCGTCATGCCGCTCGACATATCATGCGTCGATTCTTCGGATTCGTCGCAAGTTGTGATCTGATATCCCGCGGTAGCAAGTGTAGCAATACTGAACCAGGCTATGTCTGCCTGGATGCTTCCTCACCCGGCGCAGAAAGCTAAGGGGATTCACCCTGAGAGCCGTTATTTCTGTTGATCACAATCAGTCCGATCGAAACCGGACCAGTGTGGTCAACAGTCGGCCGACCAGGGCGTTCTCCCGGAGGAGCCCCCCTCTCAATCTTCACCTTGATACCGCTGGCACCGAGGGTTGCAGTTACCCCGACTGCCAGCGTCACTCGCTTCAATATGGTTTTGAGATATCTTGTTGTCATCTTTGAGATTTCACCAGATGGCAAAGAGGGGAAGTTTTATTGACTCTACGATAGGGGGTTTTATGTTTACTGCACGGAGTTGGCAGGTATGCCTTCCCTCTTCCAAGGAAGGAGCGTACCCAGCTCAGACGGCCCGTCAGAGATTCTCCGATCACTAAGTATACCTCCTTTCTTTTCTGGATTACAATAGGTACAACATACCTTCCCCTCTTTACTATCCGGTGAATTCTCGAAGATGACAACAAGATTTCTTAACCCCATATTGAAGGTGGTGACGCTAGCAGTCGGGTGACCGCAACCCTCGGCGCCAGCGGTATCAGAGTGAAGATTGAGAGGGGGAATCCTTGGGAAATTTAATCAGAAGGACCGTTCAGACTTATTATAGTCAACAACAATAACGGCTCTCAGGGCGAATCCCCCTAGCCTTCTTCACCGGGCGAGGAAGCATCCAGGTTCAGCATTGCTACACTTGCTAAACTTGCTGATTTGTTCATGCGTCCACTTACTCACAGAGAATGACCGCTAATTACTTTTGTACCTCTTAACTATATCACACATAGTGTTAATACCATCGTATTTTAAGAACTGTCAATCTGCGTCATTACGACTCGGGAGATACTTAACATAACATTAGGCAATGCCTTTATAGGTTCCCAAATATCATACAGGCAACAGCACATTCAGCACACGAACAAAGTAAAATACTACATTACCTCGTATCTTCCATCATACCTGACGCCGATCAACCTTAATAGTCCCCTTCACCTTAGCCGTATCCGTCTCCCCCTCCCCCTTCTCACTCTTACCCGGCTCATTCACGTAGGGATTCATCGTATCCGCATTGGATAGACCCTGTTGTTTAGCGGACATGCTGGTGGATCCACCGGGTGGTCCCATTGCTCGGGGCTATTGATTTAGATGTTAGTGAGATATACGTATAGATTTCTGGATTGAATGAGACATTTCGGTAGTATTCAGGGGTGTAGGAGAGGGAACGAACTTCGTCATGAGTAGAGGTACTTGTCTGTCTTTCGTCAGGGTTTCCTGGCGAGCCTGTCGTGTCTGGAGTACAGTCTAATTAGATATGATCCATTCTCTTAGTGCTTGGTTTTGGAATAGAACTGACTGATACCTCCTCTTTGCGAGAGATAAAAAGATACCGGGACTGCGAGTGCAATCGCGACTAACAACCTATACAACCAACATTAACAACGTATTGAAAACATACATCGTCAACAGGAAAGGCTGAGACGTACAAACGCGGCGCTTCCCCCCTTTTCCCAGCCCCAGTACCAGCAAATCGTTTCTGGTTCGAAGATACCGGACGGAAACCGTGGACACGGGTAGTTGGACTGCGTCCTGAGGATATAGGTAGTCGGGTGAAATTCATTATGTGGACTTTTGAGAAGCGTGAAAATGAAAGATAACTCTGGGGCTAGAAAGTATGGAAAAGTGATTTTTAAGTAAACTATGGCACTCAAGAAAGCAAGATTACTTCAATCTCGACCTCGATCTAGATCTTGCTCTGGCATTATCGGGTCGGTCTGGTTTTGTTATGATATCATAATTCAGTCAGATCGACGTGCCAGGTGGAGACTCGGACGTTATAGGTGTTAGTAGGATTTTGTTAGGGAGAGTGCTTGATTTATTCCTGCTCTAGAAGAAAGTCTAAGGAGAGGCGAATTACCCGGTGTGGTGGGAGAAGGTTAATTGCGGATGCTTTCTGGGTAGATCTTGTCATTGACGTACATTCTGTACTCGCCCGTTGATTGGTTGGTTGATTGCACCTCGGGGGACACACCCGCCATTCTTAATGAGGCCCAACATCCACACGGAGCTTTAGATCACGTATGCTGTAGAAAAGCCAAATTATAGCTGGAACGAGAATGAAAGGGAGATATCTAGCCTACATCCCGATGTTTACCCATGAGTACTATCAACTAAAGTTCAAAGGCATCGATTCAACCTCCATCTCCATTCCCTATCCACTATATCCAAGAAAAGAAGTCCAGATCCAGATCATCAATGTCCCAACACAAACACAACATAACGAAAGGGGGGGGATATCAATGCTATCAATCATGGGGTCATCACCCTGCTGGAATGTGACAGTGACACTCCTGCGTTTTATGTACAACTGCACTCCTTCATATCACCTCTAACTTGCTCTGCATCTCTCCCGTTGTCACTCACGAAGTTTTTCACGTGGATCCTTTACTCGATCATCCACACGGGTGATTTGACTAAGACCATTGGCGGCCCTTTACCACGGACTTCGACTGTTAGGAAGGAGGCAAAGCGGATTCGGGATGCCGTCTCTCGTTCCTCTGTCGGAGCCGGCTTTTCTTCGTGTGTCCCAGCGGAGGGACGGCTTGGACCTGGACCGGCAGGTTTACGGCCCATTAGCGCGCCGAAGACGGATTTCTTTTGCGGCTTGGGTGCAGGTGCTGACCCGATGTCCCCGGGTCCGGCCGAGTTGGAAGCGGGCGAGGAGTCATCGTCCACAGCCGCAGGGTCGTCGGCTTCCTGGTCTGCGGGTGGTGGTGGGTGAGTAAGTGGTGGCAGCCCGCCTTCCACTTTCATGTACCCTTCGACAAAGGAGATATTCGGCGGGAAGTACTCCACGCAGACATCACGGGCCTCGAGTGGGATTTTCTCCGTGATGTTGATGGTATTCTCGATGATCATCCGGACACCAGCTTCCAAACCTGGCAAGGCTGCATCATGCAACTGACTAGTCAAGAAAGAGGCAAGTTCTGCGATGGAATGCTCGACCAGCTCTGCGCGGTGGTCTTGAGCAGCCGGGGTTGAAAGTGCATCACCGAGTCCGTCAAAGGTTGTCCGGCGCCAATTTGAAAGCCTCACGATCGCATTCTCGCGTTCTTCATCGGTGGACTGCCGTGCCTGCTGTCGTCGCAGATTCATCTCGATACTCTTGAGCTGGACACTTAGGGCTGGATCCAAGGCTGGGTGGAAATGTCGCTGAAAGACCTCTTCCACTAACCACCGACTGATCACGGCGCGCCCAACGGCCGTCATCTCCTTGGTGCCCACACTAGTCGCATCATCCGTCACCAATCCATGTAGCCATGGCGGAATACCACGCCAGTCCTTGCGCACCGAAAAGGCGAGATCCTTGATAGCACCATCCAACCGTGTGAACCGGTTGGCGTATTCATTATCGTCTAATACGGTGCGAGACACGGCCATACGCTGATGAGCCACCGTATTCTGGAGATGCTGTACCTGTGCTTCCTTGTCAAAGTAGTACCGCTTCACCTTGGAGTATTTGGTCTCTATTTTTCGATTAGCATGATTACTTCTCTAGTCCACATCATCATGGTCAACCCACGTAATTCCTCATGTTTCTGAAGCAATGCCCGCACATCGATCTCGCTTGGGTCTTCGATTGTCCGCGTCCCGGTTGGAGTGCCCCGTCCCGGTTCTGGCATGGTCTGAGCGGTACTACCCCGTCGACTCGAATCGCCTGGGGCCCGATCGTTTGAAACAGGAGTTGGCGGTGGTTGCTGTTGCGACTGCGGCTGAGATAACGACACCTGTGAGGAAGCCTGCTGCATGGCGTCAGGATGAATTTGCTGACAGACTGGGGCAAGGAGCTCGAGAGTCTGCCGGGAAGGGGGCCGGGAATTGAATACCAGATCCTGCTGGATACGTGACTGGGACTGTTGGGCCCGATGGCCCTGGTGATCTGGGGTATAACGGGGTGACTCGGGCGGCGCGTCGGTGGGGGATGGGCGGCTGCTAGGTTGCTCGAGCAAGCTTGGATCGGTACTGGAGCGTTCAAGCGGAGAGGGGAAGGTACGGTGTTGCAGTGGTAGAGGCTGTTGCAGCAATTGGGATTGCGGTTGTTGTAGTGGTGGTGGTGGTGGTTGTTGTTGTTGTTGTTGCGATAGTTGCTGCGGGGTCCAGTCGAGATTATCGCGCGAGGCTCGCTGGAATTGCTGCTGCTGGTACTGCTGCTGGTAGGCTAACGACGCGGTACGCGGTTCATACGAAGGATTATTAGAGACGGGGGACGAGTTGTCCGAATAACTCGGAGGATGATGACTGTATTGATCCTCGTCGGTCGGGCCCAAGGTATTGTGAGGGGATTGTTGCGGCGAAGTGGGCTGGGAGATGGGATGAGAGATGGATTTCCCCTTGACGGAGACACTGCGCTCGAGAAAGCCGGACGAGGGTCGCACAAACAAGCTCTTCTTTGAACGACGAGACTGGGGATCCTCAGGGGCGACGACACTGACGGTCGGTCGATCGCGTTGTTGCAGGTGGGGCTGACGCTGGCTCTGCGAGCGGTGCAATGAGGAGGATTGGGTGGGTTCCTGACGCTGAGGTGGCCGCTGATGCGAGGGTGGTGGCGGAGGCAAGTCGGTGGAAGTCGAGCTGGAACCGTCGTAGTTGAGACGATAATCTGGGTAGTCGTCAAGTCGTTGATTGCTGTTGTTGTTGTTGTTGATGAAAGTGTTGATGGGGGCCGGTGGAGCAACAAACGCGGGGTGAACCAGTTGTTCACCGGAACGGCCAGGATGATATCGCGATGGAGGAGAAGGAGTGGATGGAGGATTGGATGGGGACTTGGACTTTCGATTCTTGAAGAGGGGCATGACTTGTATCAAGTCTCTAGGGTCACGGTCCAAGGGCCTTACAGGTCCCTGAGCCAGAAAAGGATATGAGAGTAAGGAGAGTTGGGGAGTGGGGGGTGGAGGCGTGGTCTGTACACGAAGAGGAACAACGCAGCGGGAAGGCTGAATGGAGTGGAGGTTTGTAGGATCGGCAGTGAATGGCGATTGGGTAGATGGTGTTTCTAATTTTATACCAGGAGGGCGTCGAGAGAGGGTTTACGAGAAAAGTATCGAAGGAAGTGTGGAGTCGGGAATGTGAGGAGGGAGAGATAGAAGATAGACTGGACGATAGGAAGAATGAGACGAATAGGAGGAGACTGGGATGAGAATCACATTGAGATCATATTCTGAGTTGATGGACAAAGTTGAGCTTTGGGCTTTCAAGAGCAGCAGCCTCGTATCCGCGGATGAGCCACTTAGTGGGGGCCAGAACAAGCGCTGGAAATCTCGTAAACCATTAACCCCGTCCCTGAAACGAGAACCCTGAATCTTGAAACAAAAGATCAACCGTTGGCATTAACTTATTTTTATCTGACAGGAGAATAACGGCGATTGTCTCTGAAACAACGGAAACCTTCGTTGTTATATAGGTGGTCTCAGTGTGTGATACTATACCCCATTCGCTATACTTCATACTTCAACTCCCCAAAGTAAACTCTCTTACTATTCCACCAAATCCTCTTTCAATCTCTTCTCTTCCCTACGGACTACTCCCACCCCCAAAATAAGCCTCCTCGGACCTGGCTCTCCCCACCTCCCCTCTCACCCGAAACCGATAACTCTCCCTCCTCTCCAAAACAACCACACCCCCCTCCAACCCACTCTTCTCAACCTCCACTTTAAACTCCCCCAATCCACTCGCAAAAACCTCATAATCATCATAATGGATCGGAATCGTCACACCCGGTTCAATCAATCTCATCAATCGTATACCCTGCCCTGCATCCATGGTCACCATGAACGCGAGCGGGGATAGAGTCGGCGAGGGAATCATTGTTCCGCCGAGATGCGCGAGCATTAGGTCAATTGGTTTATTTCGTGCGGTATAGTGTTCGCGAATCGCGTTTAGGTCTTCGGTCATTAGGGTATCCCCCGTTATGTAGATGCGGTAGCCTGGGGTGAACTCGGTGGGATCGTGGGTGTCGGCGCTGGTGCCGAGTTCGAGGATCCAGCCTGTTGTTGGGGGGATCTAGCGAGACAGAGGTTTAGTTGATGTCTTTTAAAAGTATATTCTTGGGAAAAGGATACTCACGGCATTGGCCATTTTATTGAGCAGTCCAACCACGGCGTTGCTCGATACATGTTTACCCGGCATGCTCGTGATACGAAGTAGTGGTCGTTTAGGTCCACCGGTACCCCCTATCTCGACGAGACCCGTTTCAGAGGGAGCTAGGGCGGAGACGTTGGTAAAGGACTCACTTCCTTTGTTGGTGAGTTGGACTCGTGCGTGCGGGGTGGTGATGATGGGAATATCGCGGCGAAGAGAAGTTTCGACTTTTTGGTCGAAATGGTCACTATTGGCCATTAGCTTCCTTCTTATTAAGAGAAACAATGACTCAAGTGCCAATTGAAAGGGAATTGAGGGAGAAATGCATACCCGTGGTAATGGGATAAAAGAATTAGATCAATCCGAGGTAAATCATGCAGCTCAACGGCAGGATTAGTACGTCTCTCACTCGAGACACCTGCACCAAATTGGGCATGGTCACCGGCATGAAGAAAGTTTGGCTGCGAAGGTCAGTAGATGGACGGAAATACTAGGTACGACCACTTACATCAGTCATGATTCGAATCCCCGCCCATTCTCTACATTAATTAGTACTTCGCTCTCAAATATAGATTCAAGCTACACACATAATCACCGTCGCCGTCCCAACAAAGAATACGGAGGAATTTTCGTTGCCTGCGTCAGTGGGGTGGTGTTTCGTATCCTTGGACGGTGTGAGTGTATCCGGGAGAACGACTGCTCGGGGGAGATCGCGAGTCGGGGGTTGTTCAGTTGTGGGATCGATGAAGATGCGCTGCATGATTCCAGAGCTGTTCTTGAACTTAATAAGGTGGTTCAATGTTGTAGAACTGTTTTCGAGGGCAATTCCCTACGCACGAGACAACACTCAACATCGCGTCTACATGACGTCACGGACAACCCATAAAGGTACCATATTTCATTGTTCATGGATCAAATCAAATATTCGTAACGGACATCTGCTATTTGAAGGACATACATACACTTGGCAGACAGACTAGCCCTGTGTAACCAAGGCAGTGTCTTATCTGGCCCCAACACATATCATCTGGAGCTTCACTTTGTGAAATTCGAGGGTAAAGAAAAGAAGAACAATATTCACAGAATTGACAAAGCGTGATCGAAGGATCAGATGCACCGCATCGACCTCTTAGCACACGCCGTGCGACTTGCCAGACTTGCCCTGCAGAGAGTGCTTCTCATCATGGTAAGCGTTGTGGGTGTGGCCCTTGTGGCGTGGGTGAGCACGGTGGCTGCGCATGTGTCTAAAATAGAGTCAGTTGGGCAATTCATGATTGAAGGAAGGGGATTATGCCCCGGGAGGGGGAACGTACGCCTGGTACTTGGCCGCCATGGACTGATCCATAGACTCGAGAGTCTGCAGAGCCAGCTTCACGTCGGTAATGAGGCTGTCACAGCGGTTCATGCTGAAATCCTCGCGGACGACAATACGCATAAGCTGCAACTTATTGCTGTTCGGGGCCATGGTGTATGCGGGAACAATCCAGCCACGCTCACGCAGCTGGTGCGCCAGCGCAAACTCATCGTAAACGCGCTCCGGATTCGGGGGCAGGCGGAAGGCCACCAGAGGCAGACCGTTACCCTGGCCCTGGCTCATGATGATCATACCCATCTGCTTCAGCTGGTCGGCCATGTAGTCCGCGATGCGGGTGAGGTTGACCATGATCGAGCGGTAACCATGCTTACCCAAACGGATCAACTGGTAGTACTGTCCGATAATATGCGAGGCACCCTTGGAGAAGTTCAGGGTGAAACTAGCCTGATCGGCACCCAGGTAGTTGATGTTGAACACCAGCTCCTTGGGCAGGTACTCAGGGGATCGCCAGATCACCCAGCCAACACCGGGGTAGACGAGACCGTACTTGTGACCGGAGACGTTGATGGAGACCACCTTCTCCAGACGGAAGTCCCACTCCAAATCGGGGACGGTGAAGGGCGCAACAAAGCCACCGCTAGCAGCATCGACGTGGATCGGGCAGTCGATATTACGCTCCACCAGGAGATCGTTGATCGCCTTGACATCCTCATACTCACCGGTGTATGTAGTACCAATGATGGCACAGATACCGATGGTGTTCTCATCGATGAGGTCGACGGCCTCCTTGGGGTCAATGACGTAGCGCTCCTCGGTACAGTAAACGTATCTCTCCTCAACGTCAAAGTAGCGGGCGGCCTTTTCCCAGCAAACCTGGACGGCACTGTTCATGACAATGTTAGGGCGGGAGTAGTCCTTGCCCTCGGCCTTGCGCTTGTTCTGCCAGCGCTTCTTCATGGCCAGGGTGCCAAGCATGATGGCCTCGGAGGAGCCAACGGTGGAGGTACCCATGGCATTCTCATCCCGGGCATCGGTTGGGCAGTTGAACAGGCGGGCAATCATGTTCACGCAGCGGTTTTGAATCTCTGCGGAGTGGGGGTACTCCTCGTAGTCGATGAAGTTCTTGCTGAAGGCTTCGGTCATGATTTCCTCAATCTCATCTTCCTATAAAGCATTGAGCTTCGAGTTAGTCGATCGCCTGTGCCATTGAGTGGTCTAGATGTTGGATAGGGCCGTTGGAGATCATACCATGTAGGTGGTGACGAAACTGGCCAAGCTGCAGAAACGGTCATCAGCCCCTAGTTACCATACCCCGCATACCATTGACCGCGACTTACTTGAGCTTGGGGTTGCCATCCAGGCTGAGCTCATCCTTGATCATGCGAGCAGCAATCTGACGAGGCATCTCCCGCTCAGGCATCTCATGCTGAGGGAGGTGGTCGGCAGCGAAGTGGCTACCGTAAACATTTGTGTAAAAGTCATTCTCGTCGGGCTGAGGGGCGGGGAGGGACTCGATGGAACGGGACTTGGGGTCAAAGACCTGGTCGTCGTTCTTTACGGAGGCAAGATGAACCATGATTGTAATGGGGGAAAGGGAATTGGGGGATGGAGAATAGGAGGAAGATGGAGGGTAAGAAGGAAAAAAAGAAAAGAAATTCGCAAACAGCAGAGAGATTTGGCCAGGAAACAACACGTGCGGGGACCATGACGCAGTAGCCGTCGACCTTCAGCTGGCCAACAAACAACCAACACACTGACCCTCGATCATCCCACTCCTCCTGTTTCATCTTAGTCGTCCTCTCGCTTACGACTCTCCTTGTCTCTCTTCTGATCTGCCAATCAAACCATTGACGAGCTCGGTCTGTCAACGACAAAGCTTGGTTAAAGCTTGGCAGAGTGACGATCCTCGTCCCGATACATCCGATCTGCCCCTCTTACGCCCCTCTCCACTGCTCCACGACTATCGAAAGGATCCTCTTTGGACCTCACTATCGACTGACCCAGCCACTGGCGCCACGTCGACCACGACTAGCGGTGTGGATACAATTATCCCTGATGAAACTTCATCAATTATCATTCAATGGTTCCAATGACAACTGCTTACATGTTGGCATGACAATCCTTACACGTTGGCATCTCTAATGGTGTGTCAAGAATTGCTAATTTCTATCCGACCGGGTCTAGGCCGATTCTATCTATCTTGATATCTGCAAAAAATACGCTGGCCAAAATTCCCGCTGCCTAATTTCCAAATCACAATGAGTTGCGTCTTCCAGTCTTTGCTCAGAGCTTGCTCTCGCGAACCAGCTTCTCCACCTCGGCAAATCGGTAATAAAACTCCAAGCTGCCCGGATTGAGCAGGGTTCCTGAAGGCTGGATCCGCTTGCCCGATACAATTTGCTTGACGGGGAGCTCCACTTTCTTCAGGTTGACCGTCGTCTAGTCAAACATTACACATGTTAGTCCACTTCTTTGCAAGTCTGAGGAGAGTTGGTTCAAAATTAGGGTCATCATCACTTACCGGGATCTCCGGGGTCTCAAAGATAAAGGCCGGCACGTGGCGGGCACTAAGCTCGGTGCGAATTGCACTCTTCACGCGAGTCACCAGGTCGGTTGTAAAGGCGACACCAGGCTTCATCAGCAAGAAGAGCATAACTCGCTCGTCCGAGTCGGAGGGTCGACGCTGACCCACGCAGATCGAATCGGCAATCTCCTGCGTGAATTTCCCTTCAATGACGCGGTAGATTTCTGCTGAGCCGAAACGCACACCCGAGGGGTTGAGGACACCATCAGCGCGACCGTGGAAGACGAGCTGCTTGGTGATGGGATGGATGGCGACGAAATCACCATGAGTCCAGACGTCTGCAAGAATGAGCGGCCGCTCAATAGAAAGGGGGAATTGGGGACCACTTACTATCAAACCTCGCAAAGTACGCATTAAAGTACTTCTTGCCATCGGTATCGCCCCAGAACATGGTGGGCATGTTGGGGAAGGCTGAAGTAGCCACCAGCTCGCCGGGGACTCCCTCTTCGATTGCAACACCCCGAATTCCCTCGCCTCCTTCAATCGTGGAGTCGTACACTTCAACTGGAACGCCCAGGCTGCATCCCGCACATCCTCCCACATATACGGGGGTCAGAGGGTTGCTAATACCAAAGCAGCCAGCGATATCAGTGCCGCCAGAGATATTGTTCAGACGAGTCTGAGAGGGGAAACCTTCATCGTAGAACCATTCGAATAGAGCATCACGTAGGACCATTCCAGTGCTAGTGACAACCTTCAGAGCACTAAGGTCGAAAATCTCCCGAGGTCGGATGTTCGCTCTCTGCAGTTCATGCAGCCATCGTGGAGAAATACCCAAATGGGTGACCCTATTCATCAGTTAGGAGACCTTCCTGTAAATGACCCTGTATAACGGGGGAATACCTTTCTTGAGCCGCAATCTTCACGAGTGCCGTCACGTCGGGGATAAATGGACTGCCATCGTAGAGAACCACTCGAGAGCCAAAGACCAGAGTCTGAATAGCAGACAGATACATGATCCATCCCGTCGTGGTATACTGCAAAGCAACACTCTCCTGGGTAAATTCCGTGTGTAAACCGCCCTCCTTGAAGCCATTCAACAAGACTCCTCCCACAGAATGGACGATACACTTGGGTTGGCCCGTGGTACCAGAAGAGTACACCACAAGGAAAGGATCGCGGAAATCAACACGCTCAAACTCCAACCGGTCCTTACCACCTGCTTTCGCCAGGAAACTCGACAATTTCAATCCTCGAGAGATCCCATTGACATCAGCTGGCTCCTCGGTGAACCGCGGCAACGAGACGATACCCTGAAACTCGACCACCGACTCCATCCCCTTAGCGATATCCTTCATCTTCCCACGCAGATCAATCTTCTTCCCATTATAAACCGCCAAATCATCCATAAACAGCCATCTAGGCTTAATCTGCAACAACCGATCCAAAACACCCTTCACACCCATATCCGTCGAACTCGACGAAAAAATCGCCCCCAGCGCTGTCGTCGCCAGCAACACCAGCAACGTATCGATGCTATTCGCCGAACAAACCGCAACGCGATCCCCCCTCCTCACGCCATTCGCTTTCATAGCTTGGGCCAGGGCACCGGTCCGTTGGCGTAATTGCCCCCAGGTGAGGTGAACCGCATTCTCCGCGTCACCCTCGCGAACCTCGGTGATGGCGATCTTCTCGTCTTCCTTGCCGGTCGTGGCTCCCGCGCGAGCCGTGAAGAGCAGGTTCTCGGCGAAATTTAGTTTCACGCCCGCGAACCAGGTCGGGACGCTGTCCATGCGGGCGGATTCGTCCACGACGCGGGTGTAGCTGCCCTCGTGGATGATGGGGAAGAATTTCCAACAGAAGTCCCAGAATGCGGTGCGGTTTTGGACTGAGTAGAGGAACATGTCATGGAAGGACTGGCGGAGAATGGATTAGCTGATATTCTGGGAATATACAGAAATGAACCTCTGCGATGAGAACAATAGCACTCACGTCGAATTTCTGGCCAGTCGACCGCTCCAACTCTCGTCGGAATCGGCCCATCTGTGTTGATTCCGGGTCTGGGTGCTCCCAGAGCTTCCGGGGGAGAGGTGTTGCCATTGTGTACACTGCGATATCTCGAATCAGAACAGCTGTATCGATGCTGTGTTTACGTGGAATTTCCTGTGAGGTTCGAGCTGCTTTATGACCAGCTCAAAGCAACCGAGGGCCGACGCGCCAAGCTCCGCCGTGACCCCGTGGGGAATGGTAGACCCCGCTCCAAATAGACCAAGTGGGATCTATCGACTCCTCCGATGTTGCTAGGACTACGGCAAGACCGGCTCGGGGAGATTGTATGGCTTTTCGAGTCATTCTAAACTGCTGCGAGCAGATCTATGGCACAGTGTTGGGTTTGAATGGATATTAATTTGGAATTTCTAACGAGTAAGGTACAGCCAGATACAAACGCCTCACACTACGACTCAAACATCCCATTCAACTGAGCAACAGCCTTCGCCAGCTCAGCCCCATCTTTACAAGCCGCAAAAATAAACCGATCTAACCGCAATACCACATATCTCTTCCCCTGAACACTCTCCCACATCAACATCTCGTTGTATCCGCGCGGCACCGGGCGGGAATCACACAGCGCCGACCGGGCGAATTCGTCCCCAGTGGCGCTGCGGAAGAGCGGGTATTGACAAGTACCCGCCCGATCCCCGAGATCAGAAGTGCAACTACTGCGGGGGACGAAAAAGGTTGCTTCACTCGGTGAAAGAAGAGTACTGGCCTTGATATCCTCCAATTCTCGAACCGCAATGTCCCGCTCATCGGGATGATTAAGGAGTACCACGATTTGAAACGGGGTCACCTTTTCGCCGAAGATTACATCATCGGTGAAATGCACCTCGGCATGGGGTTGCAGCGAGATACAATATGTTTGTGGGAAACATAGACCACCGCTGTATTCGGGCATGAAGGGCATCCCTGGTGAATGGATGTATCGGATTGGTCCATCGCCTCGGGGTCCCTGCTCCAGCCAATGTTTCCAGCTAGGAATGAGTTGGAGGAACCAGAGGCCCCAGTTGCGGATGAAGCTGTGCATCAGACTTTTGCCGTTGACGAGATCGCCATTGTGGACCGTTGCGGCGAGGGATTTGTCGAGTTGTTGTTTTCGTTCTAGGTACCATCCTTCGAAGAGGTGTTCGTAGTTGATTTGTGGCCTGGATGAACAGGCGATGTAGAGACGCCAGGCTAGGGAGATGGCGTCTCGGAATCCAGATGCGATGCCTTGTCCTCCAACTAGATGTATGGTGAGCTAACTAGGTCATGTTTGTGGGATGTAGAAAAACGAACATGGGGGGAAGACATGAGCTGCATCGCCACAGAGAATCACCCTGTCGAGCGCCCATTTATTGCAGCTTCGCGCAGAGAACCGGAAAGGTCTTGAGCGCAGGACTTCAATACAGTCTTCAGGAAACTCGACGTCCTCTTTCAATCTGAACATGATAATCAGTAATTAGTATAACTTCTTACCCTCAATGTAATCAAACTCACCCATAACGACTCCCCGGATGCGTCAAATACGGATAAACCACCTCGCGCACTTTATCTCGCCCAGCCATCTCCTTCTCATCCTCACCAGGCGCAACTACAAATTCAAATCGCCATAGTCGATCTTCCGGACGACCGAACCGTCCACAGACCGCAGGTCGAACAGGGTTGCAAAGGAAACGGAAGTCATTTGGGAAGAACAGATCGTATACCTGCTCCGGAGTATATCCAAGATTCCATAATGGGAATTTCGGGTGTGTCTTTGGGGTGGGAAGATGTAAATGCCAGTTCAATGCGACCCAAGTTTCTTGGTACTTGGTTCTAGGATGTGGTAACGCCAGTCAGTACTTCTGTGCTTCGCGTCACGAATAGTTTGATAACTCACTGCTCGGCCCAGTTCAGTTCAATACCCTTAGGTTCGAGATACATCTTCCGCGTGTACCCCGTCTTTCCATCCGCAGCAGCGAGAAACTTGGCACGTATCTTTCGTTCCACGCCCGAGACATCGTTGTACGTAGCGTATACCCAGTCTTTATCTTCGGAGATGGACGTCAACTCGCAGCTGCTTCGTAGCTCGCACTCGGGAGCTTTGTCTAGTACAGTGCGAAGGTATTTCTCGAGAATTGGTTGTTTGTGAGCGAGGACTCCGACGTGTCCTGTATTTCCTTCACTCTGACGGAAACAGATGTTAGATATTTTCTGTTAACAGGGTCGGTCGACTTACCGAAGCTGTATCGAGATAGAGAAATGGCTCTGCATTTAGACTATTGTGATTGCCACCAACGAAGCGGACTTTGGGCATATCTATGCAGATCGCATGTTAGTAGATTCATTCAAATTAAGATAAGAGTTCCGGAGCCAGTACTAGAGCCGATCTTTGTAAAAACATGCTCGTAGAGGCCAAGGCCCTGTAAAAATCGAATTCCGTCATCATCCAGGGCAATTCCCCGGGGATCAGTCGTGATATCAGCTTCCTTCTCGAGAACGATATTTCGAACTCCGAGTTTGCCCAAATATCCCGATAACATTGCGCCCGTTGGTCCGCATCCGCAGATCAATACCTCTGTCGTTTCCCATTGAGAATCTGCCATGATTTTAGATGGTCTCCTTTGTTCAGTAATCTAAAACTATTCTGCCCGGAAGAGCTACTTAAGATAAACACAAGTTAACAGATTTTATGATCAGCGGCAGTGCTTATTTGGTGGTTGTTCGTCACGGTCTATGCCAAGATGTGGGAACAATATGCAGCTTGATGCGGGTACAGCCAGGATATAGCGTTGTTTAGGTCCCTCCCTTACGTAGTCACTCAGCTACTATGCTTCATTGGGCAGTGCATGCATCTGGATTATTTGGCTAGATTTACATAGCACTATTTGCTTTTTGCGGGGTCAGGACCCTCTGCATCTTAATCGTTACAGCCCAATTACTTCCGTAAAGCCGATTTCGGAAATATCGGATATGATATTTGGACAAAGGAACTCGCCGTTGTGCAGTTCTATCTATAAACTCCTATGCATTATCTATGCCCAGAAGCCAAGAAGGCATGCTGTTGATCACCCGTCCCGAGCAAGCAGCCTCCACGCACTGTGCCAACCCCCGAACCGAATCTGCCGGCCCGTCAGCCCTTTCCCGTAATGAGCATACTTTGCAGAGTTGGTCATTATAGTTTTAGAATCCAATGGGATGATTGGCTCTTGCATCATGCACCAACAGGTATCGGTTACAATTTGAGCTCCGAATGCCTCGAGTGTAGTGATTAATCCATCCTTAGCAGCTCGACTGTAGGTGTCGCGGTTGCAAGTTACTACTAGGACGGTATGTTCGCTCTTCTCACGTTGAGAGCAAAGGTGCGCCAAGGTCACGAGCTCCTCATATGAGAAGTGTGGGTTTCCGAGGGAGACCAAGTCTATCTGAGTGCATTGCTCTCCCTCTGCGTAGACGTTGAATCGCTCCCATTGCTTTGCAAGGTCGGATCGTGATAATGTGACTTTTGTCGTGACTTTCAGATGGGCCTCGATATCCTCTGTACTTCGAGCTTCGATGGTAACCCCCGCAATATGGAACATTGGAGCACTGGAGGTTGTCGCGAATGCAGCGCCAAAGGCTTTCAAGTCCTCCGTAGAAACAAGCTTCTTTTCCAACCCCGTGATGATCGGTACGGAATCAGCAGCAATATCCCCTGCAAGGTATCCCAGAAGTGCAAATAGAGAGTCCTCAGCGTCGACAGCAAGATCCAAGTGAATCTCAAGTCGAGCCTTACGGTTCTCCGTCAAGTGACACCCGGTATTCAAAGACCGCCCAGTTAAGGCAACGCAGACGTCCAGATAATCTGGGCACTTTATCGTCCTCGCTCCGAGGACGCTGTTGGCAAATACCACCGCATTAGACTCGGCCCACATAATATTATCACCGGGTTTTGGCGCGGTATCTAAAAGATAGGGAGCACATGTAAATGTTGGTCGAGCTCCCATCTCAAGATAAGCCTGGGCCAGTTTCTCAGAGGGCTCGCCCAATGAGGGATCAACTCCCTGCGAGCGCCATAGTCTCCTATCAATGGAAATCGAGTTGAGGGACGTGGGGATCCGCACTTTAGCTCCCCATCGACAGAGTGTCTGGGCGAACTCCAATGTTGCTGGGCCGGTGTAGATACAGCAGTCGATGTGGGCTTGTTTGACATCGATCAATTCCGTCACGCCTTGTATATTCGCTGTACGGAGAATGACTCGCATTGCGACCTGCGCTGCCTTCCCGTAAGATCCGTCGAGTAGTTCACGGTCCAAAGGGGATAGTTGGATTGCAGAGAAATCGGGCTGGTAAAGAGTTGAACCGAATAAAGAGCTGGATGACATGGAGTCGGATAGCTTCTTTCCTCCAGATATTTGAGTTCCAGATATTCTGACATACTTTAACTGCAATAACTTCTGAAAAGATGAGCTGGAGACCTGCAGGACTGGGATGCACCTCTGAAACATCTCTTCCGCGATAAGCACGCCAATGGTCAGAATCATTTCCTCTCGAGCAAAGATCAATGCAGAAGGCTGACTGCCATTCAGCAGAAGCTCAAGAATGACTCCACTACCCGTACAAGAGCCTCGGCCACTTGGAATCGCTAAGACTTTGCCGGCCACCGATTTGCCCACGAGCGGGTGATGAGTGTCGATGACTGTGCCAGTCTGGGGGTCTACGCCTCCCCAGAAGCTGAGGGCGACATTGCTCCCAATGAGATTCCCTTCTGCAACACCAGGAATAAATACACGTGCTTCAATGGACTCCTGGTACTGTTTGTTAGAGTGTTCATAATCAGTGATAGAGTGACTCAACTCACCTCCATTGTTTGGATACAACCCCGCCACGCAGTCGAGAAGACCCTGTTGGTATGAAGAGGCTTCGTAAGTGATTACAGGTGAAACCCTCCTTTCTTCAATGCTTAGCCGTATTCAAAGGTATTTCTCAAGGGATATGAAGATAGTAAGCTAACGGCCGCGAGGAGAGGAAATGAAAGAAGATCGGGTGACGGCTCCGACAGCAAACCGGAAGCAACAACCGCGGGGACCCCACAAGAGAAACACGTCGACATTCTCCATAAAAACTAGAGACAGTCTAACCAAATAACACATCCGATAAGAAGAATCATAAATCCACTACACACTACCTCTACCAGGTGACCTCCCCCGGCCCGGTCTACGCCAAAAACTCAGCAGGAACCTCCGGACCCCACACGGCCAACGAGTCAGGGCCGGCCTTGACATACCCAATGGGGGTATCCTGATTAACCAAATCCCCATCCGCATAATGCTCCACAATATTACCTGTAGTATCCCACCAGTAATCAAAGATCTGCGAGCCCAGGACATGTCGACCAACGCCCCAAGCCACCTTGTACCCCTTCTTCGTCAACCACTGGTGACCCAGCTGCTGGGTGTCGAAGTCGTGGACCTCGAAGGAGCAGTGATGGACATGTGAGCTGGTGAGACTGGCACTGAAGAAGATGCAGTGGTGGTCTACGAGGGTATCGCCGAGATCAAGGTGGGCGAACATCGTGACGAAGATCTTTTGGCCTTCTTTTTCGATGTAGAGGAGGTCGGTTGGGATGAAGTTGAAGGTGGTGGTGTAGAAATGGAGGAGGGCATCGAATTTCTGGGTGGTATACCCGAAATGGCCAAGCTAAGCATGTGGTTAGTATCATGATATTGATAGAATGATATTGTAGGAAGAGGAAGTAGATTCTGACCTTGTGCACTGCAGCGGGACCAGGCTCGAATCGATTGAATTCGCGGCGTCGCGACTTCTCGCCAGTATAATTGAGTACCACCTTTTCTGGATGAGAGACCTCGATGTTCGTCGGTTCTTGACCAAAGATCACATTGAAGAGATATCCCTCAGGGTCGGTAATGGTGACCAACGAACCCCCACCAGGTGCATTGGTGATATCCTGGGCAGGGCCTGCAGATGAAAGACGGGACGCTCTATCATCAATGAAGATATTTAATTATTGTATCTAAGACAATGTATTGGAGCAGCTCTCTCACCTGTCAAAGTCCTCTTGGCTTTGTGCTTCAAAGGTCCCACCCAAGAATTGCTTGGGTCCCTTTCGTGCATAATAGACGTATTGGTCGGACCCGTATCCTTTGAACCAAATCTCATCATCCGTTCTTTTCGCAATTTGCATTCCAAAATCTACGCATGTTAGAATAATCTTCGAGGGTGTGATCTAAGGAAGAGCAGAACATACCGATCATGAAAGTCTGGATTTCATCGAGATCGGGATGCTGATACCGCATGTGGGACAGCTTCTTCAGTTGAATTCGACCATCTGGATTAATTCCTTGTTTCGCAAGCCATTCTTCTCGAGAGACTTGTTCTTTGCCCACGGCGACCACGTCGGGCACAGTGGCGCCGCGATTGGGCTGAACGGGTTCGGCTGTCATGTTGTATGGAGAGGACGAGTTAATAGTGTGGGGAGATGGGATGATCTAGATCAATCTCGGATATGGCAGATAAGATATTATAACTCCTCCCCAGATCTCCTTCTTTTATAACAATTAGACTGGTTCGGAGCCGAGGCTGCCCGGTGTTTTCGAGTCTCACCTACATGGGTGGTCTTTATTGTTCCCACATCTCCAACAACCCCGGCCCTTGTTCCCCGCCTGCAGTTTGTACACGTATTCCCTGCTCGCCGATCGGTACTTGCCAGGACGAGCTGAGTAATTCCGAGTCGAGACTTAGTTACTCAGCGGATATGAAAGTTATTATTCTCTTCAAAGTGCAGGTTCAGAGAAAGGCCCCGCGTGGCAAGGGGATATATCCGATAGAGGGACCTACGATCAGTATGTATAAGAAGTCATTCTATCTGGATCCGAGCACAGCCTAGTCAATTATTTTTTCTTGAATCGTTATTGACTTATTGAAATTATGGCGGCTTTTACAAGACTCGTGCGGTTTACCGCTGGTGCCCAAACTCACTATGGTGACCTGATCAAAGCTGCTGGGAATAAGTACACTGTTCGGAAATTGGAGGGCAGTCCTTTTACCAGCCTGAGAGCTACCGAAGAAATCGTTAATGTTGAAAAGGTGTGTACTTACCCAGCAGTCTACATGTCATATGCAACGCTTCACGCTAACGGTCATATTTGTAGCTTGAATGCCCAGTTGAGAGTACGCCCATTGTGGTGTGCATCGGGCTGAACTATAAACAACACGCCCAGGAAGCTAGTGTGAGTAGCCTTAAATATTCCCTCCAAACAACATTCCAAGACTCACTTGCTCTTTTGAATAGCTTCCTGTACCAACATACCCACCCGTCTTCACAAAGCCCGCCGACGCTCTTGCCGGGCCCTTCGATGCCATCGACATTCACCCCGATGCGCGCGACCTTCTCGATTACGAGGGTGAACTGACCGTGGTCATTGGCAAAGACGCAAAGAACGTCTCCGAAGAAGATGCACTAGACTACGTCTTGGGTTATACCGCAGGCAACGACGTGTCTGCTCGCAACTTCCAGCTACCCGAAGCATCTGGCGGTCAATTCTGCTACGCCAAGTCATTCGATAACTTTGCCCCGATCGGGTATACTATCGTGGCGGCACGGGAAATTCCAGACCCCCAGACACTGAAACTGAGCACCAAGGTCAATGGGGTTGTCAAGCAGGAGACTAGCACGGGGGACATGATCTGGGGTGTTCGTCAGATCATTAGCCACCTCTCGCGGGGCACGACGCTAAGGAAGGGTACGGTGATTATGACTGGCACTCCGTCTGGGGTGGGATACTTCCGAAAGGAGTTCCTCAAGGATGGCGACGTGGTTGAAGTGGAGATTGAGGGGGTGGCTGTGACTAGAAACCGCATGAACCATTATTGAGATGGAAAGAGGATAATGCTCGGTGTGAAGTTGATGGAAATACGGAGGATAGATCCCACATTCGAGTTGGTGGGAATTGATAGATCCCACATTTTTGGAACATCCTTGTCATTATACTTGCACTAGGGAATATAGAATTTGGAGATATTGGATAGAGAGCCTATTAGTGGCCAGCCTTGGAATCTAGACTCTTCACCGAGATCGAAAGGATTCTCCGTAGAATGTAACTCCCGTACTCCGTGATCGCCACAAGCGGGGAAAGCTTCTTGTCGGAGAATGGATTCTACCAACTCCGCGATGACTAGTCGTTGCGCCTCCTTCCCCCGCATTCTTGGTTTTCTTAGTCCAGTTTTTGCATTTCTATTCTATAACCTCCTGCATGGTATCTTTTCCTTAATTCGAGTGTTTCAAGATTGATGACATGCTTTCCAATCCTCGGTCTTCAAATCCCCCCTACGCTGGCCTAAAGGCCCGGCGACGCCGCAAGACCTCGAAAGAAGAGCGCATCTGTCCAGTCTGCGCGCAGGCATTTAAAAAGGCAGAACATCTGGCTCGTCATTTGAGGTCGCATACAAAAGAAAAGCCGTTCAACTGTCCGGTTTGTAACAAGGCGTTTGCGCGACAGTAAGTGATTTCTCTCGCTATCGCCTGCTATACAGTTGGTTCATTGAAGGACAGAGACACGTTACTACGCCACTCGCGATCGCACCCTGCTGGAAGTAATGCGTATAGCAGTACAGTCGGAATGTACAGATCAATCGACGAGTCAATAGATGAATCTATGGAGGACGAACACCAGAAGCAAAATCTCGACCCGGAGCTCATCTCGCATACGATCGGCGCAGACGTCCCGGCAGTTCCGGTGAATCTCGAGCATATGAACCATCTCGACCATCTTAACCCTATGGCAGGAAATACGGTGGCACCAGTATCGCCGCCAAACAGCTCATCAATTGACAAGCATACGCCCAACATGTCCATTGGCGAGACAAGCACGTATCCAACACAAGTCACTCCCTTGACTTCGCTCTTCTCTCTAGAGACCGGTGACGCCTGGAGAAACCAGGCCAGTCCACAGCCGCCAATTTGGGATTACCAATTAGACCGGGAATGGGAGACACTTCTCACTGGCGAGGACTTTGATCTGGATGCCGTGAATCTGTCTTTGCTTTATGCGACGTCTGATTATGTGCCTGTGGATGCTATACCCGGTATGGACGTGACACGACCGCCACCTCCAGCAGAGCCCGCTTCGATAAGTTCGATTAATAGTGATACTGCAAAACGACATGCCAATGCAGTACAGAAACAGTGGCATACTTTCTCGGAACTTGCCTCCTCGGGACAAATGACGCCAGATGTACCTCGAGAGGCTAGCCTGATTGATGAGTCGTATCGCAAGCGACTAGCGGAACGCCTTCAACAACGGGTGCAGCATGGCATTTTGCCCTCGACTCCTTTCCTCGTATGTTACGTCTTTTCCTTTGCCATGAGTCTCTCACTTCATACTCTCTGCGTCATTCTTTCTCCGGTTCAAGCTCATACTGATCACCATTGACAGGATCTCTGTATTCAAGCATATTTTTCCAAATTCCATCCCCTCTTTCCCGTTGTACACATGCCCACTTTTCGACCAGGCACTCAAAACTCAGTTCTTCTCTTATCTTTGTGCTCTGCTGGGAGTCTGTTTGTTGGCTCGTCTCGGGCAATTTCTCATGGTATCAGTATGTTTGAGCGATTGAACAAGGCTATACTCTCCTCGGTATGAGAACGGAACCCTCTCTGGCTTTGGACAGTCATTAATGATTGCAGTGGGATACATACGTTTCCAAATCCAGGGGTTCTTCTTTGGTGGCCCTTCAAGCTTCGATGATCGGACAGAGCTTTGGGTTAATGATGGGGGTATGAAAGCCTATACTTCGGAGATTTGCAATCGATCATTGACACTAACCTGCATCACAGAGACCAAAAGACTTGACGGGAATCGAAATGTGGCATGGCAGTATAGTCGCGGTATGTCCAGCCATTGGATCTTATAACCTTTGTCTCAACAAATTGGAATCAACTAACATTTGCTGAAGTGGGCACGCAAAGCAAGAATTTTCGATCTTCGACATCCGCCATACAACCTTCTCGAGCTCGACGGCGAAGCCCTTGAAGACGCCTGGATGGACTGGATCCAAATCGAGGTCAAGAAACGGTACATATCCCATCAAACCATACCTATCCACAATCACTAATGAGCTAATAGAATCGTTCTCGGTCTTTACATCCATGACGCCGAACTCGCACGTTTACACCATCACGAGCCTCTCCTCCGCCACTCCCTCGACCGTCTCCCACAAATTTCATCAAACGACCTCTTCACAGCATCCAGCGCAGAGCACTGGAAATACTTCATGCTTGACGAACAAGCCCGCACTCTCGCAAAGAATCATCCCCACAATACCCCGCCACCATCAAACCACACTTTACAGATCCTCCCGGGGGATTTCGCACTCTGCGGAATGCTCGAATCTATCAGCGCCATGGCCTACGAAGCACAAGACGAACTCTCTCTTCATACTCCCTGGGAATCTACATCACCATCAACACTACCTTCAACTTCATCACCCCAACCCACGAAATACCACACCCTCCTCACAAAATGGTACACAACATACCACACCCCGCTCCAAAACAAACCAACCTGGCCCTGCCTAATGATGCTCTGGCACTCAATCCACATAATCCTCCACGCAGACATCAACGCCCTCGAATGCGCCGCCGGACGCGAGGGCTACGACGCCATGCAAAAATACACTCCCTACGCCCGGTCATGGGTTCGCTCTCCCGACGCAAAACGCTGTTTACTCCATGCGCTACTCATCCAGAAGAACTTTGAGTCTTTGTCTGCGGGCGCGGAACCGGCGATTTACGTGCCGATGTGTTTGTATTATTGCGGGTTAGTTTGGGCCTGTTTTATGTGTTTTGGCGGTGATGCGGGTGGTCGTGAGCATGACCATGACCATGATCATGGCTCTCAAGTTGGGGATGCCAATGGGAACGAAAAGCAATCGCCATCTTCCCAAGGTCAGCAGGATGTTATCACGGTCAGTCCGACTGAGAATCTCCAATTCGCGGAACTCCGGTTACCGGGCGTTGATGGGATTGGAGTCTTTCTTGAGCAGATGGGTGGATTACAGCCGCGACGGTTGGCGATGGGGAGTTTATTTCGGATTATTGATTTGTTGCAGCGGATCAGTCATTTGAAGATTGCGCAGAGTTTGGCAACGACGCTTTTGGTGCTTGTTGAGGAGACGCAGGATTTGTTTTAATATGAATAAAAGACGGAGCTTCTAAGGATAGTATAGAGGATTTCGGAATTGGGATATCAAAAAATGTGAGAGAGGTCCCTGCTGCATGTACAGAATACATTTCAATATTGTACCCTCCAGGGTCTATATTTGTAACTCTATACTCCGTACTGGATGCATCATACCTGCTCTGCTATTCACTATTCCAAGCTCCAGCTCCACCCCTTGCAAGCTATAGTGGATCCATACCCTCGAGCTTCACTGTCTAACTCAATAACCCATCAAATACTAGCTTCGTCAACAAGACTCCGTCTCCACATGCCCCGTAAGCCCCATTGAAGCTAAACTATGACGAGGGCATCACTAATCACCGCTATTTCGGACTTCTATCGTCCCACTCTCAGTCAATACTCCTCGATTTGGCTAGTTAGCTTGGAGCCACCGTATGGACCGGTAAAAATGGCGGTGTACAACAAGTACTTACTCCTGACGGTCCCGTAGACAATGCTTTTACAACTTCTACCACGTCTCCGAGAGGATTTCCAAGGAAAAAATTCATTTTAATCAATAAGCACTAATAATAGGTATGTGTTATATTTCCACTGGTGTATCATTCAAAAACCCGGACTTGCAAAAAAGGAGGAAAAAAAAAACTGGGGATGGAAGCACGTCCCCCAAAAGCAGCCCAACAAGTCCAACACTTTGGTGTCCTGGATCTTGTATATCGTACATCCACTTTCTTTTTTCTTTTTCTTTCGCTTCTCTTCTCTCTCCCCTTCTCTTCTGTCAGGCCCAAATCCTGCACTAACCTACACTCACAGGCCCAAGTCGAACAGAAACGCTTTCTCTTCTCTACTTGAACATGCGCTTGAGCTTGGCGAAGAATCCGCCCTTCTTCTTCTCGGGCTGCTGCTCTGCTGAGGGCTCGGCCTTGGCCTCCTCGCTCTTCTTCGCAGCCTCGGGCTCGGCAACCTGAGGAGCGGCGGTCTCTTGGGGAGTCTCCGTGGGCAGGTCAACCTTGGCCTTGGGCTCCTCACCGCGCTTCACAACGGGCTCGGGCTTCTTAGGCTCGGTACCGGCAACGGCGATGGGAGCTGTGGTGGCGGACTTGTCGGCCTTGGAGGAGTTGATGGCAGCGGCGGCCGCAGCGACGGCATCGGGTGAAGCCTTGCTCTCCTTAGTCTGGGAGGGAGAGGCAGGAGCAGCAACTGGGGCAGCAGCGGGAGCAACGGGAGCAGCAGCCTCGGGGGCCTCGACGGCAGCAACGGGCTTCTCCTCCTCGACCTTCTTAGGCTCAGACACGGGAACGGGCTCGGGAACCGTGTACGCAGCAGTCGAAGCCGGGCCAGCACCAGCCAACACCGTCTGATCAGCCGCAGCACTAGCAGCAGCCTGCTCCTCCTCAGTCTTGGCGATCTTGTGCGGCTTCACCTCGTCATTGGAGAAGATGGGCTTCTCGTAGGGACGCTTAGCGTGGGCGGCATCGGTCTCGACGGGGGCCACGATGGGCTCAGCAGCAGTAGCGGCGGGAGTCGATTCGGTGGCTACGGGGGGCTCGGGCAGTGACGAGACGGGGGCGGCAGCCGAGACGGCGGCCTCTTCGGCAGCAGTGTCGGTGGTCGAGGGGTAGAGGTCTGCGGCGGTGGTGGAAGTAGCGGCGGTAGTCTCGGGGAGGACGGCTGCAGGTGGGAAACGGTTTAGCTTGTGTTTTGCTGCATTAATGTCTTCGTAACAGGTTCAGTTCTTACCCTTGCCCTCGCTCTCGGTCTCCAGCTCAGGGAGCTTGCCAGCCTTGGAGGCTTGCGTCTTGTCCACGATATCCTGCAGGGTGCTCTCTTCCGTCACGGGGGCCTCGACCTTGGCCTCTTGCTTCAGAGGCTCCTCGATCTTCTCTTCGGCCGTCTCCACGGGCTTGACGGGCTCTTCAACGGCCTTTTCAGCCGCCTTGGTCTCGGTCTCGGGCTCGGGCTCGGGCTCGGTCACGACGGGGGCAGTGGTTTCGGCAGTCTGCGCCTCGGTAGCAGGCACCTCTGCAACCTCGGACTCGACACCATTGGAAGCGGCGCCATCCTCAACCTCGTTATCGGGCTTGCTATAGGAAAGAGAAGGATATATTAGCGCCGCTGCGACGGATTGATTGCTAACCAACGAGCTGATGGGCACGCGACCACTTTTTTTTCTGGACACTTACACAACATCCTTGACGGTATCAGCGACCTTGTCAACGGCCGCGACGGCAGCGGGCTTTGCGCCGCCCTTGTTCTTCTTCTTTCCTCCCTTCTTAGGCATGATGTTCGTAACGGTTCGTGGAGTCTGTGCCGAGATGGGAATTAGAATTGTCACGTCGAAATGACGACAAGAGTGCGCGAGAAAAGAGGTGGATTGAATTGGTAGGTTTTAATCGCGCAAAGATATAGGGTGTGTGGGTATAGTGCTAGCGCTCTGGAAATTGAAGATGACTTACGGTAAGTGATGGGGTTGGGGGGTGGTTGTCAAGGTGATGAAGTGGAAAGATGGAAGGAGGATGGAATTGAAGGTTCCCGACGGGAGTGGGCCAAGACCTTCTCCCTTCTACAGTCAAGACGAGTAAGGGATGGCGATCCGGTATGCTGGGTATACGCCAGTTGAAGGATCCGTGGTTACTTTAACCCGGTGGTTCTGGAACGCGTACGATGGAGCTGGAATTGAGGACTTTGGAATAATTCGTCAGACTGGATGGGTCAATTGACCCTAGAGAGAGCGTCTTTGCTCTCTTTGTTTTTGGGATTCGGTGGTTACCCGCAATACATTCCCTGGCCGCTCGCAGCATAGTCTGAGACGAAAGGGCATTCTCGAAGCTTGAAAATAAGTATACTCTTTGAATCATCCTATCTAGGTACTATACATATCTATCAATAGTCCTAGATATTCCCCCGAAAGCGAGGATATCGCAGTGCTCTGTGCACGATCTTCCCCCTTTTTCATAGTTCCGCATGCAGGAAGTGTCGTGTGCCTGCAGGCCAAGACTGTTTTGCAGGCTGAGACAGGCAGCCCTAATCCCGCATCGGGTAATAGGGCTGGCTACACCCGCAGGACGCTAGGATTCTTTCAGGGATAGTCGATCTGGGGGTGATTGGCGGTGATTTACGCGACCGTTGGCGTTAGAAGCTAGCGGCTCTTGCCCGTGGTGAGTACATGTAGATGCACAGTATTGGCTTTGTCCCTTTGAACCTGCGTGCCTAGAGGGGGAAGCACTGTGGTACTAGGGAGCAGTCTATGTACCTAGGGAGTGCTAGGGAGTACCTAGCACAGGAATACTAATAATGAACGGGACAGCAGGCATTCTTGTCGGCCCGTCTGAAGACGGGACGATGGACTGCATTCTTCAACGTGGCTGGTCCGATTACATCATTCCCGACCCGTCTCGATCCTTTGGACATGGTTCGTTTGATGAGGGTGATAAAAATAACAATCATTATGATCTTCATAACTATTTCAATATTAGAAACATAGTAAGTGCAATGATGTAGGTGGAATTATATTAAGCCCATGATATTGTGGCTTAGCCTGACAAAGGTGGTCCTGGGTGAAGTGCATCATGAGGTACACGGCCGCCATTGAAGCATACCCAACCGATAGATGACACCAATATATATCTTAGGAACAATGACAAAAATCCCATCAAATCTAACAGATTGATGTATGGATCAAAAAACAAAAAGATTGACCGACGCAGGGGTCGAACCTGCAATCTCTTGATTCGTAGTCAAGCGCCTTGCCATTGGGCCAGCCGGCCGGATCCTGACCAGTAGGCCAAGTCGTGCTGGATGATGGAAGAGTGGTCCAGTTTATGTTAGATGAGCCAGAACTATAATTAACCCATGTTATGGCCCCCTGATTGGCCAGGTTGTCGCGGCAAAATCAAATTGTTATGCAAGACATCTCCTCCGGATTTTCATCGCTTATTCTCTTTGTATTATTGAAGGGTCTAGTAAACCCATGAACCATAAATGTTGATCATATATTTACCACTATACTGAAATACTAACTACGATAATTCTATTGTTCTATTGTTCTATTGTTCTCCTCGTCATCTTTCATCATTGATTCCAACTGCCGTCCTTCCACCAAACTCCCGATCTCACCCTTTACATTACCTAACGGGACCGCGTGCCGGACTCCGAACTTACTTCAGTACGGGACTCCACCGAGATAATTTCCAACTTCCCGTTTCCGGTTTCTTCTCGTCCTTCCTTTTCGCAATCATCTTTTGCCTTCTAGTGGTGTTCCACTGACGTTCTCCCTCCCCACTCCCCCCTCTAACCCCCTCATTCGCAATCTCATTGAGGCAAGTCGAGGCAAGGGGGGCGGTCCCCCCCCTCTGCCTCTAGTCTACATAGGTATTCTGTATCGTTATCGCCCTTGTCTTCCTTGACCTTGAATAATAATCCTTGATGGCAATGATGTAACCGTGAGGCTCTAGCCTGGCTGGTCGATCACGCTGACTTTGGGTAGTATTGTTCTTTCCAGAAATATTCGATGCAGGCCAAGTCGCCACTACTGTCCTGCGCAGAGTAACCGCACAAACCGGTATACTTTCTGTAGGTAGTACGAAGTACTACTTGTCGCAGATACGAGAGCCTCTCGTGGTGGGCGACATGGACCGTGGGTAGCCCGGCGCGAACAGGATCCAAGCGCCGACGGGATGGTTGACATCCAATAGATGGTGAATTGATGGTGATATCTACTCTAGTGTTGAGATAGTTCAAGGAATCATTTTCCATGACCTTGATAATGATCTTGATCCTTTCTTTTCTATCTACTCCGTACAACTACTAGTATTATCCGGAGAATATCACTTCTCCGGCCAACTTTCCTCCGGTCTACCCGTAACCCACTTTTTGCCCCAATCTTGCCCGCATTAGTTCACGATGGACCCCAATCGGGATTGGAGCAATCAGCGTGCGGCAAAGTCATTTGGTCGTGTCATATCTATTTCGTTCCTTGGGGCAATTCTTTTTCGCACAGACCGAAAGTGGATCATACCGGACCCTAAAGAGGAATAGTCAGACTCGGAGTCGCCTTGCCCATCGCCTTCACCGGAGTCAACCTGCCGTCAGGAAAATTACCTCGTTGGAGGTTTTCCCCCTCAATGATAAACGATAATGGATAATAATCATAAACTGATGGAGTAATACTCCTCTATACTACTGGCGTACCACTCGTTCGATGGGAATTACTGCACCAAGCAATTCCCACGGTTCCTGTGCTTATCGCCGTTGCATCCACTTCCCATTCCCATTCCTCGTTTCCCCATACTTCGCATCCCATTAGTATCTACTCTTTTCCCTTCTTCTACCTTTCTTCTCTCTTTCCTCCCCTTCACATACACCTCAATTCTCAATCTCCTCTCTCCCCCCCCTTCATAGAATGGTCATACACTGCTTGACCCGTTCAACCCGCTCTACGTGCTTGCACAACCTCCGCGTCCCTTCCCACCGTGGGATTGGTCTGCACCCGTGAGGACTCGACCCTCTCGTTGAATACCATCGCAATTTCAAACATAAACGCGTATATCAACGACCCTTTCCAATCCTCCTATCATCAATATGTCCCTCCGCGACAAATTCAAACGGGTCTTCCACCGTCCCTCTGCTAGCAAGGACGCGAAGAATGGCAAACCCAAGGTCGAATATTATCGTCGCCATGAGATTCCTCCTTCCAAGTTTCGCGGTCCCTTCGATAAAGAACACCAAAAGCGTCTAGCGGCCTGGTCGTTCGACGGTGCAATGGCCGAACGCCCGCGTCCGATGGACTTGTCCCTGTCCCCCTGCGCCACTTACGATCTACCGGACGGTCCTCTCGGCCCTCTTGATCCGCTCGATAGCGATGATACCGGTGATATTTCCCCCGACGATGACGGCGTGCCGATCGATCCAGGTATGTACTAAAAAATGACACCATCACCACCCCAACGATAAGAGTCATCGAGGGGGATATTACCCCCCCCCCCCCCCCCAACTCGAGTCATATTTCCCTTTTTTTTTTCCTTTTCCCCCTCGCCGATTTACCCGAAACATGACTCCACGTCCTGACACGTCGCCCCTCTTCCAGCTTCGACCGACTCCGACTCTTCCGTTCCCGACCTCGACTCCTCCCGCCCCACCGTCGGCTCCCAGTCTTCCACAGTCGTCAACTCCAATTCAGAAAGCTACTCCGGCTCCATGATGACGCTTCTCCCCGAAGACCACCCCATCGGTCCCTACGAACTCCCCGAGGATCCTATCGCTCTACTCAAGGAGTCTATTCGATACACCTCCCCTATCGTCCGGGCCATGTCACCTGCTTCGCCTTATCCAATGTCGCCTCGCAAGGGAAAGGCTTTGCCTTTTTCGCCCGAGGATTTGACTCGCGCTTTGATTGCCGTGCAGGTTTGCGCGTAGATGACTTGACTCATCTCGATGCTCACACATCACTACTACCTTCGTCCCCAATATCCCGGAGATTGGTCCCCTTTATTCTTAATCTCTTTGTGCGACTCGATGTCGCCCTCGCTACCTTATTTACCTTTGCCACATGATTGGCTACCGTGGGGTGATCCGAAAATCACACCACTTCTGATGAACCACGATCGAAACGGTTGTTTTCATTTCATGGCTTGGAAGAATTTTCTGGCTGGAGCCAGGAAATCTTGCCTTTGCGGGGATTGCCGAGATGCACGTCTCGTCGCCTTTTCCTTTTTCCTTTTTTTTTTCCTATTCTGTCACGCATCTTGCATTTGAGCGTATACCCGTTACTGGCGTTTTATGATTTTGCTGGGAACACACGGGAAGGATCACCGTGTTGCTGCGATACTCGATCTAGAGTTGTTAGAGAAAAGCAGATCTGATCTAGATGAGAAAAATGACAAGTCGCTTTAAACAATTTAACCGAATACTTCCCAAGTAATCACGGAAAGCAGTCACTACACCCAACAGAACTAGAACTAGGTAACAGTACAATCACGTTGTCGTCAAAAGAAGAACCACCCACACCCAAACTAGTCCACAAAATAAGAATCTAGAATCCAGGAACATAAAAAACAAAGTTATACTTTAACGGAACGGATCGGATCATGTATCCTAACTTTCTGCTGGGTCATTCGCCGTCCAGCCCCGCAAGCCAAGACTTGTCCCCGCTCATGCGCACACTATCTTGTAGTCGCCCATTCTCTCGGTATTTAGTATCGGTTATCCACGAACCAGGTAGGATTATTGGGGATTGGGTAGGGAGGGATCCCTGGTGAATGGGTTTGTGAGACTTTTGTCGAGTTATTTGGGTTTGAGGGTGGAGGTTGGGTAATTTGTTGTGAGGTCGTGATGTGGGGGTGGACTTGGCGGGATGGGTGGTGAGTTGGTGGTTTCTTGGCGGGTGAGATGTTGATGAGACGGGTGGAGTGTTCAGGTTGAGTGTGAATATTGAGACTCGGAGAGTGTTTGATCAGTGAGTTTGAAGAAGGATTTCTGAGCAGTTGGCTGGTTGGAAAGTTGGATGTATATGTGGTACCCTCGGTGGCGATGGTTGTATGGGTATATATATCAGGTGGATGATGTCGGGGGGAAATTCTCTCGACTTGCAATGCCTCTGTGTTGACCTCGTAATTTCATTTCGAGAACAATCTGATTTGCTAGAAATGTAGAGTCGACGCAGTGATGAGAAGGATCCGATCTCGATGACTGGCGAAAGGGTACACGATGCCAAGCGGAGCTGTATAACATGTCCAGTTAAGCCAAAAGGGTCAACTTCATAATCTTAAACACAATACTCACTCACTCATCAAATCCCTCAGCCCATGAATACACCGCATCATACGTAAGCTTCATCGTAATCTTATACGATAACCAAAGGGCGAATTTCCAATCCACACCCTCACCACCACAAACCCTCGTATCGTGCATTGTAAAGTGAACCGCGACCGCCACGTGGAGATCGTCTCGCTTAGAAATGACAGGAAGGGTGAATTTAAATCAAAGTATGCAAAGAAAATATTGACCAGCTGATGGGGGGTGCACCGGGCAGGTCGAGCTGGGTATTTATGCTCAGCTCCGTTCTGTTCAGGCGTCCTTCAGCTGCGTGGTTGGCGTGTCTCCCCACTTCTCCTCACAGCCCCTGGAACTTCTGACATCCTGCACATGCGAGACAATGCATCCAAGGCGCTGGTGTAAATTCTCCGCTTTTTTTGTGTGGTGTTGGGTTGCGCTGCAGGGGTGGTTAGATCACCGCTCTGCATTGCGGTACTTCACTATGTACTCGGGAAGTGAACCTTGACGCTGTGGTGGTAGATACCTCGGTTTCTGGGTTGAAAGATATCCCATTATCTAGTTTTGCCTGATTAATGGTAATAGAATAAACAGAGTTACGAATTCATTTAGCTCCGCCCTTTCATGCCTTTGTTGCATCGAGTCCTCTTGCTTGGTAGGTTTCATCCTTTCCTGTCTAAATATACACGTCCAGTCCAATCTAAAATTATGCCTCGGCGCACCACTTGCGAGGCAAAGAAGTGGATTTAGTGATGTAACTGTTACGAATTCGTTTGTGATAGCGCCAATTGCCCAATTTTAGGATGCATATTGGCACGTTTGAAGTTTGTCGTTCGGAAAGTAGATTCGGGTTGACGTATTCCACTGTCAGTATACACACAGCATCGCCGGAAGACATACACGTTTCAAATGTGTATCTGGGGAGGGCCGAGGAAGATTTTTTTGACGACTATATTTCTGCTGGTACTCAGATTAATCTTCTTGAGACAGCACACAGGCCGGTAACATGACCATTCGCGCCCTAGTCTTCAAGAGTTGCGAGTCTTTGATGCAGGGTGATTGGTAGTTAAACGTCAATATATGTAATAAAAGATTGATACATAATACTTGTGGAACAGTGATGAAAATAGGTTCACAATTAGTAAAGATAACACCAATCCCGAGGAAGTGGTTCATCTACTCGGATCATCCTGGTCACGGCTTCGCTTACTCCCGAATGAGTGGTTAATGTATGAAAAACAGTATATTTCTGAAGTAAATATACTAAAGTAATGGGGGAGAATCATGATGAATGATTATTCAAAATCTATGCTGTGGAAAGCGAGGCTGTGCTCGCTTGACCGGGTCAGATGCAAGGCACCATGGGCAATAATGTTTCTTGCTGCAGTTGATTCAGATTGGCATTGTATTCGATCACACTAGTGTCTCTTTGCAGATGATGAGAATTATAGCTAGTCGATTCGTGTAAATAAGCTCTGGAAAGAAAGGACAGGCTACATACAGGAATACTGAGCCAGACACGATCTTGAGATGGCAGTTAGAAAATGAAACAGGAGCAGTGGAGAAGTATGAGCTGAACATGAAATTAATGATATGGGAGGCCCGAGAATGCCCGAGGTGTGTCATGGCCAGAAATATCACGAACAAAGCCTCGCACGAACGGGACACCTGAAAGTCGAATCTGTTGAGAGAGACCGTGACTATGCACACCGTTATTTAAGCCCTAGTAGCACCCTCAATCTCATTGTAGACCGGTTCTTATCTCCATTTTTTGACCTACACTCGCCTCCCACGTGGGAAACCCATCGCTTTTCAATTGTACAAATTGCACTCGCCAGGATACCCATATATCACTCGATTGATCCCAGTTTCCTTCTTCACCTGTTCTTCTGCATGTATCTTTGACTTCTTTGCAGAGTATTCGACGCTTCAAATCTCGCCCTTCCTCCCAATATCCTTGCCATCTACATCAATCTGTCCGTCTATCCAACATGGTTCGGTCCATAAGAGACCTTTTTTGCTTTTCTCACCAGCAGACCATCACCAAGACTGATCCAACACTCGCGACCTCGAACAATGTCATTCGTGTGAGACCCGTCCCAGAGACGGCTGCCAGAGCCCGTCTCCCCACCACCAGAGTGACAATTCCAGAGACTACTCGCATTCCCATCAGGCTATTGTCTCCGGCAGCATCATCCGAGCTAGCAAGTACACCCAGTACTTGCCCCTCCACTTGCAGCAGCTCGCTTGCAGAGTCTATTGTCACCGCTACATCAGTGACCAGTGATGGCTCTTCCTTGACATCCGGTGAACTCACCAAGCTGGGGACTATTCCACCCCAGTACCATGGCACACCGTATTTCCCGATCATGCAGCTGGATGGCTCGCTGAGACCGCCACCGATATCATTCAGTGGCTATGGCTCCTTTGGGGGCCGGTTCGTTCCTGAATCGATCATGGGATTCCTGTACGAGCTGACCTCGGTCTTCGAGTCTGCCATCTCGGATCCTTCATTCTGGGCAGAGTATGCTGCCTTTCAGCGTACTAGGAATACGCCTCTTCAGAGGGCCAGCAAGCTCACAGATCTGGCTGGCGGTGCTAACATCTGGCTAAAACGCGAAGACCAAAACGAATACGGTAGCCACAAGACTCGCAACATCGTCGGTCAACTCCTCCTGGCTCGACGAATGGGCCGTGCAGAGGTCGTCGCGGACTGTGCCTCGGCCAAGCACGGTAACTTCACCGCGGCAATGTGTGCACGGCTTAACCTGCGGTGTGTGGTAGTCATGGGCGCAGACGACGCACAGTCACAGGAAGAAGACGTCCTCGAGATGAAGATGCTCGGGGCCAAGGTCCTCACTGCACGAACCCCGTCCGGCATGGGCACGCTGCGCGCTGCAATCACAGAGGCACTCCGCTATTCAGTCTGCAACCATGAAACTGCATACTACCTCATGGGCGGGCCCGTGGGCCCAACCCCTTTACCGACTTTGACACGAACCTTCCAGGCACTCCTAGGCGAGGAGGTCGCGGCCCAGATGCACGCCGCGATGGGCCGTCAGCCAGACGCTCTGGTCACCGCCGTGGGAAGTGGTGCAGGCGCAGTCGGTTTGTTCCGACCATTTCTTCACGAGCCCTCTATCCGACTGGAATGCGTCGAGAGTGCAGGGGCAGCAGCACTGACCGAGGGTTCGGTTGGTGTTCTTCAGGGCGCGCGGACCCTAATGCTCCAGGATGACGATGGTCAAATCCTCGATTCGCACTCCATCTCGCCAGACATGAACCTTTCGACCGTGGGGCCGGAGGTGGCTCATTGGAAGAAATCTGGTCGAGTTGAAATCTCGACGGCCACGGACGCGGATGCCCTGGACGGGTTCAAAACTTTGCAGCGCCACGAGGGAATTCTGATCGGGCTGGATTCAAGTCACGCGGTGAGGAGGGCTATTAGTCTGGCGAGGGAGTTAGGGCCAGGTAAGAATCTGATCTTGTTGGTTACGGGGTGTGATGCGATTGGTATTCGTGAGTTGGATGTTTGATGACTGGCTTTTTGTGTGAGTCTGGCGGTGAAGAGAAGATATCTGAACTGTTGGATTGACTGCCCCTCTTTTTCCCTTTCTATTTTCTTTTGTGGGTTGTGATTCTTTACTGTGCGTTGCATTGTGCCTTTTCAATACCCTGGGAACTGGTGGCTGGTTATGGCGCTGGATCATGTTGTTAATCATCGTGTTATTTGTACATAATCATACTCGTGTGGATAATAGTGTTGGCTTCTCAAAGCTAGTTTTGATGTGAATAATGTTGAAATCGAGCCTTGGAACATAATACAACTTGGAATATACTGTAGATGCTCTGCAGTTCCAAAACTCAATATATCACCCCTCCTTGACCTCGACAGATATTACATTGTACAACACTTAAGGCTAGTCACCAGCCAATCAACCTCATCACTGCCAGTGCAAATGCAGTCCAACCTGTTTCTATTAAAACTGATTTCAACATGGACACGTTTTCTTTTTTCTTTTTTGCTTCTTTCATCTAACTTTATCATCAGTCATTTGCAGGGGGTGTCATGTACATCATCCTTGGAAATGTCATAGGCAGCTCTAACCCAAGATATCCAAGATTCAAGGAAGATCATTCAGGGATCAACTCTTCAGTCCTTCAACTGATTAATCCTCGTGGGTCACCGACATGTCCAACACCTCCACTCGTCCTCGCCCACGAGTCTCGTTGCCGATGAAATCGTTCAGTCCCTTGAACGCTCCCGGCTCGGCAAATCCTACCACCTCCCACTCGTCGCCACTCACTTCTTGCGATTCAACAGCTTCAATGTAGTTGAGAATCTTATCCTTGACGGTGCCAGCGGCCTTGGGTGCCGCCTCGGCACCGTCCTCGCCAGCCTCATCGTCGGAGTCATCTCGCTTCGACTTTTTGTTCCCCTTGCCACCCTTCTTGTTGCCTTTGGCCGGTGCCTTTTCTTCCTTGGCAGGCGCAGCACTTGGAGCAGCCTTGACGGACTGCTTCAGGAGCGAAACCGGGCAGGTTACACGAAGGCGCATCCGCGCTCGCATCACGGGAATGGGTTGCCACGCGATGAGCGCCTTCATTGCGTCGAGTGCTTGACTCTTGGCAGATCTATTGGAAGAGACTCCGGTCCACATGGGCTTCTTAGGCTGCTCCTCTCCGGCGCCATTTGCCTCTCCACTCTGTTGTTGACCACTGGCTGATAACAGCTGGTCCAGTGCTTTGGAGATCATACCCGACGTGTACACACGCTTGGTATTCGGGTCGACTAGTCGCCCGGACACGATATCCAGCACTTCCTTCTCCACTCGTTCAAGGGCATCTTTGCGCTCGCGTTCGCCGACTTGCACCTCGCCCTTGCGCAAAATCTCCTGTAGGATTTCTTCGCGGGGGGTATCGGCACCGAATGCCTTGGTGAGTTCTGCAGAAGGTGCGGTTTGCGCTTTTGATACGGAGAGGAAGACTGTAGGAACTTGGAGGACGTTATCGAGATCTTTTTCGGCGCCAGATCGGTATTCCAGCAACTTGTTTTTGTAGCAGGCGAGTTCAAATCGCTTCTTGCCTGAGAAAGAGATAAAGATGTTAGCCCAGTTCGCTGTGGAAGTCTCTTATCGCACACGGCAGTCTTACCTTTCTTCAGTCGGACTATCGACACATTCGTGAATTTAATCTGGTTGGAGGGTTGGTTGATCGGCATGATGAGTAGTAGCCACTATGGGCTGGTCTCAAGTCGTGATAAGAGTGTTCACAAGAGCAGCTTCTGAGGAACCGACTTGACCAGTGATAACGATATTGCTGTTCCTCGAGCGGCTGTCCGAAGTTATTTACAAACTTTCCCGAACGGTCCCTCTTGATGCCTTTTCCTAATCCAGGATCTGCGATGAGTCAGCACCTGCCATTTTCAGGTTTCACCCCCGCATGACTCAGCGAGTCACGAGGTCCACGGATCGGCTTATCGGGCGGAGACTCCTCATCCGGCGTCATCGTTCCCAAGGTTCCCCTTCTTCCCCAACCTCTTCCTCTTTACCCATCCCCCCGATTGCAGGCCCCGTCTTGCATCGATTCTCTGGTATATCTCTTTAATACTTGGGTGACTTGTTACTGTATGTTGTCTCCCTTGTCTCTTCTTGTATACCCCCTCGTCTGAAGAGTTGCTCGATCGGTTACTGATAAGAGCTGCCGCCCAGGCCTCCCAGGTACCCGCTTCCCATCAAACAAGCCATTATCTCCATCTTGGTTACATCTCCCTGTAAACACCATCCATCATGAGAGTTCTGCCCACCGCGCTGCTGGTGGGAGCTGCTTCGGCAGCGGTCCCTCCCTTGCAACAGGTGATGGGCACCCACCGCCAGCAGGCTGAGGACTTGGCCCAGCAAGGCTCCAACATCATCGAGGACTGGGCCAAGAAGGGCTCTGATGCCATCTCGAAGCCTTTCCAGAAGCTTAAGGAGGACTTCAGCACCCTCTCGGATGAGGCACGTGGGCTGTGGGAAGAGGTCGCTAACCAATTCCCCAACACCATGGACCACGCCCCCATGCTCTCTCTCCCTAAGAAGCACACCCGCCGTCCTGACTCCCACTGGGATCACGTCGTCCGTGGTAAGGATGTGCAGAACATCTGGGTCTCCGGTTCGGACGGCACCAAGGAGCGCGAGATTGGCGGTAGACTCGAGGCTTACGACCTCCGCGTGAAGAAGGTGGATCCCAGCGCTCTTGGTGTGGATCCCAACGTCAAGCAGTACAGTGGTTACCTTGATGACAATGATAACGATAAGCACCTGTTCTACTGTAAGCTGCACCCTGACTTCTTATCCATGGTGGTTTCAATCGTTGCTAATCTCTTCCAGGGTTCTTCGAATCCCGTAACGACCCTGAGAACGACCCCGTCGTCCTCTGGTTGAACGGTGGCCCCGGCTGCTCTTCTTTGACCGGTCTCTTCTTGGAGCTCGGCCCTAGCTCTGTGGACAGCAAGATCAAGCTTGTCCACAACGACTACTCCTGGAACTCCAATGCTTCTGTCATCTTCCTGGACCAGCCCGTCAATGTTGGCTACTCCTACAGCGGCAGCAGTGTCAGTGACACCGTCGCTGCTGGCAAGGACGTCTATGCTCTGCTGTCCCTGTTCTTCAAGCAGTTCCCCGAGTACGCCAAGCAAGACTTCCACATTGCTGGCGAGTCCTATGCTGGCCACTACATCCCCGTCTTTGCCTCTGAGATTCTGTCTCACAAGAACCGCAACATCAACCTGAAATCCGTGCTTATCGGTAACGGTCTGACCGATGGCCTGACCCAGTACGAGTATTACCGCCCCATGGCTTGCGGTGAGGGTGGTTATCCCGCTGTCCTCGACGAGGCTTCTTGCCAGTCCATGGACAACGCTCTTCCCCGCTGTCTGTCCATGATCCAGGCCTGCTACGATAGCGAGAGCTCCTGGGTCTGTGTCCCGGCCTCTATCTACTGCAACAACGCTCTGCTTGCTCCTTACCAGCGCACCGGCCAGAACGTGTATGACGTCCGCAGCAAGTGCGAGGACTCCTCTAACCTGTGCTACAAGGGTATGGGCTACGTGTCCGAGTACCTCAACAAGGAGAGCGTTCGTGAGGCTCTCGGTGCTGAAGTCGACGGCTATGACTCTTGCAACTTCGACATCAACCGCAACTTCCTCTTCCACGGTGACTGGATGAAGCCCTACCACCGCCTGGTGCCCGGTCTGCTTGAGCAGATCCCCGTGCTCATCTACGCCGGTGATGCCGACTTCATCTGCAACTGGCTCGGTAACAAGGCCTGGTCCGAGGCCCTTGAGTGGCCCGGCCAGGAGAAGTTCGCCAACAAGGAGCTGGAGGACCTTGTCATTGAGCAGAACGAGCACGTTGGCAAGAAGATTGGCCAGGTCAAGTCCCACGGCAACTTCACCTTCATGCGTCTGTATGGCGGCGGCCACATGGTCCCCATGGACCAGCCCGAGTCCAGCCTGGAGTTCTTCAACCGCTGGCTCGGTGGTGAGTGGTTCTAAACGTCTGTCATTTATCGCTATGATATCTTGCATCGTCACTTACACCCTGACCAATCAGTTTGTGATTGATCGTTCAGTTTTGAAGTTTATGCTTTCATCTGCAACGTTGATATCTTCTGCTGGTGCAAGCTTAACTTGAGTGGCATTTTGCTTGTCTTTAGATTGAGAGTGGCTCACGTCGATCAGTATATACACGCAGTGTCAATTTAAATGGAATTTTGTTCACATGATTTATTTCATGATGTAGAGATACATATAGTCATGCAGATGGGGCTAGGTAACGAATTCTGTATGGTGGGTAACTAACTCCGTAGTATTAGCGAGAAGCATACGGCGGCAAGGGTGAGAAGTTAGGACGACCAGCGGTAACCCCGCATCGATTGTAGGGCCAGGAACATGTGTAAGGAACTCTTAGTGATGATTGTGGCGTACGCTACGGTACTAACCGGCAAGGCAAACCTGATAAGAGGGCAGACCTAATACCAGTATCTACGATCCTTACAAGGCCAGGGACAAGAGGCAAAGACTACTCGGAGCAAGTCAAACTCCACTGCAGTCAAAACCACCCAGACTCAATACGGTCCAGTCCAGGCCATTTAAAAAAACAAAAGCAAAGCCATCGGTTCATTTCATATTGGTATGATTCATTTTCAATTTTTAGGACCGGCATCACACCCAGTCCAGCGGGGAAAAGATCCCACGGATGCCCATAGAAACACACCGACAAATAAGGAATCCCTCCATAAACCCCCGGAAAATAAGAACAAGACAATACGTTTAGCCCTTCTTCTTGCTGACACCGACGGTGCGGCCACGGCGACCAGTGGTCTTGGTGTGCTGGCCACGGACACGCAGGCCCCAGTAGTGACGGAGACCGCGGTGGGAGCGGATCTTCTTCAGGCGCTCGAGGTCCTCACGCAGCTTGCTGTCGAGACCGTTGGAGACAACCTGGGTGTCCTTGCCATCGGTGATGTCGCGCTGTCTGTTCAGGAACCACGAGGGGATCTTGTACTGGGTCGGGGTCTGGAGGATGGTGACGATGCGCTCAAGCTCTTCGGTGGTAAGCTCACCAGCACTGTGAAGGAAGAAAATCTTGTCAGCATTTTGCACTGTGGGGATGGTAATTTGTGCGTTGTCGATTCTCTGCAGTGTCTTCGATGTGTCTTGGCGGTTGATCACTCCCGTCCTTTCCAACCCAACCCCCTTCCGGCACACACAGATATAAAAAATCGAAATTCCAGGTCGACCGAATCGTAGCCCATCAAGTCATCAACTCCCATTTTCTCCTCCATTTCGTCGCATGCTCCAACCACCCCAAGACACCCGAGAACCTTGCAGAGAGTCGAAGCCCGATAAAAACGTACCGCTTGTTCAAGTCGACATCGGCCTTCTTGCAGACCAAGTTGGAGTAGCGGCGACCGACACCCTTGATCTGGGTCAGGGCGTACATGATCTTCTGCTTACCCTCAACATTGGTGTTGAGGAGACGCAGAATGTACTGGAAGTTCGTCTTCTCGCCGGACACGAGCGCTGTAAATCGGGCGACATGTTAGCTGGATGTTCTTTATCGAGAAAGCCATATTTGTTGGCAAGGCGGGTTGTTCGATGCTCTCGTGGGCATTGTAGGATCGAAACTGGCGTGGGAGAGGGCAACGTACACATGATGGGCGATGGGCGCGCGGATCGCGATGTGTTGTCGACAAGAGGAATGGAGAGGAGGAAGTCTCGAGTGACTTTTGCTTCCGTTGTGGGATCGGGTAATTGGGGCGCTAGCCTGTTTGGGGAAAGTGCGTGAGGGCTCGCTTGATGGAGGCGCTAGTCCTCTTTGGGAGAAGCTTGGTCATGTGCCTTCCGTCCCTTGGCAGCCCGGTTTGATCAGTGGTGTCACCTGACTTGTATGTAAAATTGGTAACTGCAACCCAAATTGACTGGCAGGGATTACCCGTATGTTTCAAGTGGATCTGGTTCACAGCCCTGATGCTTTTCTTTGATGCTCTACCTCGACTTCCTCGAACCCCTCTCGAGACGGATTTCCAGAAATTTCCTGGCTTATGAGCTTGGGCCCTTGGCAATTCTACTCCAGTCTTTGTTCCTACCCCTGAGGCCACCCCAGCCCTGCAGGTCATACTTTTCTTCGTTTTCCAACTTGCAATGGACATGGCCTTGAAGTCTACGGTGTATACAGCATCATATTTTTGTCGTTCGATTGAAAGGATGGGATCATCTTTGGCTCAAGTAAGGTTGGAATATGCAAAAATTTTACCAACATAATACTGGGAGACATCATGGCCCTCCTCGACTCGATTTCAGACGCACTCGATCTCCTCTTTGTTTGTCGAATGACCCCGGACTTTGGAAAAGAAGCGTCCATTCATTCATTCGAATCAACGCCACCTACCTTGGTCGACTTTTTCACCAGCTTGCATTTCTGATCGTCTTTGTTCTTGATCACCTCAACTGTCCATTCAAAGCTATCAGCTGATGCCAATATTAGTAGCAGACGTGCAGCAGAGCCAACTTCAAAGGCTGTGCCCTACAATCCAGGATGTAGATTTCGAAAAGGCCAGGGGTTGAAAGATCCATGGTCGATGTCCAAGTCAATTCTCTTTCTTTGACTTGAGGGGAAATTTGGATGTTTCTTTATTCTGGAAGACAGACTCGGCAGTATGGTTGTCTTGATCAAATGTTCTCCTCGTCCTCCCCAAAGGCTCGACCACATAAGACACCGTTCAGTCCCTCCCTCCAAAATTGTTAGACTTGTCAATCCTCTTGTCCTTTCCTACACTCTTCTTTGGGTATTCACCTACTTTCGCCTGTGAAGTCCACTCCCATCAGCTCAAATTTGAGAAGCTTCCACATTCTTCAACTACCTTCTTTGCCGGCGCAGGAAGACCCCATACGAATCGCAATATTCAATCTTGCAAATCTCGACAGCAACATGGAGTTTCCTCAAAACTCCAGACAAGTCGCAGTGCCTCCCGAGCCTCACCCGAAATATCCTCTGGGCCAGCTTCCTGATCCTCCCGATGAATACATCTTTCTTGGGCGTCCTTATGGCGTGATCATCAGATCACGGGGTCAATCACTCGCCGAGCTAAAAGTATTTGCCAGATATTGGCTTTGGGGCTTCGAATATGGCGAAGATAAACGGTTTACCATTTTGGCAGCTCTTGGCAAGGTCAACTATTGGATGAGACCGGAATACCAATTCCACACCGAGGCTGATATGTGCGACGTCGAGCGAGACGGTGGGCCTCGACTCCTGCAATATACTATTATACCTACACCTTCACCAGTCAGCCGCCATTATCCTAAATACCTGACGGATGATGAGATGCTGCAGCTTGGAGCGCAAAATTACATCCGCCCAGCAGATGCACCACAGCATGTGCCAGACACTCTCATGTTTCAATTTCTATTGCCAGCCCGCGTGTCTACATCTCAATTTGTGTCTCACTTGCTGCCCACTGGAGTATTTACTGGAGTGACCATCGATCAGCGGCCGGAGATGACCTCTGCAATCATGGAAAACCTACCGAACCGAACACAAAATTCATCAGTGCTAACTCAGGCAAGACACACATATCAGAGTGGTTTCAATTTCAATGCCGTCCGAGAAGCAATTGAAAAGGCCCTGATCAAGCTCTGCTACAAGGACCTAGAGAGGCACCACCATGCACCCAGCAAAGAGCCGGTAGCCACAAGAGTCGCTTCTACACACGCTGACCTTAGCGTTGTGCAAGTTGGCACCCACACCACTGTTTCGGAGCTGCGATTGGACCCGGACACGCATCAATTTAACGAGTCGGGATTTCCATATCCATATCGGGGTCGTGGTCCCGTCTGGGCCGATGGGTCGTGTGCTATTGATACCGCCATCGTGCTGGGTATGCTGACCATGGCCGGCTGTACCAATATCGACCGACCTCCCGGCAAGGAAGAGACTTTCAACGAAATCGAAAAGGCCTTTATCCAAGTGACCAACATGAACTGGGATGCCTTTGACAACAAGGTGTCGATCGAGCTTCGGCATTCATTCTACAATCTGCTATGTGACAATGTTCCGGACATCAAACGGGACAAGCCCGTCCCGATCTGGGCGGCTTGGGCGGAATCGACCAGAGCATTTGGTCAATTCCAAATCGTCTATACCGAGACACCGGCAGGTCCATGCCCACAGTGTGGATATTCTGAAAATCATCATGTTCAGCGGGTTGGGAATTGCATAATTCCACCCGGGGAAGATAGCGACAAAAATGGTGTTCAGATGTCAACCTTGATTGATCGGGCGTGGAGTACGGCGCCAGTTCACTACGGCTGTATGAATTGCAGCGCACCAGCGGGACCACTAAGATTGAGGCATGTCTCTCAACTCCCTCTTCGGTTAGTAGTCAACGTCAATGGCCGTAACCGAACTCTCAATCATACTCAAGATCAGAGACTGCAGTATTTGGATATAGATGGGAATACACAGACGGCGCACTATCGCTGGCTCGGCGGAGCTTATTACAAGGATAATCATGTTCGAGTCTACTGGACCGACGCGGAAAGGGGCGAGTTTGATATCGGCAATATCCGAAAATACGACGGCGAAGATGCCGGGGGAGTCATTATCGGTGGAATTGCGCCGTACGCACCGGATGACCGAGTTCCACTCGATTGGGTTTCGGATGGCTTGCCTCTGGCCATCTACGAGCGCATCATCAACCCAACCCCGGACATGTTACACGCCGCAACGCAGACCATTTGCGATATTTCTGATTGCGTCGGCCAAGACAAGCCCTTCCTCGCTCAGCACTTTCCCTGGTTCCCAAAGTCCATGGAGCGCAAGTCGCCTTACCTCCCCTTGGAGCGTGTCTTGCCGGACACTGGAGAGCGGTACTACGAGAAGAACCTCGTCTTGAGTTCTGACACCTTGCCAGACATAACCCTCGACTTGAACAACACCATTGCCGACCAACTCGCCGAATGGACCATGCAAACAGCACCGCATGATCCCATGCAAACGGCACCGGATGACCCCATGCAAGATCCGGACCCTAACTTGATCGGAATCGACCCGGGTCTGCTCGAGCGAATCGCTAGTGGCGAGACCTTGTTCAACTCGTACAACTCAGACCCCACCACTCTCATGAATCATCCGGAAATGTGGCCCGCGGGTGGAATGCCTGGAGTTGGTGGCGCAACGACTTTCCCCAATCTGCCCAAGACCCCGACCGGACCTGGCGGTGGGAGTCGCAGCCCGTACTGGAATTGGGTAAACTTGTCTCCCGGCAAGCAGTTCGGAGCCAATGGTAAAGCTGACGATGGGGAGGAGATGGTGACGGTTGTGAAGATCCGTCATGACTGTCGCGTGGGTCCGTCACCGTACCGGCTGTACCGGATTCCCGTCAAGTCTATCAAGGCTGCGATGCGGCGGATGAGTCTGAAGCAGATTGAGAGTCAGAGTCCGGAGAAACAGAAGAAGGAGAAGGAGAAGAAGAAGAAGCAACCGCGAGTGGAAGAACTCAAGGACGAGGAACCTCGGACAGCAAAGAGGACGAAACGGAATGGTGTGAAATGATTGGAATGATGAACAGTCTGGGGGTTAGACTCGGCGCTTGGTGCTTGACATGTGATTCTTTTGTTAGTTTTGTGCCCTTTGGTCTGGTTTCAACCTTTGGAGTGGCTCTGCTGTGTTATTCTTGTGTATTTTCTGTTCTGGCTTGGTCAATTTTGTTACGTAGTTCGTGATTTCATAGTTTGATCTTGATCCTAGAGTTATGTTGATGAAATTCATGCTATTTTCGCTATTTCTTGATCCTCATCGTTTGTGCACAAGCAATTATTAATGAGAATTGGCAGTGCCGTCGGTTTAGTACTAACTTTGATTTCGAATCATAGCTTCTCGTCGGTCTATATCTTGCGGGTAGCGGCTCTTCGATTGCACGGAGTTCTCTGGATTTACAGTAACACAACATGAAGCGGTGAAGGCTAGCTTCGGAATCTTGCCCTTATAAACAATGACACTGTTTCTTATTTGTGTATGCAAACTAATCACGAAAGGGTTCACAGCCTTACTACACCTCTGACCAGCCGAAAAGTGAAGCGGTAGAGATGCTAGTTAAATTTCTTACCGAACTTCAAGGTCGACCGCTGGGTGGTGGTTAACCCCAGCAAGAACTGACCCAGGCGGAGGGTTCTTGACAGTAAAATACCAGGTGTTAATAGCAGCACTCTTATGGCCTCATTTCAGCCTGAAAGCGATAGGGAGTCGGTCTACTGATACATAATGATGCCTAACTCATAGTGTCGTTTGTAAAGCCGATGAAACCACATGCTCTTCTACCCCACCTATATCCCCCACCTTGAAATTCTCGCAACGGCATACCCAGATAGACAGTCACGAGTTGCTAGCAAAACACCCTTAGACGATCATTCTACCTACTTTATTCTGACGTTTTTACAACTTAGAAATAAGGACCCGGTCCTAAATACCCTCAACGCCATCACCGCGATCACAACTAGCAAACTATCTCCACGAGGTAGTGTAGGCCAAAGCTATACACTCCTCAACTACCCGGCGGATATTCGCTCTGATCTCGTATACATCAGTCGTTGTATCTTTATATATCATATAGTGCTTGCGCAGATTATTATGACAACAACAAAAGAAGACTTGGTATGGTACCTTTAGGAGTATGGCGAACAGGGCTGATCTGATTCTGATAGGTATCGCGATGGGAATCTCTTTCTGCGGATGACGACCGGCTGAAGGACCTTAACGAATATGTGTCGCTCGAGTTAATTGAACCCGCGTTATATGATCGACACCTTCTTTGCCGAAATTATAACGAGGTGGTTTTCTTCTATGGGGGCGATGGGATATGGAGCACTAAGGATCGTAATGGCCTAATGGTACTCCCGCAAGGTATCTCAGCGACAATATATCGAGGGTATTACTCTATTAATTGAATAATATCTGTGCTATAGTTATGTCGTAGCTTATTCGAAGCTCTACTTAATAAAACCTCTTCACACTTACACAATCCGTCGTATCAAAACGTCTATTTCTCTTCTCCTATTTCCGTAAATCACTTTCATCAATAGAGTAAGTAATAGTATCACCAAAGACCTCTCTAATTTAGGCTATTCCGGTACCCGGCCTCTAGGCCGAAGCTTATAGGAAATGTGTCTACGTTAATAGAACGCACGAATATATTACACTTGGATAAAGTATTAGAGTCTAACGAACGTCCCGCTGTCGCCTTAATACGGGCCCTGGCGTGCTCGAGCCCTTTAACAATCTTGACCTGCTTAATAAGTATACTTAACTCTCTCTTTACCTCGATTAATGACTCTGGACGACTATAGATATCAAAGTCGTAAATCATAGCGGGGATGAGTTCTGGGGAGGTTAGGTTTAGGAAAGTTGCTGGATTAGTAAACAAGGCCCCGAGGAAGGCATTTCCCCCATTTGCGTGCAATCAGCAAATGACATTCACGAGGAAGGACATTTCTTTACTTAGACTTGACTTGAATTTAAAGCAGATGACCTTTCTGATCTTTTGTATTACGCGCCGGGGGAAGGGCGGCTTCTAGTCATTTGTGTTGGACTGGAAAGGGATAAGACCACATGTCTTACTAGTAGTATATACGCAGTGTTCAGAGTGTGGTGTGGTGCCTCCAACCTGACGAAACAACGCCGATACAAGCCTCGGATGGTTTGGGCCAATCAGAATCCAGATATTAACCATCGGGTACCAATTGTTAAGGAAACTAAAACACGCCAAAACAAGTGGAGGCGGCCGCCCCCGCTTTCCCCAGACTCTCCTTCCTCTTCGCTGTTCTCCGTCTTTCCTCTTCCCCCTTCTTTTCTTCTTCATCTTTTATCCTTCTCTGCTCTTTCTCATTTAAGAAGAGGACTTTTTTCCATTTTGTCTTCTTCCAGCTCACATGGTTCACTGAACTTTTGATGATCTAGAGAAGCCTATATTGCCATGTTCCCTGGCTACTAACTACGCAGGGACTCGCAAGCCTTTCCTTACTGACTTCTCATACAGGCCATCACGGGTGGTGAAGATTATCAAATATCTTTCACTCATAATCTATGATCTATTTACATGTCTATGCCTAGCCTCTATATTGACTGGCCAGATCTATCAACACAGGGGGAATTCATCCAACGCAATAACACAACAGGAAAAACGAAAAGCCAAGCACAGGATTAACAAAAGGAAAATATGAAGCAGACAGGGCCGCTTACAGACGAGCACGAGGCTCACCCTTGGCCTTGCTAGGACCCGTGGCCACGTTGCTCTTCTTGGGCGCAGACACGTAACCACCCAACTGGTTATCGGTGTTGATCACATTGCCCTTGGCATCACGTCGGATACCCAGCTCGACCAACTTGGCAAAGACCTTGGCAAAGTGGTCAAAGAACAACTCCTTGTCCTGGGCATAACGCTGCACCCAGGGCAGGAAGGCCGGGTCGGTCTTCAGCGCCATATCGGTCGGCAGCATCATGAGCGGCTCCTCATCTTCCTCCGCATCGGGATCCTCATATACGAACTGGGTCATGCCCGTCGCCAGCTTGCGGGGCTTCCAGTCCAGCTGCAGCAGCAACTTGAAGAAGGAGTTGGAGAACCGGGTCGGGTTCGTTACCCAGGGTCCCTCGAATCCACTGCGGTCGCCGTGGCAGCGACCGAGGTTGTGACCTCCGGCCAGAGCGACGATCTCTTGATCGTTGAAGCCCATGCGGTTGAAGATGAATCGCAAGTGGTCGGCGCCCAGGGCACCATCGGGGAGTCGGCCACGGGGTGGCACCTTGGAATCATCGACCAGGTCGGTTCGTCCACCCTGCCATGGGATATCGGGTCCACCCAACTCCTTGATCGCGACTACGCCTGCCAAAGTCCACAAGTCCGAATAAGTGATCCACGGGTGCTTCTCCTTGATGGGCTCCAAGAAAGCCCGACCGTGTTGCAGACCAGCGTTGGCCGGGTCGCCACCCTCTGCTTCATAGCGCATACCGGCGCCGTTGGAACCACCAGTGTCAGATTCGGCATCATAGGTACCGGCGGAGTGCCTGCGGGGAAAAAAAGAAGCTGTCAGCAAATCTTGTTCCCTTTTTTTGACTTCCGGCATCCCGACCGTCGGGATCTATTCACCCGCCGACCGGGAACGAGCCAAAAGAAGAGTCGCAAACAACATACCATGCCAACCGCACAAACACTGGGCCTGCGCTTCCATCGTCGTATCCGGGCTTCTGGAGCTGAGCAGCGATATCCTTGCGGACCGCCTCATAGTCACCGTGACGACTCATTCTCGGCCGATAATGTCTGGGGTAAAGAGTTGAAAGGGCGAAAGGACAAGATGTGGGTCAAGAACGCGAACGTTTCTTGCGAGTCGACGGACCTCTGGTCTTCAACGAAAAGACCGAAGAGAGTTCAAATTGATATGAAAATACAGAAGAAGAGAAAAAAGAAACAAAAGGGGATCGAGGAGAAAAAGAAAGGGTCGCGAGTCTGGAGTGATTCTCCCACATGAAGACGGGGTGGATCCACGGGACGAATCAATTTGCGCGCCGCCAACGGCCAAAATGCCGAGGTTCTTTCTCGGTCGACGATACCCCGTCGACATCACCGACGACTCTTGCATGTTTCTTGCTGGATAACGCAATTCGGCCCTCTTCATCTCGTGCGAATTCTTCCGATTCTCGGCCATTTTCGCGGTTGCAATTCTACACCAGAATTGTGTGTGTTTCGGATTGGGATCTATACCTTGCCTGCGATAAAATCAGTGAAGTCATACTTTTCTGCGGCGATCAAATGCCGTCGGCCATCTGATTGCCTCGGAACTTGAAAGCCGACCTTATCGCCAACCCGTGCAACCGCCTGGAACTATACGGTGCACGCGATCGTATTCTGCATTTATGAAGGTTTTTCCCCCTAGATATCTACATATCATATGCTTAATTAAAAATTGCCTTTATTTAACGTTTAATATCGCCAATCTGTATTAACAATTCAAAATAACCCAACCCATCAAACACCCACGGCCAATCGGCCCAGGGAATAAGACTTGCAAACGCGCGCCTGCAACTCCAACTCCCACAAACTCCCCCCCCAAAATAGAAAAGACAAGTGAAATGAGACTCAGACAAATACAAGAGATCCAATCAATCACAATCTCTCTAGTAGCATCCCCCTGCTAGATACTCTCCTCCTCCCACTCCCCATCGGCATCATCCTCGCCCATCTGCTCCCGGCCATTGCTGGTCTCAACCATGTCCACCTCCTCCGAGACACAACGGCGATCGACATTCTCCCCCAGCCAACTCTCAGACTGGCGCAGGGGACCACCAGCCTCCATCCAGGCAATCTGCTTCTTCAACGCTTCCACCTGACCCTCCAAGACCTTAACCTTGCCCGCATACTTCTGACCCATGACGTCCATCTGCCGCGCCAAATCCCTGTAATCCCGTTGTACCTGGCGCCGATCTCTCCTCAGCCTTTCAATCTTCTCATCCCACCGCCCTTCAACCTTAGCATTATTATGTCGAATGCTCTGCATCATCGTGGAAACTTGGAAAATGTTCTCGTCGCTCAGCGTGCCGTTGCGGTGGTACTCGTTTATCAGGCCGACGCTTGCGACGAGGTCGTCCACGATCGTGTTCATTAATCGTGTTTTGGCCTCGGGGGTCATGTGTTTGGCTTGTTCCACGCGTAGCACGGAGTAGCCCGGGACGAAGTCCGGGTTCGTCGCGTTGAAGTTGAAGATTGTATGCTTCTTTGGTGGGGTTCCTGATTCCGGGGTTGTTTGGGGACTGGGCCTTGCGGCGGAGTCGCTTTCGCTGGACATGCTTTTTGATTTAGGTTAATTTTGATGGTAGATGTGATGTGTTGGTGGGGAGGTTGGAGAGGAGGGGATATCCCAGGAGGTGGGTTGGGGATAAAAGAGATGAGAGGTCAGGGGAGGTTAGATTGTGAGATTTCTTCTTTGGAATCAGGAGACGCGTTGATATTATGGACGCGCTCGCGTCTAAAGTTCTGGTGTTTTGGAAGGTGAGTGTCAAACATGGAAGGTGCATAAGGGCAGGCATACAAACCGGGTAGTTTCCTCAGACTTCTTTGACTGCGAGGGTGCCGCATCTCTTTGTTTAGAGTTAAGACGGTGCTAGCTACTGCCCGGATTTTGGGCATATCTTCTATACTGGATCAATTGAGATTTTGATAACTGCGAAGAAATACTGCTAACATATCGTACGGGTCTGTGGGATACACATTGTCTTCCCTAGACAGAATAAGAATTGGGATAGGTTTCCCTTACATATGACTACAGACTTATTCAGATAGTTTATGTAGTTACGGAGGTCTAGTGCTATAACTTGGAGCAATGAACTTACAGGTCATAAACTATGTCAAGGAAGTCTACACGTAGGAAGCAGGAGGTAAAAGCAGGAATAATCTGACTATCATCTGGTGATAAGAGAAAGAATGTCTACCATGTCAAGGGGACCTCTTATCGGGGCCTATTCAAAAGGTTCATGGAAGTGGTGTTAGAGATCTCCATCAATGGTTGTAGTCCACACCTCATACGTTCCATTAAGCTAACCAATAGCTTTAAATAAAACTACAACTCGGCCACAATAGCATCTCCTAGCTCCTTTGTGCCCATCGTACCCCCTAAATCAGGTGTACGCAACCCCTTATCCAGCACCTTTCGCACTGCATCTTCCAAGCGCGTCGCCTCTGCCTCCATGTTCAGGGAGTACCGGAACATTAGTGCAACGCACAAGATCATTGCGACGGGATTAGCAATGTTCTTTCCAGCAATACTATGAGGTAAATTAGTATAAAGAGACGGTTTGAAGCGCAACAGTATTACTTACGTTGGAGCTGAGCCATGTGTTGGCTCATACAATCCATATGGTCGTGTCTTGAGTGACTTATCACCTGGCAAGCCATTAAGACTAGCACTCGGCAACACTCCCAATGTCCCGACAATTGAGCCCGCCTGGTCGGATATCATATCACCAAAGGTGTTATCCGCAAGAATGACTCCATTCAAGGATCTTGGGTTTGTGGCCAAGATCAAAGATGCAGAGTCGGCGAGTTGGTGGACCACCTTAAGCTGTGGGTACTCGGTGGTCATGACCTTTTCGACCACACGACGCCAAAGGCGAGATGAAGCCAGGACATTTGCTTTATCGAGAGAGATCACTGGCCATGGGGGATTGTGGCGAAGAGCAACTTCTGCAGCGAGACGGGTGACTCGTTCGATTTCGGCTTCGGAGTAACCCCATTCGTCCATCGCTATGAGAACGTCGTGTTAGCGAGGGTATAGGGTGATAGGTGGATTGCCTTAGAGGCGATACCATAAGTTGGGTCCTCTACTTTCCTTCCAAAGTAGGCACCACCACAGTTCTCCCTAACAACCACAAAGTCCACACCCTCTGCTTCGCCATCTTTCCCAGAACCGAAGAGAATCTCATGCCGGAACGGACTAAACTCCTTTGCAATCGATGCACTAGGAGAACTAGACGAGCACGGTCGCAGGTTCGCATAAATATCCATTGCCTTGCGAAGCTGTAGCAACCCACCCTCGGGTCCATCTAGACCCCGACGAGCATTATCCCATTTGGGTCCACCAACCGCGGCGAAGAGCACGGCGTCCGAGGCAAGAGCCGCTTGCTTGACTTCTTCCGTGACGGATTTACCGGTTGCGTCGATGCTACAGCCGCCAATTAATTCTTGACGGAGCTCAAACTTGTGTGAGGGGGTTTCGAAGGCTTTCAGGACTTTGATTGCTTCGGCCATGACTTCGGGGCCTATGCCGTCGCCTGGTAGGACGAGGATACTGTGAGTTTGGGCCATGGTTGATGAGTGTTTGTCTGCTTCCCAGTGGGTTTGTTCTTCAGTCGATAAGCTGGGGAACGAAATGAACTATTCAGCTTTTAAGCTTCATGCTTGAGGTATAAGAGTACTCCTATATCGGGGTCGGTCTTCCAACCGAGTAATGCGGGGTTGAAGGGTCTCGGGCGTTCTCCGACGTGATGATGTCCGAGATGCGGAGGTCAACGAATGTGTTGATGATGGAATGCGGCTGAATTTATAAGAGAGATATATGGGAGATGCGAATGAACAACAAATCTTCGTTGATGCTTATGAGATTGGCCCTAGTCTTGAAGCCTAGTTCTATTTCTAGCCACTATATAGTTCTGTTGTGTCCTGAGGCAATAAGGTGTCAGTCTCCAGATGGGGCTCTCTAGGGCTGCGGTTTGACACGTGATCTTCTAGTAATACTACCACCGGGGTTGATATTTGATCATGTTGGAGTTATTCTGTAGAAGACAGTGGAGGGATTGTATTTCAGACTCATAATCATACCAAAGAATGAACATGGAAGCCGTTATCTCGGAATGAAAGAAAGCAGACTTTCAACTGCGAAACCTTCTAGAATCTGCCTGCGGGGCTTACATCATACCTGCTCCCCTCGTATTTGCACTGTTTGCACATCGGCGATTTCTAATCCCCGCAAAAAAAGTCCATGAACAGTCACACTTCTCTGTACAGCCCTACCACATTAACATCATGTCGAGAATCGAGGAGCTTCCAGACGACTTTGACGAGTCGCTCAACCTCAATGGGGTGCCTCCTCAGGTCGCCCAGGACCTGCCGCAGCCCGGCTTTGACGCCTTCGCCGCAACCAACGAGGCGCCCTTCCCTATCAATGAAGAGAGACTGAAGGAGCTCATCAATGACCCCAATGCGCCCGGTATGCCTCCGGCCATGGCGTCGGTCAAGTCGCATTCCAAGGAGGAACTGCTGGATATGATGAACAAGACTCCATTGTTCATGACGGATATTGAGAATGCTGGTGACGAGAGTATGTTGAAACTCCTACTTATCTCCGACTCTTATCGCCTCCGAATGAAGTTCTAATACGTCTGTCTCTTGTCTAGAGGGTGAAAATGTTCTTTTGGATGCACTGCAAGCTCTGCAAAACGAAGGAACCCGAGGCGAGGTTGCTCAAAGTTTCAAGGAACAAGGCAATGAGGCTGTCCAGGAAAAGCGCTGGATCGATGCCAAGGAGATGTATACCAAGAGTATTGCCGTGATCTACGCCAAAGAAGACAAATGGGACAAGCCCGAGGACCTTGAGACGGAAAAGAAACTCCTGCGCCAGATGGAGGAATTATCCCACATCAACCGGGCATTGTGCAACCTTGAGCTTGGTATGTTCTCTACACGGGGCTTTCGGGATCTTCGCTTACATGACTCTTATTACAGGTAACCTTCGCTCTTGCACCCTCGACTGTGCCGCCGTTATCAAACTCAACCCGAAGAATGTCAAGGCTTACTACCGTTCAGCAATGGCTCTGCTCAAGTTGGATAGAGTCGCAGAGGCTGAAGACGCTGCTTCGCGGGGCCTGGCCATCGATTCCTCCAATAAGGCACTTCAAACTGCTGCTTCCAAGATTGCCGATCGCAAGGCTCAAGTGGAGCGCGTCGCTGCCAAGCGCAAGGCCGAGGAGGAGCTCGCGCGCAAGCAGAACCTAGTTCTAAGCACCGCTCTGCGTGCCCGCCAGATCCGCACCCGCAAGACTGACCAGCCTCCAGACATGGAAGACACCAGGATTCGTCTGGTTCCCGACCCACTTTCACCAGAGAGCTCGGTCGAGTTCCCTGCCGTCTTCCTCTATCCGATGGATGCCCAGTCCGATTTCATCAAGGGTTTCTCTGAGCTACATTCGATTGTGGATCACCTGGATTACATCTTCCCACTTCCTTGGGATACTAAGAAGGAGTACACGATTAACAACGTCGAGTGCTTCATGCAGACTGTCTCCGGTGGTCTCATCAAGGCTGGAAAGAAGCTTCCTTTGTTGCAGATTCTTTCTGGTGGCAAGGTTGAGATTGTGGACGAACTGGTCAGAATCTTTATCGTACCGCTTTCCAAGACTGGTGCTTTCATCGCTGAGATGAAGGCCCGCAAGGAAGGTTGATCTGATAAATTTGAGTGCGGTGACGCATTAGATATTCTACACTCCTTTCGTCAAAATGCCCGATCCCCTCGGCTACCACAGGGACTCGTGTCCCTCCAGCTTCTGCCAGTCCAGATTGTTGAATCTTTACTCTTGGCAGAAGAATGATTTAACCTTCGTGGCACTTCTCTCTCCAAAAACATGCTGCTAGGGCATACCTGATACCCATCACTCAATGATAACATATCGTATATAGAAATACAGTGATTTTCGATATAGAATACTTCATAGGTTTGGAATAATCTTACTGGGTACAGAAATACAATTTTCATGAGGGAAATCTAGCATCTCCAATGCGAGTCGCACACTTTGATGTACATCATTGAATCCAACTGTACCCAATAAAAATCCCGAGATCTGCACAGTCTGTTGTCAATTTCCTCTGATCTAGTTCATCTTGATTCAGTATGCGAGTTCAAAGCCTCTCGTTCTGCAGCTGAGCCGGAAGAATTTCCACTACCTGCATTGAAGCCAAACTCGCTTGTGTCCGGTCTAGCAGAAGCATTTCCATCCAGTAGACATAATCGTATTCAGCCGGAGAGGCTTAGGGTAGTAGATGAGGGGTCATTATTACTATAGGCTGAATACTCGTATGCTAGCGAACCCCTGCATAAAGTGATGCCAAAGTACCGTCACAACGGGAAGAACCCAGAAGCTAATGATCATCAGGGTATCCACAATTTCCCCAGACGTAAACAACAGGAAAACAATCACCATTCAGGCTTCAACACATTTATCCGGAGATTCAGGTAGGGCTATTCATTTAGCCTTTCTTCAGGTTGTGGTAAATGCGGGGATAAGCATCTGCACAGGCCTTTTTGGGGCATTTTTGCCGGCCAAGGGCCCGAGACGGAGGTTCCTCCGCCATGAAGATTGTCAACTTCGATTTAGACTGTCATTAGCCAAAGTATAATGTTTTTGCTCTGTTTTCATTGCACATTTTATGAGTTCTATAGGATTCTTGAAGCTAAGTGATAATAGCTGCTGGTCAACTTGTTTGAAACATGTTCACCAGCCTTAATCCAACTTGAAACGTTCGGGGCTTTGGGCCAAGTCTCCTAGTTCCTAATGACCCCCATCACGGACGAAGAACCCATTTTGGTCAAAGCGCAAACACCTAATTACCTCCTTGTGGTTTTTTTGATTCCTTCTAGATGAATAACAGTTCGGTTTGATCAACAGTTTAGGGGTATGTGGTCTCGGTCTATAGTGAACTCGTTGAGATGGTCCCGGAAAGGGTATCTCCCAAAATATTTTGCCGACATTTAATTGAAGGCTTGAAATCATGATGCCTTGTTGTCTTTGGAATAGCCGCGACTACTACGCCACGGGCGAATAGTCCGAATTTATGTGGATAGTGGTGGATTCCTAGCGCCCGGAGGAATTATTCAAGGAACCTAGTCGCTTGACCCCTTCTTACTATAAAGGCCCGGCAATGCCAAATTATTTGGTCCTTCGTAGAGACACAGCATTTTGAACAAGAAAAATACTGCTACTCGCAGTCAAGTCTAAATATCAAGATGGTTCATCTGTCCGCTAGCTCTCTGCTATTGGCGGCTGGTATCCTACCAAATCTGTACGTGCACAACGCTTGGATATGAGAAAGCTGCAATGAACAGTGCTAACTACAATGTCCAGCGCATTGGGAGCTGGATTGGATACTGCTGCGGTAGCTCTTGGCAAGCTCTATTTCGGAACTGCCACTGATAACCCCGAATTGACGGACACTGCCTATGTCACGCAGCTCAACAACACAAATGACTTTGGTCAAATCACCCCTGGTAACTCACAAAAGGTGAGTCAAATGTTTAAGTTTCAGAAATTATGAATTTCTATTCACTAACAATTGATTTGCAGTGGGATGCAACGGAGCCAACCCAAAATACCTTCACATTCACCAACGGAGACACCATTGCCAAGCTGGCTGAGGCGAATGGCCAGAAGCTGCGATGCCACAATCTTGTGTGGCACAACCAGCTTCCAAGCTGGGGTAGGAACTTTGAATATTTGCATGGAAACTCACATTGCTTACAATATGATAGTCACCAGCGGCACCTGGACGAATGCGACGCTGGTTGCAGCTTTGAAGAACCACATTACCAACGTCGTCACCCATTATAAAGGGCAATGCTACGCATGGGACGTCGTGAATGAAGGTATTTAATACTCTCTGCCTTCTCCATAGAGATTTCATCTAACATAAATAGCTCTCAATGAGGACGGAACGTATCGCACGAGTCTGTGGTACGAGACCATCGGCGAAGCTTATCTCCCAATTGCATTCGCAACCGCCGCCGCCGCGGACCCAGATGTCAAGCTCTACTACAACGACTACAACATCGAGTACTCCGGCTCCAAGGCCACCGCCGCAGCCAACATTGTCAAGTTGATTCAATCCTACGGAGTCAAGATCGACGGAGTCGGTCTGCAAGCTCACTTCATCGTCGGCAGCACCCCTAGCAAGAGCAACCAGGCCAGCACGATGGCCACCTACACAGCTCTGGGCGTGGAAGTTGCCATTACCGAGCTCGATATCCGAATGACGCTCCCATCCACCGATGCTCTGCTTGCCCAGCAGTCGACCGACTACAGCAACACCGTCGGCGCCTGTGTTGAGACTGAGGGCTGCGTGGGTGTCACCATCTGGGATTGGACTGACAAGTACTCCTGGGTTCCAAGCACTTTCTCGGGACAAGGTGCTGCTTGCCCTTGGGATGAGAACTACGCCAAGAAGCCTGCGTACACTGGCATTCTGACTGCTCTGGGAGGTACGGCTACCGCTACGTCGACGACTACTTCCGCGACTGGTGGAAGCACTACCAGCACCACCACCACTTCTTCTAGCACCAGCACGTCTACGGGCGTTGCGGCGCATTGGGGTCAGTGTGGTGGCTCGGGATGGACTGGTCCTACCGTTTGTGCCACTGGATATACCTGCACCTACTCCAATGCCTGGTACTCGCAGTGTCTTTAGGGTTGTGTAGGTGACCAGACAGTGGAGAGTGTTTAAGTTGAGTATTTAGCAAAGTCGATCTGTTGTTTTCGTTCTACTGTTTTTATTGTCAATCAGAGTGGCTGGTTTCACTCTAGCTATTGATCGAAAGTACCATGAGTCTGTTTCAATCGAAGCCTTGTGTTTAACTTCCCAATATTATTACCTCCTTCCGAGCCATTTTTGCCTAGGCCAATCATCAAGGATCAGCCGCAAGCATTACAGGCTATCTCGTCGTAATATAGATGACTAAAAACTTAGTCAATGTAAATCACAACCTTTTAGCGAGTATTATGATCATTATTTTGCCTTTGCCTTATGCTGATCCTCGATCCCACGGCGGATCATTTCCATTTAGAACGCAAGCCTGCCACTCGTCATCGGGCATGCAAGATTAAATTCCGGGAAATTAAACGAGTGGATCTATCAGAATTGGACCTGTTTTATTATCTCGGGGTAGGTATTCCAAATGACTATTTTACTGTGCACTGCCTGCCCTCCCTTACAAACTGGGGTCTCCCAAGCCCCCTTGAACCCTTCGATACTTTCAATAACAATCAAACTTAAGGATCTCAGACAATCGTGAATTTACTGATATCACATATTCTTTTTGAAAATACTTGAAATGTTTATTTAGATTTTCAGTGTACGGCTAAACCAGCCAACTCCCCGCCCTTTTGCAGTTAACAACCAACGCTCGCTTCGAAAAAGAGAAAATCATAACAAAAAGACGTAGCAGATACACCAAAGCGACCTGCTCCCCCATGCACCAATGCCATAATAAAGGAGACTCGTTATCATCAAACAAAAAAGACCCGAAATTCAACCACATTTTGTCTCAGTTATCAAAGTAGTACGGAAACGCATAGCTGCTATCCATGTGCCCCTCGTATTGTTCAGCGCCGGGGGGTGCTGTTGTTGGAATGACTTGGGCTGGGAAGGGATGAAGCTCGTTGTAGGCCTCCGGGAGGTAAGGTTGAGAGCCGACAAACGTGGGCGGATAGTATGCTAGTGTGTGAGGGGTTGTAGTGGTAGATGGATCGGATTCCACGCGGAGGCGTTTCCTCTTCAGATCTTGTTGTGACATTGATGAGGAGGAGGGTCTTGGGTCGTAGTTCGGGTGTATGGGTAGGTCTTGGTGGATGAATTGGCTTGGGCTGTGGGAGGGAGGACGGAGGGCTGTTGGCGAGAGATCGGAAGGTATGTCTGCTGGTGCGAAGATAGATTGAGAAACGATGGTGTCCTGGACTGTACCGTTGTGGACGACCATTGGTTCTTCACCTGCTTCTGTTCCATGCGTTGAGGCTTCGTCGGTTGGAGAGCTTCTTCTACTCCGTGATCCTTGGCTCAGGGTAGCTTCCACTGCATCGGGCAGGTTCGCTCGGGAAATCGACACCAGAGCTTTGCCGTCTAATGCTGGTCAGTTTCTCTCTCTCTCCACGGAAATAGCTGCTAGGGGGTGAATTTACCAGTCACTCCCTCTTGGAACTTTTCCTCTTCTTCCCTGACTCGGTAGACCTCGTCCAGTATCTGTAGTCGCTCGGTAGGGGAAATCTGTCGTCGGATCGGTTGGTCGGCTTCTTTGAGTCGACGAGCGGTGACACCATGGCTGGTGCGTAGCTCGCATAGTATATGAACTAGAAGTCTAATGCGTTCTTTTTTTTCATGGTGTTAGCAGTGCGTCCAACTTCGAAAAGGTGATGCTCTTCCTTACCGGCCTTGGGAAGATGATCCGGCTCGCGGTGGCTCACTCCTGAAGGCCACCATGGCGGCTTAGTCTCGTCCGGCTCCAGTTGCTGAGTTCTGCCAGCAACAATTTTTCGTCCATTATAAGGGTAATTGACCTGCTTGCGAGGCTCAACGAGCTTCACGTAGGCCTTTGCCAGTACTCGGCAGTTGGTCTGTTGCAGGTTCTGGAAGACCTTCTCGTAGTACCGGTGCAGGAAGTCTTTGTCTCGAATTGAGATCAACGCTTTCTGGTTGCTTCTCATGCTGACCTCTTCATTCCAAGGTCTCTGTCTGGTTTGCGGCTGCGGCTGCTGTTGCTGTTGCTGTTGTAGCAACTGTTGTTGCTGTCGGGGCCACATGGCTGGTTGTATCGTAGGCCTCGGGCCCATGGCACTACGATGGTGTCCATCGGGTCCTAGAGTCTCGGGGCTTTCAGCAGCCCGGTTGAGCAACGGTCGGAGAGGAATTTGACCCCCGAGTACCCTTTGTGGTGGTGAGGGTGTGGTAGTTCCAGCCTCCACTGTTCTGGAGTCAGATTTTCCCCGTTTCTGGTTGTTGACGGAGTATGTGACACTTACGTAGAGAATGTGATGGGACAGTTTCGCCAGACCGTGCCACGGCCTGTAAAAATGCATTGGTGACTCCGGGAGAAAGAATAGCTTCACGGCTATTGCGAATAGAAGGGGAAGCCTCGTGGCGGAGGTTCCCGTCCCGATCGATGTAAATGAGGGCAAAGTGCGGGTATGCCAGCTCGTCCGACTGGTTTTGCCTCGACATGGTTGGCGAGACCTGGTTTGTCTCGTCAGTGTTTTCTTTTCTCGGGTGCAAATGGAGGCATAGCAATGCTCAAGGCACAAAGAGGTGGAGATACCATAGAACACAGGTTCATCGACTGTGGCTCAAACTCCCACTTGGTCGGGTGGTTGTCGAGGCTGAAGGCACTCCAGCCACAAAGAGGAACAGAGGGAAAAGAGGGCTTACAGCCAGTAATCATTTCGGATTGTGCGAGAAATATACGGCGGCATTGAAAGGAGGAGACGAAGGAGCTTTAAGAGGCTAGTGAAGGAGGGTCCCACCGGAATCAGAGGAGGGACACTGGGATCCGGAGATTTATAGAAACCTCAGCCACTGTCTGGCCATTTTGTGGCGCAACACAGGGGCAGACAAAATAGAAAAGTGTGGAGAAAAAAAATCCAACTCCTTGGAAGGAGAAAGATGAGCATGATGGGAAGGAAAAAGCACGGACAACCCTAGAGATACAGTGATGAACCCGCACCCCCGAGGTTGGGCCGCTAGGGCGCACGCACTATGGGCCAAATCGTTTTGACGGAGGTATTTTCCTTACCGTTAGTCTACCGCATAGCTGTAAAGATTGTATAGCCACACATAGTTTTGGTATACTACTGCGAGGATCCTGAGGCTCGGGGGGAATTGCTTCATGATTGCTACAAGGAACTGGGGCAGGGATATCGAGAGGTTTGCGCTCTTAACATTTGCTTGTCGTCTCTATCATTGCTAGATTAGACATCCTCAACGTATCTCACACTAATAATCTATAGCAGTATAGTGTATAGTGTTATACAACTATACAACGGGAAAGCCATCCGTTATTAGCAATACGAGACAGGATGAGTATTGACGTGAAAGTGCCACTCCCCATCCTCATTGGCAGTTAGTGACCCGTCTATCGGCCAGACTAGATGGTAGCTCGAGATAGTCTCACCAATACCGAACGGTTCCAATCTTGAAGCAAGGCTAGTCCAAGTCTATTACGATGGGCCCCGGTTGTCCCGACCTTTGGGAATGCAGATCAGTAACCAGCCGTTAGTGACAGAAGTACGAAATTGTCCGTCTCATGTGCTCTGTCTAGTTTTCTAGGATTTTCTAGATTGCTCTTTTCAGCTTCATGCATCCCGTATGGAAATCAGGCACCCAAGATATTTGCCAAAAAGAAGAATATTAACCCAGCAAGCTTCCCGTGCATGCAAGCTCGTGTCTTGGAAGTTAGACATCGTGGAAAAGGGCCTTCAAAAGCACCAGCTTCGTCACTGCTGTCAGTCCAGGGATCCTGCATTTTGGGACAAGTAAATTGCCGGTGTAGCGTTTTCTGTCGGTCTCCTAGTTGGTTCGTGGGTCCCACCCTGGTTCAATGCCCAGCATACGAAAAAGTCAAGGATAGAGAATGCGCGCAGATCGACTGATAAACCTTGAGAGACACAATTGACGGCCCACAGACACCCTTAATTGCACCGGCCCGCGTCTTGCCATGCAAGAAGATCCGATCTCTTTGTGTAAATGTACGATCCTGTCCACATGGCCGAGGTTTGTTTTCCTCCAGTTGTGGCTAGTGGTTGGAATTTGAATCTCATTTTCTCCACTAGTGTCTCGTCCCACTCATCTGTGAAAAGGCCATTTGCACTAATTTGTTGCCTATCGTTCTTGGGTCCTTATGGTCGGCGACCAGAACCACTGCCGTGGGACCCTAACGCGGTTTGGCACTGACAGGAACCCGATTAAGCCGTCGATTGTGGCTGGACTTGGGATTTGGCACGCGCACTGGCGCTCCCAGGAATGTCATGTGCAATAGAGTGGGATCACCATTCGTGTTCCCACTGATATTCACCGCTGGGAGGTATACTTTAGCTTCCTGCATCAATTCGACTGTCTTCCAACGGGATGGGTACATGTTGAACTAGCGTAGACCTGCACGATAACCCCCTTCTGACTCAAACAGGAAGTGGGTCTGAAATGGCTACAATAGAGCCATGGTTCTGTATCTTTTTTTTGGAATCCTATGAAACCTCTAGATGAGCGGGGGTGACAAATTGCTCATCGTGGTCGAGCATGCTCCGCTTTTTCTGGCTGCGAGCGAACGGCATCTATTGGATGTACTACTAGTCTCTACCAAGAAGCAAATATGGACGTCAATGGGCATGCTATTATCCAATGGAATTGTCGGTAAACACGGTGTCTTCGTCATCTGCTTCTTTCTATAGCCAGTAAATATGCCGCGGACTCAATTGCTGCACGGTTATGCAATGTGGTGGATTTGAATGATACCCGCGACACAATGAGATCCACGATCGTCCTAGCCATGGATACCCTTGCTAGTCAGTGGGATTCCAATTCCTTTTTTTTGTTTTTTGAATTACCTCATGCAGCAAAATAGTTACTAGCCCAGATTCCAAAGGGCCAGCTTATTCGTGCGCCACTTTGTGGCTGAGTTAGCTTTGGTATTGCAGATCAACCACGCTCTTCGCCTACAAGGGAGATGATCCTTACCAGAATTACATAGACGAAGGGGTCCCCCCGCGAGGGGAGCTGAAACTCATGAACCAATGCGACGCCGTCATGATCCAGTATCACAGCAGGGCCACAGTTCTTGTCTCATTTGGTGGGGATCCTATTAAGCTATCGTATGGTTTTTGCCACCCAGAACGAGATCCGGACGGGACTTGACCTGCTTCGGCCGGCCGGGTTCAACTCGGCCGAAGCTTAGACAGAACGACAGGGGGCCTACCGAGGGTGGGCATTATTGAGGGGGAAGGGAGGTCATCATGAAGTAAATTCTGAAATGATTTCAAAGGACTCGATATATCTACTATAACTATGATGAATATCAACGGTTATACACCTGTCTCAACGGTAATTAAACGAGTACTCTATACTTACATACTCGAAAGCCCAAATCCCAGACGTGGCCACCCCCACTAACCGATGGATGACAGCCATGTCCGTCGATCGAGGTATACTTGGTACTGGAGTGACGTGCCTTCGGAAAAACCTTACGTCTCCCACGGGCTCGATCTATGGTTCGTTCCATACTTACTGTCTTGAATACCCTCGAACATCACTGGTCATGAAACGCCGGCCAGATTATTCCTCAACGGGTTTAATTTCCAGCCTCCTAAAGACCGTAGTTTTGCACCATTATATACTATTCACCCGTTTTGTGCAATGGGGTTTCGGATGATCTAGTGTGCTGGGACAGTGGGAATGTCACTGCCGAGAGCCTGTCCGACGGCCCCCTCGGTGACTCCGGTGTGGTCGGATGACTTTAGGTTGTATCAAGCCCATACCGTAACGCCAGCGGAGAACACAGATCAGAGTTCTCCGGCTGCAAGTCATGCACCCGGGGGTGGACCATTCATCTTCCCCCAGTTAGGGTTGACAAATTCTTGTGCCGGGCGGGGTTGCGCTCATCGGGGGGCCTTGCTGAGTCCTAGAACGAATAATAAAATATGGAATACTAGTACTGTACGGAGAATAATTATGACTCGGATCCATCTACTACTCTACAGGCTAAACCGTAGTGCTTAATATGGCCTTTCAGATATACTTCGATAGTTTACGCCTTTGACAGGGGGTTTGAAGTATGCCCAGACTCGAAGAAATAAGACAGACGTAGATGTAGCGTAGGAGATTTTGATTTGAATTACTGTACTGAGAATATAATAATAATATCCTTTTTTTCATTGTTGTTCACCGCATGGACAGTGCCTTCGAGATATGCGTCTTTCGACACCGAGCACCGGGATAGTCACACTGTAGGTCGCTGCAAGTCCATGCAGTATATCGTATTCACCGCGAGACGCATCTATTTTCTCTGGTCATGCTCGTCTGCTGCACTGTGCCCAGAACTATGGAGTGGCCTCCTTTACGGAGTAGTAGAAGCTGGCAGATTACCCCAGGTCCCAGGTGACAAGCACCGGTCCGTGCCTGTGCGGAAGTTCATCGGTGTCCTTCAGAGCCCACTGTGGCTAGCTGAAATAGTCGCTATCATCTCCCAGTTAGCTCTGTCGTCCTTTCCCATTTAAGCTGTCCCAGGGGTCATTAATAGTTCATCAACGAGGTTTTTAATTGATTACCGGCGAGGAAAGGATCTCCAACTTGCATTTCCTGGAAACTGGGAAGGGAAAAAATGGATCCCTCGCAAATGGTCCTGTGGCGTCGTCGGAGTGATTCCTGCCGCTCCACCTGCGTCCATCTCTTAGCGAGATGCAGGCTACCCGTTCCAGATATTGTAATGTCCAATCAAGACTGGTGGGTCCCTTTCGTTTTTCTTTTTTGTTTATTTCTATTTGAAAAAAAGGTGGAAATGATACGGCAGAAATATTGGGAGCCATCGTTTATTCCATTTACCGTTCGCTGAATTATTGCCAATCCTGCTCGCCGTCACCTGCCAGATGTTTGGGCCTTCTACAAGAGTCTTCAAAAAGCTCTTGCAGATCCCCACCGCCGATCAGAAAGCGCCTATTGGCGCTCCTGATCACGGCATTGAGCGCTTAACGGTCGGAATGTCTCATCTGATCTCAAATCCGCTCGAGAGATCGGTGTCCCCGTTGGTTGCCTACAAGCATGGATCGATACATCGACTCTCTACCATGGTTCAGAGGGGTAGCTAATCGTATTGTACATTGCGTGCATATCATGGAGCATGTACTATGAATTACGACTCCTTTTAACATTAACTATCACGAATCCTCGCATAGTACTGTGGATATACAAGATTATATCTCTTATAAGGTGTGAACCAGAAGATATGGGGTAATATTAATGTCGACATTAGTACCCTATCTGATGCCGCTTCCAATGTCTTTGAGGCCTCAACTACAGTAGGGCTCTGCATACGTTTCTCAACATTCTCACAGGGCTTGAAGGATTCCATGCAAGGTCGACTGAATTGTTCCTTGCTCACCGCATAGTTTCTCTACAGAGATTTATCGTATGTCTACCTAATAATACCAAGAACCATTCTTGAGAAAATATTGATCAACACAAGAAGCTTATTATTGTAGTTCAAGCCAGTGAAGTAATACAGTATGTACTCAGTACTCCGTACTATACTGGGTCTTGGAATGCTGGATTACGCCACACAGCTCCACCGAGTGAGGCGCAGCAGAGAGGTTGGTGCGGCTGAGGAAGCTGAACTGTAAACTCCGCCTCTCCGCGATGCCACGCATATCTCCGGACGTACAGAAAGCGGTAAGGAGGGTTGTGGCTCGTGTGGGTAAAAAGACGATCCTCTGATTCAGGGAGGCAGTAAGGGGGCTCCAGTGTGTTCCGAATTAAGTAGTTGGTTCAGTGTTATAACATTTACGGAATAATTTTTCTAAACTTTCGAGGGCTTCAGGGCCAACTCTGTTCATGCCTGAGGTTCCAATCCACGTGTGGAAGAAATACTTGATTTGGACTAGTGTCACTGTCACATGTGAAGTCCATGGTTTGTAATTCTGATATAATCTGAATACATATAATACATCGTAATAACGCTACCCGGTACCGACACTCTCGGGTGTATCATGTACCACCAATACACTCCTCGGGTCTCGTGACTTCTCCTCTCCTCGTTTCCTCCCATCCTTAAGTCAGCAAGACTTAAAATCTCACCGGTCTCAATCTACCAAACACATCCTCTCGATATTGTTATTCACCGACAAACTGCTTCCCACCCCTCATACTTTCCCTCCCCCTCCTCCTCCTCCCCCTCCTCCTCCTCCTCCTCCTCCTCCTCCTCCTCCTCCTCCACCACTCTTACCGTCGGGGCCCATGTCCCCACTCTGACCAAAAAGGATCCGCTGCATTAGTCCGTCCGCCCACGGCTGATCGCTCTCAATCCGGACTCCAATCCACCAAAATTCTGTCGCTCCGCCGAGGGCCACACCTCGCTGCCAAAGCCCGGAGGTCGATCTCGTTCTAATTGTCAACATCATCAACGCCTCCCCTGTCTGTCTCCCACCTCGGGGCCAATCATTGTCGCCCATTCCTTTGTTGTTCGAGATCGTACTTGTGGTGCCCAGGCCCTGTCAGCCGCTCGAGTACTACAATTATCCAGAGCCCGCCCTATCCCTGGATTCCCGTGAGGCCTTCCCTCCGCCCTCCTCTCCGTCAATCTCCTGTCCGTGCGGCCTGCGTAATAACCAACGGCGCTTTCCACCTTCCCCCGTGGCTTCCCTCGGGTTCAAGGAGGCATCTCGAAAGGACCGAAATTATATTGGACCTACCCTGACGCCCCCTCCCCCCTCTTTACCGCCAAATAGCCCCCCGGGGCCGTGATATGGTTCCTTCTTACACAATGGACCCCAACACTGGCTATCCCGCCGGTTATCCCGTGCCTACTCAAACACCCCCGAATCAAATGTCATTCTATCCAAATTCGATTCCCCAATACCCGCAGTCAAAAACACCTCTTCAACCTGTCCAGCAGCAGCCCCAGCAGCATTCCTTTGGTGCCATGCCTATGCAGCCCGGTGGCCCTGGGGGGGCTATGATGCCTACTGGCTTTCCCCAACAGACGACTGGTACGTGGTCAATCCTCACTACCCCCCCCCCCCCCTTCTTCATTATGATTAGCCCAATGCACCCCGTTCCCTTCCCCTGGCGGGGTCGACCTGTCGCTTTGAAGCACCTGGCAACCAAGATCCCGGATCCCCTTTGAGGTTTATAATAGGGTCGACCTATCGTCCGATCCCCAGTTCCCCTCCATCCTCGGACGGCACATCGCCAATCACTCCTACCCCCTTTCCCCTCGAAAGCCTGCAGCTGTGATGGATCTCATTGATAGTGCGAGCGCGCCAGTCATTGCTTCTTGGCGAGAATGGACGCCACACATCGTGCGATCTGGCTTGATCTGCCGACCAAAGGGTTTTCGCGTGTCGAGCTTATCTTGAATTGAGGTGGATCTGACCGCTAACGTGACGCCAGTGTCGATGGATTCGTTTTCTTCTCCTTTTACTCAACCCCCTCTCCCCGCCAATATGACTCCATTCTCCCAGCCGGGCACGATGCCCAATGGACCCTCGGCCGTTCAACAGGCATTTTCGCAGAACATGGCCTCCATCCAACAAAGTAACCTCCTCGCAAACCAGCCGAAACCTTCTCAGATGAATTCACCTCAGATCGCCCAAACGGGGTCTCCGGGTCAGGCTCAATCCCCAGCTCAATTCCAAGCCCAAGCCCAGGTGCAGGCTCAAATGGCAGCGCGTGAGAAGGCCCGCGTCACAACTTTGCTGGATATCAACTCGACCTTGTTGCGGGAGGTGGTCAATCTGCAAGCATCGGGTAAAGCAGGACCCGCGTCACCTGGTGATGCCAACGCGTCCCCGACTAATCCGAGCGGAGAGGCTGTTAAGCAGCAGGGTTCGAAGCCAAGTCCAGAGTATATTGAGTGCATGCGCCGACTACAGGCCAACCTGGCGTACCTTGCGACGATAGCAGATCGCGCCAAAAAGTCCGGCGGTGTTGCCCCTCAGGCTCCGGCAATCATGACTCCACCCCCAAACCTCCCTGCTGTTCATGAGTTGTATGCCAGGCTCAATGAGCTATTCCCCGGGACGGGCAAGGCGTCGAACCCTCAAACTCTGAGCCCCGGCGGCATGCAGGGTAACGGCGGACCCAGTCCGTCGCCAGTCTCCGAATCCGTGGTTTGAAGAGATGGTGTGAGGGCCCGTGCCTAACAGCTTGTCCTCGTGAGCAAGCATCTCATCTTCCCCTAAGCTACATCGATCTCCGTTCCCAATCCCCTCTTCTCTTCAGCGGGCGAATCGGGGCCCGAGGCCCCCCCATTTGACATCTCTCCATATCTAAATATCTGAATGGAACAAAGAACCCCAGAAGCGGCGCCACCCGTCCATTCGGCAGCCCGTCCTGTCTGCGCCACCCCCAGTGAAAGGCGCCCTGTCTTACTATTTGGTCCAATCGTGGTGGTATCTGTACCTCCGTCAAACGCACTCCAACCGCATGAAGCCTCCTCAAATATCACCAGGCAGGCAGAAAGAAATCCAGCGGGAAGAGTCGCCTCGATTATGACCCTTGTACTTTTTGTCCCTTTTTTTTTCTTCCCGAAGAAGGCTTCGCAAAAATAATTACTACTCGGTTGCGTCTGTTACGGTTGTTTGTATCCACAGACGAGCTCGGTTAGTACTCTATGACCCGATGTATTTTAGTTAAACTTTTGGAGAGAATATGAAGCTTTGTCTATTAGGATGATGTTTTGATCATGCGAGACTTGGGTGCATGCATGGATAGAGTACATACTAGAGTAGCTGATCTCGAGACTTTTCAAAGCTTGTAGCAATGACAATCTCTGGCATTTTCAACCTGCTTCAATATGATTCAAACTATAATCTCCAAGTACCTGGTACATATTATTTTAGCTTACACCTGTCGAGTAGTCGAGTAGTATACTACTAAATATAAAAGCTCTTTCCTGCACGGATCGGCGGTGGGCGCGTGGTTCGGCCATGGGATCTATCGTGTGCGTCCACCACCCAATCAGCTCCTTTCCTCCACTCCGCCTCGTTTGCAAACGCGAATGTCTCTGCTGCTGCTGCGCTGGAGACAAAGCGTACAAAGCTCTCAAAGAAGTTCAGTCGCTACTGCTCTTACTATCTCTACTGCCTCTGCCGTGCATTGGCCTTGGATCGCGCCCCGACTTTCACCTGATCCGTCACTTGCGCGTCACTTTCGTCCGCCCTCGATCCCGTCCTTTCGCTCCATCGCGCTTTTCCACCAAGTTCCTCTGCGACGATTCTTGCCAGCTTCTCAATCTCCCTTTCATCGCCCATCGTCGCTCGCTACGAGCATCATGGACGCTAACGGGGACATTGGCTCGAAGCGCAAGCGCAGCGCCGTCGCCGGTGCTGTGGAGCGGCCCGCTAAACACCTCAAGCCTGAAGGCTCGGTTTTGACTCCCGGTGATTCAACCCCAGCCAATGGAACAGTATACGATGTGGAGGAGGAAGATGATGATTCGGGTCGCTTGTTGCCTCTTGGCCCTGCGCAGGCAGATTCACCCGAGTGGCAGGCGACTATTGAGTCGGTTGTGAAGAGTGTGGTATCCATCCACTTTTGTCAGACTTGTTCTTTCGATACCGAGCTGTCTATGAGCAGTCAGGCTACGGGCTTCGTGGTTGATGCTGAGCGAGGATACATTTTGACGAACCGTCATGTCGTTGGCGCGGGTCCGTTCTGGGGTTACTGCATTTTCGACAACCATGAAGAGGTAAGCCAGAGAAGGAGTAGTTTTGGCAGAAATCTTCAAATCGTCGTCTCGATACTAACTGTCTGGATATTACTAGTGTGATGTTCGTCCCGTCTATCGAGACCCCGTACACGATTTTGGTATCCTCCAATTCGACCCGAAAGCCATTCGTTATATGAACCTCACCGAGCTCAAGCTCCAACCCGACGGAGCTCGAGTGGGTGTTGAGATTCGCGTCGTTGGTAACGATGCGGGTGAAAAGCTTAGCATTCTTTCCGGTGTTATTAGTCGTTTGGACCGCAATGCTCCGGAGTATGGCGAGGGATACAGTGATTTCAACACCAATTACATCCAGGCTGCCGCTGCCGCAAGTGGTGGTAGTTCGGGCAGTCCAGTCGTCAACATCGATGGTCACGCCGTGGCTCTGCAAGCAGGTGGACGTGCTGATGGTGCTGCGACTGATTATTTCTTGCCTTTGGATCGCCCGCTTCGTGCTCTGGAATGTATTCGTCAGGGCCAGGCTGTCACCCGTGGCACAATCCAGACCCAGTGGATCCTCAAGCCCTTTGATGAGTGCCGTCGTCTGGGCTTGACTCCCGAGTGGGAAGCCGCCGTGCGCAAGGCTGCTCCCGCCGAGACCAATATGCTTGCTGCTGAGATCATCTTGCCGGAAGGACCTGCTGATGGAAAGTTGCAAGAGGGAGATGTGTTGCTGCAGGTGAATGGTGAGCTGCTTACGCAGTTCGTCCGCCTGGATGATATCTTGGACTCTAGTGTGGGTAAGACTATCCGGCTGCTGGTTCAGCGAGGAGGCGAGGACCTTGAGGTGGAATGTGAAGTTGGAGACCTCCATGCGATCAGTCCCGATCGATTCGTGACTGTTGCTGGAGGTACTTTCCATAATCTGTCCTACCAGCAGTCCCGACTCTATGCCATCGCTACCCGCGGTGTGTATGTCTGCGAGGCTGCTGGCTCGTTCAAGCTTGAGAATACCCTGTCCGGGTGGATCATTGATTCGGTTGATAAGCGGCCAACTCGCAACCTGGATGAATTCGTAGAGGTCATGAAGACCATCCCTGACCGCTCCCGTGTGGTCATCTCTTATCGTCATATTCGGGATTTGCATACCAAGGGAACCAGTATCATCTATGTTGACCGTCATTGGCATCCCAAGATGCGTTTGGCCGTCCGCAACGATGAGACTGGTATCTGGGACTTTTCAGACTTGGCTGATCCTATCCCGGCCGAGAAGCCTGTCCCACGCAAGGCAGACTTTATCCAGCTGGATGGTGTCAGCCAGCCCGCCGCTGCCGAGATTGTCCGTAGCTTTGTGCGGGTGTCGTGCACTATGCCATTGAAGCTGGATGGTTATCCTCAGGCTAAGAAGACCGGTTTCGGTCTGGTCATCGATGCCGAGAAGGGTCTGGTCGTTGTCTCAAGAGCTATTGTGCCCTATGACCTCTGCGATATCAACGTCACAGTCGCCGACTCGGTCATCCTCAGTGCCAAGGTTGTCTTCCTGCACCCTCTGCAGAACTACAGCATCATTCAATACGACCCCAGCCTCGTGCAGGCTCCTGTACAGAGCGCTCGTCTCAGCTCCGAGTACATCAAGCAAGGACAAGACACCATCTTTGTTGGCTTCAACCAGAACTTCCGCATTGTCGTGGCCAAGACTGCTGTGACTGATATCACTACCGTATCGATTCCCGCCAACGCCTCTGCTCCTCGGTACCGCGCTATCAATTTGGATGCCATCACTGTCGACACTGGACTAAGTGGGCAATGCACTAATGGTGTATTGATCGGTGAGGACGGTGTCGTGCAGGCCCTTTGGTTGAACTACCTTGGCGAGCGTACCCCGAGCTCTCACAAGGACGTTGAGTACCACCTCGGTTTTGCTACCCCGTCTCTACTTCCCGTGACGACCAAGATCCAACAGGGAGTCACCCCTAAGCTACGCATCTTGAACATGGAGAGCTACGTTGTCCAGATGAGCCAGGCCCGCATCATGGGTGTCTCTGAGGAGTGGATTCAGAAGGTTGCTCAAGCTAATCCCTCCCGCCATCAACTCTTCATGGTTCGCAAGGTGGACTGCCCACCGGCGACTTTCACATCTGATGTCGATAGCTTCCAGGAGGCTGATATCATTCTCACACTGGACGGCCAGCTCGTCACTCGTGTTTCGGAATTGGACGTCATGTATGAGAAGGAGATCTTGGAGGCTTTGATTGTTCGGAATGGCCAGGAGATGCGCATTCGCGTTCCAACTGTTCCTACAGAAGATCTCGAGACTGATCGTGCCGTTGTCTTCTGCGGTGCTGTCCTGCAGAAGCCCCACCATGCTGTTCGACAGCAAATCTCCAAGCTCCATAGCGAAGTTTACGTGAGCGCCAGGGTGAGTAAATCCTATATACTAAAGAAGCATCTCCATGATACTAACTATTCTACAGAGCCGCGGTTCACCCGCTTACCACTACGGACTTGCGCCAACTAACTTCATCACCGCTGTCAACGGCGTCTCCACCCCCAACCTCGACGCATTCGTTGAGCAAGTGCGCAAGATTCCTGACAACACCTACTTCCGCCTACGAGCCGTCACTTTCGACAACGTTCCGTGGGTGGTTACCATGAAGAAGAACGACCACTACGTAAGTTACTCTTTTTTTTCTCTACTTTCCCGATCCCGTCCCACTAACCAAATCTTGCTAGTTCCCCATGTCCGAATACATCAAGGACCCCTCCGTCGAAGCCGGCTGGCGCACCATCTCCCACGACAAGACCGAGGGTCTCGGCGCTGCCTCTGATGCCGCAAACCTAAACCCCGACGCTATGGACGAGGGCGGTGCGCCTGGTGGTAGCGACGTGGAACCTGACATGGAGTAAGTATGTCGTCTCTCTTGGATTGGCTTGGCTTGCTATACGCACAATATGGTCTCCTGGGCGGCTAGTCTTGTATTATATTTGGTGTCGATGGCGTGTGCAACGGTCGGGGTGGGGTGTAGGTGGGCCTGGACTGTTTTCGTGATGGTGCTTGGGGTTGGAATTGCGATCTTTTTTTGTATACCGTGTGATCCAGGATAAAATTTGTGGTCATGCTACGTGGCTTTGGGCCTAAAATACATTTGTGTTTGGACTGATTCTTTGATTGGATTTTGGTCTGATTAGTTTGATATATTGACACATGGTGTGTCATGTTTAGGTAGATAGCTGCTTCCATAGCGAGTATCTTGGAGGTAATCCGTGAGTGAGGTCCTCTATGTACCTAGGGCATCTTGATAACAGCTATCCGAGGGGTAGGTCTTGCTCTCATGGTCAGCACCTATCCGGTTTACTAGGTACCTACCTACAAACATAGCCGATAACTAGCAAGTAATTAAATTCCTATTAAAGCAGGGCGATTAAACTTTCCACTGCCGTCGAGGTTGACGTTCCCGAACAGGATATATATTGTACGCCGGACGATCCATGTACTCACGCAGCAAGCACGCTAAAAAGAAATGTCGAATGCCTAGTGGAATCAATTGGAAAGCACCACACTGTAGAATAATAACTGATAAATTAAAAATAGCCGCTAAACAACAAAAATCCAAAAAGAAGAGGTGTGCATCATCCGTGAATCGAACACGGGCCTCGTCGATGGCAACGACGAATTCTACCACTAGACCAATGATGCTGGTTCATGTCTAGGTTCTGTATTTAGTGGTATATGAGGGAAAAACAAATTAAGTATGTTAATGCTCAGCTCATTAACAAGATATGAAGCCCTCTACCCGGGAGGATCTCGAGCCAGCACGGGCGCGTCTAAACCATCTAGGCTTAGATACAGATACCGGGGAAGCCTTTCATGATGGAATAATTCAACATATCCAATTGATAACCATATGCAGACCGATGGATGCTTCCCATGTCTCACAATTGACTAAGAATGTAAAATAACGCCAAATAGATAAACCCATCCCAAGACCGAAAACACCAAAAACACCGATCCAGTTGCAAAATTACTCCCCAATCGCCGGTATTCGATATAACACAATAATGCCTCAGCCGTCCATAAACTACACAATGGCTTATTGCTGGAATGACCAACCACCATTGAGTCGCAGCTTTTGCCGCTCGATACGATCTTTGCGAATCTCCTCCTGGGTGAGACCGTCTGGGCCGTTCCAGTTGGCGCTACTGGTGCGGTCACGGTATTTCTTGATCTTCTTGTCGGCTTTGAAGGTCTCTTCCAGGGAGAACGGCGCAATGGGACCGAAAATGGAGTCAACTTCCATTCCGTCCTGCTGTCGCAATAGACCCTCCAGTTCCTTAGGTTGAGCCCACTTGGGTACTGGGAACATCTCGGAGTCCGAGTCATCCTCATCTTCGCTGTCCGTGGCGATTTCTGGGAGGTGGATGCTTTCACCACTTGGGTACTTCGGCGATGGCTTAGCCACAGGTGGAGGTCGCTGAGCAGAGCCAGGCGCGGCAGGCTTCTGTACAGCTGGGGGTGGCGCGTGGTTAGGTTCCGCGAATGGAATCTTGTTGTTGCTATACTTGGCCAACTCCGATGGGTGAGCGGGTCGTTGAGGCTGGCCAGTTTTGAAGATGGAAGAGCCAGGCTGTCCTCCAAACATAGAAGGCTGCTTCGCAAGTTCATTAGAATACACATGCAAATTGTCGACCTGCAGGGAACACGTTGAGCTTACCTTGCGAATATTTGACTGACGGATAGGAGGTGCCATAGTAGGTCGCACGGGCTGCATAGGGTTATGCTCATCCTCAGTCTTGCGTCGCTTGGCCTCACCAGAAGGTTGGGCATTACTAGGATTAGTGACTGCAGACCGATAGCCCGCTTCTTCATCCATATTTCTCTTGGGCGGCTTGGCGGGGTTCGGTGCTGGTGGGTTGATGGTTCGACCGTAGCCCAAGCGCGATGCTGGCCTTGTCGCACCCAAGTCATTCCGTTGAGCAGCTTGTGATGCAGGCCTCTCGTGCTGGAGTGGGGGAGCCTGCGAGTATTTAGTAAGAACCTGCCAGCGATGATGCCGGTTAAGAGAGACTTACCTCGCTGACCACCTGCTGACTACCCTGGCGCACGTGTTTCCGAGCGTTATTCTCCTGTCGTCGCCTCTCGATTGCCCGCATGTGGGCACTCTTCTTGGGATCCTCTTGAGCGGCGCGTTCTCGCTCGGCCTCAGCTTGACGCCGAGCCTCCTCCTCTTGCTGTTTCTGTAAAGCTCGTCTCCTGTCTGCCTCGCGTTTCTGCTCTTCCTTTCTCTGCTCCTCTTTTCGACGGACTTCACGCTCTTCTTGCTCTTTCTTCTTCCGCTGTGCCTGCGTTTGACTCGAGACAGAGCTCTTGAAGCTGCTCGCTGAAGAAGACGTGTGCAGAGATTGGTTGCTACCCTTCTTTTTCAAAGAGGCTGTTTTTGAAGCAGGAACCGGAGCGGCAGCGGGTGCAGCAGGCTCCTGGCTATTGGAAGTCATGGAGGAAGGTATGGGCATCGGACGCGAGAGTGTGCTTCCGACACGGATAGAAACTGGCCGCGGGTTGGGCTTTTGGGCTGGCTCGCGGGTGGGTGGCTTGGGGCGTCGATCGGTTTGCTTCGGCTGGGGAAGGCCGAACCGCGACCCATCGTGAGCAGACTCTGGCTCACGGGATTGCTGCCGTGACGGCTGCATTGACCGTTGGGCCGTATTGCCTGGTCTCTCTTCTGGCTCAACAGAGGACTTGTCTTGCATTGCCTTGAGTTGCATTGCTCGCTGCTTTTCCTTTTCGCGAGCTTTCTCCTGTCGAATTTCCTCTTCCTCTCGCTCTCGATCATCTCGTTCCTTTTGTCGACGCTTCTCCTCTCTCTCCGTGGAGCTCCGCGTTCGACGGCCTTCTTGCCGTGGGGGGCTAGAGATCTGGCGAGGCTGAGATTCGCGCTGATCTTCCTTGGTTTCTGCAACTGCACTAGCTTGTTCCTGGGGCCGAAGACGCGGCTGTTCGGGAGAAGAAGTCTCGAGTCTTGTTGAGCCACCAGTGCTTGTGAACAAGCCCTTGGCGGACTTCATTATAGATTGCAATCTCATCTTGGACGCACTGAGGGGGTCCATCAAAGCGCCGAGGAGATCCAGTAGGAGTGGTCGAAGCTTCTGATGCAATGTTCGACACAGAAGCAGTTTTGTGGTGACCATGTGGGCGTGGCGAGGAGAATATAGAGTATGATGACTTGGGACGTTCCGGTTCAGTAGACTGTTGCTCCCGAGCATTCATTCCAACCGTTTTACTTGTGGATTGTTCAACGTCGAAGAGCTTCTCCATCACGTCTGTGGTTTTGCTCTTTGTGAGATCGAGACGCTGTGGCGAACTCAGAGGCCTGATCCAGTCATCCACGTCCATTTCGTCTGGCTCCTGGGTAGGAATTGGACGTTCCTTCTGACTCGGAGGTTCCGGCTTTGATTCAGGCTTGGCTGCAGGAAGCTCTGGGTATGGCACCTGACCAGCAGACAGGCCAGCCATCGATGCCATTGACTTTTTGGGTCGGGATGGCTGAAGCTTCCCGAGCATACTAATCCTATCATGAAGGCTCTGCGTCGACTTCTGGTTGTGGATCTTGCTGACCTGATCCACGTCCATAGTGTCTTCCGCATCCTTCGCGTTCTCTAGATCCTTTGTACCGGCGTCGGCCATTTCATCCTCTGCCGCTTCTTGAGTCATCCTGCGCCCTCCCGATTGCTTGCCTAGCAGACTAGGGCGGCCAGTACTGCTCAACTTCTGAAGGTCAATATGAGATGTGCGGGAGCGTCGCGGGGGTTTCAGAGGCTCTCGCGCTGGCAAGGATGCAAAGTTCAAGCTGCTCTTCCGCATCGGGAATCGTTCTGGAGTGGAGCCATCGGATGGAGACCCAATATCATCAAAGTTGTCGTCGAGAATTGTATCGTTGACTGCCTCTTCCATTTCCACGTCCGGGCTTCCAAGGTTTTGCTCCTTGGCTCTTGAGACCTCCGGAGAAGCTTCAGCCTTTGACAAGGGTTCGTCATCCATTGTCTTTTCCTTTACTTGTTGAGCCACTGGGCTTTCTTGCCGCTTTTTAGCAGCCGTGGCAATCTTAGACTTAGGCTGCATCCGAGCCTTGGGCGTCGAGTCCATTTCTGGTTCCGGAGCCTTAGAAACCGACCCTGCGGGGCGTGTAATTCGTTCCTTTGCTGGGGTCGGATCAATGTTCACCGGCTCAACGGTTTCCCCACGCAAACGAACATTCTCTTGCGCTGAGTGGAAAGAATCCTCTGTTGGTTGCTGGTCAATCGAGACATCCACTTGAGGGCTCAATACGGCATGCTCGTCTGCCTCGAACGGCTGCGTGGACGTCTGGGTGTTTGGCTGTGTATCCGGCAGGATCATTTCATCATCGTCCTGCATTCCATGATACCCCGAGTCCGTGTTGTACTGGGAGAAAGAGTTCAAATTCTGGGTGAGGTCCGGGTATTGTGGTTGCGAGGCCTTTTCCAATGTCTTAGAGCGAGAGATGGCGGGGGAAGCTGCGGATGCGGATGTAGTTGCTGTCGCATTGGTTTTCGATACGATACGATGAATGAAAGGACTGGGACTGGGAGCTGCCTTGTTTTCCACAGTTTTGTGAGCGGACGAGAAGATCTCGCTTAGTGGCTGAGGAAGGGAGGTTAGCTTCACCACGATATTCTTCGTCACAGTAAATCCAGAGCAACTAACCACTCGGTTCTCTTCCACATTCCGCTTCCGCGCCGTCCGCGGTGTCTTGCCTCTCATCTTTCCCGGCGTCTTAAACACATCTGTAAAATTTCTGCGCAGACAGTGAGCAATGAGGCTAATGCCCGCGAGATCGAGCGGTTGCGACTCACGCTTGGCCCTTTGAGAAGATCTCAGCCATATGTTCATTTAGCCAGTCCATTTCATGGCGGACTGGGTATTCCACTTCCTCCAGCTCCTGCTCAACCAGATCCGCCATGTTTTCCTTCTCTGCGGCGATCCATGCGGCGGAGCCGACGGGCTTCTGAGCCCTTGCGCCAGCGGCGGCCATGATGTAAACAACGCGCTGCGGGCAGCGGGGTCAAAAAAGGTTGAATGGCGCAATATAAAATAAGAAAAAGCGCAAGTGGGAGATAATTCTAGCGGTAGAGACAACCCATTGAAATTGGCAGTCAGGGGTTGAAGGTGGTGGTGGTGGTGGTGGATATTTGGAGTTTGTGGAGAATGAAGGTGGTTTCGAGATCAAAACAGACATCCCAACGGGGAAACGCGTGGTGGTGCGGACTCACGTGATTAACCATTGGCCCGTGCGCCCGACGAAGTATAGCCGATTGTCTGGTTCTATCCACCTCGAAAGAATCGTTATTGATAAGAATAAGGAGGAAACAGGTTTCATCATGGGCATGACTATTTGCAGCCAAATTATTAACATATCCAATATGGGTGGTAATGATGGGGTAGTAGCTCCAACCATTGTACCGACGTGTACCTGCCTTGACCATGCCACGCTCCAGCATCGACATAGCTATGCGAGGTACCCATTTCCCTGGTTATGGTAGGAGATTATGATTCGATCACTGACTAACTAAGTAAAAATAGAATGATTCATCGGGCGGGGCTTAATGCAAGCTGTCCAGAGTACTTATAATCAATCCTGGCTAGGCAGATATGCTAATGTCGGCGGAGGATGACGGAGATTGTTTGGTGCTTGGACAAATTATGACGAGATAAGGCAAGACCGGGATGGGATCAGCTTCCTGAGTAGCCAGGGGAACTCTAGAAGGAAGGACTGAGCCCGCTAGCTTGCAAGAACTTATTCAGATTCCTGTCTATTAGCTACTGACCAGTATATAGTTACTTGGAAAACAAGCAAGAGGCAATTGACATCATCAGTTTGGTCGGCAAGGTTCCAGCCTTGGCGACCGCACATGACAATCGGCAGTCGCATCACACCCAAAACAATTCCGCCCACCCTGCCCTTATCGTTCCTTTTTTTTTCTCTCTTCCCACCACCTCCCTTCAAATACTGATCTTTGAAAGCCTTGATTCCTTTTTACCTTCTCTATCTTCATCCCGCACTCTCCCCTGTCAACTTGAACCGATTTCATCATGGCCGACTCTGGTGATGTGAGCTACCCTAACACGGGCAGTAAGGTACGTTCCTAGACAACCGACTCCTCCCGACTTCTGCTGCAGAGTGGTGCTGACTAGTATGTTTCATGCAGTGATTCCCCTCCTCGTCATTCTTTCGTTTCTCCGAAAGCTTCCAAAGACCATAACGACTGACCCTGGATTCTCCCGAGTCTAGGCCTTACCGATGCCGTTACAAAGGGTATAGTTGTGAACCCTCCCGGGTTCCGGTTTACAGGGAGCTCTGTTGTGGCCTGACCATATCCGTCTAATGCTTGCTTTTTCTAGGCCCCGTTGTCGATAACCTCAAGGCAGAGGCTTCCAAGACCTCCAACGAGTTCCGCGACCTGAAGAACTCCCGAGTCACCCCTTCCACTACCACCACCAATGGCCAGCCATTGACCCGTACGTGATAACTGCTAGGGATTGATGCAGACAAATGGAGTTGGAGAGGATACTGATTCTCGTGTAGCCTACCACTCGCTGTTGTATAGCCTGTTGAGCGTGAGTCGTCTCGAGTCCCATTATTTTGTGATGATCCCCTATTTTTTTTCTTTGCTAACCCCTCCTCTCTATCTTGACAGTGGGAACAACCTCGTGCGACCGCCGTTTCCTATGCTACCGTGATTGGCTTCATTTTCGCCGCCCGTTATCTGCCCCTTCTCCGCTGGGCCTTCAAGTTCCTGTATATGTCGCTGGGATGTGAGTTGGTCGCGTGACCCGTGGGTATCCGATGGGAGACGACTGACCCATTTTTGTTTTCACAGTGACCGCTCTCGTTGAGATCGCCGGCCAAGTCATCCTCAAGCAAGGCATCGCCAGCTCCTTCCGCCCTCGCCGTTACTACACTATTCCCAAGGAGACCCAGGAGGTTATCCTGGAAGACCTTTCCCAGCTGTTGGACTTCTTCTTGATCGAGTTCCAGCGCATTTTGTTCGCCGAGAATGTCGTTCACACCATTGCCGTATGTTAATCCTATGATGTGTCATGGACGAGTACGAGGGGAATATCTGATTGATTCTTCTAGGCTTTCACTGCTGCCTTCACTGGCTACTGGCTCGTCCGTTTCGTTCCTATTTGGGGTCTGGCCGTCATCTCCGTGACCGTGGCTTACCTCGGACCTCTCGTGTACATCAGCAACCGCGAGATTATTGATGAGCAGATTACCAACCTGCAGGAGATTATCTGCTCCCAGACCAACCAGCTCAAGGACCTTGCCGGAGAGCGTACCTCCCACGCCACCGGTGTCATGAAGCAGTACGTGGGCGAGTACAGCCACAAGGCCCAGGAGTACATTGGCCGCCGCTCTGCTTCCCCCGAGATGACCAAGGTCCCCACCCCCGTCAAGACCGAGCCCGTCGCTGAGCCCACAATCAAGACCGAGGACTTCCCCGAAGCCCCTAAGGTCGAGCCCATTGCGCAGCCGGTTGAGACCGTTGAGACGGTAGAGACCTCTGAGCCGGCCCCTGCTCCCGCGGAGAAGGAGCCTCTTCTGGCTCTGTAAATGAGCAAGCCCTCTTTCTAGGCTTGATCGGTTGTCGATCACGATCATTTCAATGAGGATGGACGCCTCCTTGGGGACCACTTTTTCTTCCCCCTTTGGTGGATACGTTTTTGACGACATGCAGATTTGGTGGTGAGGCTCTTTCATTTGCTCCCCGGGTATTGCTGGGATGAATGTATATTGGGCTCCAGCACTTCCCTCGTCCCGATGACGGACGGACCACTTCTTCAAAAATTCCTGTGGAAATGTCCAGACGATGAAGTGATGTTCATGTCTGTGCTTTCTTGTCTTCTTCTTCTTTTTACTTCGTTTCTCCACTGTTCTTACCCTCTTACCCTTATTCTGTCTATTCCGCTTTCTTTACATTCACACCCGCATCGTATTGTTTACATCGTTTCGGGTTCATATTGTTCTAATGCAATTGTCCTATGAATAATTCCATGATTCTCACGTTTGCCTCCCATCCTAATCTCTACTGTAGCTCTCGATCCAATTCCCAATGCAACATTCCGGTCCTTGAGCCCTCTGAGCCACCCCATCTCCACCCCTCAAAGCTAGTCTTGTGTCCTGTACGAGTGTCCGCCGCCCTTTTATCAAAGAATGAACCATATTATTAGCGCATTGGATGGCCTTGTGGTAGGGTACAACACCCGCGCTTAAGCCCTCGACTCGACCAACTCGGGCAACAGTCGTCTTCGAACCTGCGGCCGCGCACGCCCTGATAGGTACTTTGCGCTCCCGTATGAGTAACGAGTAACGATCTACCCCCGCGTCGTGCGAGGCGAGGCGAGGTGACCGTTGAGTTTCATCTTAGACTGTCATGTCTCCAATTTCTCCGCATCGCGATTCGGGCTGGAGCCGGAGCCGAAGTCGGATCCGTTGTCCTCTCGTCCTCGCGGGATACTGTCCGTTTCTTGGTCGTGACTTGGTGTGGAATCGTCTTTCAAGAGTGGTTGTAACCTTCCCCTCATTCTTTGGTGGTGGCTACCCCGGATGTGAGATGTTGTACGGTAGGCTGTGTGGTATATGTTAGAGTTTAGGGATGGTTCTGTGTATTGGATTGAGTGTTAGGAGTGTTTAAATCGGGCTTGGAGGGTTAAGGTCTAGACTTGCTGGTGATCTGTGGTCTGTTTCTAGATTTGTGTTGAAGGTGGTGTGCTCGAGGGTTGACGGACTCGTTCGTGATCGGTATGGTGTGAATATCTGCAATTTCTTGGACTCAGACTCCATTAGTTTGTGGGTTTCTTGAGGTACATAATTCTAGCTTTATTTTAATTTCCAGAACGATCGCCTTCTCTGCTATTGTTCAAAAAACAGAAGTATGCGGAAAACAAACCCTCTTCTGTCTAAGATATGAGTACCTTTGGCCTTCGAGGTACTCAAGAGTATGCACCTTCAAGGCCCGAGCCCTTGTAGCAACGGCCCAAAGACCTCCTTTTTAACTACCCCTTTTCCAGAAGCTCATCAGAGTCAAAACATGATATACCACGGAGCATCACACAGAGTCCCCTTTGCCGCTCCTTGGGATCCAATAGATGTAGTCCTTGTCGCTGGGCTGTCTTAGACATTGGGATCCTGGCCTCCGTACTATGTTGCTATTAGTCTCAGACTCGTATAGTTGGGCTGGAGACTGAACATAGAGCTGCCTGACCGATTCTATGAGTATGAGTAGCCTGGGCTGGACTAGTTGTGATGATGAAATTGACTGTTCTGCTCTGGAATTTGTCCTTGACGCTGATAGACCACGCAATTGTGGAATATTAGAACATCAACACCGTTTATGCAGTGGAATATGGCAGAATTGACTTTGGAACTAAAATTTTATCCTAAATCTGCATGGACCAAAGTGAGGACAACGGGGAAATGTTAAAGAATGGACCGGAGCGGAGAGTCAGTGTGGCATTCACCTGAGTTCGGAGTATAATCGAAAGAATATGGGAGTTTCTTGCCGCCACCAACGTGTCGCAACTCTGCAAAGAAGCATGCATGGAATGTTCTCTGGAACTTTCTCCCGAGTAGTGTGGCACCTATTGGGAGGCAAAGTAATCTGAGATTTTCTCCCTTGATGTCAAACTCGATACAGGGCTCAAAGGGCGGTCTCCTCGGAATACGTCTTGGGTACATCCTTTGTCCATGGAAGCTGGCGGTAGCCGAGACGCATGTCTCTCGTATACGTCAATGTTTCAAACCCGGAAGAAAGACGCTTTTGAAAGAAGCAGTCCCGGGCAAATTGTAGGAAGACGTTTGTGAGAGGATGAATCGCATGGCATTCTTCTTTATCTCCTCACACGGACTGACATCTTTGATCTTTGAATCTGGTCAGAAGTTTATCTCAGGGACAAGCTCTGCTAGGTTGAAAAGGACTCGCCCACAGGTGTATGTCGGTTCCCGTTATACAAGGAAGAAGTTGGTCCTGCAGCTTTCCGTGGGTCTCAGGCCTCTTTGATGCCCGGATCGACGCTTTTGAAGACATTCGGGGTTTGATTGGTGCTGTGACAGCCATCTTAATTGTCTGATGGATCCACCAGTCCACTTGGTATCTAGTCAACCAGTCAGCCAGTCTGTATAGCATCAAGAGCTAGTCCTGAGGATGATTCCAGTATAGTAAAGCTTTCATCGTGAAGATCAACTTCCTGTTTGTTGAATTAGAGCAGTCAGCCAGACGGTGTCGATAGTAGGATGGATCTCTTTACTATACCGCTAATACTACAGACTACTGCAACTGCCTGTTTGCATGCATCGATATCCCGGAGGAAGCGGTGGCCAGCTTCACCTCCACAACGCACAGCATCTCCACATGGTTCCAAACGGAGTCCTTAGAGGCAGCAGACAGCCCATTGGACTCTTCCGCCTTTGGCCTTGCAGGTCGTGGGGTACCCACAGCGGTGGTGCATCCGGTAAGGCCTCGAAGCTTAGAAACATGGGTTTCATACTGAGTGACCTGGGGTGCTTCTTTGCCCAGTTACTTGCTCTTCTGGTTTCTTTCCTTGGGAGTATCAATGGCGGTCATCGGTGACAACATGCACACAGCATGGCGGTCAGTCCAGATTGAAGATCTCCTGAGAACGGGCCTCAGTTGACGAGACTCGTCCGACTCCAGTGACCTCGTGATGATGATGGAGGAGAGGAGAAGTTGAAGTCATCCCCGAGGAAGCCACGATGGGAGACTCGCTGTTTCCTGATTTACACCGCTACACGCTCCTTCCTTATCCAGAAGATCTCTTTAGTTAATATTTTGTTTTTGAGGCTCTTCTTATTCCTCTTAATATCTTCTTTATTCCGTATTCTCCTGCCTCTAGTCCCTATGGTTCTCCCTATACCACTATCACTCCTAAATATCAAAACACATCACGTCGCGGGCTGTATACAAGCTCAAACAGACAAACATAAAACTGTAATCACCCTATTCGACTTGGTAAAACAGATATACACGCAGAATCAGCACAGGGTGGAACAAACCTCTCAACAAAGCCGACTGTCTTGCTTGATGCTTCAGAATCCTCCCCCATTGAGAGTGGATATCCAGGTCTCGCTTCTGAAGTCTTCTGGAAAACGCCTCTTGTTCCACACGAGGATTGCTTTTCTGCCGACTCTACGAATTCTTACTTCTACTTGTTCTTTTCCCCTCTTCTTCTCGATACTTTCCCCCAACCCGACTACCCTCTGCCTTCTGTTTCCTTGTGACCCTTTCTCTGCATCTACCAACTCTTCGAATACTTCCCTTCTCATTACTCCCATTTTAAAACCTCCAAGACTCGTTGCCACTTATTCATGGGCTCCATTCGAGATTTGCTCAACCCGCTCCCTGAGGTGACTCAAGGCCGCTTGGGCGTCATCATGCCGGCCTCACGATCAGCAACCACGAGCCCTCCCTATTCCGAGCGCCCAAGAAAACCAAAGGTAGCCAAGGATGGTGCCGTCTTTCGTCCCGGTCCAGTTCAAGGACAGGTTCGATATCCTCCTCATGAGGAACGGACCAAGTTTCTGGAAGAGGAGCATAAGAATGCCGATTTAAAACCCTACGGCAACATTGCGGATTTCCCACGCCATATCCCATACCAGAGCGACAAGAAAACCTTCCGCGAAAGGACTGGTCGGGATAGCTTCCATTGTGAGTTCATCTTGAAACTGGCCCTTGTGGATTAACTCGGATACTGACACGTCACTATCTACAGTGTTCCAGTACACCTTCCAGAGGAAGGACGTCGACTCGGAGCCGTGGACAGTGACTTGGGACTACAATATCGGACTGGTTCGCACCACTCATCTGTTCAAGTGCCTCGGCTACTCCAAGGTATGTTCTCTGCTTGTACATATTAAACACGAGGCATATACTAACGTCGTGACGATAGACAACCCCCGGAAAGGTGCTTAATAACAACAACGGTCTACGCGAAATCAGTCACAGCATCACTGGAGGAGCACTTGCAGCTCAAGGTAAGATCCACGAGATGTCCAACTCATTCTTTAATGTGAATACTAATCCTGGTCCACTCTTTTCAGGCTATTGGATGCCCTTCGAAGCCGCCAAAGGTATTGCCGCTACCTTTTGCTGGGATATCCGCTTCCTTCTCACACCCCTCTTCGGCCTCGACTTCCCCGAGATGTGTATCCCCCCCACAAACCGAATCAGCTTTGGTCGAATGGTAATCGATCCCTCCATTGTCAATGAAGCTGCCGAAACCGCCCGTCGCTATCGCCTCCTCGAGCCCCGGGCCTACGACGAGATGTCTACTACCTCTTTCCATTCCCAACCAACGGGGAAGCAGGTAGACTATTCTTCCCAAGATATGCGAGCTCCCCAGCTGCAGCAGTCCAAGTACGCTAGACGCAGCTACGCGGATAGTATCAGCAGTGCTCGAGGCTCATCCTCCGAGCCTTACTGTGGTTCCCCGCAGAGTCCCACGCACAGAGGCTTCCTCCCTATCAACAGACCTCCCAGCTCGCACCCCGTATCTCGTACGCCGTACGACTTTCTCACTGAGGCCTCCGAGCGCCGGAAGAGAGTCATGACCACTGCAGCTGAGGCAAGTGACTCGGAGACAGAGTTTTCCTCAACCTCGCGGCTGGATGTTCGCTCTAAGCCCATCGTCCCGATTCGCTGGGGAAGCGAGCGCGCCTCTGCTGACGGGGACTCGGAACCCGATGAATCAGAGCTGACATCTTCGGATGATGAGTCCCTGTCCGAAGATGAAGGGGATGAGGAATACCGCGAACCAAGACGTCTGTCAAGCAGTGACCTTGCCCGTGGAAAGGCCGGGCTTAAGAAGAATCCCTCCCGCTCTGTTAAGGCCAAGCATGGCCATGAAGGTGGTCGTCCTGCCCGTTTTGCCAAGGAAGTTAAGGCTGCCCATGCTTTGCTTCATATGCATATGCAACGGGCTTCGTCCAAGGATGAAGATGGTGATGAGATCATGGAGGAGGCTACGTTTGGTCCTCTATTGGGAAGGATCGGTTCCGCTGACAAGAAAAGACGACGTGCTTCCCTGTGATAAGAACTGATTATGTCCCAAGTTGAGTAGGAGCTGTGTTTTGCATCGAGATGGGTGTTTGGTTAGACTGGACGGCGTTGATGGGTGAAGGGAATGAGTTTCTGGAGTTTGGCGCTGGACTGTGTGGATTTGTAGATTGTATTTTGTGGTGGTTTTTGTTCTAGCCATTGTTTGAATCTCATGTCATTTGTCTTTGATGAAGACAGTCGTAGTCCTTGATCTAGGTTTGGTGATGATATTGAGGTAGGCTCCTTTGGATTATAGCTGATCCCAAGGAAAGTACAACTACCATAGAAGGAAGCTACGGCTCAAAAGAGTGACATCCAAACCATCATCTTCCAATGGTGTACGCGAGATTGAATAGAAAGAGGCTAAACTATTTCCCAGATTACAAGCTTCTGATTGAAATAAAAGAAAGATTCAAATTCGCATCTTGCAAAAACTGATCGGCTCTGCCTGACCAACACAAAAAAGATGTAGACTAAAAACACAGGGGGATAAAGAAATCCGAATCCAAGAAAATACGAAAGAAAGGCGAATATCAAATCCCTCTAAGGGAAACAATGCACCGCGACACCCGATGAGGTGTCATCTAGTCACTCTCATCCTCCTCAAAATCATCAGCCGATTCCTCCTCATCGCTATCTTCCTCAATCACATAGCTCTTCTTGGTCGCCGCAGCGGTACGACGAGAGGGACGGATGGCGGCCGCACGTCGAGGAGCGGGCTCGTCATCCGAGATGTCCATTTTGCCCGCTGGGGAATCGAGAATGTCGTTGGCCATGGCGTCGATGTCGTCCTCGGAGAAGTCGTCATCTGCGGCCTTCTTGGAGGCCTTGCTGGTCTTGGCCAACTTAGAGGCATATCCCTTTGCAGCGGGAGAAAGGGTAGGCGCGGCGTCCTTCTTTGGGCGACCACGAGCCTTGGGAGCAGCAGCAGCAGCAGCCTTCTTAGGGGCAGCCTTGGTCTTCGGCGCGGGCTTGGCAGGTGTCTCATCCTCCTCTTCCTCATCGTCATCGTCCTCAATCCTCGAGACATCCTTGGGCTTGACCTGAATTGAGCGACGCGGAGAGTTCTGCGGCACGAGCTTGCTGTAGTCGGTCTCGTCTGGATCAAACTCGTTGACCTTGGACTTGCTCGGAGCCATGAGGCTGGCACTGCTGCCGGCACGAGAGCGCTCCGAGATCAAAGGTTTAGCGTTCGAATCATCGCCGCCAATACCCTTGACCATCTGACTCACGTCGCCCAGCATGTCATCCCCATTGTCGCTGTCAGAGTCACTAATTGCGGTGTACTTGACAGGCTTGCGAGCGCGACCAGTCGGGGCTGCCTGCTTGGATGACGCCCGCGCGATCTCAAGGAAGTCATCATCGGAATCGTCAGCAGGCTTTGCCTTCGGCTTGGGTCCGCGCTTGGCTGCCGGCTTCGCCTTTGGAGCAGGTTCCTCGTCGTCAAGATCCATAGGATCGGCGGCAGGTTGGACTGACGCACGGGAAGACCCAGTTACAGGGACTTCCTCAAGATCGAAGTCATCGTCCTCTGTCTTAGGCGCGGGCTTGGGCTTTGGTTTTGCCGCGGTACTTGCCGCAGTACGGCTCTTCTTAGGCAGAATTTCCATATCAAAGTCGTCATCAGAACCACCAGCTCCGTCACCGCTTGGTGTAGGCTCCTTGGACGCTGTCTTGTTGAGGAAGTTAGCCAGGCTGTTGACCGGCTGTTCTTTCTTCTTGGCTGCAGCCGTCTTCTTTGCCTTTGGTGCCGCAAAGTCTGCATCATCAGGGTCATCTCCAGTAGCAGCCTTGCGCTTACGTGCGGCAGCGGCGCCACGACCTCCACCGGTCATGAGCTTAGACGAAGCCCGGCGGCCCATGTTCTGCGCCTTGCGCAGACGACGCTCCTCATCCTCAAGCTGGAAGCGCCACTCGTTGATGAACTCCTCGAGGTCCTTCTTCCAGATATCCTCCTTGGACAACTTGATCAGAGCATCAATATCTATCTCGACGTCACCAATCTGGCGACGGAGTCTCTCGACACGCTCCTGGGTGAGCGACCACATGGGCATGCCGAGAAGGTAATCGTACGAGCTGGAAAGCACTTCGACATCCTTGTCGCCGACCTCCTCGGTGTCTTCCATCGCAGGTTCGTCCTCGCCCAATTTGGCAGCGTCGGCAATCTTGGCGATCGGCTTGAAGCCCTTCTCCTTCAGCTCGAGGACCAAGACGGACTTCTTCTTCTTGGAAATGACCAGAGTGCCCTCAATGATCATCATGATGAAGCGAGCTTGGTTGCTCAGCTTCTCGAGATCCTTCTGGAGCTCGGAGAGCTGGTGCTGCTTGCGTCGCTCGTAGTACTTGAGGCGCACGGCGAAGAACTCCTTGAGAATGTCATCGACGGTAGCGTACTTTGTGATGCGGCCCTCAGGATCAAAGGCAACCAAGTTACTGGTTGCGATTGTCTTGGAAAGCTTGAACTTCTCCTCCAAGCCCTCCGAGGTGGTGGCCTTCATGTTCTTCTCATCAAGCTGGATTACGAAATGGACCTTGCTGTGAGTGTTGTAGTCCTTGTAGTCCTTGATAAAAGAAGGCACCTTCTCGGCCTTGATGATATCCTCCAACTTGTCCTTGAAGTCCTGAGTCCAGGTACGGATGGGCAACTCGGTGATCTCAACCTCCTTGTCACCAGTCTCCTTGATGATACCGCTGAACTTGAAGCGATCACCGCCCAGGTCCACCACCTCACCAGTGAATCCACGGAACCATGGTTGCATTGGAACAGTATCCTGGCCATCCATCAGGCGGTTCAAGTTCGCCACAATGTCCTCCGGGTTGTAATTGGGGATAGAAGAACTCCAACCAGTTCCGATACCATCAGCACCGTTGATCAAAATCATAGGCACGACGGGCATGTAAGTTTCGGGCTCAATCTTCTTGCCATCATCCTCATTGTAGGCCAGAAGCGGGTCGTCGGCTTGATGGAAAACCCTTCGGGCAAAGGGTGACAGCCGAGTGTAAATGTAACGAGCACTGGCACAGTCACCACCACCTTGGAGTCGACTACCAAAGTTACCACTGGGTTCCAGAGTGTTGATGTTGTTTGAACCGACGAAAGTCTGAGCCAGGCCGACAATAGTCTGCTGGAGCGAGGTATCACCATGCTGGTAGGCGGTCATTCCAGAAACAAGACCTGCCAACTCGACGACCTTCATATCTTTCTTCAGGTTACGGCGGAAACAAGTATACAAGACCTTGCGCTGACCAGGCTTCAAACCATCGACTACGGATGGGATAGATCGCTGGTTGTCAGCCATGCTGAACAGAATCAACTCCTTGTTGATGAAGTCCGTGTAGGAGATCTTCGCCATGGAGTGATCAAGGTAGGTGCCGGGCTTGAATTGGCGCAGCCACTCCTTTCGTTCGTCAGCCTTCTTCTTCGAGAAAGCAAGCTCGATAAGGGCGGCCTCGTGGTCCTGCATGGTATGGAACTCCTTCAAGTGGCGATCGAGATCGCGGAAGTAAATCTGGGCATCTTCCGTGGAACTGGTTCCCAGACCCTTGTAGTACTTGTGGTCCCATCCTCGCTCATCCTTGTGTTCTTCCTTCCACGCCTCATATTCAGGCATAGTGAAGAAGGACCGCGATTTGGACGGGTTCTTGGGGTCACCCTTCCAGACCTTGATGATAGGAGTGATGAACTCAATCAAGAACTCGGGGATCTTCAGCAAGCTGGGGAACTGTGCCTGGAGGAAATTGATGAGCAGACCCTTGATGTGACTACCGTCATGATCCTGATCAGTCATGATCATGAGGTGACCATATCGGAGACCCTTCGTTTCAGTGTACTCCTTCTTGTGTTGCAGTCCGATGAAGTTCTTGATGTTCTGAATCTCCTGGTTCTTGGAAATTTGATCGAACGAAGCATCACGGACGTTGAGCAGCTTTCCACGGAGAGGGAAAACACCGAAAAGATCGGGACCAACGACCGCACGGCCAGCCATAGCCAAACCCTTGGCGGAGTCACCCTCAGTGAGGATCAGGGTGCAGTGATGGCCCTCACGGGTACCGGCCTTGTTAGCTTCGACCAGCTTGGGGTTGTTCATACGCGTGCGACGACCGCCATCACCTTTCTTCAGGATCTGGTCTGCCTTTTGGGCGGCAAAGTGCAGGATATTAGACATTACATCAGTCTTGAGGACTTTCTTGTAGAAGTCTTCCTCAAGAACACACTTGCTACCAAACTGACTAGTTTTGGTAGTCAACTGCTCCTTCGTCTGCGAGTTGAAAGCCGGGTTGACAATAAGAGCATTCACAAAGATGAAGATGTGGTTTCGAATCTGAGCCGGCTTCAGAGTAGCACCAGTCTTGTTCTTCTTCTTCACCTGTTCGGCCAAGCGATTACAAATCTGGTCGGCAATGTAGTTGACGTGAGTACCACCGGATGTGGTGGCGATGGAGTTGACGAACGAGACCTGCTGGAAAGCACCATCCGAAACAGCAAAACCAATCTCCCAACGAGGATCGGGGCTACAGGTGATGATCTCATCCTTGGGAGCGGGGCCTTCATCGCCACGCTCCTTGCGGATAGCCTTGGTGTACATCTCCATGTATTTGCGGAAATTGCGAATGGGAACACGAGTACCATTCAGCTTGACAGCAACGCCAGCTGTACCCGCCAAGTCGTAGATTCGGCGCTTCACGAGGGCCTCAAAATCATCGTCAATGCCCTCCATACCGAACCTGGCAAAATCAGGCTTGAACGTGACCTTGGTGTAGTCATCGCCCTTGGCCTCGGTGATCTTTGCCTTGCCCATCTTGGTCATGTTTTCCGTCCAGGTCTGTTTGTACTTCTTCTTCTGGCGCGAATCCTGGGTCTCAATGGAGAACTCGGTGGAGAAAACGTTGCAAAGCTTGGCACCGAAACCGTTACGACCACCAGTCACCTTCTGCTGGGCATCATCATAGTTGGACGAGGTCAAAAGGTGGCCGAAGATGAGTTCGGGAACGTAGATTTGCTCCTTGGAGTGGATTTCAATGGGGATACCACGTCCGTTGTTCCAGACGCTGATTTCACCCTGCTCACGGCTGATTGTCACTCGGATTTCGTTCATGTTCTTGTCGTTCTGCTTATTATCGGCGGCGTTGACAACGATCTCATCGAAGATCTTGTACAGACCGGGAACGTAGGACACAGGGCGGAACTCCATGGACTCTGATTCGGAGTTGTAAACCCACATGTGTTGAGTCGTACGTTCGACCGAGCCAATGTATGTATCGGGACGTTTGGTAATGTGTTCGAGTTGTGTAAGCTAGCAAATCCATCATAATTAGCAAATGAAACCTCACGGCAGAATACTATCGCGCGAAACTCACTTTCTGGTACTTCTCTGACGCGCTGCCTTTCTCCTTGGGGGGCTCGGAGGTGCCATCTCCCCCAAAGGACTCGTTTTCCACATCAGCTAGAGGCTTCGAGCCGGCCCTCTTGGGAGCAGCGGCCTTCTTCGCCTTGGGAGGAGTCTGGGAGAGCAGGGAGTCGGCATCGTCATCGGACATGTGAGCGTCGGACATTTCGTCTTCGGTATCAGCCTTGGCCTTCTTCTTGGCCGCAGCCGTCTTGGCTTTGGGCTTCACTGTAGTCGCCTTCTTGGCTGCGGGTTTGGCTGCGGCCTTCTTAGGAGCTGGCTTGGCCTTGGTTTTCTGGCGAAGCGACGAAGTCAGTGACATGCACTGAAGAGTCGTGCGATGAGTTGGACTGACCGGGGCAGGCTTTTCGGGCTCAAACTCTGAGTTATCATCATCACTGATGTTAAAGATGGAGTCATCGTCAATGATTGAGTCGTCCATGGTGAGATCGAGGGTCGAGGGAGTGGCGCTGAAAAACCGAGAAGATCGGATTCAGGCCTGCAAACGAGGGAATGGCCGGGTCAATAAAGCCCAGGAAGTCAGGAAGAAGATGAAAGAATGTCGGGAATGGATTAGAAAGCCAGCATGGCGGTGCTGGGAGGGATTGGTGAAGGAGGGGACGAGTTCTTTGATTCTTTGTTTTGCATGAAACGCGACTGCCAGCGCTACTCAGGCGGTGACCGATGTGGCCACTCGGATCATCATTCTTCCTCACCGCCTGCCCCGCTGATGATCGAAATAGGCAATTTCTAAACAAACCATTAAGCAAGCGCGTCACTGGCAATCAACGAACCATTAGAGAATTAAACCACGCTTGTATCATGATCCTTACCGCAGCCGTCACAGTAGAAGTAGATGTGAGCCTCAGGCAATTATGATATTAGCAGATTAAAATATCGACGGAAGAATGCCGATACTTTGAAACGTCGTTCTGCCAGAGTAATTTGGAAGTGACGACAAAGAGATAGAAAGCGGGGATCTGACTCGAGTGACGAAGTCAATGAAAATCGTGCATTGTTAGATAAAATTAGAACCGCGTCAACTCACCCCTCGCTTTCTTTGAGCGCAGTAAGCGTCTGTCAATGCACAGCTCTTCGGTTCTTCGCCGATCAAGGCCTACACTGCTCTTGAGCTCATCTTTGTCCGACTACTAATGCCCGTTAATTCTCTTGAATGTTGGTTAGATATTACGAGGATTCCACGCCGGAGAGATCGTACCAGATGGTAATGGAGAAGATGAGAACTGAGTTATCGCGCTTATTAAGCATAGTTAATGTTGAATGGAAAGCAGGCGCTTTTCTAAGGAGCTCATCTACTCTGTGGTCTGTTCACCTGCCTGGTTAAGGCTGTATCTACAGGTACCATTCATGAAGTCACTCGTAGATGGATTTATAAATTGCGCGCTTAAAACCCAGACACAACTCACCACATCGAGCATAGGGATCTCAGGATTTAATTTCCAGACAATTGTGTCCGCACTTACCTACGTACCTAAGACTCAAGAGGGTATCTCGCATTTTAAGGCCATCCAGGTACAGATATATTGCCACGAAAAGTAGGCGCATAATGGCGCGCGGCAGGCGATGAGACCCTATCTCTAACCCTTGCATCCCCTTTGCCCCGCTAATTACAAGCGACCGTGACACCGCGATGATTTGATGAGAGGTGAGTCATAAATGCCCCCTCGGCGTGGAAACTCTGGAGAGAGTAAAAGAGTTGGGAAGGCCTTTAGTTGTGAGCTATGTAGGTATATAGAATGGGGAACGGGACCTATGTAAAGATGTAGCTGTACAAGTATGGAAGAATAGACTAGTGTCCGTCACTGAAAATCCTCTGTCCTCTTGACGTGACCCTAGGAATAATTCGGACAGTCAACTAGCAAGACCCATTTTTGAGACAACCTCTGACGCTTCGGAGGTTATACCCGGTGACGGACCGCATGGGCCAACGGAGAGATCCACCGAGACAGGACCGACCTCGAGAGACGGGGAGTTGTGTAGTGATGGTGGCAGGGAGTTTGGCTATTGCACCCTTGGTCTTTACAATTAATGGAATATTCATAGTGCTAATTTGTCGTGCACAATAGAGAGGGACTTGCACTCCTTGATAGGCCGTCTGCGCCAAAGATGAAACTTGGCTGTCAAGGGGGTATGTAACGATGTTTCACAGCTGCCCCTCGATGGTTGACCAATGATTGGTAGGTTCCTCACCACTTGACCAATAAAAAGGAAGATAGATTACCCAAGTAGATCATGTGGTATTCAGAATACCATACATACCCTTATCCCGTCCAGGACCCCTCCAATCAGAAGAATCAGAGTAATTTGGCTGTGGTACCTGCAGGAGATTTTACTCTCCAAGTGGAAGCCCTTACGACGGGAGTATTACCGAGTCTATTAAGGAAGTAAACGGTCTCATCTATCCCCTACAAGAGTGAACTCCTGGAGAGAGAGAGGTAATAAAACACGAACCCGCCGATGTCATCATAGTCCTACGGTTCTCCGTTACTCCGGACTTCTCCCATGGAACGGTGATCGGAGGGTCGCGAGGCGCGTAGGAACTAAATAGGGGACTCACCTTCATGATAAGGCCAACAATACAAATCCTCTTCTCCTTTCTGATGTAAAATGCCAAGATCACAAAAGGACTAGTCCTTCAATATTAAAAATGATTATCACTTATTCATAGTGCCCGTCAGACAGTCGGTGTATGAGCGATCGACGGGGGGCCGAGACTCCTGGAGGGGAAACACTAAAGGGGCTAGCGAAATAGTGTGGATATTCCACTTCCTCTCCCTTTTTCTTTCTCGCCAGCCTTTCGCCCTTTCCCCTGCCTGTTGCGACAAGAAAAAGCATAATTGCGATCCTTGATGGTGCTGGATCACCTCCAGGTGCGTTGCGTTCCTGGGTTCCCCTCGTCGCCACTGCGCCGAAGCTGATCTCTTTTGCCTCCTCTCTCAGAGATGAAGCTGGTCTTGCATATCTTTTGAACTTCTCGTTGCACGTCTTCCCCACAGAGTCTGATTTACCCTCGGTCACATCCTCGATCATACCTCCCTAAAGGGAAGTCCCTGTCCACTTGCAGCAGCAATGGATAGCTTCGAACCCGCATCGCCGGGCATGCCCCATGCCCCTAACCATGATTCCATGGTGACAGTCTCCCTGTCCGATATCCAGTCCAATTCAGAGCACACCCAACCGGACTGGCGTACTCTCGACATCCCTCCGACCCCCGTCCTGGCGACCCATGAGTCGGAAGCCATCAAGAGCAAGACCGAGTCCTTTGGCCCCATGGTGCTCCTCGATGCCGCAAGATACACCCCCACCCCCGTGGACGAGCCCCCAACCCCAACTTCAGCGGAACCAAGACATGCGAACGCCGCGCAAACAGGAGAAGAGGCCGATAATGAGGTGGTGGATTGGGAGAATCTAGATCGAACGGAGGAAAGAGAGCCACGCGGAGAGGGATCGGACGATGTAGGTTGACAGGCCAGACCCATTCCCCCCTCGTGGACCGTGCGGTGCAACCCGTGGAATGTGAGATTGACACTTTCGCTCGTGAATCTAGTCAACCGCTCTACTGCTCGCTCGTCTGGAGCAAGAGAATAATGCGCTCGCTACTAACCCCAAATCGGGCCTGTCCAATGCCCCCCGCATCCAGCGACACCAGCGACAATCCCGTTCACAATCTCTCGTTCAGATTAAGAAATTGATCAATGAGCCTACGCGATCGGAGCTGCGCTACTCGCAGCTCCAACCACCTCCGATGACCGAGCTAGAGTTCTGGGCTGCCTTGGTGGCAGATTACCCGCAGACGGCCCAGCGACTGCCTACTCTGACTTCTAATAAGATCCAACAGGGTGTTCCTCCACCGCTTAGAGGAGTGGTGTGGCCTAGTCTGGCGGGCGCTCGTGATCCAACACTGATTGAAGAGTTCCAGCGATTGTCTGGTGAAAGCAGCCCATATGACGGTCTGATTGGCAAGGATATCGGTCGCAGTTTTCCTAATGTGGAGATGTTCCGTGATCCCAACGGCGAGGGCCAGCAAATGCTGGCTCGAGTGTTGAGATGCTTCAGCTTGTATGATGCCAAGATTGGCTACTGTCAGGGTCTGGGCTTTGTTGTTGGCCCGTTGTTGATGCACATGTCCGATGCAGAGGCCTTCTGTGTGCTTGTTCGGTAATATCTCCAGCGAAAGAAGCCCTTGAGATTGAATACTGACTGCAATGATCAGATTGATGGAGCATTATAACCTTCGGACCTGCTATCTTCCGGATCTGTCAGGCCTTCACCTTCATGTCTACCAATTCCAAAACCTCCTGGCACGACATCGCCCCGAACTGTTCCAGCACCTGGAGCTGTTGAATGTCGAGCCGGTGTATGTTTCGCAGTGGTTCTTGTCTTTCTTTGCAGTGGCTTGTCCGTTGCCAATGCTTCTTCGAATTTACGATGTCATATTCCTGGAGGGTGCTTGTGAAACTCTGATGCGCGTGGCATTGTCTCTGATGCAGCGCAATGAGAAACGCATCTTGGCCTGTACTGAGTTTGAGGACGTCATGCAGTTACTGCTGTCTCGCAGTTTGTGGGATACGTGAGTCTATCCTTATCGATATCGATACCCCGCTACGTCATCTCGTGATAACACAACTGACAAACTTCTCCAGATACGCGTTCAACGCAGATGATCTCGTCAATGACTTTGTTTCTCTCACCTCTCTCGTCACCAACGAAAGTCTCCAGGCCCTTGAAGTCAGCTACAACCAGTCCCAGGGCGTACCTACTGGAATCTCATTCCCACAGATGCAAGCTGCAGCATCTCGGTTCCTCGGTCGACTTTGGGCAGGCTCCAATTCTCACAACTCTGTCAAGTCCCTCAACCCAAACGCCAGCCCTTCGCGTCCACACAGCACTATTCGTCGCTCTACCTCCAAACAGAGCTTGACCTCCACACTGAACTCTGTGGAGTCGACATCTGACGCGAGCACCGCTCCCACTGAGCTGTCAGCGGCGATAAACAGTGATCAGAAGTCACGCAAATCCAACATGTCAACTCACCATAAAGACCGCGATCTCCACACACAGATCGAGGATCTGTTGATGGCATTGAGTGACCTCCAACGTCAACAAGCGGATTTGACGCGGGAACTCCAGCAGGAACGCGAGGAACGCGAAGAAGACCACTCGGTGGCAAAGGAAATGCTCAAATACGTCCAAGAGCAGCCAGCCGAATCACAACCCGAGGAATTGGTCTCGAAAGCGCGAGCTCGCTTTGCAGCCAGCGAAACCAAGCCTGGTTCAATCTCACAAACCAAACACCAGCTTCACGACGATATGACCCGGTGGAAGGAAATGCACGAGGTGGAAGCAAGCCGTTGTCTAGACCTGACACGCCGGATGGACGATTTTGAGAAGGAGAACACGTCACTCAAAGAGCAATTGCGCGAAGCTCGCAGCCGAATTCAAGACGGATACCGTGACCGGCAACGACTCGAGCGACTTAACAAGGAACTCCGTGCACTCAAAATGCCCGAATCATCAACCCCACCCGAGCCTGGCGCCATGTCCGCAGATTCCGAGACGGCCTCTCCCACCGGGGGCCTCCGTGAACTGAGACTGGTTCGGACCAACTCGCACAAGACCCCGACCTTCAACAAGCGTTCAAGTAGCTTGGGTCTTCAGAACGTGCTGGCTACCGAGAACCAAAAACCTGCTGCCGAAGATACTCTCCTACTCGAATTGGTCAACGCCAAGACTGCCGAAGCCGTCGCCAAGCAGGAGCTTGAGGAGGTCAAGGGGAAACTGGAGTCATTGCGAAAGATGATCAGTAAACCCCATTCCCAGTCTGGTGCGAATCTCGAAAATCGCCATTCCTTCTTTGGTCATTCACCGTCTCAAGCAAGCATCTCGAAGTCCACAACCGAGCCTGTCAAAACGCCTGGAACTTCCAGTAACGTCGGCGCTGGCGGTGGTGGTTTCTTCAGTGGATGGGGACGACGAGCTCCGCCCACAAACAATGAGTCCCCGTCATGAGTGTGGCATGAGATGTTAACTCCTGTGATTTTACGACCCCCGCCTGAATTTCGTCAACTGCCTGTGATGTGAAATTCATCTTGCTACATTTCGTGTCGATATTATTTTGAGCCGAAGGTTTCTTCTTTTCTGTCCGTTCTTAGCTTGTACATAGATGATATCCCCCTCTCGACACCGAGGAGAGAATTGCACGTACTGCCTTTTTAATGTGAGGCTGACATTTATTTCAAGCTTGATAATATTCATTCTTGTGTAATAATTGGGGCTAATCTCATACGCTGCTGAGTGATGGTAAAACAGTCATACGCAAAGTGATCATGATAAAACACCTTCAATGATAACCTTAATAACACTCTCCTTCCCTTGCCGAACCAACTCAAAGGCCTCTTCAGCTTCCTCAAACTTGAACCGATTGGTGATCAACCGCTTGACATCGATCTTGCCACTCGCAATCAAATCAACCGCAGTCGGGTAACAGCCTGCCGTGTATCGGATGGACCCCCTGACATGGATATCCCTGATACAAACAGTCGTAATTGGAAAATCAACATTCTGCATCGAAATTAGCACGCATCTCCCAGTATTTAATGAATCATCCAACTCACTTCACGACCCATGCCGGCCTGTACATAAGTTCCACCCTTCCGCACCAAATGTATACCAGTCTGTATACAAGCCTGAGCCCCCGTAGCTTCAAGAACCACATCCGGACCCTCGCCCAGATCAAACGTTTCCTTCATGATCTTAGCCACCTCTTCACTCCAGACACTATCATCCACACCTTCAGGCTTGGCAGGGGGCACGAAGACATCATCCGCGCCAAAAGTCCGGGCAAACTCTGCTCGTGATCGACTAATATCCACTCCAATCACCTTCTTCGCTGCGTACGCTTTGCTAACAGCTTGACAGAGTAATCCGATAGGTCCGCAGCCAAACACGACAATGGTCTGGTTGGGCTTTACTTCGCCTACTTTGGTGATTTGGACCGCGACGGCGACGGGTTCCACGAGCGCGCCTTCTTCAAGGTTCATATGCGCTGGGAGTGGGTAGCAATAGTCTGCCTGGGTGAGGTAGAATTTGGAGAGCGTGCCATCGTGAGGGGGCGTCGCTGCGAAGACGGTGTCCGGGCAGAGATTGTAGGAGCCGCTGCGGCAGTGGTTGCAGCTTGGTCTTGTTAGCTTTGGGGGGGTTTTTTTGGAAGGATTGGATGGTGTGACACACTGTCTGCATGGGATACCTGGTTCGATGGCGACTCGGTCGCCTGGTTTGAGGTTTTTCACGGCCGAGCCTACTTCGGTGACGGTGCCGGAGCTTTCGTGGCCGAGGACGATGGGGGAGTTTAGGATGAAATCTGTGGGAAAGGTTGAGATCTGGTTCTGAGGGGTGTTGTGTGATGCTGTGCTTACCTCCTATGCGGCCCTTTTGCCAACTGATGGTCAGGTTAGCTTTATGAATATCGAGAAACATGAGAGAGAACATACTAGTGGACCTAGTTGTTACACTCATGTTAGTTCGATTTGATAAATGCAGACGGCTCAATCTGAAAACTAACATCGCTGCCACAGATACCAGTCTGCGCTACTTGAACAATCACATCCCAAGGATCCTTGAGCCTGGGAGCAGCGCGATCCTCGATAGCTACGTCCTTGACGGCACGCAGCACAAATGAACGGTTCATTTCCTGTTTTTGTTTAGTATGGGACTTGGACCTGGAGTTCTGAACATACACCCATTCTGTTTCGATACGATGCTGCTTTTGATAATAAAATGATCGCTCTTTGTCCTTTACTCAAGATAAATCGTGTAGAAGTTAAGATTCATCTCGAGCTTCTCTTGTACTTTCATCAGATGCCCCGCTGCGTATGTACTCCGCGGCCGGACTGGGTCGTCCGTTGCACGGAGACCCCACCCCGTTGACTGTCGCAGATCGGACTGGAGAGCTCTTGATTGCTCGTGCACTATACAGATATTCGAAGCTCTAATGCCGACTGAGAGATAAGACAAATGAAAATTTAAGAAGAGGCCTCGACCAGAGGTGTTTTGGCACTTGGCGCTTAGTATTAAGCTTCGAGAGACAGTATTAAATCATCCAAATATGGCCTCTGTCCTAAGAAGCAGCCATAACAAAGCTATCCTGAAGTAAATGGGACTTGAATCGAAAGAACAGCAGTATTTGGGGACTCTGTTAACTCCCAAAAAAACCTCATGCTTGCGAGTACACAATCTTCCGGCCTCTGGGCGGCTGCGTCCGTATCTCTTGAAGACTATCTAGAAGTTTTACTAGACCTCCATCGCGTATCTCAACCGGATGTGGCTGAATTCGCCTGGTCTGAACCAGGCGCTCGGCGATCAAAACCCATTTCTTAGCGAATGCCTCCATTGCAGGATCGGCGGGAAACTCTGCCACCCCGGGGAATTCGAATCTTTCACCAAACATCGTATACCCTAGAGCTGTGGTAGCCACTGCACTCTCTTCCGGTCTTGCTCTCTTAAAAGATTCAGGAACCGGGACCTTAATTGAGTGATAGTGACCGCCTGTGGATGCGAGAATTTTGCTGCAATGAAAACCCGATTCTTCCGTCCCAATGCAATCCACGATATGCGTGATTGCCAAGCCGACGGCCTCTATTTGCTCGATAAAGTCTGACTGATGATACTCAAACCATTTCTCTGCACCGCGAGACTGAACGAGCTCGCTGTTTGCGGCAGAGCAGGTAGCGAAGACGCGGCATCCGGACCTAGAAGCGACTTGTTGAGCCATCTGCCATCAATGTTGACATGAGATCTTACAATTTAGCCGCCTGGATAGCTATAGTTCCCGTGGCAGAGCTGCCTCCATATACTAGCAGAGTCGGGCCCGAATTGGCTGGGATATCAGGCGATGGCAAGGGGAGCTTCATTACGGGGTAGAGAACCTGGCCGACCGTTGCCAACCCGACACCCAGCGAAGCAGCCTCTTCAAAGCTCAAGAATTCAGGTTTATGCATTGTGGCATGTTCCTTTCCAGTGATGATATCTGAGAATGCGCCGTCTTCTGGTTCGACCGAGTTTCCTGTTGGACAATGCCTCAGCAAATAAGGTTGACTTTTAGCAAAAAGGAAGGCTGAAGACATGACATACCTCCATGGGAGCCACCGAAGACAACATCTCCCGGCTTGAACCGAGTCACATTGTCCCCTACCTCTCGTACGATTCCTGACCAGTCGCAACCGATGATGGGCCCCATACCTGCCAGAGAGTCAATGTGATGGTTATCGGTAGGATTGAGAGCGAATGCTTTGGTCTCTGCGATCAAGTAGTCTGCTCGGAGACGTGGGTAAGGAAGGCCCGATCGGATCTCTGCGAGTCCGGGCCTAATGACTTGAATCCCTGTTCGGGTCTGAGATGGAGACATCTTAGTAAGTGTTCACAATTGGGTTCAGAGGGTAACTGGGCTGCCGCTAATCGTGAGGCTGTTATGGAGAGCTTATAGACCCATGTGTCCGATGGGAGCTCCCCGCATTTTGATCGACTATTATTAAGTCATTAGAAATCGCCACTTCGCTGACAAACAAGACCAGTAAGATGCTGTGAAATCAATTTAAGGCAGCTGGCAAAATCTCGACGTGATTGGAGGGTCTGAAAACAAAGTAGCTCAGCCTGATTGGGGCCAAATGACCAAGGGAGTGGGGAATAGCAGCGACAGCCTTATGGCAAGAGACGGTCGGAAAGACTAGAACATACGGATAGCCTATTCTCGACTTGCCTATCCAGGCTATTGCTTATTCGTATGGGGCGTAGACTACTGTTGGAAAGTTGGGGGTTTATGATCGAGTGATAAAAGAACTAGACATGCAGGAATAAAGCTTCTGCTTCTCCTTATTCGCCGCAGCTCACCAATCTGGCAAGGCAAATAATAAAACGGTATAGATAGACTAAATAGAATGACAATCTAACAGAGAAATCAATAAGACCAAAGCATCAAGCAAGAGTTGACAATTCATCCAATCAGGAAACGCACCAAAATCCGTCAGCAGTTCCCCCACTATAGTATATACCGCTATGTAATGCACGTAGTGAGAAGAATACTATTAAAGAGAGTGTAAACTTTGTGAATTGCGGCGCTCGCATGAAGAATATGTTATAGATGTTTGCAATACTTCTTCCATACGAGACTTCAGTGAGTGCAGTCTCATCTCCATAGGTGTCCCTCTTCTACTTCTGGTCAGGAGGAGTAAGACCCCTCTTCTGGTCCGGAGGAGTAAGACCGTCTTCGAATGCCTCGCGCTTCAAGTTCAAGTTAGGGAGATAGACATGGGCGACTGGCTCATCGGCGCGGCGAGCCAGATCAGCGTTAGGAAATGCTGCGGACTGGACAGAGAGGATGTTCAGGCCGACGCTGGCGAGGCTGAGCAGGGGAATGGTAGACCGCATTGTTGGATTTTCGCGGTGAGTGGAGGCCTTCGTTGTGTGAGGTAAAGAGGTATATTGTTGTTGAGATGTTGTTAATGCTCGTCATGGCATTAAGAATTATAGGTTTCGCGATCTGAAGGAGTCAAGGCCAGCTTTACCTTCTTACTTTGAACACCTTTCTCTTCGATCCTACTGAGGAGAAGTGGCATATGGCATCATCTGCTAGACAAATTCGTAGATAATTTAAAGATCAGTTTTACCTTAATTCTTACCTTTTACTACAGTGCCCACTAAATACTTATTCACTCCACTTCCCGCCGCTACCGAAAGATCGTAACATATACATATTGAAACGCCCGAATGTCTAGTAAATTGCATTTTCCGGGTTTTCATTACCCCTATTTGACGGAACAGCTAAGGTATAAGAGGTTAGCTCGACGAGTGGAGTGAATAATTGTTTAGTGGGCACTATACCTTCCTCTTTAGTTCCTACATGTAGGAGGGGTTTTATCAGCGAACCTTCTCAGACTTCATTGACTAGCTAGCTAGCGAGCAAGAATGTTAAAGCGGGACATAGTTATTATTCTATTTGAGTAGTTGTATTTTAAGCGGCCTAGTATTATTTATAGAGCTACGAACTGCTATACCCATGTTCTTCAGTTAGGACTAAAGAGGAAGGAGTAAGAAGTACGAAATAAGGTAAAGCTGACCTTTACAATATCTACTAATTATCTAGCGGGTGATACTCTATATGCACTACAACCAAACCATACGCCACTCCTCTTCTTTGAGTAGTGATATTCGACCAGAGGAGGGGAAAATCTGAGTTGGCACTTATCCCACGAGGGATGACCAGTGTTGCAATAGTGCTTTTCTTTTCGCTTCAAGCGGAATTGGCGCATCCCTAGTTTCCCTTAGGAGCTTGCGGATTATAGATCCTTAATTCCTTTTCGCAGCCCATCCGAGGACGGAGTTGTCAGTGCAGATATGGCCGCGCACGTTGATTAAGATGCGAATCGAGGATGCCGGCATATCTCCGCGCCGTGAGTAGAAATGAGCTGACGTCGCGGGTGTTCAGAATGTCCGTTATCATAAGGATGATCTCGATTCAAAGGTCGAGTAGTGGACTTGGCTGCACCTGTCTGATCCGGACATTGAGATTGAGCACTATTCTGAATTAACTTTTTAGGTAATGTTAAAGACAGATATAGGCGAAGGCTACATTAATATTCTATTTCTTCTTCTTTAGTCATCTAAGGAAGAGATACTATTATATATTTACTTTACTTGTCTATTTGAGGATATTTGGGCACCCCGGAGTCGGCTTCTAGGGGCAATGGTCGCAGTTGGACTATGCAATGTTTTCGCCGTCATCAAGATGGGGTTTATGGACACATTTGACAGGGGGTCGGATGAAAACACTATTTCTTTAGATCTGGAAAGACCCCCGAAGGGCGGGCGAAGAGTAGCGAGCGGTTGAACTAGGCTTTGTCTCCTCGAATCTGACCCTGGGGAACAAATCTCAGTGACCGCATTTCAGGTCCTAGAATTGTCCAGTTAGAGTACTTGGACGACTTGAGGGAAAATATGCTGTTAGCAGATCTCAAGTTTGGAGGTAGCACATTTTTCTAGTATGAGCCATAGCAATTTTGGTCTGGTCTGTAGACCACCATTTATATTTGGAATTCTGAGTGGCAATGACGTGTCCAATTCCAATGTATGATTGACTTCTATTGTCTTTTCGCTGTCGTATTCAACTCCTCATCTATTGAAGGGTCAACTGGGTGGTTCTTTTGAAAAGGTGGACGAGAATGCGGGGTAACTTCCCCAAACAGGCAATTTTCATTGCGTGCGGGGGTGAATCCCTCCGCATTCTTACCTTCAAAGGAAAGCAACGCCGCCGCCGCCTTCGACCCATCCTACTGTGAAATCACCAGCTACCCAATATGAGGATCTTTTGAGCGATTTCAGCACTTAGCGAACACTGAAAATGTCCTCGGGCTCCTCATTTGCCAAAGCTCCTTGCATGAACTGCCGAAGTAAGGAATATCCTAACCATAAGGTGAAAAGCTTTGCTAATTAAACCTGGGATAGCGAGCCACCAGAAATGTAAGTCTCATCTTCCAGTATTTTCCCCACAACAATATTTTTCATGCTTATACATCGCCCACTTCGCTGGCAGGTGATAAGCGAAAGCCGGTTTGCAAGCGCTGCGAGAAGAAGGGACTTGATTGCAAGCCCGTGCAGAGGAAAGCATTATTTCGACATGGATCCACGGCCAATCTGGATGCAAGCTTCTCCGGGGGTCAGATATGGGTGAATAGCAAGCCCAAAAATTGGAGACCAACCAAGAAAACATCAAAAGCTCCTCCCCCTACCCCTACCGCACCACCCTGGGTCGCTGGTGATTCCCAGGGAAATGCCAGTACTGCTGGAGCATATATCTCTGAGAATCAGGCTGTGATCGATGCCTTGTCTCCTCTTGAGACATATGTAACCGGAACCCATCAAAATGAAAGCGAAGAAAACTCACAAGAGACTGATCAGTTCCACGACTCGGATCGCGACCATGGCGACTCGCCCAGAACCCCAGGGCTGGATTTAACATCGAGTGCGACGCCACAAACAAGCGTTCACGACATAAATTTTTCTCCTGGTTGTGACTCTGCGGCCAGGTATCAGGAGTTGGAGATACCGCTTCGTCATTTAAGATATTCTGATTATCAAACTTTGACGGGAACCAGTACTGCGTCCACTCTTGATACAAACTCTCCTTCTTCAAGCAATGGCCTGGCAACAGAATCGAGTGGAGTTGTACAAGAATCTTGCCTTCTACGATATTTTATTGACGAGTTATCGCCTTGGGTAAGAGCCAATCTTGTGTGAGTGTGTGGCGATGGAAGTAACATGACTTTAGTTTGACCATTGTGATGAGCGTCGACATTTCCAACTAGTAGTCCCTCGTCGAGCACAGCATTGTGCAACTCTTCGGAACGCTGTATTCGCCGTATCAGCTCGCCATCTTTGTCGCCTACCACAGTACAAAACCCCCAATGGGATTGTGTACCAAGGGCAATTGCTTCCTAATTTGGAGAAATCTAGCGCACTCGAGTACATGCTCAAGTGCATACCAGATCTCGTTGAGTTCCCCAATATCCATGACCCCATGCACCAAGAGAACCTTATGGCAGCTACAGTAATCTTACGGCAATATGAAGAAATGGAAGAAGACATGGAAGAGAGTGAAGTACAGTCTGCACAACGCGGAGCCGTGAACTTTCTTGCCATTACTCATACGATTATTGACTCTATGAGCGCATCTCCGCTTGATTCCTCCCTTGCCACAGCCACATACTGGATCACTGTTCGACAAGAGATCTACTTTGCTTTGACACGAGAAGCTGTTCCTCATATACGCTTTGATGCCGACCGCTGGCTCAATGTTTCGATAGCGAACACGATGATTATGTTTTCTGGACAAGTTGCTACATGGCGCTGGGGAAATAAATCAGCAGAGGAATGGAGTGAGTGTGACTACTATCGAACAGACCTACAAATCCTGCTCTGAGGTGCTGACTCGAAACCGCTTTAGCCCAACTCAAATCCCAAGAGCATCAGCTGCTCCGCGATTCTTTGGGGGAACTGAAACCGACCCTTGACCTAAAGGCAGAAAGAACAAAGGGTCACATATTTCCAACTGTGTGGTACAATTTCGATCTTCAAGTGACTGCCGTCCAACACTTTCTGTTTGCGCAAATGATTTTGACTGCAGAAAACCCTCATCTCGAGTAAGTCTCCATCGAATTCTTGAGCGATGCAAGCTAAACGGTACCGACACGAAGTGGAGCGAATCGGGCCACACATCGAAAAGCAGAGGCACAAGTTCGATCTTTGGTTCTGAGAACATGCGGAATAGCACTGTGCCATTTGCGAATTCATCCTGCCCTGGTCAATGCAGTATTAGCCATCACACTATATGGTGAATACTTCACAAATCTAGAGGAGAGAGAGGCGTTGCTGGGAATAATAAACAAAACCAGCAACATAAGAGCATGGCCAATGAGAAGACAGTATGATATGGTGCGACAGCGATGGGAAATGATGGATAGCGTTGAGATCTGATGTATAATTCCACAGAAGCTATGTGTGACTCGAGATCGCCACAGGAATATTGACGCCTTCGCTTTATACTACATCAGAAATCTGTTCCTCGTAGACTTAGTACCATCAGATCTGGTTTTTCTCTTTATTCCACAATATGGCAGCCTCAATTTGTCTGAACTCGCACTCAAAGTAAGTTCCAGGTCGAACTTAGTGCCTGAAACGCCAGGCAGACATCGGACGTTCTCCGACATCGCCAGTGAATGTGAGAGACTTCCCCAACCCCCTCTTCTGCAATTGCTAAACACGAATTTGACATGAATGCGATGAACAAAATATAATGTCGCCCTCAGCATCACCCATACAAATTTTCAGGGATGATAGGCAGGAGGATACCCAGCGACCCCAAGCCGAGCAAGCGTGCAAGGAATGCCGTCGCAGGAAGTCCAGAGTGAGCCCTTAAGATGATGTGACGGTTCGCATTGCGCTAATTATCCTTAAAAAAGTGCGACCGCAAGATACCCACGTGCTTTTTGTGCCTTAAATTTCAACGTCAATGTCTCTACGAGAAACTCGCAAAAACACCCCTCACTCGGCGTTATCTCAATGAAGTAGAGAACGAGCTCAGGCAGGCCAAGGAGCTACTGCGGCAAGTGATGCCAGAAGCATACAACAACGCCTTGAATTTTGGGACATCACCAAATGCAGATCATGCACCGAGCTCTGACAATGGCCCTGGGCCATGCCGACTGCAAACGACCTGCGAATTCCCACGCAACTCGGTACCGTCGTCTGTTCGAGCGCAACAAGGTCAAGATCAATTCGAGTATTGTGAAAGCCCGTCTCAAACACGGAGGCGGCAAGCTTCCGTTCCACGGAGTTTGCCGCGAAATCAAACGCCAGAAGCTGGCACAGGCCGGTCCCTGGGGCCATCTGGGCTTTCTTTGGAGACTCCACCATCCACCAGTAATTTTGAATGGGATGAGCGACCTGGCAATGGATATGGAGATAGATTTGTCGACGGCATGGCTAGCTTAACCAGTAGCTTAAATGAGGGTGGATATCTCGGTACGTAGTTTCTATGTCCGCTGATCACAGATGCTAATATTTTTCAAGGAGCTGCATCCGGCGCAGCACTCCTACGGTTAACTGATAACAGGCAGACCGAAACATTGGGCAATGCAGATAATATTGAACACATGACGCAGCAGCAGACTATCAGCATTCCCTTTGCGTTGACCTCACTCGGACAACTAGAACCATTTGTTGAGGCATACTTCTCCCTGTATCATCGGTCATATCCCATTGTGCATGAAGCGACATTTCGGGCTCAGTTTATGGAAGTAATTCCACGGCCGAATGGGAAATACTGGCAAGTGTTGCTATTTGTAGTCGCAGCCACTGGGGCATTTACCGCCTCAACCCAACCGACTGATGTGGACCTTGGCCTTTTCAAAGCGGCGAAGGAGCGACTGTCCGTCGACATGCTCGAAACTGGTAACTTGATATTGGTTCAGGCTTTGACTTTGATCTCAAATTACATGCAAAAACGGAATAAACCAAACTCGGGATACAACTACATGGGATTGGCGCGACGCATCGCTATGGGTATTGGGCTTCACAAAGAGTTTCCAACCTGGGATGCTAGCCTGTTCACAACAGAAATGCGAAGACGAGTGTGGCATTGTCTTTACATTTTTGACGTCGGTGCTATCATTACATTCTCGCGACCATTGGACTTTCCAGATGAGGGAATCGATGTGGAGCTTCCCATGAATGTGCATGATCTTGTATGCAACTTGATATCAGAGTTTCTCGGTCAAAGTCTGGCTAACAATCCCCCAGGACATAACTTCAGGGACTAAAAACATCCCTAAATCAGTAAATGAAACTACCGTATACACACATCTGCGAGCCCAAGCAACATTTCACACAGCAACCAGCCCAGTATACACAAAACTCATCTCGTCACCATTTCCGCCAGCATCAGAGATGATCGAGCTCGATGATACACTTATCGGTCATTGGCTTACAACTCTCCCTCCTTTTTTTGGGGAGAGCGTGATCCAAGAACCACGGTTCCGTCTATGTCATTCGATTCTGCGCTGGCGATACCGCAACTTTCGCATTCTCATGTATCGTCCGTTCCTAGTTGGACGACTGATGGCCCGCCCGGGATGGGTCTTGGGTGCTCAAGATAGCGACGCACAAGTTGACTTGGCCATAAAACGATGTCTGGATGCGGCACATGAGTCTTTAGAACTGATATCAACATTTTGGACTAATGAACCAAAGACAACGATGGCTTGCTGGTATGGGCTTTACTTTCTATTCCAGGCAATTCTGATTCCGGTTATCTGTCTGCGAAATAATCCCCAGGCAGCTTTCGCGATGCGATGGCGTGAGCAGATATGTCAAGCCATGCCAATCCTGGAGTCCATGGCTCAACTCAATCCAACTGCTCTTCGTTGCCTGGAAAAGGTCCGGTCCCTCTGTGGAGCATATCTTGACCCATCAGTTGACGAATGGGGCCAACCAACCGAAGAGTCGCCGCAGACGCAACTTGCAAATCTGTACCCTTTGATGTGGCCCACATTGGAAATGACCCAGCTAGATGGGGTTGATTCGATTTTACAGGAGTCGACAATTCTGGATTTTATGAACCAACTACCTGGAGTCGAATAACAGTCGTGACATAGATACGTGTGGGGAATTGAAAGGTTTAACTGGAAAGATGCTTACGATTCCATTCTTTTCTAAAACTATAGAATTCAATTTAGGGCAAGGTATATCCACCATCAATGATGATATCAGCCCCAGTCATGTAGCTAGAAGCATCGGAGGCACAGAATACGTAGGCCTAGGACTAAGCGTCAGCTCTAGTTCGATAATTGGGTGTGCGTTCTTACCCCTTTCAGCTCATAGGCTTGTGCCATCCGCTGAGCAGGAATCATGTCGAGCCACTTAGTCCGCCATTCCTGGGGATGAATGTCGAGGATGTCAGTTGCAATGAAGCCTGGGGAGATGCAGTTGACACGGCAGAAGTCTACCCATTCAACTGACAAGCACTTGGCCATCTGAACTACACCAGCCTTGGATGCGTTGTACTATATAACATTAACACCCTGGCTTTCTAGTATCAAAAGACTGAAATAGACTTACTGCTGCCTGCTTCTGAGGGATATTCACCAACGTCGCACTCACAGATGCGGTGAAGATAATGTTTCCGTGCCCTTGTTCCTTGAAGATACGCGCCGCAGCCTGCGCGGAGTAAAAAGCACCGTCAAGGTTTACCTTCATGATATCACTCCATTGGCTAGGAGTGTAATCTTCCGCGGCGACACATGACGCAATTCCCGAATTAGCGACCAAGATATCGAGCTTTCCAAAATCCTTTGCAATTCGTTGGATCACAGCTTCGATCTCGGTCTGGTTTGTGACATCGGCCTGATAGGCAGCTGCTCGCACATTGTTCGCAGATGCAATCTCAGCTGCTGTTGCCTCTGCTGTCTTTGAAGTATTGTAAATTAAAGCAATCTAGATCGGATTCCATGAGCCTGAGAGATTTGTATTCCAAGGGTATACCATGACGGCCTACATTAGCACCAGCTTCGGCCAATCCGCGCGACACTTCGAGGCCTATTCCACGGGCACCACCTTGAAGATTTAGTTAGCCACGTCCCTTGGCATCTCCAGCAAATGCATTACCTGTCACCACAGCGACTTTGCCAGTGAGGTCAAATGCCTTCATAACATGTTGGTTCGGGGGCTGAGCGAGAACCATAGTGAGACGGATGAGTTGATGACGGAGATGATTCGACTGGAAGACACAATTTACTTCTTGGAGACTAAATACGGGTTATTTGAATAACTTGTTTCTACAGAGTCAAAAGCTATCGTGGTGGATGGCTACCCAACCCCACACAAATCGGCCCATCTCCGATCGGACGCCCTTGTCCGGCCAGACGGACAACAGTGGCCGGCACGCACGGATTGAGATACATATTCTGCATGGGTTGCATGACGTCGGAATCAAATCAAAACCAGGAAGGGATTGACCCCGCTCGGGTGTCTGCCATCTCGTACTTGCGACATTGCCATTCGAGTGAATCGATTTCGTTCGTCCTAGGACAGAACGGAGTCAATCATTGTGCAAGATAACCCGCAGACGACAAATAACTCTATGTACCTCCACATGTAGGCGACTCCCAATTCTAAACTGTCACACTATAATTTACTGACAGCTCCATTTAAAACTTCAGCAAAGAAGCTATCACTGGATTCTCACTATTCGTACTGGAATCTTGCTCGGGTAAAGAATAATTCACATAGAGTGTTGTTCGGTTCAATCAGACGTATGAAGTAAAAGCACCAATAAACCCAAATATCCACCACTACGACTAGACAATATGCTCAGCGTGTTCTCCCTTTCCAACAAAATCACCGTCCTCTTTGCCTGATATCGCACTGCCATGAAGAACAGAGGGACCATCGAACACCTCTGCGATTTCTTCAAGAGCATGACCCTTAGTTTCTGGAAAGGCAAACCAAGTTACGGCCAAAACAAGGACATCAAAACAGCAGAAGAAGATGTAATAATGCCAGCCAATATTGTTGAGAGCAATGGGATTCACAAAGGCAAGCACAATCAGGGAACCGTAAACGCTAAGCAATTCGACGGTCAATCCCTTACTGCGAATGGAGTAAGGAAATATCTCCGTGGGATAACCTAGCAGTAGAGGCGTATAGGCGATGTCGTAGTGAAAGAAGAAGATAAAAACGAACGCAATCACCGTGCGACCAAGGCCGTCAGCCTGGGTGGTGCTGAATACGGCTGAGCAGGCGGTCCAAACGATGAAGGAGACAAGCATTCCTACAGCTGACCATAGGAACAGAGTACGTCGGCCCAATCGGTCGACAAGTAGTGCAGCACTCCCGGCTGCAATGAAGTTAAAAATCTGGAGAAGGCCGTTGATGAGGGTCTGCGTGTCTGAATCTGTGACGCCGACCGTGTCGAGGACGAGAGTGAGATAATATGACACGACCGCAACACCCTGGCTGAATTGTTAATCTCAGGCCGGGATAAAAACATTGTTGACATCACTCACATTCCACTGGGCAAAAGCACCAACACAGACAGCGATGAAGGTACGCTTGCGGTTGCCTGGAGTTTTCACCAGGGCGGACCATTCTGTCTTGGCCGCCTGGCTTTCCATTTCGATGGTGTGAGAGATCTCGGCCATTTCAAACTGTATTAGGGGGTGTGATGTGTCGCCAGCGGTATGGAATCGGGCGAGGAGTTCCTCGGCCTCCTTTTTCTTCCCATTGGCAATGAGCCATCTATCATGGTGACGGTTAGTACTTACTCGCGTCAGCCGAAGCTAAACAGCGTACTGACCGTGGAGACTCTGGAACGAAGCACCAAAGGGCTATTTGAACGAGAGGAAATCCAGCTTGTATAATAGAAGGAACTCTCCAGCTCCAATCTGACAGGCTCAGATGTTTCTGGGTGCCGTACGATGCCCATGATGCCAAGATAGCACCAAGGTAGTACATGGTCCAGAAGGCGCTGGTATACTTGCCCCGATGAGTTGGGTATGCCAGTTCAGTAATCAACATAGGCGATGGCTGTACGACTAGCATGGAGCCAACTCCTACCAACACGCGGGCGAAGACGAACATGCCATAGTTCACAGATGCCGCCTGAATAATCGATGCGATGACGATCACTATGGCACCCGAGAGAAGGGTCTGGCGTCTCCCAATACGGTCGGACATGATGCCAACAAAAGGAAGCGAGATCACGCTGCCGATGGATTGAGCGGCATTAACAACGCCGAGAACTGAGCCTTCTGGATTGCCAAAGTAATTCTTCCATTCGCTTATAGACTGAAGACCATTCATAAGGGAGCCTAATTGGGAAGGTCTCATATTAGTATGTCATGAGGATTGCGAAATGACAAGGCAGTATGAATTGCTTACCATCATATCCAGCTACTGCGGATGAAAGCAATGGAATGAGCAAAATGAGGTTCAGCTCCAGGAGATGGGGCACCTTGAACCAATGGCGATCATATTGAGGCAGAACAGATGCCAATGCCTCGCCGACAATGCTTTGATCTTTCATTGTGGTATACGTGTTTTCAAATATTCATGGCGGGCTTCTTTCAAACGAGATTTAGGAGACCTAATATACTCTCCAGCGTGTATGTCATTGAGCGACAGCCCTGTCCAGGATTGTGTCGGCAACACGAGACACCGGCAAGGACGGAATGTTATTGGGGGCATATGAGAATCAGAACCACCCGGCTTGCTTGACATTCATTGCCTGTTCCCCGTGGGGAGACGTACCCCGATTTTGCGGGGCGCAATGACGCCTAGCCCGTTAGCCGGTGATTAAGGTTAGACCGTCTACTCTGCGGGTGGCGGTGTCCGATCCAGCGGGAGGCTTTGTCCGTCGCGGGTTAATCCGTCCGTTCCCTTTTGTTGTCTGTAAGAGCTTCAAGGCGGAACAAATCGTATGTGGAGCTTTGTCGCACTGAAGAAAATGAGCTACCCAATGTTAGCGCTGCTGGTCCGGATGCAGGTGCTCGCTTTCAAAGCTATATATTTTGCAGCAACGACAGCTCTTCAGATACCAATCAGATGTTTCTCTCCTTCAAACACAACAAGAGTTGATAAACGCCGTTTTGCCTCATTATGGGTTACCAGCAGAGCATTCGGAAACCGGACCCGGTGCTGTCAGACAGTGTCTTTGAGATGTTCCGAATGAACAACAAAGTGGTCATTATCACCGGTGGCACTGGTGGAATTGGGTATCAGGTTGCTTGTGGCCTGGCAGAAGCTGGAGCAAATATCGCGTTGTGGTATACCAGGTCTTCCCAAGCCGAGGATCTTGCAATGTCTCTCGAGAAGGATTTTGGAATTAAATCAAAAGCATACAAGTGCTCCGTGCAAAATTTCGATGAGGTATGTCCCGCCTTGAAGATATTGATTCTTGATGCTGATTGGAACATCCCATAGGTCCAAGCAGCGACTAATTCTGTGGTGCAAGACTTCGGTCGATTGGATGTCATGATCGCAAATGCGGGAATTCCATCAAAGGCCGGTGGGCTAGATGACAAGCTGGAAGACTGGCACAAAGTTGTGGATATCGACTTCACAGGGGCATACTATTGTGCCCGTGTTGCTGGTGAAATCTTTCGAAAGCAAGGCTCAGGTAACTTGATCTTTACGGCTTCTATGTCTGGTCACGCAGTGAACGTACCCCAGCAGCAGGTAAGTCATCAGTGGGCAAATATTCCTTAGTAAAGGTTATTCTAAATAGCATACAGGCTTGTTACAATGCTTGTAAGGCAGGCGTTATTCATCTGGCGAAGTCATTGGCGGTTGAGTGGGCTGATTTTGCCCGTGTCAACTCCGTCAGCCCCGGTTACGTCGACACGCCAATTAGTGGGGATTGTCCATTCGAGATGAAAGAGGAATGGTATTCTCTGACACCTTTGAAACGCGATGCCGATCCTCGTGAGCTGAAGGCTGTTTATCTCTATCTCGCAAGTGATGCCAGCACGTACACAACAGGGTCAGATATTGTGGTTGATGGTGGATATACTTGCCGATAAGAATTGCAAGAGAATGATGAGGGATGCCATCAGATGTCATAGTTTGGTGACAGTGAACACAGATTGCTTAGAACTTGATGGACATTTATGCTAATAATACTCATTAAGATGATGGACAACCTGACAAGAGCTCTAGAATAGACCCGAGAGAGTATCAAGAGGAGTGATATTGAAATTGATATTGACAGAGGATATTTCAGCAAAAGTAGAGATGTATCTCTGACGAGGAAGTTTACTGGTGATAGTTGCTCAGACTGGGAGGCAGATCCTCTGTCTTGGTTCCCCATTTGCTTTCAGTTGAGCCAAGCTCCAATTCGAGCACACCTCCTTCAGTGAAAAAATCATGAGTGAGCCAGTTCTTTGTCCACGTCTTGCCGTCCAGCTTGGCACTCTGAATGTAGATTGACTTGTAACTGGCATCGAAGTTCACATTCCGAATCGTTGCGGTTTTACCAGTGAGAGGATTTTTGACGCTCACTTCCTTGAAGTATGGCGGTGTGATCAGGTAGACATCCTGCCCAGGAACAGGCCAGAGACCCATCATACTCAGCATAACAAACGAGCCCATGGCACCACTGTCATCATTGCCTGCGATGCCAGCGGTAGTGGTATTGAATTGTGACGGGATATAGAAATGGCTGTACTTGGCAGACAGGGCAGGACGCCCGCCATAGTGGAACTGGAAGACGGTCAAAAATGCTTGTTCATCGCCCACATAAAGAAGGCCAGATTCGTGAAGGAATTCCAATCGTGAGATGAATTGCTCTGCCCCACCAAGGGTTTGGATAAGTGCTCCCATATCATGTGGAGCATAGCTGTGTGAGATTATCAGCCAGGTGGACTTTGAGTAATCAATGGATGAAACTTACAAGGTATAAAGCCAAGAACTTCCTTCATAAGTCTCATGACCATCGGGATTCAGATAGCAGGAAGTGAAATTTAGCAGGGGACTGCAAAAAATGGGATCCTGATATCCCCATGTACCGTTCGTGTAGCGAGGCTGCAAAAATCCAGTAAAGTTGGTGTCCGCGCCGTTGATGCTAGACTTTTGATCCGCCTTGAACATGTGTGCCCAGTTACCCGAGCGAGTGGTATACTTTTCGTAGTCGGCTTGCTTACCCATGCCTTTCGCCATCTCGGCAATACAGAAGTCGTTGTAGGCATATTCCACAGTTCGCGAGATACTGCGAGTATGAGTGCCCACGCCGTCAGGATCGTAATCGTCAGTGGGGATGTATCCCAGACTCTTCCAACTTTGCAGGCCACCACGTCCCTCAACATTCCAGTTTGCGGGCTCAACTTCTGCGTCCTTGACAACGGCCTCGTAGGCAGTGTCCCAGTCAATTCCTTCAACCTTTTTCAAATACGCGTCGGCCATGAGGACATCGGCGTTAGAGCCTCCCTGGGTATAGCCCTTGCAAAGAGACATCCGGCAATCAGGCAAATACCCCTCATGGCGGTAAATGTCAAGGAGACTTCGCATCATCAGGGATTGCGATAGAGGGTCGACCAGTGTTAGTAGAGGGTGAATGCTCCGGTAGGAGTCCCAAATACTGGAAATTTTGATGAGTAAATAGTTTGCAAGACCTTGGGAAACGAATAAGATCTTACCAGTAGTAGCTATCATAGTACGGCTCATCGCTTTCCCAAAGGGGATTCTCCCCGGTATAGTCTTGAGGACTAATCAGAGACCGGTATGATCCGCTCCAGAAGACTGTTTGCAGATCTTTCGAGACTCCATCTGCGTCAACAGACACGACATTCAGTTTCTTCTTCCAGGCAGTCTCAGCTGCAGCCCTAGTGCCATCAAAGTCAAAGTCGGGTTGTTCCCGCTCCGCATTAGCACATGCTTGGTTGACACTCATGAAACTCACTCCCACACGAGCTAGGATCGTGTTGTCTTTCGGGCTGTGGAATCGAACGAATGTACCGGCTGAGAGGGTGGCGGGGGTATTTGTGCCATCGGCGCTTAAAGAAACGGTTTTCCTGGTTATATTGGCCCGATTCTTGGTCCAGACACCGGTGTCACGAAGCTCCGCACCCTTGAAGTCGACACAAAAATGGAGATCATAGCTTCCGATACCGAAGCTGGGATTAAAAGTGCCATTTCCAGTCAGGCGGCCGGTGGAGGAATCAACGTCGGCGGTTCCATTACTTCGCGACTGGGGTAGATCTATCAAATCCACTAGCACTACTGGACTCAGCGAGTCTGATGATGCCCCGTCAAAGGTGAACCGATACAGAGCAGATCGGTTGGTTGTCGTCATTTCAGCTTGAACACCGTTGGCCAGCGAGATGCTAAAGTATCCCGGGTGGGCCTTGACCGAGTTTCTCTCCCAAGCCACTGCTCTGTCGTTGAGCTGCCATTTGCATTGGTTGATATCATCATTCGGGCAAGAAGGCTGAGCGAAGATTGGAAAGTTTCCCAAGGACGGGGACTGGAAAGTGTTAGTTTTTCATGGCACTCTCAAAACTGAAGAAGTAACTTACTCCGCCAGTGCCGGAGTCATGCATATGGGAGAACCCGGTGACAACTGTGGTATCAAAGGCGAAGCCTGCCTGGTTCTCGCCCACTGTATCTGCGACAGCCTTTGCCATGCCTATTGCTCGTTAGACATATGAGTATCAAGAGGAATACGATACTGACCAAAAGGCAAGGTTGCTCCAGGGAATACATGGCCTAGTAGAGATGTTAACTTAGCTGCTGGGCAGGTTGTACAAGATGGCTCTAAAATGTTGTACCTCCGTTGGCCGTCCCAATCAAAGGGTCAACATAGTCCAAAACGTCAAAGATATCAGCCGAAGCGACCGAGGCTGTCAGGGCAATAGAGCCATAGATTGCTCTGGTTAATGCACCCCGAGGGCGCAGAGTTTGTGATAGCATAATTGCCTCAAGCAGACACCAAGCTGGCCCGCCGATCCCAACACTCTAGCAAGGGTGAACGAATGAGACAGCAGACTTCAAGGTAATAGGTTTTAACGAAACGCGTTTCACGTCGGGCTCCAGCGTCTTAGTATTTACCGTCGCGGGGAGAAGCATTCCACGCGTCTCGATCAACAAGGTTGCTGCCCCCTTTCTAGGCCCGCCCTGCTATTTAAGCTACCATCTCGGGCCTCTGGACCAAAAAGCAACAGCGAGAGACGTAGCATCGGCTGCTGCATGGTGTCACATCGGTGCTTGACTACATTACCAACACTAGGGACTATCGTAACAAGCTTGCAGCAGGCGCGTGCGTTCCCCAAGCTCAAGGCCAACCCCCGCGCAGTAGCATTATCGCTACTGCAGTGATGAGCAACCTTCATACTCGAAACAGCAACCTGGCCAACAGGGGAGATGGAGATAGAGAAGTGCAACTTGCAGGCTCGTCAGGTGGAGCGCCGATCCTTGTTGATTTTTGGACAGACTGGGCGAATGAACCACCCCAAGCTGCGGGGAACGCGGGTCCCCTGATTGCAAGATTCGTGGGATTTCCATCGGAGTGGGGAATTGACATCGACTCAGTCTATCGTGCATGTAACCTCCGCACGTTACCTTGAGGTTAGATATGGAGCTTTGAAAGAGGGGAAGAAGATGTTCGAGGAAGGTGAAGCTATAGAAGGCACGGTGTTTAGGTGTTTGTGGCCTAATCCATCGGCTACCCGCATCAAATAACAAACAACCAGAAAAGCGACGAGAGCCAGTTAAAACCTACTGAATCATCGATCCATGGGAATTCCACGCGTGTACGAATTGTGAGGATTTCTTCTTTCGAGCTTAATCGAGTTTCATAATTTACCTATGCTTGAAACCGTAAACAAAGTTTACATGCGGACGGAGCTTCCCCGAAGCCCGAATTGAGTGAATTGTTACATTCTACTGTTTTCCCGAGCATGGCATGATTTCATAGCTATTTTGGCATTTAGATAAGATCTAAAACAATACTATCCCAAGATTTCCCACTAGTATCCGGTGTTGGCCTTGGAATGGGTGAGAAAGTAGAGGGAGTCGAAAAAGTAGGCTCTCTAGAAGGAAGTCGAGAGTTGAGGTACGTTCGAATTTGGATGTTCTCGGTTTGAACTCTTGAAAACTCCTCTCTCAGGACTGCTGCTTTCTGGAGCAGCGACCGGTGCGATTGGATTTCTTGCATCATCAAATGAAGCTGGTGGATGAACTCTGGCCGACGGGTCACGTCCTGCGTGTCTGGTTGAGCCAGAAGGGCCAAGATATGCGGATACATGTCTGTGATCGGCGATAGGTTTGTTGATATATGATCATGCTCAAAGGCATCAACACCCTCCGGTACATATTGAAATGCCGAGGTAATTCCCGGCATATTGTTCATACCCGTCCATGGGGATGCGCGAGAACTACTGGAAACACTTCCATACGAGGGTGAAATGAACCCCGAGGCTGCAATTGGAGTGGTATCTCTTGAGGCATTTGAAGATGAAGGTGGCACGGGAAGTGAAGGAGGCGCTCTGTCCCAGCCTTTTGCTTTACATGATGGGCAATGAAAGCTGTCAAGTGGCATCGGGGCTGCAGTACTCGGCAGACATTGTGCATGGTAGGATCTACAGCATGTTTCACAGCCGATCAAATTCTCCGGGAGATAGCACCCTGAGCAAACGAAGACATGTTCTTTTCCCGCAGCTATAATTTCGTCAGTATAAGTACAGATGGCCTGGTTTGGAGGAAATGTCATTACTGATCCAGTCATGATATATTCGGCTTTGCTCCTGTTCCGGGAGACCATTCGGCTTTGATGAGGGACGCCATGCCGCTTGGCTTTGCCGACTGGGCCGATATGCGATCGGGTCTGTTTCGATCGACTGTCTCACAGCACGAACAGAATATCCCTGGTTATCAATATTGGGGCCTGATTCTTGAGATGTCCGTAGCATGATTTTCTTTGCGAGAGATCTAAGAATTCAGACAGCAGAGGCTCCAGGAAAATGGGTTGAGGATCTGGCGCAGCCACATGCCGAACGAGCCGGTTTGCCGAATATACACCGAACCATATCCGGCTTACATAATATGATCCCTTGATGAGCGTCATAATGTTTGTTCTTTTTCGATACTTCCAAGCCCTCGTAGCTCCTTGGCTTGGATTGTGAAACTCCAAGATTCCCGGCATGTAAGACCAGGAGCACACTGTTGAGATTTCTTTTATGCTACGAAGGGATAAGGTGTGCAGCCTCCGAAACGTGCGAGTGATCAGATCACCCAACCTCTTGTGAAACGCACAATGCCAGGAGTTCCGTCTAATAAGGCATGCGAGAGGTGTAAAAAGAGGCATCTGAAGGTATGTATTCACTATCAACTATTTCAATTTGGAAAAGCTTCCACTGATGATCTCCAGTGTGATGAGACACGTCCCCACTGCCAGCGGTGTGTCACCGCGGGCGTTGAATGTCCTGGCTATGTCCAGACGCGTAAATTTATCGATCAAGGTGCCACAGTGAGGCGTCGGTATGCTCCATATCAAGAGAGTCATACAAAACCTAGTACATCGGCCAATGCCAACCAAGTAAGTGACATTAAAGTCTTCCGCTCTAGCTGAGACCTGACGTTCTCGAATAGGGAGATGAACATCCACCTAATTCTGCACAGAATGAAGGTCAACTGGCAATCAATCAGGACAAGCCAAGTCAAGCTCCAACTGATAGTGGGAAGGTGGGCTCTACCTTCAGTTTCCAGCTGGAACAGTCAAGACCAGACTTTGGAACCGACACCTCGATGGCTGAAGTGTCTACCTCCACTGTCCAACCGAGCATAGCGGTAGGCGCAACTGATTTGCGCACCCAAAATACCCCAGGATCCCAATATGGCACAGAAATCAACCGGCTTGCTGGCTTTGGGGACAGAGGGAGCTCAACAAGAAGCCCCCTACAAAGCCCAGAAGTATCAGGCACTGCGATGATGGGGCTTGTCCCAAACTTTGAAAATAGCTACAACATCCAGCATCCCGACCGTCAAAACTATGGGAGAACCTTCACTTCCGAGAGCCCGTCTCAAAGAAGCGAGAAAGAGGAATTCCAGGACATTTTCTCCGAGCTAATGACGGGCACCGAACATGAGATAGCATTTCTTACCCGCCATTTTGCAGAAGTCTTGGGTCCCTGGTATGTCTGTTATCTATAATTCTCCCTATGCTTCAATACTGATCAAATAACAGGCTGGATTTATCCGACGCTGCAAAATTCTTCTCAGTTTATGTCCCGATCAGAGCTCTTAATTGTCAATGTTTAAAATACTCCATGGCAGCTTTGGCAGCCAAGCAACTCGGCCGAGTGAAAGGTTCCAAATCAAGCACTGGGCGAGGAATGTTCACCAGTCCTGCTACAACAGAGACATATCCAAATTCTGAGCAAGTGGACTGGTTTCTCAAGGCAGCAAACTACTACTATCTCTCTGTATCGGATCTAACCACCTCCACGTCAGATGGCTATTCTGTCGTATCTACATCGGCAGTGTTGGACTCGCCTATTGACTTGGTCGGGCGGTGGCTGAACACACAGGCTAATCAAGGTGCGGGCCAAAACCCTGATGACGGGGCACTTTTGCGAAAGACAGAAGAGATTCTGGCGACAGTCACTGTTCTGACGTTGTATAAATTGCTGGATGCGAAAGGAGAGGAGTGGCACATGTATATCTCTCTATCCATTCCAAGGTTTCAACCTGCTAACTTTAGTAAACAGGTACCTCACAGGCATTCGCCAAGTTTTCAATGCACTCCTTCAAATGAAGCAAATGAACTCGACGTTCTTCTCTCATGGAGTTAGGGCGTGTTTCTGGAATTTCGCTCGCCAGGATTATCTTGGATCATATTACATCCGCTCGGCTACGCATCTTGATCCCGCAAACACACCTCTTTGGCGCGCAGCAGGGATATCAATCGACGAGCAAGAGAAATTCCACATCATTGCAAGCGGGTCCATTGACTTATCCCAGGAAGACCAAACATTCAATGGGCTATGCTGGCTTGTTTCCAAAGTTGTCAATTTCCTCACCAAATCCAAACAATCCCAGATTGCCCAATGGACGGGCTCTCCACCGGAAAATCCATCTGGAGCGCAAGACACACCTAGCAACTCCAACCAACAGCCGACATATCCCGATACAAACGCTTGGCTAGACTTATGCTTTGAATTTCAAACGTGGTTCGAGGGCGTTCCGGAGACAATTCGCCCATGTGTGCGAATCGAGCACCCCAGAGATTTGTCGAAGCCACACGATGGTAGCCAAATTCCGTTTCCCGAGGTTTTCCACGGCTTGGCAACATGCGCAGCTGCTATGCAGCATTATCACTTTGGGCGAATCGCATTGTTGTTGAATCGGCCGCAGGACGTTATAAGTGGGCCAAGTACAGCATTCGACCGTCTGCAAGGTTACCGAGAAGTTACGAAAGAGGTTGAGTACCGCTGTCGAGAAGTATGCGGTATTGCTTTGGGGAGACCCCACGCTGAAGTGCGGATCTATATGATACCCCTTTTGTTTGCTGTGGGTCAATGTTTGGAGAGCACGAATGAGCGACAGATTATTGTGGACCTCTTACGGGGTGTCGAGGCAGACCTGGGTTGGGCCACGGAATATGCAGTGGAGAAGCTTCACTCTTCGTGGAATCGATGAGGTTGACAATTCAACATTTGGGTCGCCCTTCGCACACCAATGTTAATAGATATATCGTCGTGGATGAACCTAGCGCCATTGTGCTATTCCACGACGGTTTTATTGTGTCTCAAGCTACGAGAGCGTCGTACTCAAAGCGCGGCCGTGGGCTCGTTTACTAGGCGGAATTCCTCCGTTGAAACTCCAGGGCCACAAACTCGGGATTTATTGTTAGCGTTTCAAGCGCTCTCTTATCCTATGTACCTAACAGATATTTTTAATCGCAATAAATAATGAACATGCGACGATCTTAACTCAACCCCTATTTGGGGAGTATTGGTTCCCTGCTGATCGGCTCCATATTAGTATTATTGTAATGCTGATAAAGCTATGGAGCACGTATAACGCCTGAGATCCTGATATATTGACCTGAAGATCAATGTTCCTGATTGGCCTTCTTGTTTGATGTTAGTAATGATTGTCTAATAGTAAGAATCAAGATTTCGGCTAATCAACAGCCGTGCCTACAAGTTTCGGCACCGCATTTGCAACTGATCATCCCGACAAGCTTCCTGACCGAAATCGCTCGAAGTTTGTGCTGCTCACTCTTTTTCCTAGAATTAATGGCATCAACGCTACCTAAAAACCCAGCTGGCTAAGACTCTCACATGACGACACCATCATAGGGCACTTTCAACTCGAGACACCCGACATTTCGCCCGAGAGACAGCTCTGTTTTCCCAAACAAGTAAACGCGGGCAAATGCCGCGGGGGATTACCGGGTACGTTTTTGTGGCAAACTTAGACGAGTCTCCAAAGACGAGACTGTCGCGAATGCGAATAGGAGGATCGCTCGGTGATGTGGGTGTGCGGGGTGGAATCTGGGGTCAAAGTGGAGTTCTCTGGGTACATAGTGGGCATCATTATTGACCAAACCATGCGCTGGCTATTGTCCTCTAGTCCGAACAAGGTGGGTTAGAACTCTAACCCACTCAACCAGAATGTCAAATAACGATGTTTCTCTGGGTCTCCGGACAAAAGGGGCTTCTACGATAAATATACGGCGCTATCATGATGGGGTGAGACTTGATTTGGCTTGTGGTCTTCGCGGCCCTTGTGGGGTTCGGTAATTCCATAGTAGACCCCCCGGCCCAATTCCGCACGTACAATATCCATGGAAGCTTCGTCGCGTGAGTACTTAAAATAAAGCGTTGCCCTATGTTCCAACGATCTTGGTAGTTGGTCAGTCGAGCTAGTCTCCTCGACCTTTCCTCGGCTTAAGCTTGATCAATATCCCGATAATTTATTCAAGCCTGCGAGGGCAATTGGTTCAAACATGGAGATGAATTATGATGAAGGTGTAAGTAATTTGTCTTGACTATCATCCATTTGAACTGGATCGTAGCTAACATGGTTCTCATCACTCCTTAGGCTCTCCACCAGTATGAATGTCCTTTCCCATCACGATTAGTTCAAAGTTGACTCTAGTTGGATAGGCTCGAGGAGGAGCTGGGCACCACCATTTATCCCGGCACGGAGATTATGGCTGATGTAGGCACACATCATTTTGTGAAGTCCTCGGCCAAGTCCGACCGTGTGCTAGTACCTCAGCCATCGCAAGATCCTCATGATCCTCTGGTCAGTATCATAAAACCAAGCGGCCGAGATATTCACTGACACCTCCTTCAAATGCAGAATTGGAGTCGTTTCTGGAAGTTGAGCGCTATGGCTATTTCCACTGCGACTTCTTTCAGCCAAGGTCTAGGACCCCTTGCGCTGGCACCCATGTTTCCACAATTGATGGAGTCATTCAACTCGGACCTTGCCGGCGTGGTACAATTCACGGGTGTCTGTATTCTGGTGCTGGGTTTCAGCAATTTCTTCTGGTATGTCGACCCCTGTTGGTACAGAACCATCGCTTACCCTATGGTACTTAGGATCCCCATCCAAACGTCCTATGGTCGACGGCCCGTCTTGATATTCTCCACCTTGATTTGCCTTGTTAGCAATATTTGGCGGGCGCTCGCAACTTCATATGGTAGCTACATGGGCGCATGCGTTCTCAATGGCTTTGGTGCTGGTCCTGCGGAGACCTCCCAGCCTGAGATTATCGCTGATATCATGTTCCTTCATGAGCGAGGTGCCTACAACACACTATACTTTACCGTATACTTTGGATCTTTGATGGTGAGAGGCCCCCCATACGGTTGTATGATTGCATCACTAATGTCTTGATAGGTCGGCCCAATCATTGCTGGGCCCATGGCAGAGCATATCGGCTGGCGCAGCTTCTTCTGGTTGAACGTCGCCGTCCTTGGTGTCGTGTTGCTCTTCCAGATCTTCCTCTTCCCAGAGACAAAATGGCACCGAGTTCATCCTGACGAAGTCACCCACGAAAGCTCAACCGGGGTCATGGACGACTCGGAGCCCGAGAAACCGGTGGAAGTCACCCAGCAAGAGAACGTGGAAGATGCATCCGAGCGAGATCCGTATCTACACAAAGGTCGCCCTTCCAAGAAGCAGTTTATGCTCTGGCAGCTTGACGGAAACAACATCAAGACTGTTCTTCTCAGCTTCTGGATCCCCTGGAAGTTGTTGACCTTCCCGATTGTCGAGCTTGCGGCCTTCGTTGTCTCCTGGTCGGCCAGTTGTTTCTTGACGCTGAACCTCACCCAGAGCCAGGTTTTTGCCGAGCCTCCATACAATTTCAATAGTCAAACTATCGGCTTCTTCAACTTTGCCATTCTGGTCGGAGCCTTCATTGGTCTAGCCACCAACGGGCCCTTCTCAGATTGGATCTCCATGAAGGCCACTCGCAAAAACCGAGGTATTCGTGAGCCGGAGATGCGATTGCCTGCTATCGCGATCTACATGGTCATCATGATAATCGGGAACTTTGTGGTCGCGTTTGGGTACGAGTATAAGTGGGACTGGCGGATCATTGTCATCATCGGATATACTGCGGCTGGAATCCAAGTCGCTGCTCTGCCGGCCATTGCAAGCACATATGCGGTGGACAGCTACAAGCCCGTTGCGGGCTCGATCTTTGTTTCCATCACCGTCAATAAGAACTTGTGGGGATACGGCTTCAGCAAGTTTATCACCCCGTGGATTGAACAGAGCGGATACATCAAGCCAATCATGTTGAATATGAGTCTGACGGCTCTGTGGTGTCTCTGTGCGATTCCTTTCTACATGTACGGAAAGAGGTTCAGAGGGTGGACGGCCAAATCCTCGGTGCATAAGATGTAAGAATGGCTCGTGGGGCGTCGTACAGTAGGCACAGTTGACAATTCAATGTGAAATATGCTATTCTTCTCTTCCAACCGTAATCTCCTTGGTATCATAATAAATAATGTGAAAATGCTCAAAAGTCGTCGTCATCAGGATCATAAAGGTCCAGGTCCAGAGTAGCCTTTGGTTTAGGCTTCGGCGCAGGTGCTGGCGCAGGTGCTGGCACCGGTGGCCTTGCAGCAACGGGGGCAACAGGAGCAGCTGGGCGAACGGGCGCAGCCTTTGCAACCTCTTCCTGCTTTGTCTCTGTCGGTTGGACAGGCGCCGGGGCTTCTGTAACCTCCAGGCCTTCTGCCTCGCGTATCAATCGCTGAACCTCCTTTTCACGGTCAGTACCCTCGGCGGGTATCTTGCCCATCAGACCCATGCGTATCCTGTCCTCCGTTGGGTATGGTAGTAGATTTACTTCGCGGGTGACATTCGCCGAATCGTCCAGCCACTGGGTCGCATTCTTCGTAACAGACGAGACAGGTTCGGCACCGTCTTCCTCTGCACCCGTTTCGCCATTCATCCCCGTCATCGTCACATCTTTGTCCGCAATCTGTGGTCGCGTGTCCTGGCGAGGACCTAACCCGGCACCTTTGGCAACATCGGCCGCGGCTTCCTGGTTATATTTGCTGATGCGGCGCGCAAAGTCCAGAAGCAATCGGTAGTCGATCTCTTTGCGGGCGGTGATCCTGCTCTTGGCTGCCTCGCTTTCATCCTCCGAGTCGAGGTCGCTGTCAACCTCTTCATCGTCACCGCAAGCGATTCTAATCTCCTTGTCAAATCCCTCAAGATCCCTCACAATGTCTTTGACACGTTCTTCCAGCCGCTCTGCCTCGGATCGCAATTGTAGAATTTTGGCGTAATTGTCTTGGTGAAGTCGAAGGGTGTCGATGGAGGAGGATAAGGTGTCGTCGGCTTCGAGTAGGGTAACTGCAGCGGCCGGCGCTCCAGCTGCACCCGGGGATGTCGTGAGGTGTTTCAGCAGAGTATTAAGTTTTGACTCGACGTCAGTCAGAGAAGACTGCATAAGCGCATTCATGGTGAAGGTGTGCGCGGAAGGAACGCGCGATCGGAGCTCGAGTTGGAGGTGGCCGACTGGGTTTGAAGGAAAGAGAAGATGCTCGAGGTTGGAGCTGAGAGTCTGATCAGGGCTAGGAGTTATTTGGAATTGGTATCTTCTGATCAGACTCTGCTGCCTGATATGTGTGCATCGCAGAGTATGAAGGCAGCATTGGAGGAAGCTCAGACCAATAAAGCTGCGGGAAACATCACGTGAGTCACTCTGGAAACGATCGAGCGACGCCCTAAAAGACCTCGCTTTTACCACTTTCCGCCTCCGCCTCGCGAATATAAGCATCAATTATTAAACACCATTTCATACCCGTTCCTAAATTACATGACTTCGTTGAGCAATATCGCGAGCAATATCCTTGTTCGAGTTTGAGCCATAAGTCAACTAAAAGCAGCAGAACTAGCCCAGTTAGTTTCTGCTTTTTTACACCAAGTTCTCCAACTCGCGACAAACAATGTTTCACAACCAAAAAGTCTGTACTTGTGCTTTCTATTGACTTTATGCCTCATCCGATTATTCAGTCTTCGGCTGGGGGCTTGCTTCAACCTCCAATTCAGTCCACGTAGAACCCACTATGCACCGTCGCTTGCGTAGACGGCAAGAGGTGCAGGCGTTAATGCTTGGAAGAGCGCTACTGGGCAGATTCAGACATGTCTGCCGATGCCCACCATTATAGATTCATAGCTGGCGAGTCGATGAAGCCGAGGCTCTGTGGGGTCTCTTGGAAAGAAAGACGTCTACCCTTCTCCACTCTGTTTGCAGTGTTGATTGGTCCGACAACCAGAGATGATGGTCCATGGATGAACCATTGAAAAGATGGCTCCAAGACTATACCATATAAAGTGCGTCTCGAAAATGGTGCAACCTTACCGTGGTCTCGGCAGCTCAGGGTCCAAGTTAAAGTCCAATGGAAGAGATCAGTCTCCTCCTTCATCTACTCAGTTTCGGTTATTTTAACCGAATTTAAGGATGACGGGCCTTGGCACCTGCCAACACTGCCTCCACTCCGCACTTCAAGGTCAAGGTGTTTTTATATAGAGGCAAAGCAATCATGTCCAAGATAATTTCACCTCCGATTCTCATCCAGCCATGTTGCTCTACAAGTGCAACTCCTGTAATGAATCCATCCCGGATTCCAAAGCACGCCTAACATGCACTACTTGCACACCACCCATGACCCTCTGTGCCAACTGCTATCTCGTCCAGGAATATCCTCAGCAACATCAGGATGGTGCCCCTCATTCCTTGTTATTACACCCTCACAGCGGCTATCTCCCTGTCCCACCCCCTCCCCCGGTACGAAACCTGGCCGCTGCACGACGAAGACCGGCATCCGTATCGTATACCCAAGTGCCACCCAGGAAGCCCCCTCGCCCGACCGTGCCAGCAAGGAAGGATGAGCCCGATGCTGCCACGACACTATCGGGACAGAGCCCATCACAGCCGTCAACTCCAGGTCCACAGCAGCATAACACAGAGCAGATTCCTGAACAGCGACAGCGGGAGCAGCCTCCTCCACAGCCGCAGAGTCCACAGGATCAACAGTCGCCGCCGCCACCACCACAACTTCCTCAGCGAGAACAGGAACAGCCTCCACAGTCCCAGCAGCGACAGGAACAATATCAATATCAGCAGGAACACCCACAGTATCAACAGCCGCAGCAGCAATATCAACCCACGGGCTGGACTCCCTTCTTCAATCAAGATATGACACCGACTGCCGACTTCATCAGCCTGATTGAACAATTCTTCCACCATCTAGACCTACGAGGCACCGGATATCTCAGTCCAGAGACCTACTCGGAGTATCTCGACGCCTGCGGCGCACCCGCAGACCACAACGTCTGTAAGTATCCTCCCGCCATCACACCTTCCAAACCTAGCTTCTAACCCTTCCACAGGGAAAGCTAGCCGCGCGCGAACCCCCCATCACGGCTACGACGTCGCCGACCGCGAACTAGCCGACCACTACACAGCCTACTCAGTCGACTTCGCCCTCCACCCCCGCACCCCACCCCCAACACCCACAGATTCACCCCTAAACCCCCTAACATACATGCCAGCCTCCCAACGCGCCATCTTCGAGCGCTTGATGCCCCCGAACGGCGGCGTCCGCTCTGTATCCGGGGGCCAGAAGCCCATGCTCTCGCTGCACGGGTATAGAGAGCTATTCGTCCGCAGTGTCCTGCTCAACCCGTCGGCGACGTGGGGCCAGATTAATCGGGCGATGCGCCATTATCGGCTTCCGCTTTGGACGAGGAGGGGCGATGTTCCGAGGGAGATGTTGCCGTTGGCGCCGTTTCAGCCCGAGGTTGATCGCACGCAGGTTATGTTGGAGGGGGCGAGGGCTAATGCTGAGCGGGAGATGGATGCGTTGCAGGCGAGATTGTTGATTGAGAAGCAGGGGAGACAGCATGCGTTGGATCTATTGGATGATCGGGTTTATGTTTATCGGTGATTTGCATTTAGTGGACCCTTGACTTGCACTTAACGGCGAGGAAGCAATTCTTAGCACTATATACGGCGATATTAATGAATCAATGGAGACACTGCTACCCAGGCGGCTAATGTCAAGATCGCGCTGTCCTGAGAGACCTGCCACAGCACATATTTTGACGTGATAGAAGCCAGAGGTCAAGTTGCGAATGTCCGACAAAGCTCGGTCTTCCTGCCATCACAGTACTTATCGCTGGGGCTCTTTATACATTTGGAATCGGACTTTTTGGGATTCCTGGTGAGCTAGCCCTATGTGGCCAGTGTATAGCCAGAGAGACTAGCGTATCATACATCTAACAGATCCTGAACAGCAACTCCATATCACAGCACAAATAAACAAAATCATCCCAATACCAAACAGAGCTGAGAGATTTCTACAATTAGTTCATAACACAATTTCGGTGATCTGTATAACTGCCTCGAGAATTCGCGAGGTAATCGACAGTACACTTTGATAACATTCTCCACCCAATTTAGTAGACTTATAAGCTTACTACATTCGACAAAAAGCACAATTGAGGTAGCCAATCCTAGGTTGGAAATTCGATGGTATGTGCAGTCGCCAAGAGACTGCAAGTTCAGAACGGTCAAGGTGAACCAGTAGAAAAAACAACTATCTCTTGGCGAAATTGATTTCTAGCGATATCTCCGGATCCAAGGCTTGTGAATCCATACTGATACGTTCACATTTACTCTAACTCCACACTCTCTCGGTTGATACCGGTCTTGACCCGGTACTACCGTGATAGCGGTAGTAGTCAATCAATCAATCAATCAATCAACACTCTATCAACCTGTTGCAGCCTAACTAGTGGCGTATGGCTATGCAGGCGCTTCCTCCGGTGGAAGCAAGAGTGATCCGAACACCAGCCAAAGCGCATAAAACAGTAAATACCAAGGAAAACGGCGTCATGCCATATAAAGTCAGCCCAAAAATCAGTCCACGACATTTTGTTGCCCTAAGTGAGAGGGTTTCACGGTGTAAATTTAGTATTCAAGAATACTAGAGTGGCTTACTGCTCAATCTTTCAATTTCTCAGCTATACGTTTTGAAAGCAACCCTACCCTAGTGTTAGCTTAGATCTTACTACCTGCGACGTTCTCGGAAGGCCCTGAGCTATCGATGCCTAACTTGTGTGGTACATCTAAGTAATAGGAAGAACCAGGGCCCTACCTAGAACGCTAGAATTAGGTAATAGTACCTAATTAATTCCTGGATAGCTATCAGGTCTAGATATCCTAAAGCCAGAACTTAGGTTACTAAATCCTTAATCAAAGAGAGGCTTGACAAAGGAAAACAGATGAACTGGTGAATATCTATCTACTTGGGAAAGGTTGGCACATGTACATTAGAAACTTTGGCACAGGACGGCCTTTCGGCCGTCAACGACTCGGAAAGAGCCCTGTTGGGAGCTGTACTCGAGTATAATACATCTCCCTCTCTCTATCCAAATCCCTTAATTGACCCAATGGATTACTAGGACCGCCTGAAATGCTAACGCAAAATCTTTCAAGATACAACAAAGTTTTCGAATCTCACCGTACCAGCGGCCTGCCGTGGGCCCATTTTAACAGCGAAAATTCCAAAAAGAGTTCCGGTGAAATCACATGCCGTCATGTCCAGTGCGTCGATTGATCCGAGCAACACCCATTCTTTAGAAGTTTCAGCCCTGCTGAAGAATTCGTACGACTCTGCGGATGAGGATATCTTCATTTGGGCTTTCTGGGTGGCAACTTTAACTTCTGCGACCACCTTGGGTTCGCCCTTCAATTGAAGGCAAACCTCCAGTGTTATCTTGTGTGTATCTGTGTCGTAGCAGATGTCAACATGGCGAACATTCTCCTTGAAGAGGGAGAGCCCAGTCTTCACGTGCGGTTCGGTAGGAATGCAGAGAGTTGTGGTAGCGATAGAGTTAGAAAATATCTGTATTTTGCCAACGAATGTTTCTGTGCCGTGTGTTGCGGATAGTCCTTTCGTACTTGGTGTAAGCTTGATCGAGTTCCCTTCACCGGAAAATCCTTAATCATCCAAATTAGCGTCACGTAGATTGACATCGTCTACCCGCTTTGGTGCTAGCAGTCCGTCCTTGCTAGGTTGAGGAGACACAGCGGCTCTTTCGAATTGCAATTTTGCTCGACTGAATGTAGGCCACTCTCCCACAGGCCAATCAACAGGAACCAAAAACGTTTCTCGACCAATCGGTGATCTACCTCCAGTCTCATTTCTCACTCCTAGAGCAACAGCCCACCATGCTCCAGCTCCGACGTTCTAAACATACTCATCTGTTTCAGCGGTGGTGAGCACAGGATTGTTCATGCAGACTTCAAACGGACCCCAGATATCCCTAGACCGAGCGATCACAGCTTTATGAGTTTCCAATGTACCACCATCTGCAGCTAGCAGATAGTAATACCCATCCTTTTTGTAGAGATGAGGACCTTCAATATCGCTTATGCCTTCACTTGTGGCGGCTAGCTCATATCCCTAAAGGGGCCTGGTATCAGAGAGCTTCTTGCCTGAAGTAATATCAATCTCAACCTGTCGGATTGAACACTGTTGAGCACCTATAGATCCATCTCTGTGTGATCCTTGAACGTACACCTTGTCAGTCGTATCATCAAAGAATAAACTTGGGTCGATTCCATCGAGTTTGAACCAGATGGGATCACTCCATTCATTGGCCCAGATATCTCTTGTTGTAATGATGAAGTTGTCAGTGCGAAATTCCCCGCCATCTGGGCGAACGGTATTTGTACAGACAATGTAGAAAACTCCATTGTGCCACCGAATGGTCGGTGCAAAAAGACCTAACGCAGCTACGAGGTTCTTGTCAGGACCGATTGGAAACACGTCTGTAGTCGCGTTCTCCTTCTGTTGAAAGCGTTTCCTGCTTAACGTTAGGTACCAAATTCTTATCAGATAGCATATGCAAACACTGCTCACCAATGTGCGTCCACGATTTAAGATCCTTTGAAGCATAGATGGGTAGTCCCGGAAATATATGGAAGGAAGAGTTGACAAGGAAGAAGGTGTTGTCCACGAAGACCACAGATGGGTCAGGTGCGAACCCGGGAATTATGGGGTTGGTGTAGCTTGTGGATATTTTGGATGCAAAAGGAAATTTAACTTGAACTGATTTCCCAGTGGACTGCTTTACGTACATGGCAACCCTTTTTTTATTGCCTCATCGGGTGGTACGTAACACTTCCGGATATCCCGGGCCCCAGTGGAAAGTGGTGAACGCGGAAGGCAATAGGCGATTAAAGCCGCCGAGGAACAATACCAGGCTAAATATGTCTTTTAGATGATTTATTAAAGTAGTATTATCAATCACACAGTACAGATGCCATGCACTAGGGCCCCCAGCTATGGGTTTCTTGCCTCGTGTGGGGAAGCTTGTCGGATATTCCGAACAGAGTAGAGTTTATTGGTAAAACTAGATATCTTTTGGGCTCAAGTTTGTGCGTGTGTGAAGGAAAGGCGGTTAATATGGGAGCCAAACCGGCTATTGCTTCAATGTCTCATGGTTTATCATTAAGCCGTGATCTTGATGTTTACCGCGGACCAAAGGATCACATTCGTATAGCCCCAAGTTCTACCAAGTGTCTTCATCGCTTCTTCTTCCGCCCTCGTACCTAATTAGCCTCACGCCTATACAGTAGCCTTCCCTAACCATACCGACCAGGTTACGTTATATAGTGTAGGCTCATTAAATCTAGCATTATAATACTATCTATAGCTTGCCTTTATGGTTGAAATTCATACTAATAAGCTTTTTACTATCATCGTCACGTTATGGTAATCGAGACCCAATCGTTTACTATGGTAGATTGTATAGTAGATTGTATGGCAGATTTATCTTAAACATGATATACGTTGAGCGAATTGTAACAATCACCTTCAGTAGCCTAGGTAAGGATACATGACTCTCATCGAACGATTAAGGCTTCCCGACCGAAGTCGCTAGCTGTAACAAGCGTGCAAACGCCAGGATCAGGTTTGTGCCCATGTTCTGTATTATGTAGTAATTGCAAATTATACAAGCCAACAAGGTGTGGCCAGGTATTCCGGGCGCCCTGGGGAAGGGCTATTAGGGAGTGCAAGGTCTTTTCCGAACCTAACCTTCAGCTAACAGCAAAATCCCAAGGCGACGACCTTGGGAGGAAAGTCTAGACTAAGAACCTTAAAAATTGACAAAGGGCACTTCTACCGTGTTCTACAGATCTCCTTTCTAGGCCCGTTGACAATACCTTTCCCTATTAGTTACACCGTTTAACTGAAATAAGACCTCCCCGAGACGGTTTTCTATTTGGCTTATTCATTTCTAGTATGTAAAGAATTGACAACTCCGGCCGCAATATCCTTTGTAGCTTTTGTGAGGCTGAGGTCTAGGCACGGCCGCGAGGGGCTCACCTTCCATCTGAGCAATGTAAAGCTATGCTTCTGGAAAATAAATCGACCCGATTCGTTCCACTCTGACTCGATGATAGACACCTTTGTAGAACCCCACACATTTGAGTCCCGGATACTGTTCTCATTACCACCAACTGTAAAGACTTGAACTGTGCCCTCTGTCGGTGGTAAAGAAGTCTCTATTGACTCAGAATCGGAGAGATTCACCACAGCCAAATTCAGATAATCGTCATCACCCAAGGCAGCAGACACATCTAGCATAGGAATGTCCATTGTGCTTGCAAGCCACTCGGGGGAAGTTGAGCCGGTGTAAGCGGGCGAGCGCACATGCACTGCAAGGCTTTGACCCCTCATATATCTTGAGAAGAGTAGAAGTGGCCAATAAGTAGTTTGTTTGACAATTCCTTGCTCCGTGGTCATCAAAGGCGCAATGACATTAACGCTTTGAGCAATCGCTGCCATTCCGATGTGTTTTGCTTGTCGAACAAAAACATTGAGCCACAGAGCCACCGCGAGCATATCCGAAACGTCATATTCTTCCTCTGCACCCTTGTCTCCTGGAGCACGAATGGGATTCCAGATGTTCCATTCATCGAAAGCGATCTTGGGCCTATGAGGTGTCTTTGGCTTTGTCGAAAAATGAGGGAATGATTCGTAATCCATCTCAGTACGGGCCAGATCGATCAATGCTGCTGTAATCTCAATGGCCCTTTCAGCAGACTTGGGACTAGTGGCATTTGGATAGTGCCTGTGATCAATTAGCGATCATCTGGATTCTTCCGTAGTGAAAACACGGGCACCTACTGCATGTCGAACGTGTAGATGTGTATACTATGCAGATCGGTTATTTTAAGACATTCTTGCAGCACAAATCGATCCCAGTCACTATGTCCGTCTTTGCCGCATAGTACAAGTTTGATGCTTGGGTCGAGAGTTTTCAAAGCTATTGTTGAGATAATTAACCGACCATTCTAGGGTCTGAAACGAGTATTTACAAACCTTTGCCCCATTGATATGCTTTCTTTGCATAATCCTCCTTGGAAGATTGTTCGATTTGCCTAATCTTCGTAGTTAGCATTGACTTATATAGAAAGATGCGCATATTTTCATGAACAGACCACGGGCCCCAAACTTCATTTCCTAATGCCCAGTACTTCACACCGTATGGCTTCTCATGCCCATTCTGCTTTCGGAGGTTCGCATAATGGGTGTCAGTATCAAGGTTACAATACTCCAACCAAGCTAGAGCTGTTATAACGCCACAATTAGCAAAACATGGTCATCTTACTGAACCCTTTAAAAAACTCCATACCTTCTTCAAGTGTGCCCGTCCCCATGTTCAAGGCCAAATAAGGCTCTGCCCCGACGAGGTCACACCATTTCATAAATTCATCCGTTCCAAAATGGTTGGTCTCAACTCCTTTCCATGCGACTTCGACCCGCTTCGGGCGTTGCTCTTTAGGACCAACTCCATCCAGCCATCTGTAAGTAGCCGTGAAATTCCCTCCAGGGTATCGTACTAGTAACAGCCAATTAGCTATTGAATACTTGGGCTCCTTCCAACCTCCAAAGAAATTCTGCGAAATTCTTGCAACATACTGATGGGCGCTTGGAGTTCCTTCATCGCCTCAATGACGTCGGTCCGAAATCCATTCTCATCGATAAGGCCATTGGTGTTACTCGGGTCGTATATTCCACCGTAGATACAGCGACCCATGTGCCTTAATACATTTTTAAGTACTAGGAAATATGAGCGGGATCTTTGAAGACATACTCTAAAAAGCCTCCATAGAGTAAGGGGTCAATAAGGGCGATCGTTTGGTCGGCAGTGGTAAAGATTGAAGGCCGATCGCCCTTACCAATGCGCGTAAAAGTGGTCATGATAGATAAAGTTTGCGCGATTGTAGAGAACCTTTGCCTGTCGCAAATACTGTGTAGTTCAGCTATTTGTATTGGTGGCGGTAATCGGAAATTCCGATCTTTGTTTTGCGGGGCTCGGATCATGCCATGGTCTTTGAGACGCCGGTTAATATGAAATACTGGACTTTCTCGGATATATACTTTACTACTAATTGGCCACGTTAGCATAATTCTGAGTGGAGATTGTGGGTATTACGATGCACATAGCTCCTCTACACAGCCCTACCCTCTATCTCCGAGATGAATAGGAAAATAGGCGTATCAGGGCCAACCATATCCGGAGTAGCATTTTATGGCGCGGGGCGCGGAGCGCGCACGCGCACGCGCGGGTTGGTGATGATCCAGGCTATTAACTCTCTTGCGATCGCCTGTACTAATATTTAATTGGCCACAGCATCCGAATAGTACGGGATACCGTACATAGCTATCCCACTCATGTGCAGGTCTCTTGGCTCAGATTCTAAAGCCCCACACATGCCTCGGTGGATCTGTCCCGAGTCCTTGCGTACACAGTCACTGCCTACTGGATGTGCTTCTGGTAAGGTTAATATCAGTTCATCTGGCGGGTAGTTACTACAAAGTTCCAATTAACCGACCGGAAGTTCCGAGGGAGCCTGACTCCCTATCATCCCCTTCCCCACAGAATTGATCAGTATATTTATCTGATGTACCATCTGGGGTAAACATGCAGATCATTTTGCTTCTATAGGCCCACTATATAAGGATATTTCCTACCCCATTTTTTTCTCAACCAAATTTATGTTTGAGAGTGAATGATGGACAACTTCAACAAGACCGACTCATTACAGGTGGAGGATATCTCGAAGCTCGACCATGACCCATTCTACTCGAAACAGTCGGCTCACCGGGGAGCTCTCCTCGAAGAAGAAGAGCGTCAGCTTACTATTTGGCAAAGCGCTAAAGCCCACAAGTTTGCTCTTCTAATTTGTGAGTGAATTGACTGGTAGCAAGGTCCTATTATTCGTTTACCCAGAAGCTAATCAAATCCAGGCTGCATACCCTTTTGCGGAGCTTCCCTCTACGGTTATGACTCAATTGTCAACGGGGCCACTCTATCCATGCCGGCTTTTCTTCTCTACTTCGGGGACATTGACGCTTCTGGAGCATATCTACCGTCTATATGGACATCGCTCTGGAATGCCATGTCGCTTCTTTGCCAAGCAGTGGGTGCGTTTTTCATCGGGTTTATCACGGATAAATATGGACGCAAGTGGCCAGCCTGCTGCTCCGCTATGCTTACCATAGCTGGCACAGCTATGCAATATACCGCCGACAGTCGAGGTCTCCTTCTGGGTGGCAAAATGGTAAATGGGTTTGGTATTGGAGCAGTGACAGCGGTATCGGCCACCTATGCCTCGGAGATTGCACCTCTCAAATTGAAGGGACCCGTTCAGCAGGCATTGGTTCTCTTCTATGTTTTCATGATGGCTCTTGGCCTTGGAGTCATCAGGATCTACGTTCCAGATATGTCACTGCACTCTTTTAGAACCGTTTTCGCTATTCAATGGGCCGTTGGTGGCCTCACCATAATAGCGTATGCCCTCGCCCCCGAGTCTCCAAATTATCTCATAGCAAAAGGCCAACTTCGTCGTGCCCACAAAGTCATGAGTCTCCTCCATGGGAAAGATAACTCAATCGATGACCGTCTGACATACCTGAATAAAGTGATCCTGGAAGAGCACGAACGCAAAGAGTCAGAGGCTGGCTCATACATTGATTGCTTCAAGGGACCTGATCTTCGGAGAACCTTGACAGTCATTTTTCTTTATACGGCACAGAACTGGGGCGGTGCAGCTCTTTTGGCCCAATCCATCTATTTTCTGATTATCGCGGGCCTTCCATCAATTCATGCATTTGATGTCTCGATTGGAGGATTTGCGTTGTCACTCATTATCATCGTCTTGAGCTGGCTTTTCAACGATAAGGCAAGCTGTCGTAATGTGCTCCTAGTGGCATGCGTTTTGAATTTCCTTATCATGCTCGTCATTGGGGTACTATATTACGTCCCGGGAGATGGCGCTGTGTGGGGAATCGCCGTTCTTATGTGAGTCAGCCCCGCACTCAATAGCCCCATGCTCATCCTCAAGGGAACCTTAAATATAAACTGACTTCGCAAACCCAGGAATGTCCTGATATCTTTCCAAACCAGTCTCTTTCTGGGCATGGGCTATCGAATCGCCGCAGATGTCGCTAGCTACAGACTTCGAGCCAAGACCCTCTCTGTGGGAGTGGTGTCGCAGGCTTTCATCGCGTGGCTCACTCAATTCACTGTGCCTTATATGTACAATGTGGATTCAGGAAATCTTGGTGCCCGGACGGGGTTTGTATTCGCTGGGTTTAGTGTTTTACTTATTGCTGGCACATGGTTCATCGTGCCCGAAACAACCAACCTCACGGCAGCTGAAATTGATCAGGCATACAAGGACCATGTACCCGTCAGAAAGTTTCAGAGCTACATTAGGACTAGTCAGACTAGCGATGAGCCATGATTCTTGCGCCCTGGACGCAAAATTCGTGCTAACTGTGACGGATGGGTGAAGGGGTTAGGATGATGTCTCTAACTTCATCTTTTTTTAGTCTACTCCATGTTCGTCAATATCTTCGACGATGAAAGCTTCTTCCTCTAGCTTTTCTAGTCTTGTTTTCTGGAAGACAAATACCATACCGACATTTGGGCGGAGGGCATAGAAAATCTTGCTTTCCTAGGTTAAATCCTAAGATATTTTGATCAGCCTTTTTAGATCTTTTAACATGATTATCTAAATTATCCTCTGCTTTAATAGTTAATAGAATTTCTTGGTATAATCTTGAAACCCTGAAGGGTCTGGTTTTGGTGGTTGATCTTTTGATGCGTGATGTCAAGGGTAAGTTATGGTAGCCTTGGCTACTAGGCAGTCGTTCTCCCCTTATCGCTTTTACTAAGTAGAATTCAGTAACTAGCTAGTTAACTAACTACGCACCTAAGCGACCTGAGTTACCTAATCTAGTAATTTGTGTATTTAATCCGATAATTTCTAAGTTATTATATTTATCGAAATCTACGACGAGGTAAAATTAGCGATTTCATCCTTGCCCATGGTTATTATAAGGGTAAGTGTTAGTTACTAGGCTCGCACCGAGAGGGAAGGCCGAATAGTAGGTACTAGACGCTCCTAGCGTGCACTTTCATTCATTCATCCATCGTCGCTCTTCATGCTAGCGGCTCCCGAAGTCTTTCCCTGTGCGAAAGGTCTTTACTTATATCAGAGGAAAAACTAAAAGACCGACAGTATCTAAAGGGAATTAATAGGGAATTTTTTACCATTAAACTTTTCTTTCTAAATCAATACATCGTATTTTAATACGATTAAACAATTCCTGAATCATATCAAGATTTTATATAATGATCTTATGGTAAAAGAGATTTCCACTACCGAAAATCTTCATCACGTGGGTTCTTCCAAATAACCTTGATGACTCTTGTGCATCATTCGTTCCAAAAGTATTACGGTAATAGGGCTGAGAATAATGCAGATCGCTGTGCAATGCCAGCGTTTCCGAATTGGGAAATGAACCGCATCGGGGAACAAGCCCCACCGGGGCCAGCGAGCGGTGTGCTTTGCTTGCGAATTATCAAAACTCACGGGTTGACTGACGGATAACGGGTTCTGCCTTACGAAGGAAAATTCTGGAAAAAGAAAAGAAGCGACCTGAGGCGGCCAACCTTAGGAGTCTCCACCTAACTCTATTGTAGATGATAGCGATAACAAACAGTCTCCTCTTAATTCTACACGATAGGCTTTATTCTAAGTAGCATTTCGTGCAAAATCCGAAGGGATATTTTCGAATGAAACAGACTGATCCGTTGGGTAGTATTTAGTGAAAACTCTGACAAGGCGATACGATTGGGTTTCTCAATTTTGGGGGATTCACTTATCTGATTAGCTTGTAATGGAAAATAGCTAAAGTGGGTCTATACCTAAGGCATGATAGGTATCAAATAAATCCCGATTCAAAAGGTGGTGGCACAACTTCCTTCCAAATTGAATTTGAGTTCTTGAATTAGACTTCACAAAAATTTACCATCCCTACGCGAACTCATGCAGGGATACGTGGCTAGCGCATTGTCATTCGTTAGCTGAACGGCCCAATCCAGAACCAATCCAGACTGCCGGCGAACCCGATGTCAAAGTGGATCCGCTTCGGCTATTATTGCAGGGCTATTTGGTGACCGATTATCTGTTGGACCTATTATTTCTTAGCACATTGCTAGTGAGTTCTCAAAGTAGAACAGATTCAGCTAAGCCCCTGACATCCCAACGGGCCGGTTCAACCGAAGCGAACACATAAAATGCCCTTTTATCATGATGTGACTCCGGGGAAATATCGACAGTCAACACCATTCATTTCTGGAAACCCCAGTAAACATGTCTCTCGCGTCAATGCCAAATTCAGATCATAGTTCCGCTGTGTCAGAGTGCCGTGCACTCTACGAGCAAATATGGAACACACCTTCGCCGACTTTAGAATTGGCGCAGTCTACACTAATGAAGCCTGCACCATTGTCGTTGACTCTCGAGGAGAGAACGCAGCTCACATACCAAAGAGCGAGGGCCTTGGCCCATGCCCACAGTAAAGTCCCCTCCCGCAATTATTATGCTTGCAAGCAACTAATTGGGACTTGAATATAGACTTGTCATTGAAGGATGTAGTCGAAATGACTCCAGCCTTCTGGAAACTTCATATGGACATGCTCACCATTATGGACGGCGGCGCCATCAACCTCGTCAGCGTTCAGTATAATCTTTTTGTCGGCACAGTTGCACCTTTTGTTGCCACACATCCGGAATTGCCATCCATTATCCAGAAGGCATTGAGGGTTGATATCTCGTGTGTTATCCTCCTGGTTTCCTGGGACTATATCTTGTTAACCTGCTTTAGATCACAATTCATGCTTACTGAGCTCGGACACGGTTTGGATGCTCGCAATCTTGAAACAACGGCGACACTTCTGCCCAATGGCGGATTTGAATTACACACACCGACTCCGAACGCTGCCAAGTAAGTGGTCGTAGATTCCAGGTTTATCTACCCTGATACTAACGAAGAAATCCTAGATGCATGCCACCTAATACTCCACGCAACGGCCTCCCGACCATTGCAGTGGTAATTGCCCGTCTCATAGTGGAAGGAGAGGACCGCGGAGTCCGGCCGTTCCTAGTTCCCATGTCCGATGGTACCAAGATGTGCACAGGAATCACCTCAAAGTAAGTTCTCCGCAATCAGTCTGTATAGATATATCCAGAACTAACAAGGTTATCCAGAGCCTTCCCACCTCGCCCGGGCGCGAATCCAATCGACCATGCCCTAACTTACTTCAACCACGTACAACTCCCGCCCTCGGCCCTACTCGGCAGCCTGGAAAAGCCACGCGACGAACGTGACAACTTCCTGTCCACTATCCACCGCATGGGCGCCGGAACTCTCTTCCTAGCCGGCGCATGCATCCCCCTCATTAAGATGGGCGTGTACAACGCCAGCAAATTCAGTTTCCGGCGCCACATCCTCGGACCTGACGGCAAGCCGATGCCCGTGATCAACTTCCGGACGCAGCATCTTCCCATCTTACACGCTCTGGCGCGCGCTCATGCTCTACAGGCGTTTTTGATTTACGCCGGCAGGGAATATTGCATTGAGGCTGATTCGCGCGTCCGACATATCTTTGCTACGACCTTCAAGGCGGTTACGATTCATCACTTTAAAGCCAGTCTCACCTCTATGAATGAGGGCTGTGGCTGGCAGGGGTATTATGATCGCAATCAGATCCTTGCCGCTAGTGTAAGCCTTCTCTTCTAACCTCCCCAAATAGATAATGTGCATTTGCTAACCGCCTTCCCCCAATACAGCTGGAGTTCAACGCAGTGGCAACCGCAGAAGGCGACGTTCGAGTCTTGGCTATCCGTATGTCTAGCCCCCATTCTTTAAGCAGTTCGTTTCACCCAAGCTAATTCAATCCTCCATTTCAACAGGTCTCGCCAGTGAGCTCCTCATCGGCCGCTATGAGGTCCCGCCACCAAAGAATCCCAACTGCGCCCTCGCACGTCACGAAGCAGGTCTCTTCGCCGAAGCACGCGAAATTATGAAGAGCTTCGGCAGCAAACACCGCAGCGAAGCCTTCAACCGGGCTATTCTCCCCCTCTGTCTCCCGCTAGTCCTCGCCATCGGTTACCGTATGGCATTCGAGGCCTCTATAGATGTTGGCATCGACCCCAAGCTGCGCGCCCTCTACGAAGCTGGAATCCTCAAGGAAGACGCTGGCTGGTTCGCTGAGAAGGGCGGAATTAGCCGTGAAACGCAGCGCAAAATGGAGGCGCAGGCCGCCGATGCGGTTCTGCCGGAATTGGAGCGGTTTGTCGAGGAAACTGGAGTCGAACCGTACTGCACTGCGCCTATGACCTCGCAAGCTTTGTGGGATGGGTATCTTGGGGAGTTGGAGACGTTCTCTGGGGATGCGGTGTGGAAGTTTGAAGAGACCAAGGCACGGCTTTAATGTTTTAAATTTGTACAGGGCGCTTTGGGGGATATCATAGAGAAAATCGAGTTTTAATTTTAATGTTGTCAGATTCCGAGCTGGTATAGCCATGGTCCCGTAGCTAAGCTTAACACAATATTCGAAGTGGGTGCTGTCCAAGATACTGCCCAACATATTCAAGACTGAGCCGCGGTTGCTGGGATCTTTAGGGCTGCGGTTCGGCAAACTGGCGCCACAAAATCTCCAAAGCTTGGCAATCGGATCCTTGATTCCATAAAGATTCCTGAATTATCTACTGTACGATTGTACAATTGCACTGTACAGGATGAATGGCTAACAGTTAGACAGTAGAATATTATCGAATGCTAACTATGCCCCATATTACTTTCTCTCGTGCACCGCAACCCGATTCTAACTGTTTTATTTACTCCTTTTTTTTGGTTCGGCTTGGTCCGGCTACCAAGATGGAGATAGAATCCGACTTGAACTAGTTGAATCCACAGCCCACGCGAGGAATGGAGAAACGTGTCGACGCCATGCATACTGTCAAATCTGTCACTCTCGCCAGCCAATCGGGATTACGTGGCTGCTCGGTTAGAATCACCTCGAACGCCTGAACTAGACCAGCTGGCGGGGTTCTCAGCAGCGCCACAATCAACAAACTATTTGACCAGGCTAACACCGATTGGACTATCGCCATGCCCGAACACCTGTTCAAGAACACATCAGGTAGCCACTTTTGCTTCAACCGGCATAGACTAAACACGGAGTTGCCGTTAGCTGAACTGAGACTCGGTAGAGTGGGGATAGACGTTGAAAGAATCTTCGTTTATAATAATAATGAGGGGGAACTACTACTGGACCTCGCATTAAATTGTCAAAAAAAAGTCAACTCGCATTGCAACAAAATGGGTGAGCTCGTAAGTCGCATCGGCGACGTGTCGCTCACGAGCAAGAACAATATGAACGTCTTCGGTACAATTACAGACTCGGAGAACCACCCGCTCCTAGGAGGCGAATGCGGGAAACGCTTAATGCCCCATATCATCGACGCAACGGCTATCGCGACGCCAGATGTCGAATGCTTCTTCGTCCCCCGCACTCATGGCAACCCTCGCGACGGCTGGAAGCCCGTGAGCTGGGCGCAGGTCGCCAACGCCGTCAACTATGTGGCTCACATGTTGATCGAGCAGGTTGGGACGCCAACGCCCGGTACTTTCCCTACGATTGCATACATTGGACTCGAAGATCCCCGCTACGTGCTCTTTATCATGGGCGCCATTAAGGCGGGGTACAAGGCTCTGTTCATCTCGCCGCGGAATTCCGTCGAGGCACAGGTTCACCTGTTCAACAAGACCGACTGCAATATCCTCTACCATGACCAGACGCTGGCATCCATGGTGAAGCCCTGGGTCGCCGGACGGTCGGGCATGAAGAGCATCACAATCCCTCCCTGGGAAGAGTGGGTGACCACCCCAGTCGCCCCATTCCAGTATACAAAGACCTTCGCCGAAGCCGAATGGGACCCCTTTGTGGTCCTTCATACGAGCGGTAGCACCGGTCTACCCAAGCCCGTCATTCTCCCCCAGGGCAAGCTGGCCCTGAACGATCTGCATCGCTATGTTCCCGAGTACGAAGGCAACCTACCGTGGTTGTCGACATGGGGGAAATTCGAGAATCCCCGATACCTCTGCACATGTCCTCTGTTCCATACCGCAGGAATTGCGCCCACGGTTTTGTCGGGATTCTACTATAACACTCCGGTCATCTTTCGCGATCCGTCGGTTCCTCTCACGGGCGATAACGTGGTTGAGTGGCTGCAGAACTCCCCCGCAACTTATACTGTCCTACCCCCGGCGATCCTGGAGCAGATGTCACGGTCACAAGTAGCGCTCGATGAGATGAGGAAGTTGCAAGTTGTGGCCTTTGGAGGAGGTGAGTGAGCCAAGAAAACGTTCAACTGCGTCCTGATCACTAACTTAGCCCTATACAGGCCCAATCGCGCCCGCTGCAGCGGCCTCACTGCTGAGCAACGAGGTCAAGCTAGTTAATGCCATCGGTGCGACTGAGTATATCTACATGCCCTACTACACCCAACCAGACTCATCCCTCTGGGAGTGGTTTATCGTCCCCACGGAACTGTTGGGTATCGAGTGGCGGCAGTTTGGCGAGGACACATACGAGCAAGTCTTCATCCGACAGAATAAGGAGCACCCGGGTCTACAGGGTTGCTTTTACGTCTTCCCCGAGCTAGACGAGTACAGCACGAAGGATCTCTACCGCCCGCATCCGACTTTACCAAACCATTGGACCTACGTGGGTCGCGCCGACGACATTATAGTCTTCTCCACGGGCGAGAAACTCAACCCCACAACTATCGAAGGAGCGGTGATCGGACATCCGGGGGTTCTAGGTGCGCAAGTTGTGGGCTCAGGACAGTTCCACGCTGCGCTGCTGATTGAGCCGGCACAACAACCGGCAAATGAGCAGGAGAAGCAGCGATTCCTCGATGATGTTTGGCCGATTATCGAGAAGGTCAATGAGGAGACCGTTGCGCATGGTCGCATCTTGCGTGACTATGTCTTTTTGTCTGACCCGGAGCGACCTTTCCCGCGGGCCGGCAAGGGAACAGTCCAGCGTGCCATGGCTGTCAAGCTCTACGCAGACGACATTCGCCGCATCTTTGAATCTAGCTCTGATACCAACGGTGTTCCTGCCACAGGTGTGGAGCTCGATTTTAGCTCGGAAGCAGCCCTTGCGGATGGGATTCGGGATTTGGTGCGACAGACCGTGAAGTTGCCCGCACTCACCGTTGATGATGATTTCTTCACTGTAGGCGTCGACTCGCTGCAGGTTCTCCAATTGGCACGGGTGTTGAGCGCTAGTGTCAAGCAGACCATTGAGGCGAGAAGTGTCTACAGTAACCCAACCATCGCCAAGCTCAGTTCCTTCATCAATTCTCTGGCTGGATCTAGTTCGAATGGAACTGCAGTCACCAGCACCGAGGCCGACACTCTAGCCCTATGCTCGGCCCTTGTCGAAAAATACACGCAGAACCTCCCTTCCCCAACATCCGACAAACCCCTCCCCGCCGCTACAAACCAAACCATTATCATCACTGGTACTACTGGAGCTGTGGGCTGCTACCTCCTTGACCTCGCTCTCGCAAACAAGGACATCGCCAAGATCATCTGCTTCAACCGAACATCCGACGCACGCGAGCGCCAAATTGCTGCAAGCAGCTCCCGCGGCCTCTCCACCGACTTCCCAGAATCCCGCGTCGAATTCCTAACAGTCGACCTCTCCTCTTCCGCTACATTCAACCTGCCCGAAGAGACCGCAACTCGTCTCGCCAGCACAGTCGACCGCATCATCCACAACGCCTGGCCCGTGGACTTCAATCAATCCATCGCCTCCTTCGAACCACACCTTCGTGGTGTCCGGCACCTCATCGACTTCGCCGCCGCCGCCGCCAAGCGTATCCCTATCACGTTCGTTTCGTCCGTCAGCACGGCCGAGCAATGGCCCGAGTCAAGCTCCATCCCCGAACAATCTCTCTCAGACTTCACCCACGCCTCCCAGATGGGCTATGGCCAGTCCAAGCTTGCCGCAAGCCTGATCCTCGATGCGGCAGCGACAGTATCCTCAGTGCCACGGAATGTCGTTCGCGTAGGCCAGGTCGCCGGCCCCCGGGCTGAACAGGGTCAATGGAACCCGCGCGAGTGGCTTCCCAGTATTATCCGGAGCTCGCTATACCTAGGCCTTCTGCCCAGCGAGCTTGGAGCGCTTGGTAACCTGGGATGGGCACCTGTGGAGGACATTGCCGGTGTTGTTTTGGAGGTAACTACCGGCCAAGATGGTAATGGCGGGTACTTCCACGCGGTGAACCCGAACCTTCCAGACTGGGAGGGGGTTATTGTCCCCGCGGTCACGGATTTCTACGGAAGCCGGATTGAGCGCGTTGTTAGCTTGGAGGAGTGGGTGGAGGCGTTGGCGAAGAGCGCCGTTGGCGAGGTGGATCTTGAGAAGAATCCTGGTGTGAAGCTTCTGGATACGTATCGTCTTGCGTGTGTGAAGCCGGCGGATGGTGAGGTAGTTGGCGCAGGGTTTGCGACGGAGCGGACTGAGCAGGCGAGTGAGACGATGCGCCGGATGGAGCCGGTCACGGCGGAGTTGATGAAGAGGTGGTGTCAGCAGTGGCAGTTCTAGATGGGTATATTTATGATGGCCCGCTGAGATTATAGGTTGAATGACCGAATGATGAATAATGAATATAAATTTGTATTGTGTTTCGCCTATCGTGCAATGGTTCAAGAGTGTAGACCAGGGTAGAAGTCTGAGATGGATATTCAGCCAGTTAGTCTCGATGCCTACCTAGCGATCCAATTTTGGCTTGGAAGTTACAATATGACTAGCCGACTCTTACATTAAAAGCACGTTTGGGAGTCGTGAAGTTCTTGCAGCGTTCTTCCATCCTGCCTAGAGAATAAGTCTACTCTATGACCTGAAAAAGACATAGCGTCAAACTGAACTATCTACGGAAACCAGTACAATTCGAATGACACTATAGAGACGACAAGGGTTCGAAATACTAGGAATTTGGAAAGCGGAGAAAGTATGTATCCTACTTTGTGTCTGGGAGAAAATGGCTGTCTTATACCTACTCTCAGGCAATTAATTCACTTCAAGATGGAGGTGCGAAACCAAAATCCTGGAATGAATCGGACCCTCCTCTAGAATTGTAGCCGACGCTTGGACTGTTCTTGAACCAACTAGGTAGCCACGGGATGTCATCCCCCTCAGCAGGGCAGTTCCACCGTGATTACTACTACATCGGTGGTATCTTTATCCTCCTTGATAGATAGCTCCGCACTAGGAGAACGTAATTGCCGTCCTCTGTGTACGCGTGATGTGGGAGCTCCAAGTTAGTTGATGCAAGGGTCGCTCTCCCTTAGATTGTGTCCCACTGGGAGGATGTCATGTCCATGCGGGGGCGGCGAGGACGAGAGTATCTATTACTAGGAATAAGCTTTGCGCAAGAAATGATATGTCAAAATAGATGACCTAATTAGACAACATCAACGATTAGGATGTTACTTTTTGTTACTCACGACTTCGGACAAGATTATCTCCGCCGTTGGAACAAGAGCAAAGACCGTGGACTTTGTCTGTGGCGTCGCCAAGTCTGGGCATACCGCTTGATGGGACAGAACCCTTGTAAGCATGTACTAGGAAACACGGCATGGGCTAAATAAAATTTCCGTCCTAAAGTGACAAGAGGGTTAGCTTATCGTGTTGAAGTGGTGTTGTTAAAATTGAGTTTACCGCACTTGAATATGGAGTTTTTTGTGCCGTCTCATGTTTAGTGTGACAACTTTGAGTGCATGCAAGTAGAACACGGCTCTGAGGAGGTGAGATCAATAATTATTGTGATACATGAGTTTCATTAGGTTTGAAGAGTTGATTGTATAGATGTCTCAAAATGCACACCGAACTTGTGGAATATAGGACGGTATCTCTTAAGCGCTCTTGACAGCAATGGTGGCAACAGCAGAAGTAAAGGCGTATAAGCTAAGGGCCTCCAGATTGGCCGACAGGATAGCAGATATCTAGGAATACCAGCGCAGTATCCATACTCCTGGCAGATGCTTTCTCCTTTCCACTGATACCAAGAAGTCCGAATCGTGCCAAGACATGCCAAGTCTGAGCATTTCCAACCATGTGGCGTTGGAACGGACTTGTTCATTTCCGGAGTCAAAAAGACTCCCCGCATTATGGGGGAATTTGCGGAGAAAGAAGCAGAGACACTGGGGAAATCTGGAGTATAGGCCCACAGAGAAGTGGATCGAGGCATACATCCATACAAAGAGATTTTGTTATAAAAACACATCTATGCCCCGCACGTTCAGGCCAATTCTCATTCTGAATCAGACACCCTTTCTTCTATATTCATTGACGTATCACGATATTCAATTCTCTTGAGAATGGCGGCCCGGATTTCAGCGCAGGACGCAGAAAAGAGTCTTGAAACCCAGAAAGTCGACGATTTGCACGTTGAAGATCTCAAGACCTTTGATCGCACGAATGAGAATGAGGGTGATTACTCGGGCGCCATTTCTAAAACTGACGCGGTAGAAATCCGCCTGGTACGAAAGTTGGACATGAGAATCATGCCTATTCTCTGGATGATGTATTTCTTGAACTATGTATGTTGATACGGTCGCCCACGTTTTCTATCTCGGCTAAATGATGAATTTAGTTGGACCGCAATGCTATCGCCAACGCACGTCTCAACAATCTGGAAGATGACCTTGGCCTGGTCGGGACCCAATACAACACATGCATATCAATTTTGTTCATTGGGTATGTGCGAAGTACCTTCACCAGATAGAGATTCATGCTGACTCGGGACCAGCTATCTACTCATGCAGATCCCCTCTAATATGCTCATGTCATCTTCTAAGATCCGACCTTCGCGATTCATGAGTATCTGTATGGTCAGCTGGGCGGTTGTTTCCGCACTCACAGCATTAACAAAGAATTATGTCTCCCTGGTTATGGTGCGATTCTTTCTGGGAGTGACCGAAGCACCCTTCTATCCTGGTGCACTATTCCTACTGTCCCTCTTCTACACTCGCAAAGAAATCGCTCTACGTATTTCCATCCTTTATACTGGAAACATTGTTGCTACCGCCGTTGCGGGCCTCATCGCCGCCGCAACCTTCGCTACCCTCGACAAAGCGCATGGCCTTAAAGGATGGCAATGGCTTTTTGTCATTGAAGGCGTCGTCACCTTTTTTATTGCCATCCTCGGTCTTTTCATGCTTCCAGACCATCCACGTACCACCAAATGGCTGACCCCTGAAGAGCGCAAGCTCGCTCATGACCGTATTACCAAGGACACCGTGGGTCACGAAGAATCCAAGGGCGTTCTAGCCGCTCTGAGGGAAGCCCTGCGCGATCCGAGACTTTACCTTCTCGCGTTCATGCAGAACATGCACCTCAGTGCTTGTGGCTTCAACAACTTCTTCCCCACGGTCGTCGGCAGTCTCGGTTTCAACCGTACTATGACGCTCGTTCTGACCTGTCCGCCATATCTCGTCTCCGGCCTCAGCAGCATCATTGTAGGCATCACTTCAGGCCGTTTCAACGAGCGTACATGGCATATTACAGTATCTATGGGCTTTGCTGTGGTCGGGTTTGTCATCTCCTGCGTGACTTTGAACACCGCCGCTCGATATGTGGCCTGCTTCCTCTTTGCCAGCGGTGCTTACGCTGTCAATTCGGTCATCCTGGGCTGGGTCTCTGCGACGCTGGGCCAGACACCCGAGAAGAAAGCGGCTTCACTCTCAATTGTCAATGTTATAGCCAATGCTTCGTACATATATACGGCATATCTTTACCCAAAGAGTGATGGCCCTCGCTATCTCACGGCCATGTCGGCAAATGCGGCATTTGGGGTACTGACTATTATGAGTGCCTGGGGTTTGAGGATTTGGTTGCAGAGAACCAACCGGAAAATCCGGGATGGACGGCTGTCTGGTGGGAATGAAGGCGTCTTGTATGCTTATTAGGGGAATCGGGCCGTTGAGGGAGTGTATTACTCTTCTAGTTATAGTTAGCAGACACTGGTGATGTATGGACCACCCGTCTATGTGACTAAGGTGTGTCTATTGTGGGTTATGACTCGTGTCTTCAGTCCAGTCCGTGATATCGTTATTTTTATCTACATCTTTATAGGCATTATGCTTGCCTATTATATCTCAGTTATTATCTTCAAGATGAGGATCTGCATTCCAATTGCTAGATTCTGGAACACAAATATTGGTGGCATCTGTGTTGATCTGCAATCGATTATTCTTGCCGACGCCGCCGTCAGTGTGGCAAGCGACTTCGGCATTCTTATTTTACCGTTAATATTGACCCTGTACTGGCAAATGTCAACGAAGAAAAAGATCAGAAATAGGATAGTAAGGTAGCCCGATGGACGAGGCAAGGGATTAGGCCATCCACTACGCCATATTGTCTAAGTTGGCCATGATTCTAACCCTTTCATGATGGCCCATCCTGGGTTTTACCTTGCACTTCCCATCGCCTGCACCTAGAGCTGCTCGGCCTCCTCCCACTAGTCATGGTTCAAATAGGTCAACACCGGGTTGTCTATTCTTGTCAGCATGTCAAGATGACGAGCTCGGTCGGGTATGATTAATACACCCGTGGACCTAGGTCAGTAAATCAGTTTGTTGCTAGCCACAGGGACCCGACCGTAAAAATATGGTAAAAATTAATAGAAAAGCGAATATTTTTAAGCTTTAAGAGGGTTTTCGAACTAAAAGTATAAATCGAAAAGAGAAAGACGAAAAGTTAAAAGTAAGGGCTTTATAAGAGCTTTCTAAGAGTGCTTTTAGAGACTTTTATATTAAATTAGATATAATAAACTCTAAGTAAGCTTAGAGATTAATAAGAATTAATAAGGGTACGAATAGGAAGTACTACTTTAGGATAAAAGTTATATAAGAAGAAAGTGAAAGAGGACTAAACGCTTTCTACTAATTAAACAATTATTATCGGACTTTTATACGGTTGATAAAGTCCCTTTATATATAAGTAATATATATATACAGAAAGATAAGATTTAATATTATATATAAGGATATAGTTATAAATATAGAGGTTATACGTACGTCTAAATTGTTAGGACCTAGGCCTCGTCCCCCTAGGCCTAACGTTGTGCGCTACTTATATCGGCCCCGGGCATGCTAGAACGCTATGTTCTAGCATATTTGGTCTTTTTGGCTTGTTTGGTTAGTGCGCCCGGGCACGTGCCGTAACATAAACATAGAAGTATCACGATTATAAAAGAGAAATAGTGATTAAAAGAGAAGAGTAAAAGAGATATTAAATTTAATTTAACTAGTAAATATAATAAAAGATTATATAAAATATTAAGAATATCAGAAGTAACTATAAAGTATTATATAGTCTCCTACCTAGATAGGCAATTTACTATAAGATCGTTAAAGATTAATCTAATAGATCTTATAGACAAAATCTAGAAATGGTGAGGGGTTAGTGGGTGTAAAGAGATCAGCCTGGGTTACCTGACTTCCTACTTAGGCCAAAAAGACCACTATATCCGCGATCAGCGGATATGACCCAGGGACCAATACATATAGTATCGCAACATCATTGTTATTGCATTACACGTAGTGGACCCTTGTTACGATATACCTGACATGAGATTATTCACATCTGGGTGCCTGAGGCTTCCGGCTCGGCGGCCTTTCGGTAATAATCCCTCGGCTTTTCGCTCCCTGTATGGGAATGAACCCCTAAGGGAGGTCCCTGACAGAAGGTTACACAAACCTTGTGTTCGCCTTGATTCCCTCCTATAACTAGGATCAATATCATTCCTGTCCTGTGAAATAAGACTGTATATAAATCGAGTTATGGAGGGGAGTTTTACCGATTCTCAAGAAACAGTATTTGACTATCGGGCACAACTTGACTTGAATGGCCATTAAGTGATCCTTTAAGGCTCATTCATAAAATTTGCCCTATTATACTACATTTCGGGCTACACTTCGGGCGTGCATGTGTACGTAGCTGGATTAATGAAGACCATACCAAACCTGATATGGCTAATCCGGTCGTGTCCGGAGCGCTAGGTGAAATGATCAAGATTCTCCCTCCGAAACCCATGCACGATCGCGGCATTTTCATCATTACCCATGATTACCCAAACACGAAATGATAATTCTACAAGCTGTCCGCAATATCTCTCAGTGCGATTTTGATGGGGTGTTGCATGGTAACGTGGATTTTCAGCCTCTGGGACCGGGGACGGGTTGGCAGGCGGATATCTCTGAAAACTAGAACTGTAATGGAAAATACGGGAGTCAGTGTGGTTTGTCTTATCACTATGCCCCAATGTCATATAACAGGAGTATCAATTAACCGGTGTATAGCTGGTGTAACTGGTCACCTCATTAGGCGGGGGTTTTAGGAAGTCAAGGCACGTCAATGTACAGTCAAACGTGAAGATCATAACGCGGTTAAAATTACATGGTAGCTAACCATAACTCTCCATACTCTGGATAATTGAAACATGTATTAGCAATTTTCGAGAAACTGGGTTGAGGGACCGATACCCTTGCCCAGAGGGTGCTCATGTCCAGGATCAGAGCTTGTCGAGGACCATCACATTCACAGTGGCTTCAGATAAACCAACCAACAACAGTCGAGAAGCCTACCCAGCATATAGTCACAAAGGAAAAATGTTCCTCTTGGCATATCACGTTCATGATAGCGAGCATTATCAAAAAAATGGGGAGGCTGTGGAGTAGAATTATCAAAGAGGAACTAGCCCACATTGAATAATCGACGACTATCATTCTCGTATGTTCTTGGAATATAATCTGCCGAACTGCAATTTCAATATAATATATGTACTCGATGAATGGCTGGATATTTATCTGAGATGAACAAATACCCATACCGTAGTGTTGCAGCAAACAAGTCATCCAGATCAGAATGCTATCCGTTTTCCGCAACCGTACTGCGGATTAGGTTTGTAAGGAATCTCAGTAGGTAACCGGAATTTACGTAGCTGAAACGATTGAGCGGGCGGTAGGTAATTAATTTTTGTTCTGATGACAGGATTTGATGCTTTCATTGCAACTAATTGCACGTCCGTGTTGATTGCCACTGGATTTTCGCCAGTGAAGGGGAAGACTACCCGATGACTTCATGTTTGCTTTTGAGTTTCATAATTTGGCTGATGGTACCGTATTCTCGGATATCAAACTCATACCAGGCGGATTGGTTCAGATCTCAAATCAACAATCATTATCTTTCTCCGAGCAATATCTAGGAAGGACCCCCACAAAACTGAAATTTCAGTAAATGACATAATAGTTATTCTTCTCGAGTGATGGGGCTTAGCCGCAGTGGGGACCTGTCGCGTCAAATGCAGGGGTGTGACAGGGCATCCTGAATACTGGTGTAAGTAGAGCTGCGCTTGCTTGAACCTAAATAGAATTTCGGTGACTGAAGTCAGCATATATATCGAGAGAGTGAACCTGGATAGGTGGATATGTAAATGTCAGACTGATATTTTTTGTATTGATCCAGAAGTGGTCAGGCTTATCCCAAAGATCAAGTTTAGACACCTACGGGAACACTCTCAAAATATCTTTACTTCATGGAAATGATCGACGGCATAAGGATTTAAACAGCAGCATTGGAAGTGCCAGACATGCGGAAAGTGCCGATCAATAAAGTTAAAAACATATTCTGCGCAGTGTTTTACCTAGTAACCCTACCGGTTCTTTGGCATAATTACGAAGGCGACGACGTACTTTTGACGAGTTCAGAGCAAATAATGAGTGACTGATAATATATAGGATATGAAAACAATGTGAGGGAACTCCTTATCTACATATACAAAAGTTAGGCAAGGAGGTTACCCAATGTTTAGCTGCAAAAGCTACATGTATCTTAAGTTTCATATAATTCAAAAAGAGCCAAAAAAAAAACGGGAGTACTGCCGAGGTAAGGCTGTGGTTCGCATTACTCCTATCAAAAGCTATCTAGGGATGGAAAAAGCAGCCACTAATCACATCAAGACCCTTGCTTTCCATCCATGACATCCCTTGTTCTGGATGAAAATCACAATTATAATCATAATAATAACATGAATCATTCAGGTTAACAGAATTCGTTCTAAACCAAAAACGACCGTAGGGAGCATCTGGGTCTTGGTATCTGAAGATAGAGCAGATAACCAATGAGACCGGGTTGCAGATGTCTCCTCCCTTAGAGTGCGCTCCTTAGCAACACTAAGGACCAGAAGAATGTATAGGAGGTACGAGGCTAGTACTAGTAACTATATACTTGTAAGGGAACAACTACCGAGATTAAGAAGGTATCGGACTAGTGGTATTGGCGAGCAAGGCTATCAAGCCGTCAAGAATCTATGCTAAAATGAATGTAATACGCCAATATAGAACCCATAAAGAAAAAAAGCCCTCATTCTAAATTTCAGATTTGATGTATTCCCCATGCCCATTCTCATTCAGTACCTCTCTACAAGAGTACGAAATACAGTTTATAAACTACAGAATCGAGGTTTGATGGTTTGCATCCAACATCTAAACCTTTTTTGGAGGGAGTGTTCAGGTAGTAGATGAAATCATTACACCCTTTATCTAATAGAAGAAATGATAGTAAATTGACAAATGTCCAATACAAAGCGCAAGAATCAATGTATGCCGCGCAGTTACTGCAAAAGAATCCCCCAAATTTCTCAATAGACATCGGTGCCTCTGGTGCGGTCACTCTAGCAAGTCCTCTTCGACAAGAACTCGGTGCTTCTGATAATCACAATCTTCTCCGGAGAAGGTATACGGGGATGAAGTACAACCGAACTCAAGTGTGCGAGAGGGCACATTAATAATTGTCTTCCCAGCCCTGTAAAGAGTAAAAATGTATCTGAAGAATCTCATCCGCTCCTGCGATAGACCAAGCTCCTCGTCGCGAATTTGGTTCCACCAATACCACAACCAATGTGGGT